TTGGCGTAGGCTAACGCTTGCCGCTCTTGCCATCGATTTGTGGCATTCCTCATGAGGAGAAGAAAGAGGAGAATGTAGGACGATATACAATCAGAGGTTATTCGGAAAGACTGCTGGTTGCGGATGGGACGGGGCTGGCACGTGTGATTTGAGGCTATTTGCAGGTTATCAGACGGATACGAAGGAGACGCGCGGTTGATTTCGTTGACAATAAGGTAGGCAGGGGACTTGGAGCTTGAGTGAGGGAACGAAGCAGGGGTCTTGGCTTTAGTGGTCCTGCGAGGACGGTTGCGATAGAATCCTTAGGTTGATGCCAAGTACTCCGTAGATGCAACAAATACAAAATGGAAGAGCATTCGACTATAGTACAATGTACACGGACTTGCCCAGCACCCTGTAAGCCCCCGGAAACATGAACCGGCTGAGGATGACAAAGACAGGCACTCAGATTATGACAAGCACCTGCGGAATTCCGACGAGAAGCGTCCATAGGATGGACGACGGACGAGACCGTAAGCCGCGACCCTTGTGGAAAACGATGTATCTAATTGGAGAGAGATATTGAGAAAAGAGACAAAGAGACGGATGATGAGAGAACTAGTATCAGCATCAACTCGAGGTGTGTGTTGCTGCATCGAGGCCGTTGGGTAGCGCGTTAGACGAAGCGTGGGTTGCACAGCATCCGCTCTTGTTGGCTAAACTGCATGAGGCACAGCGACGATCCTTATATCTTTTTACAAGCAGCAGAATAGTAATCAAAAATACTTGTCTCACTCGAGCATCTCGATGGACTGGCACGTAGCATCTTTAGAGCTGTTGCGGTCGATGTGCAGCAAGCGCGCGTGAAGCTTCCGGCTTACAGGTAATTGGGCCCGAACTGCCATGCGGAGCTGCAAGCAAGGGGGCGGCTTTTTTTCCTTTCTTTGTTTCTTTGTCTACGGAGTACCTCTGTGACGGATATCCGCTTGCCAAAGAGCTTGGTCTTTCTGAATGAGATACAGTTTTTTGGGTTCCTTTTCTTCGCAGAGAGAGAGGAATCTTGGGGACCTACGCAATAATACAGTTGGAGGCTTGCGAGTTCGTCCGAGATCAGGGGGTGGGGTGGTCCGGGGGGTGCGTGGGCCCGGAGACGGGCATTACTAGCTACATAGCTGGTTTGTCTGCTTTTTGTCCGAACCATACAAGAAAGACGAGTCAACGCAATGATAGACGGATAGGAATATTCTAGTGGCAGAGGGGCGGATAATGAGCGGACAATGAGCGGACAAGGTGAACGGCGGCGAAAGCGGCATGTCAAGCAAGATGAGGCAAGTCTCGCATACTATTCCGCAGGAAGCAGGCCAAAGTCGAATGACTCGAGGGATTCATGCTGCGGAAGAGGATAGTATACGCGTGCTGGGACGATCCTCGTGCACTGCACATCGGACTCGACGTTATAACATAACATGTAAATTTTCCGCGATGTTTCAGTGAAGGAAGCTAGATGAATTTGTGGTTCTCTTTGGGGCTCGTTTCCGGTACGAGCACGACAAACAGACAACGAGATAGTGCGGTAGGATTGGGTCCTAGCTCAGACCGGGAGGACGGACAAAGAAGAAGACGGACGAATAGTAACGGGGCGAAGACGCCCTCAAAGTACAAGTATACTCGTAAGTCGTATATGCTGGGGATGGATTGCCGAGCTGCAGCATGACGGTCGTTTCCAGCTCCTTGGCTTCCTTCTTCCTGGCACCCGCCGTTGTCGTATCGCATCTCGTAAGCACCTGTTGAGAAATCCGTCCGTCCCCGAAAAATTACATGTACTCTTGCCTCGCTAACGGACAAGAAAGAAAAGTGACGGCAGATGATCGGTGGCTTTTTTTTCCCTGTCTGATGTCGACGAGGCGTACGCTTATTTTCTGACTCAATCATCCTTCTCGCCTAATTCTTTCGAATAACCTTCCATGCTTGAGCGGGCTTGGTGGCAGCAGCAAAAGAAGCTTTTTGCTATGCTCTTTTCCCTCTTGGTGGCTGCAAGCCCCCCAACTCACCCAGTACGGATATGGGTAAGATGGACGTGAAGACAAAGGGTACTGATGAAGTGGCCATCAATGCTTTATCGAGAGGACTGTAGTCGGGGATGCAGGTCCTGAATATGCTCCGTAAGTCCGTGGATTGCCAAAGAAGATACTCTTCCGGAACAGATGCGGGCACAGGAGAGGCCAGGACAAGCATAGGACTATTTCGCGACTCTATCTCTCTTGGCTGGGCAATGCTAAAACTCCGACTGGCCTTGACCTGGGCTTTTTGACTCGTCACACAGGAACTAGTTCGAGAAGGAAAAAAGACTAAAAGAAACTAGTAGTCAAATAAAAAGAATAGGGATCCAAAGACAAAAAAATTAAGAAACAAAGGGCGGGGGATGCGAGCCACAGCCGTCGAAAATTGGCACAATCAATACCTACCTTAGCATGGAATCAATCATACTAGATATTACCTAGACGAAACAGAAAGTTGCCGTACCTGTACTTTCGCCCAATCTGGTGCCCTCCTCGCTGCATCCCAACCGATCCAGTCTGCTCCTATTTTTGCTCCAATCAGTGCCTAATAACCCAGTAATATTTAACTCTTGGGCTGCTTCGAACAGAGGCTGGCCGGATAGGCTGTGGCCGGAAAGACAAAGACGCTATGATGGCTGGGTTGGTAGGCTATCGCTGGGATCCGTTTGTCTTGCATTTTTATTGCTTCTTTCTCGTTAGGGGGGCCCAACTCAGCCTCGGGCATTGCCTGTTGCATCGACCTTGATAGCAAATAGACTACCCATCGCCCTATTGGCATACCTTATTTGACTCATTCAAGTATTGACACATGGCCACGCACTCGATGATGATGCCAGAAACGCCTTTCCCGAGTGTGTTTCCAGTACATCCGACAGCCACAAACTCAATTCGCAAACGGGGTACACGCTACATGCGCCTCACACTATCGGCTAGGGGTCTTTGATTATTCAATTGTTCGTTTATTAATACCCGTTCTTCCTGCCTTTGTCTGTAGAACCACCTCGTCCTACCCATAATTCAGCTCACTCCTTTCACACACACTCGCACTCTCTTTCATTCTCTCACTCTCTGCATTTGTTCTATTCTGTGTACCTCAAATACAATAACCAAGGAATTTCTATCTGCTCTATCAACTTCCAGGTACTGATTTGGAAGGTACCGCAAGGCTGTTGGACTGGTGGTGGCGGCTGCCAGTGGAGTTGGCAGTTGGCAGGTGCCGCCCATCAGGTAATTTCCCCAAGCTGTGAATCGCCTCGCTATCGATTGCTCTTCCTCCTCTCCTTCTTCTTCCTCTCGTATCTCTTTCTTCTTTCTTCTCCCCATACTCTTTTCTCTCTCTATCGCACTGCCATTGTGCGCAATCTTCTCTCCATTCTTTCTTCTCGTATCTTCTGTCTCCATCTTCAGCCATCTCTCTTTCTCTTGTCATCGTCCTCTTCCTCTTCTCTTTTGCCTCGTCTCCCGGCTGCTTCGGCCCGGTATATCTCTGGATACACCGTCTTCCTAACATCGTTGCCTCTATCCGGCCCTCTCAGCTCTTTCTTGCGTTGACAGATCTACCCACTTCAGAGTCTGGAGTCGGCAATCGCTCATTATTGATAGCTTCTATCGAGACGATACGATATACCATTACAAAGTACGATTACCGAGCGTACAGTACCAACACCAGATTATCCAGGCCCGAAAGCCCTCAGTGGAGTCGGAATTCCTCGCCAGCCGCTCGCCTTGGACGTGATCAGTAATACCACAGGTACAGGTACCGGAACCACCAACCAGGTTAGTCGACGCTCAGCTTGCTTTCCCTCTGGGTGTGGTCTGTGCCGCCTGTGTTTGTGTCTCTGCCGGTCTGTACTCGAGCTTGGCTCTGCTATTGTCGAGCATCTTGTCCGGTCCGGTACCTACAGCAGGCTGTGGGCCACCGTTTCTATCTCACTCTTTTCAAGTTCTCGTCTATTCCGTCTATCCCTTGCCTCTGCTTCTACCCTTGCCCTGTCGTTTCTTTTCCTATCCTTCCTCCTCAACCGTGGCCAATGCCACCTTTTGGCCCCCACCGAATACCGCTGGAGAAGTGGCCAGTCCCTTGCTGTGATTGGTCTTCCATGGAATTTCCTGCTCTACATGTGCTTTCACTCTGACCTACCTATCCAATGTTTGTGCTCTTGATTGATCACAAACAACGAACCAAGGGTACCGGCTAGTACTTTGTTCCCTGACAGACACCCGTCCCCACATGCTGAGTACTGGATGCTAGGGAATTCGAAGCACTCCCCTTTGATATTCCGATTGGTTTCTACACCCCTCCCCAGCTGCGCCTCCGACTGATGATGCCTGCTTCTTCTATGGCTCTTCCTCCTCTGCCTTGTCGGTGACTAACAATGCTGACTAGTTGTAGCTCTTTGTTGCTACTCTACACGCCCCTCCCCGCCCTATATCTGCTATCTGCCTGGCCTGGTGTCACCCCAAGACCGGTTTATAACCAGTTCTCGTCGCATACGCTCAACGGCGCGTCCAACTTGTATGATCTGTGTCAGTCTCATCCGTGGCTGCTGCGTTGTCATCACAGCCGAGACCCAAAAGAGACGTGGACTGCTGCCACTTATCACAGCATCGAGCTCTCGGGCGATTATGGTTGAGCCTCCCTTATTTCCTCTGGGGGGTTCGAAGCAATAAAGTATCGGGGGCCATCAGCGGCAAACCGAATATTCGACGACCATTCGAATAGTGGTTTCCCCCCTTGCTGGCTTTGTCCAGAAGGCTACCAGTTTCTGAGCTTAACAATCACAGACGAGTAAAAGAAAAGGGGGCGAGGCGAAAGACGACCAATCACCAGCCAGACCGTTCTACCTTGACGACATCTTAGAGACTTGCCTCGCCTTTGTGGCCCCTCCCATCGACGAACAACCCAAGTGGGATTCCTAAGAGGGAAGAAATACAAACGCACCAGCCGGCAATATTCAAAGCAAGGACGATGGATGACGCAACCATTTTGGCGCATCTCCCTGCCGACCAGCGCGAGGCTGCCGTGAACCAAGCCGAGGGCAAGTTCTGGCCAGCCTTTTTGGCTAAAAAAGAGGCTGAGCATACCGAGTTTGTCAGAGGGTACGAGATGGCCCTGACCAAGGCTAAAGTCGAGCTCGGCACGTTGGACGGGCAGCGCGAGGAGCTGACCAAGCTCCGCGAACAGCTCGCTCTGCAGCTCAACCGGGTCGAGAGAGAGCTGGCCCACGTCGTTAGCGATTACAACAAGAAAGCGAACGAGAGACTTGGGCTGGAGAAGGAATATGGGCAGGCTGAGCAAGAGTGGCTGCGACAAAGGGAGAATCAGATCAACTCCATGGTCCGCTGGTTTCAGGACAAGCGAACGGGCAAGGCGACTACTCAGGATCCGGCTGGCGCGGGTGACGATGGCGCTGCCGACAAAGCTACCGATGGTTCGGGAGGCTCTACCAGCGTGATAGAAGCCGCGGAAAGCGTATCGACCGAGACAACCGGAGCCGAGTACTGGAACGATCTGCCACCGCGGCTTAGTCCGTCTGAGCCGGCCGTTGTCACCAGACAGGGGGCCGCAAAAACGCCTATTCCCCCCCTGGTGCAGTCGGTCGCACTCAGGAGCGTTCCCAAGAATCCGACCTTCCTCACAAACCTTGTGGACGCCGACGACCAGCTCATTGGACCCATCTACGAGACAGAGCCGTGGAACCAGTGGGTCAAGGCCATCCTTCACCTGCCCGTCAAGCGCAATGTCAAGGTTCGCCGCGGGCGCAAGTTTACCACTGACCATCTCGCCGCCATCTATGACCATACAGAGGCTAAAGGGGTCAAGTGGCTGTCGTGTATGATACAAGCCATTGGCGAGATACAGGGAAAGAGGTGTCTGTCCTGTAACAAGAACCAGGGTGCTTTTGACGATTGCATCATTATCGGCACTCCCCTTTTTCAAAAGTGTGGCAACTGTGAGTGGAATCGCCAGGGCTGCCACGGAGCCGCTCTGGTTGCGGATGAAGAGAACGCATCTGCGGGAGCTGCCCGGGAAGAAGGAGCGTCAAAGGAGGTATTGGACGGGTCAGGGGCAAATGGAATCTCGGGGCACAGAGATGCGCCCCCACAAGAAGACGACGACTCAAAGGGAGGAATAGGGGCAGACACGTCACGAGAGCCTCCTGAGCAGGCCGAGCGGGAAACCGCCAGTACTACGCCTTTGCCATACGACCCAGCCAAGCCCGTCGTCCAGGAGAGGCGAGGCCTGCCCACCAGTCGACCAACCTTCCCCCAAAACGAGCAGCTGTTGACTCCCCGAGACCGCCCTGGGCCGAAAGCATATCCCTCGACCACGGGATTCACGCCGGCAAACATTCCGCCGGGTCGGCCACCGTCGCAGGATTTCGAGACTCCCACTCCGCGCTCCCTCAAGTCGTCGCCTGGGGCGTCGGAGAGCATACCGCACCTCCCCAAAATCACCAAGGATACACTCGTTCTTAAACACAAAGATGGCGTGTACACTGAGCCCGAGATTGTAGCAGGCGTGCCTCTAGAGAAGATTGATCCTTCTCATCCTTACTGGGAGCCCGACTGGCCTAATCTCGAACAGTTAATCGAGCCGCTGTTGGCACATTGTGAAGACGAGCACAAAGTGGCCATGGCAAAAAGGGGTAGCAAAGAGGATAAGGCTACCAAGCGATTCCAGCTGGGGCGACAGGTGAATCGCGGCAAGGAGATTATCAAGTTCCTTGAGGAGGGCGAGATCAGCCCGTTTCAGCTTCTCAGCAAGAAGTACACAGCGTATGGTAAAGGCAGCATTACTTCCTACGACACCCTTTTCCGCCTCTGCCATGCTCTGCGCGAGCTGAGGCATTTCCAAGCGAAAGGAAAGATTGACGTTGAACCCGTCGAGTGGATGCGCCATCGTCTGCACGAGCTGTGGGAGGAGCAGGGCAGCGAGTTTAAACCAGCGGAAGCGATTCGCGGTTTCTACCACGACCCCAAGATGGCCCAGCTGCGAGAGGAATGCGGGATGAAGAACATTGGTCGACCGCGAGGCTCCCAGGCGCACCATCGGAGCGGAGCCACACCGGCTGATGCGCAATCTGCCCAGAAGCGGAGGCGCCAGAGCTTCCGCTCACCATCTCGCAATGGAGATGAGTATGAACGGTCGTCGATGGAGTTCATGACGGAAAGCGGACGCAATAGCACGGTGCCGGAGCCCGGACCCGGATCTCCAGCCTCTGGAGGTCCGGTCACGAAGCGCGCTAGGTCGCTGTCTCCGTCTATTCGGCCGTACCGAGTCACCATCGACGACCCCGCCGAGTTTACTGACAAGGACGTCTCAAGCGACACGCCCCTTACGCAAAACGACTTTCGGATCGACCAGATCAAGTCGCGACTGTATACGAGCTCCGCCGGGGTGACGCAGTACCTGCACTGGATAAAGGACGACAGGCGCCTGGAGCACCAGACCTTGAAAGGGGGAAATCCTGCCACTTGGCGCGCACTCGACGAGCCCATTAGCTTTGACGTGCGGCTGGACGACTTGGTCGAGGTGGTCTGGAACCGGCGCGAGCTCAAGGCACACCTCGTTATGAGTCAACGTAGCACACAGATCTCACCGCATATTGGACCGAGAGGGGATGTCATGGCGTCTTTTACGCGTGAGAGAACGCTCAAAAGGCTGATCAGGGTCCTTGGGGGGATGGGGGTCAGGACCCTTGAGGGATCTCCGTGAGCTTCTCCCCTTCTCATCCCACTCCTTCTCATCTTTCCTCCACATACGGCTTCGAAGAACTGTTATACTGACAAGATGGCATTATAGTGAGGAAGTACAGCGCCGCTGGACAGCCATGCAGTCGGAGATACTCTCTGATAAAGACATGGAGCTCTCGAGCAAGGAGAGCAAGAGGTCGGCCCCTTCGACTGCGCCACAACCTGTCGTATGGTAGTGCTAGCAAGCGTGCTGCGCGTCGAGGGGTTTCGGCTAGGCGGTTCACATATGCATCGGGTGAAGGCGGGCGTTTGGCGATCTTGATATTGCCTTTTGGATGGAATGGCCAGCATGGTAGAGTGGTGTTTAGGGGTTATGCTTTTTTCCCTTGTCGTCGTTTCTTGGCTTCCTTGTAGACGGGTTGCGTTATGAGTTGCCCTGGGGCTGTTGCATTCCATGACCAGAAAGTGGCGTGGCTTTCCTTACTTTCTTTGGGTCTTTAATTCTTCGACGTCAGGGATATGATGCATTAGGAGTTGGCCATAGATATCCAGTAGCAAACCTAATTGGTTGCTTTTTTTTTTTTATATCTTCCTTTCCATGTTCCTCCCTGATCATGCTTCTCCCGTTCTATACCTTTTTAGATCTGCATTCTTCAGTAAGTACTACTCTGGTATCTACTATCAGATGTCTTGTTCTATACTCTCAATGAAGTGTGTCATTATGTCGAATATCAAATGCCATGAATCAATCTATCATAAACTGTCATATATGGGGTACATTTAACTCGCTATTCAAACACATTGCCCACATGGAAAAAGCAAACTCGATGTCCCCTTTTTGTTCGTCTCTAAACAAATAGATTACCCCTCGCTGCCCGTTTGCTCCTATATATCCCAACAATGATGAAAGACGAAGAAGAAAGAATCATGACGCCTCCTTATAGTAAAAGAAAGATGCTTCATCTCCTCCTCGAAGACCTCGTTCGTCCAAGTCCTTCTGACGGTATCCCTTCTGCAGAAGCACCCGTCATCCTGCTCATAAGCATGGCCTTGGTCTCCATTGCTTCTGGATCGCGATACCCGAGCTGCGTTGCCGGCGGAGACTGCTGCCTTCTCATCTCTTCCTCATCGTCGTCTTCTTGTAGAGCGCGAGGCGGATGAGCTGCGCCGTCGATACTGGCGGCACTGCTCGCGTTGGAAGCGTTGCTGATTGCCCGGCCGAGGATCTTCTGCCGGCGACGGCGCAGGACGCGCGCATCGGGGAGGTCATGCGTTGCGGCTTCGGAGCCGGTGGTGAGGTCGGATAGGGCGGATGTGAGGCCCTGGCGGAGTTCGGCGGCGGCGGCAAGCTGGCGTTGCTTTTCGAGTTGTTCGGCGGATGGCGCTCCTGCTGCTGCCGTTGTTGCTGTTTCGGGAGGTTGGGGAGTTTGATTTGCGGGTTCAGGGGGTGGGATTGATTGCTGCTTTGGCTGTAGTGTATTTGGGAGATCCCTTGGCTCAGAAGCGGCAGGAAGACGGCGAGGCGCTGTGTTTTGTTCTTGTTCTTCGATGGGAGGCAGCTTGGCTGGCGCGGATATGGTGCGGGCAACGGGGCCCTTGGCTGCGGGCTGCTTTGGCGACACGTTGAGCGCGGCCGACGATAGTTCGGATAGAGCGAGCGCCGTTTCAGCCGGATGTGTTCGCGCCGTTATGAAATCTGCCGATGTTACGGGTTCGAGCGTCTGCTTGGCGCGGCTTCGTCCAGGGGCGTTCTTGTCAAAGGCGGTTGTGTCGACGCCCGGCTTTGCTACGGGTTTCGTCGTCACCGGCGCCTTTCGGGGCTGCTTTTCTGTTTCCTCCTCCTCCTCATCATCATCATTGACAAAGGGGTCTCGTGGATCTCGCTTGACGCGGCGTTTCTTGAGTTCTGGGTATACAAAGTCTTGGATGGGAACCAGGCTGCCGCTGGATATGCACTCCCACAGCCAGTCCGCCGAGACAACAGGCACGCCCCAGTCAAGTGCGCACTTGAGCTTCTCCTTGCGCATCGCCAACAAGGATTTGCACACGAGCACGTTTGTTGACCGCCGGAATGCCTCTTCATACTTGCCTCCCAGCTGAGCCACGCTTCTGGCGACTTGGTTGAGCTCGATCCCGGTGAAGGCGGCGCTGCACACGGTCAAGCTCGAAAAAGCAGGGATGGGGAACATGGGGAACGGCCGTCCCAGGACCTGCTCGTTGGGGCTGAAGAAGCGCTTGTTGTGAAGGCAGTTTTCGATGTAGAACTCGGTGACGACATGGATGTGTTCGTTTGGCAACTCGGGGTGGGTGTCGGGCTGTGAAGTCTGGGGAACTATGAGGAATCGGTAGTGCTCAGGGTCTGTTGGCTGAGATAGCATGGCGGGAGACTGCAGGGATGAGGCGATGCTGCCGCCGAGAGTCACGACAGTCTGCTCTAAAATCGCCGCTCTCTGCTGGGGGAATCCATGGACGACAAAGACGCAATTGGCAAAGACACCTTGCTCCTCCTGTGCGAGAGAGTATCCTGGCTGAGTAGGGACTTGTGAGGCGGGGGCTGGGGCTGGGGCCACTGCTGGTGCTCCAGGCGGATTCTCGTGGGCAAAGGAGTACTCTCTTGAAGCCGATCTGCCTAATATGTCTCCCCAGAGATCGTTTCTTTGCGAGCTCATCTTCATGCTGGCAGTCTTGCGAAGCTTTCGCATTCCTTCGTCTCGCCCGCCGCCGACGACGGCTGACCTTGCTCTCTTCCCTAGAGACGACCTTTTGAGATCCTTCTTCACCCAAGCGCCAACGCCCTGTTCCTCCGGTGGCAATAGCGGATCAAACTTGGATTCTTCCAGGATCATGCCGCGTTCGACACTCTGTTCGAGCCAGTCCAGAGTGACCGTGTGCAACCCCCACGCCTTGGCTGCTGTGAACTTCTTGCCCTCGGGCTTGCTGACGATCAGATGCGAGCACCTCCTAGTCAAGTCGCCAGTGTATCGGCCGCCGTTCTGCGTAATCATCTCTGCAATCTTGTCTCTCTCGTCGCCGAATCCCGTCAAGCATATCAGCAGCGATCCGCGGGCCGCGGGCGATGTGTCCTCCTGCGACGATGGCTCGGCGCCGCTCGTCTCCAATGCTTTCAGCTGGTACCTCTTCTCCAGGGCATCAAGGTCAATCTCATCGTCGTTCTTCCATAGCTCGTTGACGGCGTTGATCCAGGCAGCGTCCATGGCCTTGATGTCGGTCCTCTCGCGGGCGACATGGCGATACTTGGGGGTATCATAATCGCCGACGACGAGATGCGTGACGTCGGGAGTCAGGTCGTATTTGTGCACGCCGCCGAGCTCGGCCACCTTTTGGGCAATGTCTGTCTGCTCCGGATATCGCTGTTAGTGGCGTAGAAGAGAGGGATTGTTATCGTGATGCTTCAACGAACCCGCTGGTCTGGTGGGATACTGGTGCAGCACACAATGACGCCCTGGAACGGCACCGAGGGGTCGAAGCCGGAGCCCTCATTGTCTGAAGAGTGCGAGGCCATGGTTCATGACATGACCGGCTGGATCACGCACAGGAGCAGGTTGCGGCGCATGCAGCCACTGTCTGCTGCTTCGGCCGGTGATGGTTGGAATTTCTGTGGAAATGGCTGATAGCAACTTGAAGACGGGCGATAAGAGACAGACGCGTCTCGGTGCATGTACACAACCGATGCGCGTTGATTAGAGTGGTCCGCACTGTGTTTGCTTGCCATAATGGAGCTGCTGCTGGAGTGGGGCATGGGGAATCCAGGGTCACTCAGTGGCTCAATCACAGTGCGGCGCTATTTGATCGCTCTAGCTTCAATATCAGACCAACAACGTACATGTAAAAGAGCAGACGCTCGACGCACTCTGGAAGAAGGGACCTCGCTGACTCGGGGCACTGAAATTTGGATGATTTATGTTGGTGAACGCCCAATACTCAGAAGCTTGAGAGGGATATATCTATATGAAACATGAAGAGAAACCATTCCTTCACTACATGTCCGTTGACCCTCTCTCCACATGCAAGGCCAGCAGCGTCCATGTCTTGCATGCTGAGACTTGCTGGGCATCACTGGAGTACTTGATCTATCTCTACTGCTTGAGTCTATGGGACAAACTCATTATAATTTCTATGCCAGCAGTGTAAGGCAATTTGACGTAATCATCAGACATGCTCTTCTCAACGGAGCAATTTGAGGTTCTTACAAACACCTCGGCTCTCCAGAGCCTCGCCACTACAGCAGTCAACACCGCTGCAGCCAGTTAGGCACCTACCTGCATCTCTGCCTACGGCCCCAGCGCCCCAGCGGTACCTCTTAGCTGCCCAAACACCGGGAACCCCACCATCGCAGCCTTGCGTGAGTCGATTCCAATCCGCTTCTCTGCTCTCTGTCAACGCAAGCAGAACCACCAAGCTGCGAGATTTCTCCTCCTCCCCCGTCGCCGCTCGATCTCTTCTGCTTTGTCCTCTTTCACTTCTCGCCTGATAGCGGACAGAAGCACTCGATCCGCCGCTGTCTTACTTGCGTCGTCTGCAGCTGCCCTCGTGCACAGCAGCTTTCCGCCACCAGTCGAACGTTGCGACTTGTCGACATCTGCGACCTTTCCACGACGACACCGCACGATCGATACGCTCGCCAATAGCGAACCTCGTCTCCTGCAGGCAACGGCCTATCACGATACGCTAGACCTACGACGTTACCGCCCACGACGCCCGGCGCTTGGTGACTCGGTGCTTCAAAGGCTTTACTCGACAGCTTCAGCTCATTACCGCACAGCGACCGACGCCCAAAGGGCCTCGTGTGACCCGGCAAACGCAGCCAACGCTCGTCGACCTTCCTTTTCTCGCTACAATGCCTCCCCCTTCGTCGGCGCAACAGAAGGTGCTGCTTGCGCAGTTCGTCAGCCTCACTGGGGTTACGGAACGGCAGGCGACTCGGGTACGTCAGATACCTAACCAACACCAACGTTGCTTTTGCCCTGGGTGCTTGCTATGCTTGCCGTCCTCGCTGGTGGTCCGGCCGAGCCCAACGGGGATCTCCCCTCCATGCTCCCAAACAAACCTGACACGTCCCACGGCTACGTCTCGCTTGGGCTCATCCCGGATCAATGGGCCGGGATTAAATCGGGGCATGAGGCTGGCATGAGGCTGACCCTGTTTGCCGGCCCTTTCGGCTTCAGGCGCCTGCTGGACGTGAGGCCGGATCCGCGGCAAAGCAACCGTGCATCCCGATGTGGTGCTTCCATGTCCTGCAACCCGTGAGTTCGGTCACTGACACGAGGATGTGAGCAGTATCTCAAGTCGACTGGCTACAAGCTTGAGGAAGCCGTGGATGCGTAAGTACTCGCTATCATAATCATAAGGCCCCCGTCCTTTTGCTTTCCACGTCCCCTTGCGAGCCTCAAATCTCCGCCTTTACTTTTCCCGATATGCTGCCCCCTCCCCCTCGCCCGTCCTGGCCATCGGATATTCCTCGAATCAGACTCTCCACGGCGCTTCTCGGACAATTTCGCTGTGAGATGATGCATCGCCAGGCTCCCAATGTTGTTATCGGTGTGGATTGCTTGTGGGGGTCCCACTAAGGCGAAGCCCGCCCGCCTTGTCGGACACTCACCAGAGTATGGCCGAGCGCCGCCGATGCTACTGAAACAGAGACGTCAGAAAGCGACAGCATGCCAAGATGTTACCTTGCAAGATCGTATCCAATTGCTGGCTTCCGGATGCCTCAGAGCCTCTGTTCTGAGAAAATTACACTGGCTCGCCGGCGTGTCCAGACTCTAGGGGGTCATTCTCTGATCGACATCGAAGCCGCACCCTCGTCGAGACTGCGTTAATTTGCACCCTCGCCGTCCTCGTCTTTGAGTCCCTCGGTCTGCTCCTCGGTCTGCTGCAGCCACTTCGTCTTCGACTGACAAGACGCTTTGCATTTTCCCGTTTACTCCGAATTCGAGATCTGGATCTGCACGCATTGGCAATATCCGGCCTGGCTACTAAGTGCATCACTCCAACTGACCAGCGAGGACGACGACGACGACCCAGCGCTCCGGGACGCATGCATCCCGTGGATCAGGCCCAGTATGATGCTGGGTTGGAAAGGCGTCAAACAGAATCTGCCGTCCAAAGTCGCAAAGGCCGTCCCCCAGTGGCTCTCCAAGAAGAAACGGGAGAAGCATGGCGCAGATGGCTCTGCCGCGGATCAATCTGGACGGTACAATTTATCTACGCCTGGCTGGGTCATCGGGACGGGGCATCATGATCTTCATAAAGGGGGAGGGGGACTACGCTGGTCGAGATGACTATGGCAATTTGCTGCTTAGTGGTGGCATTGCATACCTCGTTCCTTTCTCTCTCACACCACTGGAACACGATGCACGACCTGCACGGCGGCAGCTGCTAACGTGATGCATCTAGGTATTTTATGAACACGGCCAATGAGGGCAAGGGACCGTCTCCGTTGGATGCGAAGCTGGATGCGCTGTTTGACTCATTAAGGGGTAAGCTCTGATGCTTCTACCTGAACGATACCTTTCCTGATGCTTACCGATCAACCCCTGTCTAGATGAAGAAAACGACGAGAAGGACCAGCTGGAGCTGGAGTCGACCATGAACTATCTGGGCGAGAAGCTCAACATCAGCTTAGAAAACGCCGAGTTATTCGTAGTGCTGGAGCTGCTGCAGGCCCCGAGCGTGGGCGAAATTACCAGAGAGGGTTACATCAACGGCTGGAAATCAAGCGGGTAGGTTAATGGGAAGCGAAGGAGTTATTCGCAACACAACGATTCTTGCTTACTCTTAGCAGGGTCGAGGCATCGCATCAGGAGCACGCCAAACATGTACGGAACCTCATCTCCAACCTGTCGCGTGATCCGGCGCTGTTCAAGAAGGTGTACAGATACGCATTCGTCGCTGGCCGTGAAAAGGACCAAAAGGCTCTGGCCTTGGACAACGCCCTCATCTACTGGAGCATGCTATTCTCAGCCCCTGGCATGGTATGGAAGGGCAAACACGACTGGTTGGAGCTGTGGAAGACGTTCCTGGGCGAGAAGTGGACCCGATCTGTCAACCGCGACATGTGGAACATGATTCTGGAGTTTGCCCTTAAGAGTATCAATGACGAGTCATTGTCCTTCTGGAGCGAGGACGGCGCATGGCCGAGCGTCATTGACGACTTTGTCCAGTGGTGCAGGCAAAGAGGCGTCGGAAAGCCCGAGACGATGGAAGTCGATGGCCAATAAGACCATGGGTCCTGATGACCGCATGCAACAACTGCCTGGGATTACTACGTATCCATACGCCATTTACGAGAATGGACGAGGGTCTCATCTTTGGTATGCAGGCCGATGCGAGTTGCGCTTACATTTGGAGGTTGAGATGGAGGCTGGCTGGCCATGATGCTAGAAGCCTTACTTGATGAGCCTGATTATGGCAGTCCAGCCCCTGCACCTTTGAATTCTGCAATGGCATAGATTTTGAGCGACAAATAAAGAACCATGGATCGACTTGAGTTGGAATTGGCAGGCTTTGTTGTTATTTTTACCCATACCCTAGCTACTAAAGCATAGCTACATTTCGAAGAGCCGTCTATCGTCGCCCATAGCATGTGACATTTGTCGTTTCCCATGCAGACATCCAAGGATATGTACAGAGTATATCGGATGCTTAAGTGCCCTTTTCTTCCACCAATTTCTTGTCAGGCATCAAACGTTCCCTTCCCTGTTGGCACTTCCTCTTTTTTGGACATGATCATAATCTTACACGAGGTATACACCCGTACGTACACCTCCAATAGCTGGTCGTGTCTTCATTTGATCCCAATCTCTGAGGGGCAAACGACACAACCAATCTTTCGTAACTCCCCTTCTCTCTTCATTCATTCCTCACGCCTCACTGCCCTGCGTCCTCCACTTGGGCGGCCCGAACCTCGACACGGTCTCAAGCTTGCCGTCGCCCAGCTTGACGTGGGCGGCGCGGATCATGCGCGGCTCGAGGCGCAGGGTGGAGCGGACGTCGTGGTGGACGGCGGCGGAGGAGTCGTAGCGCATGACGAAGTAGTGGCCGTGGGTGTGCTTCATCTGGTGGACGGAGACGGGCTTGGGGAGGGAGAAGACGCCCCAGTTGGAGAGGCCGCGGATGACGCCGCCGTTGCGGAGGACGAGGGAGCCTACTGTTTGGGCGATTCTAACTCGTGATGTTAGGGGGGGGCGTATGTTGTTTGGGATTTTGGGGGTGAGGGTTTGGGCTTGGAGATTGAAATGAAGCTTGGGATGTTGGACGTACTCTTTTACCTCGGTGAGGTTGCCCGGCCGGACCTAGAATGGCGGTTAGCAGGGCTGTTGAGTAGAAAAGAGATGTGTATTGTTGGAGGGGAGGATGGGATTGACTCACAATGGCTATCAGTTCGTAGAGCATCTTTGCGACGGCACCTACGAGCGGTTCTGGAGGATGGATTTGGAGGGACATGCGACTCTGCGTGGAGGGTGTTGAAATTCTGAGCGGGATGGCATGCCGAGGTTCTGCCGTGGTGAGGGTGGTGACGGAACTACCCACTCAGCCCACTGTATGGAGACGGAGTTCGTGTGCGGAATTGTGCATTTAGCCGTCTAACGGGAAAGCATACACCGAGATGCAATTGGCTTTGCGTATAAGAAATCGAATGGTGACAATGCTATAGTTACAGTGATTTTGGTACAAGTCTATCAATGTGTTGAGTATGCGGTATCTGGCTATATCCTCTCCTTGGACAGAGCTTGCCAGATCCCCCACGGCAGCCTCCATCCGCCCGCTCTGACGGCAAACGGGTCAAAGTTTGCCTTTTCCAGGCTCAGCAGCCATTGGGCCGCTGGCACGGCTTCCAGCAAGACTCCGAAGCCTCTCCGCACATCCCGCGTGGCATCGCTCTCCTCGTCGACATAGTGGTGCTCGCCCTCGCCTTGATGCTCAAACTCGTGACCCGCGTCCTGCCCCGCCTTCAACCGCTTGAGCATCTCCCGCGCCGTGATGAGATGGTCATTGGCGCGCGTAGCCACCTTGAAGATGGCGTCCTGCAGGCCGGGCGCGCTGGGCCCCTGGCGGAAGACCTCCTCCTCCTTGACACCCTCCTCGGCCATGACGTCGAGGGGCAGCAGCAGGGCCTGGCTGCGGCTCGGGGTCTCGAGGCCGGAGGGCGACCTGACGGGCTGTGGGGGCGCGGCGAGGACGGGTACTCCCCGCAGGACCGCGACGATGCCACACGCCTTGCCGATATGGCTGGCCAGGTGGTCCACGTGCATAGACCGCAGCGGCATGGATGCCAGAGTCGCATACATGATCGTGGAGTACGTGTTCTCGGCATAGTCCTCCAGGCTGGCCAGGGTCGCGAAGGGCCGATTGTCCATGTGCCTCTCGCGCGTGCGGATCAGGCGCGAGACCCAGAATTTCATGCTCTTGGTCGACGACGAGCCGCCGCCGGTCCGCTGCTCCAGCTCGCGCAGGGCCTTGTGCAGCAGGATGCAGATTGGCTCGCGCGGGGGCTGCCCGGCAAAGGTCCTGTCGATGGCGTCGTGCCAGAACTTGACGCGCATGGCGCCGATGGTGGGATTCGACACCATCTCGGGCAGCCGGACGAGCTCGAGGTTGAGGGCGCGCAGGGCCGCGTACGTGTCCTGGACGGGGGGAGGCATGAAGCGGCGGATGAGGTGAGCATCGTAGTCGCTTGTCCTGCAGATGGGGGATGAGCCAATTGCGTGTTAGAAAAGCTGTGCCAGCAGTGATAAGGGGCCGTCTGGATGCTGGATTGGGGAGAAGAAGCCGTACTGAAGCTGCTTCAAGCAGTATCGCCGAGCTGATTCGACGTCGGTCTCCGTCACGAAGCCGCGACAGCCCCGAGGAGCTGAGACGAGCCTTTTCAGGCCATTGCCTAGAGCGCTGGGACGATGCATGCAGCCACGAATTCACAGCCCGAGACTCGTCAGTCGATTGCCACCATCGTGGTGATGCCTGGGCGAGAGTCGCATTGCATTGGCCGCTATTTTTTTCTGGAGTATTTCCAGTGACGAAAGAAGCTGCGTTTTCAATGCTCTGATACGGGCAGCTTATGATTGGCCAGCCTATTACTCCGACGGACAAATGCGGGGCCCTCTTTAAGTGGGATGACGCGGTCATGTGACCTCTCTACACGGTTCGCGACATGTCAGAGACGAGTCGCGTCTCCCGGCAGATTTGGGCTGCCAGATGCGCGTGTCACGGCTTTTTGTGACGTGCTGGACTTTTGCAGATGGAGCTGGGATCCTCGCAGGAGCCGCCGGTGAAGAGGCGCAGATTCTTCAAGGATCCAGATGAGGCGTCGTCTGATCCGGTGGCGTTTAGTCCGAAGCGCGAGTACAGCTCGTCGCTGGAGCCGAGGCGCTTCTTCAAGACTGAGGACGAGGATGAGGAGGACGAAGTGATACCGAAGGATGAAGCGATACCGAAGAAGGAAGAGGATGTCGACGACTGGGAGCCGGAGAAGAGACGAAGCATCATTCGGAGCGCCTCGGGCTATCGTGACGATGGCGCTGCTTCGGGTGAGTCGACGCCCTCAGAGCGGCAGCAGACCACATCGAACGAACCCACAACACAGCACGAGTCTTCGGCCGTGACCTTTGATCGAGACACGTTTGAGAGCTTTGTCGGATGCAAAGTTTCCGCCAACATCCTGCGTACGATTCAGCAACACTGCGGAAACAACCTGGAGCGAGCCGTCAACATGTACTTTGACGGCACCTACAAGAAATTGATGGCGAAATCGAAGCCCGCATCTTCTGGCTTAAGCCGGACACAGTCGACAGACGGGCCCAGTCAGCCGTCGCCGCTTCCCATCCGACGCAACATACCATCTGCACGATACGTGGGCGCTTTTGGCGTTGAGGGATGGGCCACCAGAAGCGGCACGAATCTCTTGAAGCACGGTGAAGCCGTCAGGATCGAGCGCCAAAAGATACAGCCTCCTCTGCCGCCAAAGACGAAGCCCCGGCTTGGAGCTCCTCCTACTCCGGCCAAACCAAATACGGCTGCCTCGAGACGGGTCGACGTTATCGTGCGATTTACGAACCAGATGGGCCAGGAAATTGGGCGTCTGGCCAAGGATACGGCCAACTGGGTGTCGACGCTGATGGACCAGAAGATTTGCAAGTTTGAGGGAACATGCGTGTACTGCCCCGAGCGTGCGCGAACGAACGATACTGTTTTCCTCCAGCTACGATGCTACCTGCTCGACTCTGCCTTTGTCGACCGAGGCTTCGCGCCCGCGGGCGATGCTTCAGCGACCTGGTTCGAACAACAGACTGAAACGGCGCAAGAGAAGGAACTTCGCCTGAGACAGGTTGCCCTGGTCAGGCTGTTTCAGGAGATCAATCTTCAGCCCGTCGTCGCCAACGCTGCCGCGAAAGACGGGAGGTCGGGGCTTCTCCAGGCTGCCGAGATGGACGAGCAGAAGCAGAAGGACTCCAAAAAGGCGGCTGCGAATGGTAGCAAGGAATCTGGGAACTCATCACCGTCTGACGAGCCGGAGGAGGGAGAGGAGCTCGAACAGGACCAGCTCGACGCGCTCTACAAGAAAGCCCAGACATTCGACTTTAACATGCCTGAAGCTGAGCCGGCGAGCACATTTGCCATGACGCTTCGACCATATCAGAAGCAGTCCCTGCACTGGATGATGGCCAAGGAAAAGGATGAAAAGAGCCATAGGGAACCCTCGATGCATCCGCTATGGGAGGAATATGTGTGGCCCATCAAAGACGTCGACGACAAGGATCTGCCTTCAGTAGAGGGACAGTCCAAGTTTTACGTCAACCCGTACTCTGGCGATCTCTCCTTGGATTTTCCAGTTCAGGAGCAGCACTGTCTCGGCGGCATCCTTGCTGATGAAATGGGGCTGGGAAAGACAATTCAGATGCTCAGCCTGATTCACACGCACCGATCCGAGCCTTCACAAAGCGCCAGAGTCCCTTCTTCTGTGGACGGATTGAGCCAGCTCCAACGATTGGGCAAGAATTCGTCAAACGTACTGGATGCGCCTCGCACAACGCTGGTGGTTGCCCCAATGTCCTTATTGTCACAATGGTATAGCGAGGCCGAGAAGGCTTCCATGGCGGGCAGCATGAAGATTCAGCTCTACTATGGTGCTGAGAAGGCAGTGAATCTGCAGGCTCTTTGCTCCGGCTCCGGTGCACCCGATCTCGTCATCACCAGCTACGGAGTTGTTTTGTCAGAGTACACCAGCATTGCCGCGAAGAACGGCGACAGGTCTTTCCATACCGGCATTTTCTCTCTCAAGTTCTTTCGCGTGATTCTTGACGAGGCGCATTACATCAAGAACAGGGCATCCAAGACGGCGCGAGCGTGCTACGAGATCTCAGCGGACCATCGATGGGCACTGACGGGCACCCCTATCGTCAATAGACTGGAAGACCTATTCAGCTTGGTGCGTTTCCTGGGCGTTGAGCCGTGGAACAACTTTTCGTTCTGGAAGACCTTCATCACCGTGCCGTTTGAGTCTGGCGACTTTGTGCGCGCCTTGGACGTGGTGCAGACCGTCCTGGAGCCACTGGTGACCAGAAGAACCAAGGACATGAAGACGCCAGACGGCCAGCCACTGGTGCAGCTCCCGCCGAAACAGATCGAGATCGTTGAGGTGGAGTTATCCAAGCCGGAGCGAGACATCTACGACCACATCTTCAACAAGGCGAAAAATACGCTTACCAGGAATGTCGAGGCCGGAACGGTGCTCAAGGCCTTCACGACCATCTTTGCTCAGATTCTGAGGCTCCGTCAATCGTGCTGTCATCCTGTTCTGGTCCGCAACAAGGACATTGTCGCCGACGAAGAAGAGGCGGGCGCTGCGGCTGATGCGGTGACGGGCCTGGGCGACGATATGGACCTCGAGTCGCTGATCACACAGTTTACCGCCATCACAGACGAAGCCTCCAATGACAGGCAGACATTCGGGGCGCACGCCCTAGACGAGATCCGGAATGAAGCGGAAAAGGAATGCCCCCTTTGTTTCGACGAGCCGATGAATGAGCAGATTGTGACTGGATGCTGGCACTCTGCGTGCAAAAAGTGCTTGATGGGCTTTATCAAGCACGAGACAGATCACGCGAGGGTGCCGAGGTGCTTCAACTGCCGTGCACCGATCAACCAGCGAGATCTGTTCGAGGTTGTACGCCACGATGACGACGAGGAGGCGTTTGCTTCGGCGAAGCCGCGTTTCAGCCTCCAACGACTCGGGCTCAACTCGTCCTCTGCCAAGATTGCCGCTCTGATATCGGAACTCCGGGCACTGCGTCGAGAGCGTCCGAATATGAAGTCCATTGTTTTTTCACAGTTTACGTCCTTTCTCACACTCATCGAAACTGCCCTTAAGCGCTTCAATATCAAGTTTCTGCGTCTCGATGGCAGCATGACACAGCGGGCCCGAGCAGCGGTGTTGCAACAGTTTACAGACAGCAAGGGCTTCGTGGTGATGCTGATGAGCCTGCGTGCTGGAGGCGTGGGCCTGAACCTCACGAGCGCGGGGCGCGTGTTCATGATGGATCCGTGGTGGAGTTTTGCCGTTGAGCTGCAGGCGATTGATCGGGTGCACAGACTTGGACAGCAAGATGAGGTGGTGGTGAAGAGGTTCATTGTCAGGGGGACTGTGGAGGAGAGAATGCTGAGGATCCAGGATAGGAAGAAGTTTATGTGAGTGCTGCCAGAGGACAATTGGTTCACGTTTCAGGAGGCTAACCAGATTCGCAGCGCAACGTCACTGGGTATGATGAGCGATGAAGAGAAGAAGCTGCAGCGCATTGAGGACATCAAAGAACTCCTCAGCTAGACGACACAACCACGGGACACGGTGTTAGAGATGGCATGATGGTGCGTTACTGCGGTGGCTACCGCATCTGACGGTCTCATTACATGGCGCATGGGTTTGCTTGAAGCATTGGAGGCATGGGATCATTTGTGTTTACATGGCATGGCATATGATGGGGAAAAGAGTGTATATATGATTGGCTTGTCATGGCATTCGAGTGATTTCACTCGATCACGGAAACGGATAGACCTGCAGGTCGAGTCAAGGAGAGATGGGCCCCCGTCTGGGGTAAAATACTACGATGCATACGGGCCGGGAGAAGAGGACCCTGGAAGCATCAGCTGCCAACGAAGTTGTAGCATCCAAAGTTGCTATCTGAACGTGACATGCGGGCATCTTTCCGGTGTTGCAACGACCATCACCGAGCGGCGCATGAGGGCCCAGGATGATCATTGCGGTATACGGGAGAGACTCCACCGCCGTCCCCGGTGAGGCTTCCTGGTCAATATAACTTTATCTGCTAGGGTTGTTTCAGGGACAGGCGATGGGGTTGGCAGTTGGGGATAATACGAGTTGTGGGAGTTGTGTGGTTGGCTTGGTTCCCTCTAATAACCTTTGACATTCCTTCAATCGGAACATGTACGCAATGATCGTGCTGTTAGTTCCTACTGTGCTGATGATGAATCAGTGAATCGAGTGAAACGGCGTTGTGTCGTTGTATGAGCGTTGCATGAAGTCCACCGACAGAGCGCCATCCAGGGGTCCCCCCCGGTCTAAAAAGGGGCGGGGCCAAATTACATAGCACCCGAAATTGCCGGGCCAGGGGTCCTCAGCCCATTACGAAAGGCGACCCGTCCCTTTGTAGCAGGGCCCTCTCGAGGTGGAAGATGCTGTCATATGCTTTGTACGAGCTTCGCGCATCGAATGGCTCATCAAAGCAATACGAGGTAAGTGAGCTGTGGTTTCCGGGGCCTAGTTGACTCCTTTTTTTGCGGGAACTGGGAGCATTACGAGTCGTAGATACAAGGAATAATAAATACAGTGATCACCCCGGATGCGGGCGGAAAGGAGAAGGGGAAAGATTCTCTTATGCTTTTCCACCATCTCCAGTCGCTCATTTAGAAATACCTACGAACAAGACACACACAGTCCTTACCGAGGTCGCCTCAAAACAAAACAAACTACATCACATCTCCACCGAAAGATTTTCCATCAACAACTCCAAAAATGCAGTTCTCCGGTCTCACCTTCATCGTCGCCGCCCTGGCCGGCCTCGCCGCCGCCGCTCCGGCTCCCACCGTCGACGGAAAGCTCGTCTGCGGCGAGACAAAGGGGACTGTGATTGGGTGCCCGTTTGGCCAGATCTGCCTGCTTGCGCCGGGGGCTGATAAGAAGTCTGCCATGGGAATCTGCCAGGCTCTCTGAGTTGGTGGTGAGTTTGCTTCTGGCTTATCTGCGGTGTGTTGTTGTTGTTGTTGTTGTTGTTGTTGTTGTTGTTGTTGTTGTTGTTGTTGTTGTTGTTGTTGTTGTTGTTGTTGTTGTTGTTGTTGTTGTTGTTGTTGTTGTTGTTGAGAGAAGCTCTGGATTGCTGACTGGGGTTTTGTGGCTAGGTTTTGGCGAGGAGCATGAGCGGATGCCGAGGATGGGCGTGAGAGGTTGGATGTAATGGTTTGATGGAGATGAGATTTATTGATTCAAGCGATTATACATACGACGATGCAATATAATACCAATAATACCTCCAGCCTAGAGCATCCCAAGGACAGAATCTCCTATGAGGTGTCGCGACGCAGTGTCTATTGCATGACAGAACCGGAGTCTAAAATCTATCCAAAATACGATGCTTAAATCCATTCATATCGGCGACGGATCGATGGATCGACGCCTCCGGAGCCATAGAGTTCTGACAGTGCAGAAGGAGACTTGGCTCGTTTAGGCATGTCGAGGGCTCGCAGTCTGGGGCTAGGAATGAAGTTGAGTCTTGTTACTCGATTTGACCATGAGTGGATGCTGCGAGTTGTCGATGCTGACGTCTTGCGGGAGCTTGTATTTGCATGTCATACATTTACGCATGTGGACCTTGTAAGTGGGGAGTCGGTGCAGTTTGGTGGCGATCTTGGTGATGTTTGTATTATTTCCTATTTAGGCAATAAGCAGGTTGCGCGAGAAGTCACTCGCTGCCATGAGAAAACTATTTATTTCGCACACTTTCCTCATGATCGTTTGTGTGAAATCTCTGGTATTCAGTAGAGAATTGGTTTCTTTTGGCTATCTGAGCAGAGAGCTTTTCGCAATGGATCGTTACGCCGCCGCTTATGCCTCTCGCAACGGCCCTGGAGACGCTCGTCCAACCGCCCTCCAGATAGTCCAAGACGAGTTTCAGTACCGTACCAATGATGCAAGTCCCTTGTCAGGACTCACCATTGTCGTAACTGGTGCAACGTCTGGCATTGGCTATGAGACTGCTCGGGCTCTCTACGCCACAGGGGCAAAGCTCTTCATCACGGCGCGAGATGCCGCCAAGGCGAAGCGAGCTATTGACAAGATTGTGTCGAGTGTCCTTCCATTCGAAGGAAGACAGTACCAAGATATTGAGGTCGTGCATATGGACATGGATTCCCTTGCGTCTGTAAGACAGGCAGCAATGGAGCTTCTCGAGAGGGCGGAGACTATCAACGTCTTGATCAACAACGCCGGTATGTATCGAACCATCCTGCCTCCAAATCATCCAGACAACTGACAATGATTCCGATACAGGCATCGCGGCCGTTCCTTTCGAACATACAAAAGACGGCTTGGAGCGCACCTGGGGCATCAACTACGTGGCCACATTCCTCCTCACGCACCTCCTCCTCCCGCGTCTCGAAGCAAGCAGCTCCCCGACCTGCCGCTCCCGCATCGTCAGCCTGAGAACCGCCGGGCAGACTCTTCCCAACCCGCATCGACGACACAAACTTCGAAAAGACGCCAAATGATCCCATGTCTGCCTACGCAACGTCGAAGCTGGCCGTCATATACCATGCCAACTATATCGACCGGCACTATTCCACTCGTGGGATTAGAGCTGTGTCGGTCCATCCGGGGCTCATTCACACCCCGATGCTAGACAGGTATGATGAACTGGGTAGTAGCAAGCCGGTGAACTCGCCGCCTGGATACATGGAGGAGCTCAAGACCGCTGAGCAAGGCGCTGCCACGACTGTCTTTGCGGCGATTGCGTCGTGTTCGGAGAATCAGGGGGGTGTTTATCTGGAGAATTGCGCGTATGCCAAGGAGGCTCCTCAAGATTTGGGTCCGATGGATGGCGGATATGCGCCGTTTGCATTTGACGAGGAGGCGGAGGAGAGACTTTGGAAGGATACGTGCAGGTCGCTGGGGGTTCCCGAGTCATTGTGACCTAAGTTATGACTCAGAAGGGGTGGAAGAAAGAATGAATGAGGTAGCAGATTTGACGAAGAGTTGTGCTTCTCCTCGTTTCTTGCGCCAGGTATTTGAAGATGCAATGAGGTCCCAGCATCCATCTAGCACATCGTGCCATTTGTGAGCGAACTCCTCGGTCACCTCCCAGTTGCGTGTGTCCCACGAGTTTTCGCCCCAGATCATGAAGCCTGGGCGGCTACAACTCAGCTGTAAACGTCCGGCTCCGGTAAGATCCTCGCAGAGCTCGGTTTCAAAGTCCCAGTCTTCCGAGGCACATGCCAACTTCTGGAGGACATTGTCACGGAAGCGCGGGAAAGGGATCAAGTCCAGCCACGGGTGGTGAATCTCTCTCTGCTGTAGGTCTGTGGGCTGCAGATTCATTGGTAGGCATGATTGTATCGGTGACGTGTCCTGGGAAAAGCTTGAGAGGGAATCATCCTGGCAAATGGCGCCCCACGGATAGCTGAGGAGGTTGGCATTTGCAATCAGTCCACGTAGGATATTGTTGTGGACAAGAGTAAGAAGGCGGTGGTCAGGGGGGAGGATCGAGTCGCTTGCCAATGCGAAGTGAGCGCCACACGGAGGACGCGGCTTCGATACGGGACAAGGCTCTTTAGACAGGAGGAACTTGTTATGCTGGACGAGGACTGCCTTGACAATGTGCTTGTCTTGCTTTGCTTTGGCTGCTTCACGGAGACCTGTAGGATCTTTATAAGTATCTGCGAACAGACCATACGAAAATGCAGCTGATGGCAAAGGAAGATGGCTTACGGTAGTTGTGCTGCGCTCGACGATTCTGCAGCCGGCGTCTCTCTACAGAACCAGCAGAGCGTGATTGAGGCTTAGTCTCTGGTATCTCTGGCCTTTCCATGGTGCTTTTGCGTGCAGTTTGGCTTGGTTGCTTCAGTACCAAGTCTCGTGTCTATGAAGAGGCGATGGATGATTTCACTCCGGAGTTTGGGGGGGTAAAAGCCGAGGCTGAGGTATGAGTTGTCTCCGCGTCTAACTCGCCCAAGAGCTGTGATTATTTCCAGAATAGGAAATAAGCATGCGACTGTTATCTCAATGACAGCTCACAACAGCTTTCGATTGTCCTTCTCTCCATTTTATTTCATCTTACAAGTCAACACCTATGAGAGTTCAGAACTGCCATAAACTCCCAGATTGCCAAGTCAAGTGCTAGCTATATGCACGTGTGCTGCTTTTTGAAGCAAACGCATGCCCCTGCTAGTAATGATATCAGTTCCAACAAGTAGGGGGCTTGATACCCATATCCGCAGGTCGACATATTCCAAGCCTCTCATCCGCGAGAACGGATAGAACAGAGCCGCGAAAGCTCTCGCATCTGTTAAGATAATCCTCGAGCCTTTCATCGGTAATAGCATATCTCGCGGGCTGGTCATCCGTAGCCTCTGTGATAGTGTTCTCAGCCAGAATGTCGATGTCTTGGTCCAGAAACCGGTAGCGGCGCTCCCTTTCAGTGGGAAAACCCCTTTCGATAAGAAAGCGAGGTCTAATGTGAGGCTTGCTGCTCTCTGCCTCTAGTAAATGCTGGGCGCGAATAGCTTCCGGCATTTCATTCTTCCAACGAGAGGGAATTGCTTTGAAGATATTTTCGATCAGATACCTCAGATTCACTTCCGATATGACGGTCACTCCAGTCTTTAGGAACAATCCAACCTCTGGTTCGCCGTCTGGATCACCACTCCTCATCAGGCTATCGAAAGGCAAGTATTTAAAAACGTAGTGGTCTTTGCCGCCTGCGCTCTCGTATATGGTCGTCCAGTAGACAGCAGTCCGTTTGTACAGATCCGGTGCTCTTTTCAAAGCAGCCAACAGCATACGCATATGCTCACCAGTCACATCTCCCCTGAATAGCGCGCTAATGCATATTTTGATCGCGGCACTCAAGGTCGATTCGTACGGCGCATATAATTCAGATCGCCACCAATATTGAAAGCAGGCATTGAAGAGGCAAATGTCGATGGAATTCATGTCAACGCCGAGGGTCGAAAGACATTCTTCGAGATCTAAATGCTTCCAAATGTTGCTGAAGCTGTACTCGTCCTTGAGACTGTATCCTCGCATGACTTCCCGTAGCAGGACGGTAGCGTGAGACGCACCTCTGCTCTGCATGCGTGATTGTAGAACCCCTTTGAAGGCTGGGTCAGCGAAGAGCAGAACATCAAAGGACGGAGGCGGATACCAGTCTGGTCTATTATCCCATGATACCAAGCGAGCTGCAAAGAGGCTCTCGAGATCGCTCAGCAAGTTCATGACCATGACGCTCCGCGACGACGAATCCTGAGCCAAGAAACGGCCCAGTATCCAAACACAATAGTGCAGTGGGCCACCAAGGCATGTCAGATACTGGGTCAAACGATTTCCATATTCCAAAGTCCGAAGCTGGCACAGAATGAGGGTTGCAAGTTCCAGCTGTATGCAGCTTGTCTGGCTCTGTGCTATGATAGTCCTCCCAGCCTCGGACTGCACAAAGAAGTCAAGCAAGGTTCTATGCAGGAATTCCACCCCCGATGAAAGATGTTTCCTGAGTTGTGCGTATTCCAGTCTCACGCTCATATTGCGGACAACGCCGATGTAACGGTTAACAAGCAGTCCAGCTGTTTTGATGGGAACGCCCAACGCCACATCGGCACAGTCCTTGTCAATGTCCGAAACCGAGGGCTGATGTGAAGCGTTGAGCATTTTCCCTCTCAAGGATTCATTTCCGTCGAGCATGAGAATGAATGGGGTCATGTGGAATTCAAAAGAAAAGGAAACGCTTTGGACGAAGTCTTCAAGCAGCGCGTTGTGTGTGATGAGCAAACTGAAGTATCGAGCTGCTTCCTGTTGATAAATGGCCTTGTCTTCGCCAAGTCTGTCCCACATCTCCGCGTAAAGGTCCTCAAGCTCGGATGGCAGCTGCTTCAGGCGTGAATGGATCTTATCCTGGCCATCGTTGTTGCGCAGTCCTCTCTTTACACTTTCAAGCGCCAGGACGAGCCAAAGGAATACACCCTCAGCCTTGTCGACAAGTAGGTCTCTCAAGTTTTCCAAGTACTCTGACGGATATCTCTCGTTAGAAGGCGGCATTTCTGCCCGCGCATACTTCATCATATCATCCCTAGTCAAATCCTCGAGCTTGAATCCGTCATTTCGAGAGAACTTCCGTCGGAAGACATCCTCGCTGCGGCTGGAAATACACAGCTTGACATTATGCAGGCCAATAAGAGAATCAAGCCAATGGAGAGTCTTTTCCGTCTCTGCCGCTTCATCAAGACCATCAATAAGTAAGAAGACTGATCGGTTGCACTGCTTTAGTATGGAGTAAAAGACCGACTGCAACTGTGTGATTTCCCAGTCTCCTACCGTGTCTTGTCCTCCAGCAAATGGAAATTCCGACAATACATGGCCCACTAGTGTGTGGTCGCCGGACAGCAGTTGATGATTCAAAGAGCAGAGTAGCCCTCGGAGATTCTTTTGCAACGGGTTTCCCGGCTTCCAGAAGAAGTGCGAGACGGTCAGGGTGTTGGGCCTCCATCTCTCGAGCACTATTTGCGTCTTCTCGTGCTGAAGAATGAACTTCAAGAGCGTGCTTTTTCCAGAACCAGGCTTTCCTTGGATCCAAAAGACTTTTTTCTCAGACTTTAGCCAGGTGATGAAGCCTTTCCATGCTGTCGCGACTTTAACTTCTGGTACCTCCGTATCAAGCAAGTCCGTATCAAGCGAGTCCGTATCAGGTGAGTCCGTATCAGGTGAGTCCGTATCAGGTGAGTCCGTATCAATGGAGTCCGTATCAATGGAGTCCATATCAATGGAATCATATATCAAAGTATAGGTTGCCTCGTGAGCAGAAGTGAGTCCAGTGCGCCGAGCATTCATTGCATCATATTTCAGACTGCCGAGGAGACGCTCTCTCTTCGCTTCATTGACCGCTTCCGTTTGAACATCGTTAATCTCTTGCCTCACGCGGTCCTCGGACTGTTGTATCTGCTCCCTCGTCTGGGTGCCATTGCGAGTGATGAGATGGGCCATGTCTGTGTGCCCTGCCGCCATCTGGGTGATGAAGTGCTTCATGGTATCCGAAAGCTGAGTGAAGATTTCACGCCGCTGAAGCTCAATAGCGTCGGTCTTGGTACTACCGAAATAGCAATTTGAGTATTAGCAACAGGAAATCACGTTGTCACAATAAGAACATAAACTTCTCATTGGAGGCCTACCATAAACGGACCAGAATATGGGTCTCCAAAGTCTTCTGGTGTTTGCAAAACTGGTCGTAAAGACCCGTAATCTTTCTTTTGCCAAAGATGAACTTGTATCCGGCGATGGCAGCTCTCTTGTAGTCCCCAGGCTTTTGGTATTTGGTGACCTGTCGAATCTCCTTTTGTAGCTCTTCTGCGGCTTTGCTGCACTTTTGAGCTGTTGCAAAGAGTTCCTTTTCCTCCTTTGTCCGCTGCCGAACAGAGCCGGCAGAACGATTCATCTCATCCAGCAGGGCCTTGATGGATGTTGCGTTTTCTTCCATCTGGCTGTCAGCAGTTGAGCGGCCCTCGTAGACGTCTTTGCAGACGGTCAAAATTTCTTTGGTAAACGAGATGACCTGCATGATGCTGCAGACCAATGACAAAGCTTCCAATCCAGACATTTTGGTAGAGTGTTTCCTGTTCAACAGGGCGATAGGGCGGCCGGGAAGAATAATCGAGATGGACAGGGTTGGGTTTCGGGCGGGGAAGATGATGCCAAGAAGCCTGATTTCCGCTTCCAGAGCCGTCAACGATGATTGGAAGATGGCCCTTACCCTGTGCATGCAGTTCATCAATGGGCCACAATCCAGCATCCAACTGAAATGCTTGACAAATGGGGAGGATAAAGATATAACGGTACCTTGCAGTCACGGGAAAGCCTTACGGCGGCCTGAATAGGATGGAGCGGCCTAAGAAAAAGATATCTAAATAGACAGACGGCCATATAGACGGACATATAGCTAGGGTTACACCTGGGCGATGTTATTGATCAAAGAAATGTGATTGTACAATTAAAGTATTCTAATAAATAGTCTTATATCCCTCTCAAAAACAACGCTCTTGATATCTATGGGGTCACCGTAGCCGGGGAAGTAGTAGCCTTGGTAGAAGTAGCCTTGGTAGAAGTAGCCTTGGTAGAAGTAGCCTTGGTAGAAGCAGAAGCTCCGGAAGGACTCCAGCCAGGCAGATGCTCAGCCACCATGGCCAGCGAGGCACACGTCTGCGCAACACCGCCAACAACCGTATACTCCAAATCGGGATCCATCAGCGTCGCCGCACCGCTATCCTTGTCACTCACAAGGAACAGCTTGTTCAGCTGCCCCTTGATGTCGCAAACAAACGGATAAAACACGTTCTGCATGCTGTCCATGGGCACAAGGACCGTCGCCCCCGCGCTCGTCACCACCGGGAACAGCGTAATCATCTCGGCGCCGATGGGGATGGCGTCCCAGGTGCCCAGGCGGAGACGCGAGGCGCCCACGGCGGCGATGGTGCTGGGGAAGTAGTACATGATGCGGCTGTCGGAGTCGCCGATGACCAGAGGCCGGGTGGAGTCCGCCATGAAGGTGGTGCCGTTGGTGAGGAGGTCCATTGAGACGGTGCTGTCGGCTGAGGAGACGAAGAGGCTGCCGTTGACGTGCGGGTTGATGAGCAGCTGGCCGGTTGCGTCCTTGATGGTGACGGCGATGGAGTCGTGGGGTCCGTCAGGGGAGCTGGTGCTGGTGGCAGTGGAAGTGGCATCGGTCGCGGTGGCATCAGTCGAGGTGGCAGTAGAAGCATCTGTAGCGGTAGCCGTCACAGAAGCCGTGACAGAGGCAACCGAAGTATCCGTGGCAGGGTCCGTGGGAGTAGGAGAAGCCGTGCGAGTGAGGGTATCCGGCATGAGGATCGGGTGGACATTGCCACTGGAGGTTCCAGTAGCAGTTCCGCTCGCAGCTTCGGTGGCGGAGGCGCTCATCGAAGCACTCACGGTCAGCGGCGGTGCACGCTCAAGGAGATGAATCTGCCTCTTGTGCGACGAAGAAAGCTTTCTATAGCTCCAGATGATGTTGCTCGATCCCGCCGCGGTGGGAGTTCCCGAACTGAACATCATACACTCGGAGGTGCGGAGCCACGACGGGAACTGTGAGAAGAAGTTGATGCCGACGCAGTTGGCATCGGCCCCGCAAGCGTTCACGCAGTCACCGACGTTGCTGGTCGTTATGACGTTGTAGATGGGTGCCGAGAAGATCAGGTTGCAGTTGGCTTGGAACGTCGCGCCGGTTGCAGAGCAGGACTGTCCGTCGCCGGCGGGACAGCTGAGGGAGGCGCAGCTGGCGCCGGCGGGGGGCACGGCGGTGACGCCGCCTGATGGAGGAGCGACGGTGGTGGCAGGGGGGGCGATGGAGAGGCTCTCGCCGATGCAGCCGGAGGCGAAGACGGGGGCGTCGTACTCGTCCAGGGTGTACGTGCCCTGGTCGATGTCGGAGAGGTCGAGGACGACGGTGTTGACCATGCCGACGCTCCAGTGGATGCCGTAGCAACCGTCCTCGGGGTCGGTGTTGACCTCGCCGTTGTTGACTTCGTTGGTGAAGTCGTATTCCATGCTGGCTCGAACGCCGGGGGTATCGACAAGCTTAATCTCCTTGTCGTACTTGCCGTTAAGGATGTTGATGCCGAATCCGAGGCTCACAGGGAGACCGAGGGTAGAGTTGACCGTCAAGCTGCCATCAGCCTGGACCGTGTCTCGAATGTTGGGCGTCCAGCCCGACTTGGAGGAGCTGCGAGGGTTGAGCGCATCCAGCGTCGCCGAGAGGGAAGTCCATTGCATGTCAGCGCCAACAAGGTACTGTCCAACAGCGCTGATGTCCAGATCCACCGAGATGCCCAGCGACAGCACAGGTCCGATGACGAGGATGTCCGGAATAGACAGTCCCGGCAGGCCGAGAGACAAGAAGTCGTACTCTGCCTTGGGGTTCCACTGCGCAAAGGCATTCATACCAAGGTAAAGTCCGGCATCCAGGTTGCCGTTCAGGGAGAGCTGGGCCTTGGTGAGGCCGTTGATGAGGGAGAAAGACGCGCTGCCGACGAGCTTGAGCTGGCCGTCGACGTGGCAATCGACACACCAGAACTCGACGCTAGGCTCCGGATCAGCCTCGCCGATGACGACGCCCTTGATCTTGTCGAGGGCCGCGTCTTGAGCATTCCAGTAATCACCCTTGTTGGGGGTCCAGGTGTAGAACTTGAAGCCATCGCCCCAGGGAGAGTCATCCAGCGCGCTCTGTGGCGGCTTAATGCTCACGGGGAAGTCGAATGATCTGTCATAGTCACCAGTGATGATGAAGGTAGCCGCTGCCAACAGCCCCTTTGCAAAGTTCGCAGCCATATTCAGAATTGAGCTTCCGAGGTTGCTCAGGCTGGAGGCGGCATCTTGGGCAAGGCCCGTGGCCATGTTGGCGAGACTGTTGCCAATGGACTTGGCACCATCAGCGACGGCGTTGTATGCCTTGGTTGCGGTGTTTTCAACCCAGGCAGCGGCCTTGCAGGCAAATGAGGGCCAGCATCGGCGTTCGAGAAGGGCGCGGGCCTCCACGTCACTGGCTGAGACTCCGGGGATGACAGCGGCAAATGTAGCCTATGCAATAACTTAGTCAATCACGTTTGTCTGTCCGGAGGGTACGAGAAGGCACTTACATCGAGATCATCGTCTTCCACGGAATAGTAGCCCAGCTTGTTGTTCAAGCGCAAATCAAAGTCAGGACCACAGTAGATCGCCGGCAAGCCGTTGACCTCGTCAGTGTCAGGCACAGTACAGCCATACGTAGACGCAAGTTCCGGGTTTGACTCAAGCGTCGGCGTAGACGTCTCGATAACACCAAAGTCGACGCCAACCGCCTGGGCAATATCGGAAACCGTCTCGGTTGACCCAGAGCAGCTGACAGACTTGGCACCGTCGTTGAAAGAAATGTGGCTCGCCACAAAGTAGACGTAGTGTCCGTCTGAGCTGCAGCCGGGGTCGGCGGTGATGATGATGAGGTTGTCGCTGTCGCCTTCGGCAGCCGCCCAGGACTGCTTAGCGGCGTTGTAGGCGTCTGCGCCGTTGAAGCTGGCGGACAGGGACCCTGAGCCACACTGGATGTTGAGGATGTTGGCAGAGTTGTCCAGGATGACCGAGGGATACTCAAAGGTCATGTTGACGCGGACGGTGGGGGCGTTGACGGCATCCGACGCATCAGACGGCGGGGCTGTGCTTCCAAACCAAAGCTGGGAGACCTCCTTGGGCTTGATGACATCGGTGCTTGAAACATCGACGTTGGGGGGAGCAAGGGGGCGGAGAGTCACGGTTGGCTGGGCGGGGAGCTTCAGGGGGCCAGCCGGGATGTCGAGGCTGCCTGGAACATCGGTTGTGATGGTAACATCATCAGTGGTGGTGGTCTGAGCTGCACTTGACGTAGCATCTGGGACACTTGTGGGAGCATCCGAGGTGCTTGTTGAGGTGTTGTCAGAGTTGGACTCGGTCGCAGGCGCTGAAGCGGATGAGGATGTAGTAGCTGGGACATCAGTTGAGGTGTTGGAAGCACCAGAACTAGTGCTGGAGGAGGATGTGGTAGCCGGGGCATCAGTTGAGGCGGTGGTAGCAGCAGGGCTTGTGGTAGCAGAAGAGCTAGTGGTAGCTGAAGAGCTGGTGCTAGAGGAGGTGACAGCAGAAGTGCTGCTTGAGGCAGCAGCACTGGTAGAAGTCTGAGAAGACTGAGAGCTGGTTGATGTCGACGACGCTTTGGTGGAGGTGGTGGAGGTAGTCTTCGAGGTAGAAGTAGACGTAGTAGTAGTCTTCTTAGTAGTGGAAGATGTAGTAGTAGTCTTCTTGGTGCTTGAAGACGTAGTAGTCTTCTTCGTAGAAGTCGACGTAACCTTGGTCGACGTCTGCGGCAACTTGCTGCTCAGCACAGCAACCTGACCATTGGCCCGCGCCGTAGCCTTGCCCACCGTCTTCTTCAGCCAGCACTCGCCATCGTGATAAGCAGCAGCAACACAGCCATTGGTCTGGTCACACCATGTGACGCAGCTGTTGAAGCTTTGGAGCTTCGCCGTAGCCATATCACCACCAGGCCGGTCGACGTTGCAGGCAACCGTGAAGCTTCTGCCGCTCGACTCCTTGATCTGCTTGCCGCTCAGGCTAGGGCAGAGGGACGGCGGAGGGTTCAGTGCCGAGTCGAGCACGGCCACCTGGCTGTTCGTCCGGAAGGTAGGAGCAGTAACCTTGCTCTTCAGCCAGCAGTGGCCGTCGTGGAAGACGGAGGCAACACATCCTTTGAACTCGTCACACCAAGCAACGCAGTCTCCAAAGTTGGCCACGGCCTTGTTCGACAGGTCACTGCCGGGACGGTCGGCGTTGCAGAAGACGGTAAACGTCCTGCCGCTCGTCTCCTTGATCTGCTGGCCGCTTGGGCCGGGACAGAAGGCCGGGCCGCTGGGCACCAAGGAGCTCAGCACAGCAGTGCTGGCCCCTGAGACGGCGACTGCGGGCTGCAGTGACTTCTTCAGGTAACAGGTGCCAGAGCGCCAGCTCGCAGCCACGCAGCCCGAGGTCTCGTCGCAGAGGTTGATGCAGTTGGCAAAGTCCAGCGTCTGGACGGACTTGATATCGCCATGGGGATGGTCGACGCCGCACTGGACGGTGAAAGTCCGTCCATCGGGGCCCTTGACCCGACTGCTGCCGTCTGCAGGGCAGGAGATAGGCTTGGGCACATATTGAGAGCGAACAGCGTTGGTGACTTTGCTGTTGGCGACGGCGGGCTGGACGGAAGACTTGAGCCAGCACGTCTTGCCCGAGTAAGACACGGCGCGGCACGAGGCCTGGGTCGAGCATACGTTGATGCAGTTTTGGAGGCTGTTGGCGGTGACGGACTTGTAGTCTCCGCCGTGGTGGTCGAAGCCCGTCTCTACGGCGAACTGGACGCCATTGGGGGCTCGGTATGTCGAGGTGGATCGGGCGGCGATCTCGTTGCTTTCGGCAGCCGGGATCGCATGACCCACGGCCTCTGTCGCCAGGAGGAGAAGCGCGAGGAAGGGACGCATCGCTTCTCAGGACGGAAAGCCGTTCGTTGAAGATGGGTTGACGAAGAACTCAAGAGTCCCAGGTGCCGGGCCCCTTGATATCTACATCTCAACATCGTCTCCCATATGGAGATCAGGAGAAAGAATTTCTCATACCACGGAGTACACCGTCCGGCAATGTGCGAGAATGAGCCCATTTTCCGTGAGAAGCATCACGGGACGTGGGAGGAAGCGTCGAGACTATCGATCAGCGCAGTGTGTGTGTTTGAGGCTATCGTGAGGATAGCGCCCAGACTATTGGTAGGTTCCATACGCCTATGACCAATTCCACCCAGCTCTGCATGAGCACTGGCCGAGCTGAAGCAGCTGCCGTTCTCCACAGAGTGGCTGTATCTGGGCATATTCCAGACAATGGGCCCATGAAGCTTTCAGTCAAGCTCCCAAGCCTCTTTCGGGGGCCGTCCCGACCGTTCCTGGATCAATCTAGAACCATGGGCGCCTCCCGATCTCGCCCCAATCGTGGCGCAGAGCGTCGTCGGGCCAGACCGAGGGATGGCAAAGAGGCCCAGGGACGGAGTTTGCGGGTGCCAGCACATGAAGGAAGAGATTTCCGTGGGGCCGGCCTTGGGTGCGAGGCAGCTTACTGGTGGTTGCCTTCGTACTACTGGCGGTAGTCGTTTGTTAGTAGTTGATTCAGTGGGCGAGCCATGTCGAATCGAGATGTTCGCCGAGTCTCGATCGGCTTCAGCCAGCCTCGATTTCGAAAAGCTTATACTCGCGGGGACAGGGGTTCGGGGGAGGCAAACCACATGGCATATTTCCAACAATTGCAAGGACTTGCCCTTCATAGCACTCCAATGATAACATTCGGATAGTCATGTCCACGTTGAGCCACTTATCGTTGTAGACTCTCAAGCCCGGAGGAGGCGTCGCGCTTATATAGTTGGCGCGACGCCTACCTTATTATTAGACATACGCGAAGCATATATCTAACCTTGATGGGCCTACGTTACAGGTGGCACATAATGGAAAGCGCGAAATGATTCAGGCATCTCTTTGAACGGGCAATTGTGAGCCTATTTTTGTCTTCTATGCTCTACAGCTTTGTAGTTGGCTTTGCCCCCAGGGAACCCCCGTTTCTGCCAGGTCGACAACATTTTCATAGTATGTCAAGTCCCAGGGAGAAGATGAGAGACCTGGTCGTACCCTAGTAGGCTCCTTGTAGCTACTTTCTTCTAGTTGTCAGTCCCAACCAATAGGCGTCTCTGCATGAGTATCATCCATGGGTTCTTTTCTCCCTCCCAGCAAATGACAAAGCAACTGTGATGGCTATTTGGTCAAAGCGAATTGTTTATATATACCTGTATGATCATGACACAAGATGCAGTGTATGAGGTACTCTGTCAAAAGCCGCCAATGCTTTCTCTAAATTCAAAACTTTCCAGACCACCTATTCCAGCAAAGGCCCGAGAGTGACGCGTCTAAATGACATGTAGTCGTTACTATTGAACTGTTCCGCCTTGCTCTAGAATCCCAAATCTATCAAATCATGAAAGTTTCTCAAATCATGGAGATCCTTCATATCGTGGATTGCTTTTGACCTGCGAAACAGTCTCTTTGACGGGAGCTTCACCGTCTCCCACTGCCTCGACGCCAGTTCGTCCGCGTACGGCCGTCGTTCCCAGACATTGCCATCATCTGATTCATTTTGCTTCGCAAATGTCGCCATTGCCATGGGGATTCCTTTAGGAGATCGGCCCGCTACTTCCTTTGATTTCTTCTTACCAGTCGATATCGTTTGGATGGTCGAGTGAATGCCCTTCGTCTGAGATCCCGTCGCCTTTAGCACCTCCTCTGGCAGACGAACTCCTTGCTCCCACCTAAAGTACTTGGATCCGTCCCAGAGTTTCTTCACCGCCTGTAACTCGGTCCTATTGTCGCCGAAATATGCCTCCTCGTGCTGATGGCATGCCAATGCTCTGTCTGGGAAGTTGATGAAGGCGGCTTTCCCCTCTAGAGACCAAGACCGCAGCTGCTTCTTGAAGTTGTCGAGGAACTCCTCCATCTCCTGCACCAGAAATTTTTCAAAACACTGCAGTGTGATGTATGTATGATAGACGCCGTCGCGCCAAAAGAATGCCGTATCTGAAGGTTTCCTGGAAGCGGCTTGCCCACCTGCGTGTATCCAAGTGACTTGCAGCAAACCACGCTCTCCGGTGAACTTCTCTCGAAATCTAACCATGTTATACTGGATGTTGACTGAGATATTTTCAAAAGCTTGTCGATCATTTCCGTCGAAGACAAAGGAGGCGTAGCTGTTATAGGATAGGTTCAACGGGAGGGACTTTCCAATCTCCTCTGACCACTGAACAACAAGCGTCTCATGCAAGAAGCGGGAAGACGCCTCTTCGAGAGACCTCCTTTTGAGCTGCGTTGCCAGTGGCACGGAAGAAATGGTGTCGTCAATGACCTTGTCGAACTCTGCTTTACCGCCATTGTGATAGACAAGGAACCTGATGGCATCCTTACTCTCCTGGAGATCGCACAGCCACGTGCTGTCAATGGTGAGCTCTTTCGGAAAATCCGCCGTATAAAACTGCGACATTGTGGCGGCGTATTCATCAGCCTTCCTGGGATTACTCGTGCTAAAGTCCGGGTGCCAGGTGTATCTGCCGGCCACGATTCTGTCGCCGCGGAGCCTCTCGATCCGCAGCTTCATCTCAACGACGACTCCAAAGTTGCCACCTCCTGCGCCGCAGAGCGCCCAGAAGAGCCTGCCTTTGCCAGATTGAGGGTCGTCGCTCTTCTTGACTTTGACCTTGTCTCCGCTGGCAGTGACAATGGTCACCTCCTCCAGGCTATCGCAGCCCATTCCGAAGCTTCGTGTAAATGGGCTGAGGCCGCCTCCCAGGATGAAGCCGCTGACTCCCACTGTTGGGCATCGTCCTCCGTTGACAATATAGCCGTCAATTTTCTTATTCACAAATTGCTTGTAGACGTGACCCCATTGCGCGCCACCTTTGACAGTCGCAAGCTTTGTCTTCATGTTGAGCGTCACGCCGTTCATCTGCATCAAATCGAGCGAGATGCCCTTTTCGGCGGTGGAGGCGCCCGAGTATGAATGGCCGCCATTCTTGATCGTGATGGGAATACGTCTTATTCTGGCCTCTCGAACGACAAATTGAACATCGGATGCGTTCCGAGGCTGGACAACGCAATCGGGCCTCGCAAAGCGGTAGAAGAGGTTGACCGTTGCAACTGATCGCTCGTATTGCGGCTCTCCAGGCGCGAAGACTGGTACCTTTTTTTCTTTCAGGGTCTGGATCAATTCGCGAATGTCGGCCATTGTATCGCTCTCAAACTAGACCAATGATCAAGTTCAAAAGGAAAATCTGCCCGCAGTCGAGGGGAATTAATCGCACAGAATTTCTTCGATATCGCTGTGCCCTCGGTCAGATATCGGACGTGATATTGGCTAAGAACAGCCCTAGCTTTTCCGAGAAGATAACCCAACAAGGGAGGTCACACAATAGGTACATCCTTATAAGTTGACTCGGAAAAAAGGCTCTCGGATACTTGCTGTGAGAGGGGCAAGAAACTGGATGTCGAGTAACTGGATTGAGCCGCCAGGAGTCACAAGTGCCTGATCGGCTGCAGGTAGTACTGGAAGTATATGGACTTTTCAACGCTTCTGTCACTTGTCAATCATCTCCCTCAGTCTAGAGGTACCGTTAGATCAGCTCAATAGCAGGCTTCACTTCGTATCAGTAACTGGAGCATGCAATCACCGAGCCATTAGGCCAATTACATTGCCCGCCTCAACAAGAACAAGGTGTATTCTTCGTGATATCCCTGCTGCCATGTAAGTTTAGCACAGCAAATTGTAAGAAACATGATAGCAATGGCGAGTGGAACCGCATGCGTGAGGCCATCCGTGGACACCTGCAAACCCGAGCGATGGCTTCCTTTTTGCACGTCCTTTCCTCCTAATGGTTTCCCATCATGGCAGTTTATGGTATTGTTCATAGAGAAGAACAACAAATAAGATACTTAATCCTTTCTCGAGGCTCTCTTTTGCTCAAGAATAAGCATTCAAGGGCCAAGTTGTGGTCGAAGCAGGTACGTACCGCCCAACTAGCCCAGTTTCGGCCTGAGGCAACGAATTGCGCCGGTCCAAAAACTTCAAGATCCTCTTATCACGAACCGCCCGCCCTTGCGATAAACCGATAAAACGTCCAGTCAACTCACGATGCCTCCCCGAATACCATTTGCCAGCGCCTCGGCGTGCTGCAGAGCCGCCGTCAGCACTCCCACCGCCTCATTGACGACCTTCTTCGCCCGGCTGTCCCTGCAGCAAACCCGCAATGCCTCGATCCTGGGCAGTCTGGCCAACAACCCGGGCGCTGTGCACAAGAAGAAGCGAGTCGGCCGCGGTCCCTCGTCGGGCCATGGCAAGACGTCCGGAAGAGGTCACAAGGGTCAGGGACAGCACGGAAAGGTGAAGCCCTGGTTCCAAGGTGGTCAGACGCCGTTGATCGTGAAGCACGGCAGGAAGGGCTTCGACAACTTGTGAGCCTCCGAAGATGGGCGGGGCAGTTCTCTGCGGCCGCCACAGCTTGAAAGAAACATCTACTGACCATCATCAGCCGAGCGCCCAAAATTTCCGAGGTGAACCTGGACCAGATCCAGAACTGGATTGACCAAGGCCGACTCGACCCCACGAAACAAATCACACCAAAGGAGCTCATCGAGAGCAAGCTGATTGGGAGCGTCAAGGATGGTGTCAAGATTCTCTCCCGCGGCGGCGAGAACCTCAAGCAGCCCATCAACGTCATGGTCTCAAGGGTCTCCGCGGGGGCCATCGCCGCTATTGAGGCCGCCGGAGGCAAGGTCCTCACAAGATACTACACGAAACTGGCCATCCAGCGACTCTTGACCGGCGAGTCAGTCAACACAGATCGGCCTCTGCCTGTCGGCAAGGAGCACGTCGAGGGAATCTTAGCGGAGGCGAGAAAGGGCCCCTTCCGATACAGACTGCCCGACCCCACGAGCCGTGCCGATATCGAGTACTACCGAGACCCGGCGCATAGGGGATATTTGAGCCACCAGCTTGCTCCAGGCCAGTCGCCCAGTTTGTACTTTAGGGTGCCTGGCGTGCACAAGGTGAAGAGCGCGGTGAAGACGGACAAGAAGAAGGCGGAGGAGACGCTGTGGTAGGGGGGATGTGGTGATATTGGCGGTGGTGATGTTCGGCTTGTGGCGCATAGAGAGGAGTGCGCTGTATGAAAGGTTGAATAGAGGATGATGGAGCATGAGATGTACAATATATGACGATCCTGGCATGATCCTTTGGCCCAGCACGGTACCCGGATTTGATCCATGCAAAGGTGTCGAGGTTGGCTATGAGCCGGAAACGATATTGTAAGACCTTTGACGTGATGTTTCTTCCAGATAGGCTCTTTTGATACGTCAAAGGTCTTGAGAATACATAAGTGCCGTTGTATATACTGTATTCTCTGTCCAATTGCAGTCCACACTGCAGCATTTATGCGCTCCCCGTCTCCTGGATGAAATTGATGGTGTCATCGATCCCATATAAGCCATGACGGTGCCACGACATCCAATGTCTAAACTTGGCTCAGCCTTCTCACCGTATCACCCGTCATGCAGGGATTATTTCTTCTTCTCTTTCTTCTCTTCTTCTTCTCTCTTTCCTTTTCAACTCGTCGCCCTCGACTTTTTCTCCTCCTTTTCTTCTTCCTTCAAAACTGCGACCAGGAATCCTTAGCAGCGCCTGGAGCTCTGATCCCCACGTACTGCCCGGCGCCTTACAGCGGCTGTTTAGCGCCTGCAATCGCCGCTGAGCGCACAGTGACCGCTGTAGCTCCAATTGCGGGTTCGACAGCACTCCAGGTCAACACTAAGCCAACTTGGATCTGGACCTCGTAACTGCTGCGACATCAACCAATCTCGCCTCCTCCAGACGACTCCTCCTCGCCAACCCCGCGACACGCAATCGGCATCCCGCTTCTCCGTCCTTTCGCTCTTTTCTCTTGCTTCTTTTCTCTCTCTTCCTTCTTCATTCCTCTCCTGTGAGGCCATCCACTGTGCGCGTCGCCTCCAAAATAGGCCCAGCGACTCCACCGCAGCATGTCGCTCTTCGGGGACGAGCCCACCGACAACGGCCCAGCCCTGGGCTCATCGCCGCCTCGCCGCTCGGGAGCAGCAGCCAGGGCGGCAGGCGGTCTGTTCGACGACGAGCCCGCGTCCGGCCGCAACTCGTCCAGCCTCTTCGACGACGGCAGCGGCGCCTCGTCGCCCTGGGACATGCCCACGCCGCGCAAGCAGCAGAGCCGTGCGGAGCTGATCCGCAACCTGCTGCCGGCCTCGGACGTGCCCGACAGCTACATCGAGACCTTTGATGCCGTGGTGCGCGAGGACGGCCACGATGGCCGCGTCACGGCCGCCGGCATCGCCAAGCTGTTTGCCGTGGCGAGGCTCGAGGCCGATGCCCAGGCGCGCATCATGTCGCTGGTGGCTCCGGGAGGATCTGACGTTTCATTATCGCGCAACGAGTTCAACGTGGTGCTGGCGCTCATTGGCCTGGCGCAGGAGGGCGACGACATCAGCCTCGACGGGGTGGACGAGCGGCGAAGAAGTGAGTAGAAGACCATTGGAGGCACTTTTTCCGTTTTCTTCTTAAGACGGGTATCATGAGATGGAGATGCACGATTCGTCTATCAGACCGCTTTTGCCGCCCCAGCTCTCCCGATTCTCGATTGCATGCTCAGCACTGGATCAATGACATGCGTAATCCCAGCAGAAGAAGGCGAACCAGTCGTTGCCATTTCATTTGATGCTCTTCGAAGCTTCCCTGAATTACCGCTCGCTGGAGTAGTTGGCTAATATCTCGCCTTGCTTAGGTCTCCCTCGGCCCAAGCTGCCCGGCCTGACCGCCGAACCCGTCATGCCTCCGCTTGCTGAGCTTGCCGCAAAACCACCACAAGTCCCATCCAAGCATGAGCCAGAGCCAGAGCCAGAGTCAGAACCTTATAAGCCCGAACCTCAACCACAACCTCAGCCCCAACCCCAGCCAGAGCCAGAGCCGCAGCACCAGCGCGATCTCCCGCCCGCCTCCTCGAGCATCCTGAGCAGGTCGACCATGGTTGACCCCGACGACGATCCGTGGAGCACACCAGACCTGCACAAGGGCCACACTCACTCTCAGGGCGGACAAGAGAGTCACGCGGCCGCAATCAATGGACATAACCACGGCTTTGGCCAGGATGCACCTCCCGCCTTTGAGCCACGCGCTACGGACCATTACAGCGCGCCCCCCGAGCCGATCCGCCCTCCCAACCGTCCGCGGCAGATCTCGAGCGGTTCCTTGTCAGGTCAGGGAGCATGGGGAGGTGGATTCTACGGCAGCTCGCCCGGTGGAGGCGGCTTCAACGACGCGCCCCAACATCAGAACCCGCCGCCCATTCCCAACATCTTTGGAACGGATGGTGCTGGTCAGATTGGTGGAATCGCCCCGGCTCCCATTGCTCCGTCCCGGAGTCTGGGAGGTCGCATCGGAAATAGCATGCAGGAGAACGTCGTTGTCACTCTCATGCCCGGCAAGGAGGGCATCTTCATGTTCCAGCACCACAACTACGAGGTCACCAGCCTACGGCGTGGGAGCAAGGTGGTTCGGCGGTACAGCGACTTTGTCTGGCTGCTGGACTGCCTGCACAAGAGGTATCCGTTCAGGATGCTACCATTGTTGCCCCCTAAACGGGTCGCTGTGAACGGGAATCACCTCTCCAACGACGGTTCCTTTATCGAAAAACGACGACGGGGGCTGGCCAGATTTCTCAATGCCATCGTACGGCACCCAGTGTTGAGCCAAGAGCAGCTAGTCATTATGTTTTTGACAGTTCCTACAGTAAGTTGTGTGGTCCAAGGGCGGATGGTGAGAGAAAACCGCGAGGGAATCTGGTTTTTCTAACACAGCTGCAGGAACTCGCCGTGTGGCGAAAGCAGGCAACATTTTCTGTCCAGGATGAATTCACCGACCGACAACTCCCCCCCGGCCTGGAGGATTCACTGGCCCCGTCCCTTGAGGACCTCTTCCTCCGAACACGCAACGGCGTCCGCCGATCTGCCGAGCTGTACATCAACGCGTGCAACATCATGGACCGCCTCGTCAAACGAACAGAGGGCGTCGCCGCCGACCACGCCCGGGTGGCCATGACGCTCATGTCGCTCACGGAAGCCTCTGCAGACACTTATGCCACCGACACGAGCGAGATTCCGCTGCTCAACGACGGCTTGACGGCCATGAGCAAGCATCTGCGGACCTGCCAGACTTTGCTCGAGGACGAGAGTCGGGGCTGGGATGAGGGTGTGCTAGAGGATTTGAAGCGGCAGCGCGACGCCCTGGTCAGCCTCCGGGAGCTGTTTGACCGGAGAGAGCGGCTAGACAAGGACAACATTCCGTACTTGGAGAGGAGGATACAGGCCAACGAGACGAAGCTGGCCAACCTCCGAACAAAGCCAGAGGGTCTAGTCAAGCCAGGAGAGATCGAAAAGGTGGCAGAGTCCATTATTAAGGTGTGTTATACTCTCCCTCATTCTCCTGCCAAGGGAATACGCTAACGTTTGTGGGACAACCAGGACAAGGAATCCATCGTCCAGCAGCACAACCGGTCCATCTTCGTCAAAGAGTGCCTCCGCGACGAGCTCATCACCTTCCAGTCGACGCAGTACCACGTCAGCAGATGGAACCAGGACTGGGCCAGCGAGCGCGTCAAGTACGCCGAGATGCTAGCCGACAACTGGAGACGTCTCATGGATGCTCTCGAGGGCATGCCGCTGGGCGAGTAAATGAGTCGCGGCGGAGTATGAGAATTGAGCTACAGGAATTTCTTGGAGACGGAAGTACGAATACGAGTTTATGTGCGTGTATATAACGAATGTGTTTTATGCCATGAATGTAGGATAATGAGGGGAGCAGAGAGAAGAGGCAGCGATGCTGGGGTTCATGTCATTGGGTTATTGAGCGGGTTTCAAGAGAGCAGCAGTCGAGGCACGATACCCTTGGTTTCTTTCCTTTTCTCATATTTTTCCTCCATTATCGTCTTTTTTTTTTTTGTTATATGCAAGTTTGGTGAGCATGAGGTTCGTTTTCCTTCCCTTTTCCCTTGGCTAGCAGGATGGAGAGCATGTATACAGCGCAAGGATAAGGGAGAGCTACAACCACCGTTGCAATGAAGGATCATACATGCACGACCCAGCAGCAGACACACTTACGACTTGATCTTGTTTGTTCATTTCATTCATCGAGAATACAGCATCATCTTCACCATCTGTCCGTCACCGCGCCGTGGCTCGCATCGCCCACCAGTCGCGCATACTTGGCCAAGACGCCCCTCTTGACCGGCGGCTCCGGTGGCGTCCACTTCTTGCGCCTCTCCTCCATCTCCTCGTCTGAAATGGCCACGTCGATCCTGTTGGTGACGGCGTCAATGGTCACCTCGTCGCCATCCTGGACCAACGCAATGGGGCCTCCGACGGCGGCCTCGGGCACGACGTGGCCGACGATGAAGCCGTGGGACGCGCCGCTGTACCGGCCGTCGGTGACAAGGGCGACGTTGCTCAGGCCAGCGCCCATGATGATGGCGGACGCGCGCAGCTGCTCGGGCATTCCCGGCCCGCCCTTGGGGCCCTCGTAGCGCACAATGAGCACGAGGTTGCCGTCGTCGCGGGTGATTTTGCCGGCGATGAGCGCGGCGTCGAGCTCGTGCTCCTTGTTGAAGACGCGGGCCTTGCCGGTGAAGGACAGGCCCTCCTTGCCGGTGATCTTGGCGACGGCGCCGCCGGGCGCGAAGTTGCCCTTGAGGATGCGGATGTGGCCGCTGGCCTTGATGGGGTCCTCGAGCGGGCGGATGATTTGCTGGCCGGGCTCGAGCGAGGGCCAGTCGGCGACGTTTTCGGCGAGCGTCTTGCCGGTGACGGTCATGATGGAGCCGTCGATGAGGCCCTTTGCGATGAGCATCTTGAGGACCGAGGGCGTGCCGCCGACCTTGTAGAGGTCCTCCATGAGGTACTTGCCGCTGGGGGCGATGTCGGCCAGGAAGGGCGTGCGGTCGCTGGTGCGCTGGACGTCGTCAATGGTCAGGGGCACGTCGGCGGTGTTGGCCATGGCGAGGAAGTGCAGCACGCCGTTTGTCGAGCCGCCGAGGATCATGGTCAGGACGAGGGCGTTTTCGAAGGCGGCGCGCGTGAGCAGGTCGCGCGGGCGAATGTCCTTTTCCATGGTGACCTTGATGACCTCTGCGGCGCGCTCACACTCGCGGGCCTTTTCGGGCGAGACGGCGGGATAGGACGAGGAGCCCGGCAGGGTCAGGCCCATGGCCTCGATGGCCGTGGCCATGGTGTTGGCCGTGTACATGCCGCCGCAGGCGCCTGCGCCGGGACACGCGTGGCGCTCGATGTCGTCCATGACGTCGGAGCTGGAGCGGCCGGGGGCGTCCGGGTTGGTCTTTGCCTTGAGGGAGCCGTAGTGGTAGGCGCCCGAGGCCTCGTAGCAGCTCGAGATGTTGATCTGGCGCTCGAGCAGGCTGGAGTGGCCCTTGCGGATGGTGCCGCCGTAGATCATGATGAAGGGGCGGTTGTGGCGCGCGGCGGCCATGACGACGCCGGGCATGTTCTTGTCGCAGCCGGGGATGGAGATGTTTGCGTCGTGGTGCTGCGCGCAGGTGACGGACTCGATGGAGTCGGCGATGATCTCACGGGTCTGGAGGGAGAAGCGCATGCCTAGGGAGGGAGGGGGGGGGATGTTAAGATTTCTTGTTCACATAGGTAGGAGTCTATTAGCGAGAATAATACTGACCGTCGCCGCCCATGGTGATGGCATCAGACACGCCGACGGTGTTGAACTGCCAGCCGAGCATGCCCTGCTTCTCGACGGCTCGCTTGACGATCTGGCCAAACTCGAGCACTGCGCGATACGTGTAAGTCTTATGTGTCCGTGTTTCGTCTTGTCCTCGTCGTCTTCGGAGCTGCTCGACCGAGAGGCTCATCGTCTGAATTCTCGTCACTTACAATGTGTGCTAAAACACCAACCCAATTAGTCCTCAAGCTCTCATCAAATCCAACAGATCTCGCGGAGCAACGTACTTGCATGGATTTCCCTCCCACCAGACACTCGCAATGCCGACGTGCGGCGCCGTCTTCATCGTCTCCTTGTCCGGCACTCCAGCGCCGTACAGCATAGCCTTTGCAACTGCACATCAGCCTCGCCCATTCATCTCCTGTAACCCAATTCGGCAGAATCATATATGTGTAGAGGTTGTAATTGAAAGTTTACGCACCTGTGCTCCGGGAAAGTCATGGTCCTTGGTGATGCGCCGTGACCAGCGGTTCAACGGGCCTCCGGGGGGCAGACACGGGAACTGGAGGTAGTCGGGGGAGGACTTGGGATCAAAGGCCGGCTCGGCGGTGCTGGAGGCTTCTTGTTGCGACGCCATTGCTTTTGGTGTTTTGTGTGTACGTGGGTTTTCTTTGCTGTTGGAATTACTCTTTTAGTGAAGTTGAAAAAGCAAGCTCCGGCACAGGGAATGAAGGAGGGGGTTTAAGAGAATGAGGGGTGATGAGGAGAGAGAGGAATGCCCCGCGGGGAAGCTTTGCTTCTTTTATGAGAAAGGAAGACTTTGGGGAAGGACGAGGCAGAGAGGAGGGAGGATCACAACAGCTGATTCATGATTCTGCTTTGTCTCCCCAGATGTCCCCCACGGAAGGGGCTTCGATCGAACCCGTCTTGCAGCTCCGGACCGTCGTTGGGAGCGATTCCGGAGGCTGTCGGGCTATTACTTTATGCCCCTCCTTCTGCTCCATCCCCCATTGAAAGTTGCATCAGGTGGTGAAGATGTCACCGGGGATCGACTGTGTGCATGTATGCTGCGCGAGAGCGAGGGCAAGGGAGTACGAGAAGAGAGAGATGCATCAACTCACCCAATTCAACGACCAGACTCTGTCCGCCCTCACAGAAACTCAACAACAATATGATAACAACACACAGAGAAAAGATGTTTGGAACAAAAAAACACAGCAAAACAGCTGCTGTTCAACCTCCGTCCAGCTCCAGCTCCGGCTCCACTCCCGCCTCCGCACTCCTCCGTCATCGTTCCAAACTCTCAACTCCCTCGGCTTACAATACACCGTACCGCAGTAGCTAATAGATACTTGATCAACCAATCCTGATCTATCATATAGAATACTATAGCAACTGCTGCCCCAGTACTTTTCCCACACTCAGCCTAATATGTACAAAACTCTATGCAGCAAGCGAGTCAAGATAGTACCTATAGTAGTACTAATAGTACTTCGTCCCCTCTGGACCCCTTCTTTTGCGGGGAGCAGCCGAAGCTCAAAGCGATCCGGCCGTCGAATCGCGTCCCTCGTTTTACTCACCCGCGACGGGGTACCTGTACGTACCCCAACACCGGCATCAACGCCGGCATTACAGTATAGTATGTGCATGGAAATAAAGCCCATTCTAGCCGCAGCTCTTCTGCGAGATGCTTGCAATCTGGTTGATCAGGTAATTGATCGACTGTTACCAGTACCAGCGAGCTAACAAGGCATTCTGAGCGAGAGAACGGGTCCTTGTTCAGCCGACGACGGAGCTGCTGAGGCTTATACGAGGCCGCCAAGCAGAATAGCACACGATCTTGCTGCTGGATCAGATGAGCTTCTTCCTCGCTTCCCTTGCCTCTCAGAATGGAGTCTTCATTCATTTTCATTGACTCGGGTTTAGCCTAAACCCGCAATTGGCCAATCGGAAGCGGATACATATACGGCGGACTCTCCCCGTCGTCCTCCTCTGCCGGTCACTTTATATCCAATGCCGGCAGCCTTGCAGAGAAAGTAAACCCAATATTCTACTTCAACCACCTTGTGGGCACTTTGACTGCCATCAAAGCCCTCCATCTAGTACTACTTCTCCTCCAGCTCCTCCGTTTCAGCAAACGCCCAAACCCCAGAAACTCCCCCCTCCCCAATCGCCATCCACGGCCCAGCGCCCTGCCGCAAACGTGCAAAACATGCAGCGCGTTTCAGAAACCCCAGCTGTCAAACTCATATGCCCTCACCTTCAGAACGCAAAACAAGGGCCCAGAAGGGATGAGTAAGAATGAGTAGGAAAACAATTGCCCAACTACCTTGGGGGCAGTTTCTGTCTGTCTGCCCTTATCCGATCCCATCACTCCACCATTCCTGCAAAAATCTTCAAGAGAGTCAAAAGATAAAAGGCAAAAGTGAAGGAGAAATACCATGAACAAATCCCATCTCTAGTCTAGGAACTGAAGAAGCGACAAAGGAAAGAATTACATATATGATAATAGGTATAAATAAAAAGTCTCAAAACAATCGCAGCAAAAAAGAAACGTCAACTTTTCTTCACCACACACATCACCACCGACTCGGCGACGCGTCCGTCAACAGCGACGCTATGCTCGTCCTGTCCTCCACGCTGTCCCGCCTCGCCGGCGCCTCGGGGCTGTCCTCGGGCGTTATGGGCCGGTCCGGCGTCGCCGCCGCCTTGCGCTGGCTGTCCCTCCACGCGCTCTCCAGCACCGCCGGCGACGCGTTCCAGCCGTAGTCCCGGGCGATGGCGTGCCAGAAGGCGTCGCGGTGCACGTCGTACAGGGCGTGCAGGCGGGTGATGTCGACGTGCGAGGGCGGGTGCGTCGACGTTGACGGCAGGGGGAAGCCCGGCCTCTCCATATGATGCTGATGGTGTTGTTGTTGCTGAGATGGGTAGTACTGCTGGTGCTGCTGCTGGTGAGGAGGAGGCGGCAGATGGCACAGCTCCTCGTGCAGCCGCGGCAGAGGGCGGGATCCTGCCGTCTCACCCACCATGGACGACGGCCGCGGCAGGATGACGGGCAGCGTGGGAGGAGACGACGCCCAGGCGTCGACGATGCGCGGCAGCTGGACGTTGTCCCCAGACGAGGCCGTCGACGTCGAGCTGTAGCTCTCGGCCCTCCGGTGCGCCGCCGACGACGACACGGAGCCCGTCGAACGATGATGGTGGTGCGCCGCCCCGGCGCCGCCGAGGATCGTGACCGTCATCATCTCGGCCGGGCGGCTGCTCATCGACGCCGACACGGGCGACGTCGTGGAGACGGAGTGCCTGCGCCGCGCGCTGCTGTGCGTGAGCTGGTGGTAGTGCAGCCGGCATGCGAGCTCCGTCTTCTTGAGGTTGGCCGCGATTTGCTTGTACGGCACCTTTTGCAGGCGAGTCCGGACGAGGTATTGTTCCTACGACGGACGTTTTGTGTCAGCTCTTTTCTGTTGGTTTGCCAGCAACGGGGCGTCTTGGACTTCCTTACCTCGGCCTCGCTCCAGGCTCGTCCTCCGCCCGTCATGATTGTCTTGCGGCCCTTGGTGACACCCTGCTCGTGTCGTTCGACGAACTCGTTCTTGGGGATGTAACCTGTCACCGTCATGGTATGTATGTGTGTGTGTGTGTGGTGTCTTCTATCAGGTGTAAGGTAGGTGTATATCGGTTATGCGATGATGTCGTCGGGGTATCCTTCGTGATCGTAACGCGTATTAAGCTTCTTCGGCAACTCCCAGTCCAGACGGTTGTGTATAAATTCGAGTTCCAGTAATGCAAGATATTAAGAGTCGAGTGTCCTCCAGAACGTTTTAATAAATCTCAAGCAATGTGAACCAGCCACAAGGGAGAGAGGAAGAGCAGATAGATGAATTGAAAAGGAGAAAAGAACCCAGAGGCAAGATTAGGACAGAAACACATAAACAGCCAAGTCTATAAATGAAGTGACATGGAAAACAATGACCCGGCCAATGTACCATCGACAAACAGGAAGTTCGGATGCTGGGCGAGAGAGAGAGAGAGAGAGAGAATTAGAAGAGAGGAAAAGAGACGGACATGGGGTGAGAGGGGGGGAGTGAGCAAGTATTAAAACGTGCTCACTCAACTTCTTTTCACTCACAACTCTAACAAGTAGTGACAGAAGAATAATTAATGCCCGTTGAGCCTGAGAATAAAACATGCGCACGACACAGCAGCGTTACTGGCAATAACAAATTAAGCAAGAAAGTTCAAAACCTGGCAGAAATCTAGCCTGTTGTGTACCCACGAAACCTCGATTTCTCAGGTTACAAGTTAGCGGTAGCGATGTGATCTGGCGCCGCCAGGGGACCAGGAGACCAGGGACCCTCTCCCGGGGGCCCCCCCTGGGGCCACACCGGACTGAACTTGCTCAGTAAGAGATCTCAAATCGTCTTGTGACAACTCCCGTAACAGCAGATTCAAACAATCCAACTAAGCATAACCACCTCTCCTCGGGCGGGTTGTTTCCTCGGTGCTGGGGCCCGGGGGCTGGGTTTGGGCCGGCCCACCAAGAAACACATTTCAAACATTGATGCAGGCCCGTGTTTGGGGCCCAGTACTAGGTCAGAGTATATAGGTCGAGACATAGGACTTCCGTAGTACATAGCATCAGTAGCTTGGGATCACGAGGTGACTACTAGTCTAGTATAAGGTGAGAGAGAGCTTTGAGACTTGCTTGTCTTTTCTCAAGTTGCAGAGGTCGGTTTTGTGGGGTGGCGCCGGTGGCTGTTTCGATGGCGATGGATTCGTTTGAGTCGTGGGGATTTGCTTCAAGTGTCAAAGCGATCATCCGATAGTGACACCTTGGCTTCGACCGTTGGAGCAGTATCTTTGTTTTTCATCTTTGGTAAACCTTGTTTAACTCTCTGGTCAGGGGGTCTTACAGTCTGTTTGATCCCACCTCCCGCGCTTAGATTACCACATACCGTATACCAACATCTTCATCTTCCTGCAAGCGCTGCATAGATCACCATCTATGTCAACTCAATCGCGCTGCACATCTCCTGAACAATCCCACTTATCAAGAAATCAAAAAACCAGCGCAATCCATCCTCGAGGTCCAGACCGTTCAACGCAGCCGCCCATGATGCAAGGAGCAAAACGTCGCCGTTTGAAGCCTGTTTCCATTCGTGAAACAAGGAGGCTTGGCTGCTTGTTTGCTGTCCAGCTAAGCGAACTGCCAGGATGGAAAGCAGAGCATAGCGGGCGCGCAGAGAGAGAGAGAGAGAGGGACCAATAGGCGCCTCCCCCCTGGTCCGGCTTCCCCAAGATGGGTCCGCGGTTTGGAGCAGTGCTTAAACGCTGGTTGACTGGGATGTTCGCACGGTCCATGCTCTAGTATCTAGACGGGAACAGCAATATGAGAAAAACAACAGATGAGGAAGTAGTAATATACTGTAAAGAGAATGTCGAACAGAAACAGCAAGTCAAAGTCGCAGTGTAAGTGGCCCACCCTCATCAAACCAGCCTCACAACTCCCAACGACGAACCACAACACCTCAGCTGTAAAGATTGGAACACTACTAACTGTACCTATGTAAACAAACAAAAACCCAATTCAACTCAACACAGATTCCTGCCTCCAGATAATACAAAACAAACCTCGTCTCTCCTCTCTTCTTCATCCTCTTCTCCCCCCATCCTTCTTCCCTCTCGGATGTAGTCTCCTTCCGGTGAATCGCCTCTGCCTCAGATAGCGGCCGGCATCATGCAGCCGCGTTTCAACCCTGCCCTCGAAACGCGCTAACACCGACTGGCGAAACTCCCCCGGCGACGTCTCTCCTCCTGCTCCTCTCCCAGTCGATTTCTTCACATGTTTTATCATTTTTCTGCACCGTTTCACGTCAAAGATTTCGTTTTATCAAAATCCCACGTTACTGTAGCATCTTTTGTTCTTCGAATCCCCGGCGCAATAAATGCAAACTGAAAAGAGCAGACTGGAAACGCACCTGGGACCGCCACTCAGACGGGCTGCTTCGGGGCCGAAAAGAAGCGTTCGGGAAGATTGACGGCAACTAAAGGATCACACGTGACAACCTATCTTCTTCATACTCGTTCCTATGCTCACATACCGAAATGTTTCGGAGGCCAAGCAGGTCTTCGGGCACTCATACTTGCCACAACTCCATTTTGAGGCTGGTATGCAGTCCTGGTCAAGTACATGCAACCACTGACCCTGAAGAACGCCGCATGTGAAGAGGTCTGATACAGTACGCATACACATACGCACAATAAACCCGGCCACAATGCAAGACATTGTCTCTCTCAAATGTCTCTCTTCCCGTTCCCTATCGTAAGACCTGCCTCCGCCAATGAGCCAGTTGAGAGAGAGCCAGCCAAAGCGGGCACAGCCGGAAGACAAGGCTCATTTCAAACACACGAATCCTTCCGCCCAATGAAGCCCAAGGGGGATTCTCCGGCTCTCTCTCTCTGAGAATAATATGCCCGGAAATCGTATGACATGCCGTCTGACTACCATTCGTCACCCGGAGAAATAGGGGAGTCTGAAAAATCACACAACAAAAGTAAGAATCATGTTTTGAAAAAAGGCCACGTCAAGAAGAGGCAAACATGGGAACTTGAAATTCTACAGTAAAGAGCTTTAGCCACATGGTTGTGCTGTGACCAACGGCTTTCGGTTCGTTCCGGACTTCTTTGAAGATCATCACATCCTGAAGCCTCCGGTTGTCTTGATGGGGTAACATGTACAAGTACATGTCTGGTTATGCCTCCCTTTCCACGTGCGTCGAGGGCGACATGGAAACCTCCGCATGGAGATGTAGCTGTACGGAGGACAGGAAGTACTTTCAGTTTCTTGCGGTACGGACATAACGAGGTACCTGAGTTCCTGGTATATCTGAAGCCTTTGTCTGGTAGAAAGGTATCCTTGTGCAGTCTTGATCAGGTAGTTGATGCTTCATCCAAGGATACGCAATAGACGGTCGTAATAGCGTAGCAAAGGCTCTTCACCACGAGGATGTGAGCACATACTCATAACCCGTACACGATTCTCCAAGGCTGACTCGCCGCGGCGTTTGATGTGATACATCACGTTTTCTCGTCATATTTCCCTCCTATAGATGGTCTTTGTCCTGTCCCTTTCGTCCAATAGCTGCTGCTATGCTCACAGCCAAAACTAGTACTACTACTACCAGTTTTCGACTATACTATATGTGATATCTTGAGCGCCTGCATGTCTTGGGTGCTCACGGCCGGGTAATTTGCAACTTCATGCTCGCACTCTATGTGGCGTGTCCGCATGATACTAGTAGTAGGTCTATAGGCAGCGCCGAATCGCTCGTGGAGTGCGACTTCATAATACCGCGGAGTGTACCAAGTACGGAGGATAGTCTCCTACCCATAAGCATCTCATCCCTTATCATGCATACACACATGCATGCCGTATGTAGCTCGTACTTGCGGAGATATCTGAAGCACCAATCTCTGCGGCTGCCTGCCTGCCTACCCTGCATTGCATGGCCGATATGCAGGCATCGTCCATCACGGAACGAGAAAAAGCTGCATACTCGAGCATCCAATGTCAAATAGCATCCCATCGAGGCTTGATGTTGAAGGACTTCTGTAGACATTGCGGCTGTCTTGGAACGGCAGTGCATTCGAGTTCCGGGTAAATCCACCTCAGCCTCAGGGATTTATATGTTTAGGCCTGCCGTTGAATTAGAGCCAAACACCCGACATGCGATGCCACACGCCGCTCCGCTCATATGGCAATAAAGCGGAGGTTGGGAGCTCATCGGAAAGACGCAGCAGCTTAATAGCATATAATTGCAGACCTTACCTACTTGCACATGCAGCCGCTGGCGGTGCGCTTGCACGTTGATACCGCGCTCGTAAGACTCCATCTCGAGCGAGCCCTACCCGACATGGACGAGCACATGCAAGCTCTTGCAGAGATCGCTCGCTGGCATGCTCGAATCGAAGCATCGCCGGCCAGAACAAATCGGATCTGCTTCCACAGCGATGCCAGCGTCAACCGGTGTCTCCTCCACAGGTACATCTGGGCAAAGTCACCCAAAGACGTGAACGACGTCCAGACACTGGATCTGACCAAGGCATTGAGTACCTTGCCTTGTGGAGCCGCGATGCGGTGCGGCCCTAGCCTCGAGTTGAGCCAGAGGTATCGAGTACAGCTCGGCGAGGTACAGCCAGACAAGGCTAGCAGAATCTCATGTCGACCGTCCATGTTGATGCAAATGGCATTGGCGATTTGCAGTTCGCGCATGAGAGGCGCTGCAGGGGTTGGACATTCTGGAAGGCCGGGAGCACAAGGTGCAGCTGCTTCTCGGGCCATGCCTACCAAGAGCTACTAGCGCCGTTGATGCTGATGATGTTGACGATGATGCTGATGCTTCTGCCGCAAGTCGTGATTCCGTGCAACGGCCAGACAGGAGGCATCAAGACGCCATATGCTGTGCCGTGCCGTGTCCGTGTCCGTGCCGTGTCGTGTCGTGTCTGTAGCGCATGGAATCGTGTTTGCACCCTTCCTTGTTCTTGTGCTCTGTTTCCTGCCATGTCGAGCCGGGCTCGCTCATCGACAAGGCTGTGGCGGTCCATAAGGCCGCCTCTTTCTCTGCGTCCGTCTCTCCTTTCCCCCTTTTCTCTGTTTTTCCCGGGTTCCCCAGAGACGAGGCCATCGCGTATCACCGGAGCGTTGCTGGCACCTGTTCGCTGCATGGCATGGCAGGACATGACATGGTACTGTCGCATTTCACGCATGTCCAGCCGGGGCTCTCAGGCCGCTATGAAGCACACACACACTCACCCACTCACTCAACTCACTCACTCTCGCTCACATCGTCATCCCCGCTTTTCTCGGCTTCGCTCCAAGATTAGATTCGTGTCATTCGACAGGCCCGTCCTTGGCCCGCTTAAGCGAACGGTGGGAATGTTCTTCTCATCTGCAATAGGCGCGAGAGAGCGCGCTGGAGACGGTGCCTCGAAGAGAAGAAACCGGAGACAGAGAATGCGTCAGGCCAGAGAGAAGATAGAGACGAAGAGCGATGCCAGGAACGCGCAGCTGCTTTGTGATGGCCGCCGAATACGAAGCCGCGAGCAGCATTAGGCCTCCTCAGCCCTCGGGCGGCTGTGCAACTCGAGTTTGATACCTGGTCGTCGCACGGGTGCAGGCAGACAGACGCCTTGGTACCTAAAGCCCGGCATCTGAGGCCATTGATAGGATGTCCGCGCCGAATCAGCAGCTTCACAAGGGCTCAGTCGGTTCGTGCCACCTGCGATGCCCGTCCATGTCGCACAGGGACTGTCGCTGTGTCTGAGAGCGCGAGTCTTGCCAGTTGCTGCGCTCTCGCCGTGCCAGTACTCGGCACGCAGGTACCGCATACCTCGCGACCTCGCTACCTCATGCTCGTACTGCCATGGCTCTTCGTTACCTGATCCAGACGGAGGAGCTGCTGCAGCCGCCGGCCATGTCGCAGTTCGCAATCTTCGTACTCCCTGAACCCCCCTCCCCCCGGTTCCCATCACGCACGCGAACGCCTCCTGCGTGCACAAGTACCGCTACAAGGGCCGATACAGGCGATGCGAGCTTGCCATTGGCCCGCAAACCAAGGCACGTTGAAATGAGTGGCTGGTGCAGGAAGGCGCGAGGGCAATCAGCGGGCCCCAACGCGGTGCCGAAGCCGGGCCCTGATTGGCCGGATGCGCTGCCCCAGCAGTTCCCAACGTCCCTTCCCTGGCGTGGGTGTTCATTTCCACGGTTCTTTCCATCTTTTCGTCGGAAGCTGCTCTGTTTTGCTCACGGTCGTCGTCATGTACCGTAAGCGTACAGTAGAATGCACAGTACCAGCACTCGTTGGTCTGCAAGCGCTGTTCGCCGCTATCTCCCGATGCCGGTCACAGTACGAATTGCCTACTTCGCATCAACTCCAGCTCCAGCATCGCGAATCGTGCGTGCGTTGTGCCTGTAATACCGGCGTTCCGTCCTTGCCTGCGCCGTGCCTGTCCAAAGTACCTGCGACGACAGCTGCGACAGTCTCCGTACGAAGTACCTGTTCGCACCAGCATCTGCTCCACCAGGAAGCAGCCGATGTCTTTGTCTGCGGATGTGACGGTACTGGTACGAGCGTGGAGGCTCCAGTTTGGGAAGAACCAGTACAGGCGAGCCGTGCGTTGCTTCCAGCGTTGCCGAGCAGGGCCACCAAGCAAAGCAGCCAAGGGCAGCCTTGGGCAGCCGGAGCCTTGCGTCGTTGCGTGTGCCCGTAGCCCGCAGTACCTGCACGCCTGGCGCGCAGGTAGTGGTACAGCTGCTGGCTCTGGCTAGCGCTGGTGGCCCGTGCGCCACGCAAGCTGCTGCGGACTCCCGTGCTGCGAGAGAGGCCCCGCCCGTGGTGCTCGAGTCCGGGCACTGTGCTTTGTGCGATGCTCAGGGAGAAGTAGACAGTATTTACGTTCACATAACGTACGTCTCCGCACAGTGACCCCCCCTCTTTCGCTGCCCTCAACAGCCTGTGATGGCGCAACCCAGCCAGGGTGGTATCAGTACCTGCTCCGGCCAACCGCCTTCCTACACGCCCCCTCTTTCTCTTCTCTTCGGCTCCTGCCCCACCAGCCGCCAAGCTTTTCCCGTGCCCTCGTCACTGATCCTGGCCGCTTGCCTCCCTCGCAGGTCGCGCAACTTTCTCTCTCCCCTTCCCCCCCTTCCCCCAAAAAGACCCAGCAGGCCAAAACATTCTGGCTTGTCCCCCAGAAAAAAAAACCGAAAAAAAAAACCAACCGAGTGACTTGGGCTCCAAGTACTCTCTCAACCTTCCACCCCCGAACCTCTTGACCTGGCCATCGCAAGCAAGCTTCTGCAACCTTGGGCGGATCCACTGCCATTCAGCTTCAGCTTCAGCTTCATCGGCAGCTGCAGAGTCCCGACCAGAGCCAGAGACGCATCGCATCGCAGCGCATCGCCTGCCTGAAGCTTGTGCGTGTGCGTGTGCGTGTGCGTGTGCGTGTGCGTGTGCGTGTGCGAGTGCCCCTCGAGCCACGAAACGGAACGCCGCCTCGACCAGCGTCGCTACCTGCCTCACCAGCAACGCAGTACTTCGTACTCCAACAAGGCTCTCTTCCGCGAAACCACCAGCAAAGCCTCCTCGCGCCTTGGCCCCCAGCAGAACCGGCTGCAAAGCTACTGCGACTGTGACTCTGCTCCGTACGAGTACACACTGCACTGCACGAGAGGCACAGCTGCATCGGCACGCTACTTGACCATCCGGAGAGCTCCAGCTACCTCACAGCTCCAGCTCCCGCCGCGAGTACTCGTGCTGCAGACACGCTCTCTGCTCGCCTCCATCCCTCGCCTCAGAAAACACTCAGTCCTTGATCCGCGACCACTCGCAGCCGCTCACCCTGGCCGATCCGCGTCGTCGAAGCAGGCTCTCCGGAGTACCGCCCAGTACCACTGCATCAGTCGCCCTGCCGCTCCCGGCGCCGCGCCAACCACCATTCGTACGTGCTGTTTTTTTCCTCATTTCTCTGTTGCGTTGCTGCTCTGCTCGCTTTGATTTGCTTGATCTTCCCTCCCGTCCGTTGAGTCAGGCAGGCAGTCAGCCAGCCACGCCGGCCAAGCAAGCTGAGCCTCCCTCTGCCACACAATCCGGCTGCTTCACCCAACTGCGACTCGACTCGACCGTTATCCCCCAGCCCAATTAATCCCTCTTGGCCTTGTCAATTCGCCGTCCACCTGTCCAGGCCGGTCACAATAGTAACCCAAGCCCACCGTCGCCTCGGCTTCGGATCTGTTCCCTCCCCTAGCCAACGCTTTTCCCTCTCCCCACCACCCAACTGCCACCAGACAAAAGCACTTGAACTTTTTTTTTTTCCTTACCACTGGTTTTACACATCCCATCCGTCACCAACCGGCGCGCGTCAATTCGCGGATTTGTCGTCATTTGTCTCCTTTTTTTCTCTCTTTTCTTTTTCTTTTTCTTATTTCCGGTTTGCCTTGTCATAATTATCCTCAATTGTCCCTCCGTCACCTTCTCCCGTCGCCTCCTCTGGTTACGAGGCTCGTCAACCACACCCCCAAGAGGCACACACGGCCCTTTTCGGTGGCACTGCGGTTACAAGTACTTGTTGATCCAAGTGGTCTTGCACTACTTTGCCGAATTGTGCTACCTGACCCTTTCGGCCCCCAGCTTTTGCTCCTCTGGTTGACCAAGGAAAAAAAAGCCGAGCCAGACCTGTTCCAGTCGGATGCGCTTTAGGCAACATTGACCTACATTGCCTCGCCCGTAAGGACATTCCCCTTCCTGCCCCCCCCTTGCTCCCTCTCGCCGGCATCCTCACCTTGTGCCCTCGCAACTTCAATCCGTGGCAGCCAAGTCATCGACGACCTCGTCCGAGATGCTCGTGTGTTCCCAGCGTTGAAGCTGCTGCGCCGTGTTCAAGCTTCTTGGCCTGCGGCGCGTCGTTCCGTTGCAGCGATCAGCGGCAGCATTGCTGCGAGCTTGCCCTTTACGCGTGCCCTGCGCGTAAGCTCTCTTTGAGCAAACAACCCCTCTCTTTCTACGCCCCCCGTTCCATTTTCTTGTTTTTTTATTTTATTTTATTGTATTTTTTCCCCTTCCGTTTTTGTCCCGCAGGGCAATAGCCTTGTCGGCTCTTCGACGCGCCGCGTGCAACAGACTTGATAGAGCCCAAGAAGAGAAAACCGCGCGGGCCTCTCCTCTCTGCTACATATTGAAAGCCTGCTCTGATTTCGCCAACTTGCGTTTTATAACGACGGAAGAAACAAAAAAACGAAGACGAGCTTGTTACTAACATTCGCGTGCGCTATCCTCAGATCATGCAGCAGTGGCAAGTCGGCCCCGTGCCGGACTACGTCTACTCCAACTCCCCCCACCCGTCCAACGACATGCAGTAAGTACTCGATCTCCTTGTTCCCAGTACATCGTCCTCCGCCATCTACACCAAGGGGCCTCTCCTGTCGGTCACATTGTGCCTCCGTCGAGCGCCGGTCATGTATTCCATGTATTCCTCTCGACTCTCCTCCCCGTTTCCTATGTTTACACCTCTACCCCGTCGTGGCATCACCGGCTGGTAGACAAACGAACGCTGTATCACCGTCTGCCTCCTGTCGATACCTTCTATAACATCGCGCGCGGTGCCTGGCGAAACCATGAGCCTCGCTCCCTCTCCCCGCTTCCCACCCCCGGTCCCATCTCGAGGACGCCTTTTCCTATACCATGCATAGTTCCATGCCATGCCATGATGATTCCCCTCCCCCGCCAGCGAGTCTGCTAACCGGGGTGCCTCGAACAGTAACCATCCTTACCCGGCCGACATGGCTCGCCGCAACGAAGCTCGTATGGATTTCCCCTACGGTGCTCAGCCTAACATGGCTGCCCAGCAGCAACACCACCCAGCGCCCGTCCAGCCGCCCATGAACGTGTCGCAGCAGCCGCCAAACGGCCCTCCTTCGCAGCAGCAGACGCCGACCCAGCCCGCCGCCCAGCCGCCCAGCGCCCGCTCACGGAAGCGCCCGGCCCAGAACGCGGCGCCTTCACCCGCCACGGCCGCCGCTCCACCTCCCGTGGCCCCGGCCCAGGGCCAACCTCCTGCGCCCACGCCGCCCGCTCCCCAGGCTGCTCCTGCTGCCCAAGCCCAGCCTGCCGCGACCGAAGACGGAACCTCCAACGCCGCCTCGTCGGGGCCTCCCACCAAGAAGAGCCGGACGAACACGCCATGGACACCCCAGGAGGAACTTCGTCTCAAGCAGATGCGAGACGCCGGAAACAGTTGGGCCGAGATTGCCAAGGTATGTGCTCTGCAGATGGCGTTTCCTACCCTCCTTGCTGCCGTCCACATACACCTCCCTTCTCACTCAATCTCGGCTGAAGCATACTAATCGACCATCCGCATAGACTTTCCCCACTAGAACGGAAGGTTCCGTCAAGAAGCATTGGTACAAGGACATGCACTATGCTGAGTTCGCCGAAGATGAAGTAAGTAGGCTCTCTACTACCAAGGTCGATGCGTCATTGATTGATCAGTCTGTTCAGAGTCAGGCACTATTGAATGCGATCAAAGAATATGAGAACAACAAGTGGAAGGTAATCGGACAGAAGGTGGGAAAGCCAGCCAAGGTATGTCATGTTCATCATCACTTCGCCCTTGTCCATGTCGGCACGTGCTAACTCTTCGCAGGCTTGTGAACAGTACGCAAAGGAGCATTTTCCAGGTATGCTTAGTACAGTCTTTGGCCGGTAGGGGTTAACCGCTACGATCGAGGTCCCGCTAACTCTCGTGCAGATCTCTTTGGCAATCCCAAGGGGAGATGAACTCGGCGTGAATGCTCGCCAGCGCCCCAGCCCGATCGAAGCTTCCGTTCGGGCCGCCCGACGACTGTAGTCTACTCACCCGCATGTCGTTGAAATCGCTGCTATGGAAGAGGATGGAACCAGTTTTCGTTGATTTTTACTCATTTTCTTTTTCACTCCGGTCTTCTTTTTTATTTGTCGTCGTCGCAAGGGCTTCCAGTTAATGGCTCCAGATGCGGATGTCTGAAGAAAAGCAAGGAACGGTAAGGAGTACGGCCGGGTTTCCGCTACTTCGTTATCTGGCAAAACATGAGTTCTGCCATTCTTACGTTATATTGTCTCTTGGCCCCTTCCCTCCCGCCTCCCTGAGTTTCACGTTCTTCTCTTCTTTTTCTTTCGCCTGACTTAGAGAGATGTGTGTATGTGCTTCTGCGTTTGCTGGGCGGGGAAAATGAATCACTGGACGGTCTTTGCCGGCGTTGGTTACGGCTTGTTGTCCTCTTTATTGAGGATGCCGACCGTGGCCTGCCATCGGTCGACTAATAATTTTTTCTCTTGTTTCACTTCCATTTCTTCATCTTCTCTCACTTCTTTCCCCCTACTCTCTCCCAATTGGACGATACCTACCTTGGGGCGAGAGAGGGGGGATCGAGTTTGACCGGGACGGGGTGTTTCATGGGGACTGCTTGGGAAGGCAGGGAGTCGACATTGCATGGGGTTACTCAGGCTCAGTTCGTGCTGGAGGCGTGGCGATTGAAGTTGGGAGGATTTCGGATGTCGCTGGCCTGGATGGCTGGAGAAGCAGATTGTTGCTGATAAGAGGGATAGCTATACCCGAATAACACATGTTCCCCCCTTGATCTCCTTCGTCTCCTTTCTCATTTTTTTTTCTTTTACGTATTTTAATAAGAGCTCCGCTTCGATATTCGAATGATGCCTTTCAGCGAGTGATAATAGTATGCTTGATGAGATCGACGGAGTTTCTTAGCTGGTTTCTGAGATGGAGCTGTGATGTGGTTGGGGTCCTCGTGCAGAGAGCACAGGAAACTAAAAGAGTACGTCTGATGAAAGTAGAGGCTTTAGTGGCCTCGCCTTTCCCTGTTTCGCGATAGGGAGTACAAGTTGCTGGCGTGTACCTGGATAGATTGAAAGAGGTACAATTGGAGAAGCCGGCGGTGGTTGTAAGTTGTAGCCAGGCCGGCATGCATTTTGCAGGTGCGGTCCCGGTACTCTGGCGCTTGGTACCGGGTAGTGCGGCGCCACGCGGGCAGATGACCCCAGATTGTCGGCCTTTGTAGTTGATGTATCGCGACAACATCAGGTCGAGATACCTTGAAATTGGCAGGTAGCGCTACCAAGGACTCCAGGTACCAGTCCTATTGCTTGGCAACTAGTGGAGGATACAAGGGGAGGGACTGCAGGAGCCGGTGTAGGAACGGATACTTGTGCAATGTGAACATGAACTGACACGTATCCAGCTACGGGTCCTGGTATACCTGGTTATCAAGATGGACTGGTGTGTTATCAAGGTTACACCTCCGCGTTAATTGCCTTGGCTGTTTCTGCTCAGAGGCGGGACATTGACTGAGTTGTTGCAACCTGGGATGTGCCACGAAGGGGGGCGGGAAAGGGCTACGAAACAAAGCTACATGGAGAAAAGGGGGAAGGGTAAGGTAGGTACTGGGTAATGGAAGAAGGAGCACTAGCAGAACAGGACTGACTTGCTTTTGTAGAAGTTTTGGACCGAAGAGACATCAACAGCGGCCCCATGCCACTTCAGCCCTACGAGGTTTAAAAGAGGGAAAGGGAGAGACAGCGAGGGGGGCATCAAGTCGTACATACTGAGGTAGCAGTACCTTGAGTGGGCGTGTATGGATACCTTGGACATTCAGGAGAGCTGACGATAGGTGGCTGCGGAGGGAAGAGACATGTATCGTGTACGAAAGGGGCATCTGTGGAGTTTCGAATGTACAAGTACATCAAACGGCATCGTGCGAAAGGACATCGGAACTCGAGAGCGAAAAGCGCAGAGGTACCTGGATAAGCGCTAAAACGGGGGAGCAATTGACAGACAGACAAGCTGGAGCAAATGCAAAGAATTCAGTCTATGCGAGCTGTTCCCGTGGGTTTCGTTCAAGCCCCACACGACGGCACGGTACTTTGGTACAAGCTACAAAGATACAATGAGAGTTGGTGCTAACGGTGGTTGGAGCTTGGGGCGATAAGATAAGATGGGGGAATTTTTTTCTTTTCATTTGAGGGACGATAAGGCGCGATAAAGCGGCGCCGTCAAACACAGCAGTCTCCTCAGTGCTGCCTCTCTTTGCTGCGACAGAAGATCCTGCATTTGTTGAGATAACGCAATTGACAATCTAAAGAGGGATCCTTTGTTCAAAGCAATCATGAAGCGCAAGCTCAATCAGAATGACGTGCCAACCTCGGCCGAGCCCGGAGCAGACCAGCAGATGGCCGACGCCGAAGCAGTAACGACCACAGAAACGACAGCGACGACGACAACGGCGCCATCCGACGAAGAGACGACCTTTGCGGACCTGGGGCTCGATGCCAGGCTGGTGCAGGCCGTGGCGCAGCAGAAGTTTCTGAAGCCAACGCTGGTGCAGCGCAGGGCGATTCCGCTGGCGCTGGATGGCAAGGACGTGCTGTGCAAGGCGAAGACGGGGTCGGGCAAGACGGCGGCGTATGTGCTGCCTGTGCTGGCTGGGATTCTGAAGAAGAAGAGTGTACGTTTCCACTCGCATCCACCCTATTGGAGGGATGATTGGTTGTTGGGATTGTGAAGAATTGGGGAGGGCTAATTGGAGTGTTCGTCTAGGTCGATCCTACCGCTGCCACCACGGCTCTGATATTGGTTCCGACGCGCGAGCTTGCTGACCAGGTCTTCAAGTCGATTGAGCTCTTCTCCGCCTTTTGCGCAAAGGATGTCCGCGCCGTGAAGCTGACGGACAAGCTCACCGACGCGGTGCAGCGCTCTCTGCTGTCGACGTGCCCGGACATTGTCATCTCGACGCCTGCGCGGGCGTGGCACAATGTCAATGGCAACTCGGGCGCACTGTCTCTGGACAAGCTGGCGTACCTGGTCCTGGACGAGGCGGATTTGCTTCTGTCGTACGGATACAGCGAGGACCTCGAGAGCTTGTCGTTTTCCCTCCCCAAGGGCATTCAGACTATTATGATGAGCGCTACCTTGACGACGGAGGTGGACTCTCTGAAGAAGATTTTCTACCGTGATCAGCAGCCTACGCTACTGGATCTGGAGGAGCCGGATGCTGAGGGCGAGGGCGTGACGCAGCTGGTGACCAAGTGGGTTTCTCTTCCTCTACGCAAAGCGTCTGTTGATATATACGAGGTTCACTAACGTCGTTTCTAGGTGCGGTGAGGATGAAAAGTTCCTCCTCATCTACGTCATCTTCAAACTGCAGCTGGTCAAGGGCAAGTGCATCATCTTCGTCGCCGACATCGACCGCTGCTACCGCCTGAAGCTCTACTTTGAGCAGTTTGGCATCCGAAGCTGCATCTTGAACTCGGAGCTGCCCGTCAACTCGCGGATTCACGTGGTCGAGGAGTTCAACCGCAACGCCTACGACATCATCATTGCCTCTGACGAGAAGGAGGTTCTCGGGAACGAGGAGAAGGCCGAGGAGGAGCAGGAGGACGAAGAAATGGACGACGGCGAGGTAAAAGAGGGCGTTCGGCCGAAGAAGAAGCGGAAGTCTGCCAAGGGCGACGTAGAGTATGGCGTTTCTCGAGGTATGGGACTGACTTTTGGATACACATCACTTCTGGAGCATCTCTGCTAACTACATTCTAGGCATCGACTTCAAAAACGTTGCGGCCGTCATCAACTTTGACCTTCCCACATCCGCGTCCTCCTACACACACAGGATAGGCCGCACGGCGCGAGCCGGACGAGCGGGCATGGCTCTGTCGTTTGTTGTCCCCAAGGACCTCTACCGCAAGCACATCCCCACGTCCACTCCGAGCGCGGAGAACGACGAGAAGATCCTGGCGAGAATCACAAAGCAGCAGGCCAAGAAGGGCAAGGAGCTGAAGCCGTACAACTTCAACAAGGAGCAGGTGGAGGCTTTCCGATACCGCATGAACGACGCGCTGCGTGCGGTGACCAAGGTGGCGATCCGAGAGGCGCGGACGAGGGAGCTGCGTCAGGAGCTGCTGAAGAGCGAGAAGCTCAAGAGGTGAGTTGTGATGGGATAATACGCGAATTCGTCGTGGATGGATAAGATGCTGACTGCCTGACAGATACTTTGAAGAGAATCCGTCGGAGATGAACCACCTTCGGCACGACGGCGAGCTGAGGACGGCCCGGCAGCAGGCGCATTTGAAGCACGTGCCAGACTACCTGCTGCCCAAGGATGGGCGGCAGGCCTTGACGGCGAGCGACGTTGGGTTCGTGCCGATGAAGAAGTTTGACCGGCGGTCGGGGACGAAGCGGAAGGGGGGCAAGAGGAGCGCCAAGGCCGGGGTGCGTAAGGGGGACCCGTTGAAGACGTTTAAGGCGAGGCGGAAGACGAAGTGAGGCGAATGAAGCTGATGTGTGGTATGTGATGGGGTATGGCTTACTGGTGATTTTTTGTGTTATCTTGCATGTACTGGCTTAATCCGAGAACATAATGCATCTGTACTTTTGTTTTACTTTTATTTCTTATACGGTATTCACAAGTTCTTCTCCGCATGAGCATGGTGATCGGACCCAGGAGCGGTTTGAGCGAAAACGCGGGCAAGCGAAGATGCGGGATACGAGATGCCGCCCCCCTATAATACTCGAAGCGAAGCTGGCCGTGCCTTGTCGATCGCGATGATCGGGGGGCATGGCTTGCATGGGGTGCGATGATACGGGACCAGATGGGCATTAGTAGTATGAACCACGAAGTAATCAAGGTGCTGATGTATAGTACTATCTTGAGTGTGTCTGTAATGTACTTTCGTCCATTGTACGGCAGATGGGATGTGCGAGTAGCTAATAATAGTCGACGGCTGGCTTTCTGATCATGTGCTGTAACGTCCAGATTGGGCCTTGGGGATGCACTGCATCGTGATGGCGCTTTTTGACGGGTGCCGCTTTTCCGGGGGGTTGCGGGAGATGCGAAAGGGAAATGTCTACTTTGGGTGTCTGGTGCTTCATTTCGATCATTGGGTCCATGGTCTATTCCTGTATTGACCAGCTTCTTGAGTCCTTCTATGAAGTACTCCGTACCTTTACAACTTCTAACTTTTGACCGGTCCCTAAGGTATAAAGAAGAAGAAACGAGCACTCGACTCTTCCGTCTAGGCCAGACAAGGCCAAGCCCGACCTCGTATCCGACCGATGGTCCGTTGGGGATTTCGCTGTTCATGCACCGCACTGTATGTTTAGGGGGATAAGACGCCTATCTATTTTTTCGGTCTGATCTGGCTGATGTCTGCCAACTTCGGATTTTTTACCCGGGCTTCCATGAATTTTTAGAACAGAATTTTTAGCTTGAAGGGGGAGAAGGAGGAGGAGGAGGAGGAGGATCCACCCGCACCTCGTGTCCGGGGGCCCATAATAAATGTTTAATGCCTGGATTTCGGTGGAAGATGAAGGACAATGTGAAGAAGCCCGATGAAAGAAGGGAGTGGATTCGGGATCGGGGGGGATTGTTGGAGGGAGATGATGCGGGAGTTACTGACAGACCATTTTGATTTGGATGGGAAGTGAGTGATGGCGATGAGTTGGGTTGCTTGTGTTGCTGTTAGTAGTAGAAGAAGAGAAGAAGAAGAGGCGGGAATTGGCTTTTCGGCCATGTGCTGGTTTGGGTGCTTCCCCTGATTGCTGTGGCGTGAGTGGCGTATGGGGGTGGATGAGAGCTGAGGAGGGCGGCAGCTTGGGAGGTGATGGTGAGGCTGGTGATGCTGTGATCGATTGGAGACCTTTGTATAAATGATTCAATACATTCAAAGAGCATCATGGACAGAATATTGTATAAATGTATAGTTGATAGTCTCCTCTGTAGAAAGAATACTGAGCACCCGACATTGAACAACTGGAGGTTCCCGTCAGTCATCTCGATCGCAGTTACAGCGGCTGACCTGCCTGTTCAGGCCTTGTCGGATGCCCTGGCCCCAGCGCAGCTAGTGCTGGCCATGGATACGACTGGAGCCCGGCCTGGTCAGTCAGTCGGACTCCTCCAGGGCTGCTAAATATCTCGCCTGGTCCCGGCTTCAGGCCCGTTCCATTCCTCTCGCCCACGCACGACAACAAACAACGTCTCTCGTTTCTCTTGTTCGCCGCCCCGAGCAGTGCGTCACTCGTTTCAGCGCACGCCCAGCGGCTCGAATTCGTGTCCGTCCCTCGTCTTTTGCAGCAGTCATCGTCGGATTGTTCGTTTTGCGCGACACTCGGTTCGAACTTCCCCAGCGCGTCCGACGACTTCCAATCGCTCGAGAAATTGTTCGAAGGAAAAAAACAGCCATCCGTTACACGACACGACGCCTGAGCCCGGCATCTGCCTTGGCCATTCGCTCGACGAAAACGACCCCCCTGTCTAAGTTAATCCGCCACTTGGTTTCTGTGGCTTCAAGCCCTTTGGGAAACGACAGACGCAGAAGGAAATCATGCGGCAGTCCGCTGTGGTTGCTGCGCTTCTGGGCGCCGGGTCGGCCTTTGCGGCTGCGTCGTGCTCGCTGACCAAGAAGTGCCCCAAAGAGTCGCCCTGCTGCTCCCGTACGTGATTATGCTTCTCTCTCTCTTGCCTCGTCGTTCCAAACCTGACTGATGATGGGCCAGAATATGGTGAATGCGGCGTCGGCGCGTACTGCCTCGGCGGCTGCGACCCCCGAATGTCCTTCTCGCTCGACTCGTGCACGCCCGAGCCCGTGTGCAAGTCCAAGACGATGACGTTCGACTCCAAGCTCAGCACCATCAAAGACATTGGCGACTACCTCGGCGACCCGTCCACGGCCGAGTGGATGTCCCAGGGCGAGCCCGCCTACTACGACGGCAACGTGCTGCTGACCATGCCCAAGAACAGCGTCGGCACCGTCCTGGCCACCACCGAGTACATGTGGTACGGCAACGTCAAGGCCAAGTTCAAGACGAGCCGCGGCCGGGGCGTCGTCACTGCCTTCATCCTGCTGTCGGACGTCAAGGACGAGATTGACTATGAGTTTGTCGGCGTTGACCTGGGCACCGCGCAGACCAACTGGTATTTCCAGGGCATTCCGGACTGTATGTGATATCAGCTGCTACCACAATATTTGTGTTCCAACTGCTAACCTCGGCAGACAACAACTCGGGCAACATCACCCTCTCCGACACCTTCGACAACTACCACGTCTACGAAATCAACTGGACCCCCGACATGATCCAGTGGCTCGTCGACGGCAAGGTCGGCCGCACCGTCTACCGCAAGGACCACTGGAACGCCACCTCCAACCAGTGGTCCTTCCCCCAGACCCCGGCCCGTGTCCAAATCTCCATCTGGCCCGGTGGCCTCGCCAGCAACGCCCAGGGAACCATCGACTGGGCCGGCGGCCTGATTGACTGGAACGCCCCGGACATTCAAAAATCGGGCTACTTCTACGCCACCTTCGAGTCCGTCACCGTCGACTGCTACAATGCCACCAAGGGCATCGGCTCCAGCGACGGCACCAGCTACACCTACGACAACATCCGCGGCACCAACGACACCGTCGTCGTCGGCGACAAGCGCACCAACCTGGCCTCGCTCGAGGGCACCGGCACCGACATGGACGCCGGCAAGCCCGATACGTCGTCGTCGGCCTCGGCCTCGGGAACCGCCACCAAGTCGTCCGACAAGCCCAAGAACACGCAGGCCCAGATTCCCGGTGGTGGCAGCGCCCCTGGCCAAGTGCCCGGCGGCGGCTCAAGCGACAAGGGAGGAAGCTCTGGATCCAGCGACGGTGGCAGCAGCGGCGGTAGCAGCTCTGACGGAAGCGACGGCGGCAGTTCCACCCCTGCGGACACCTCTGGCTGCTCCACGACCAGCTTCAACCAGGACTGCAGCAGCGACAGCGACACCAGCGGCAGCAAGAGCGGCGACAAGAATGCCGGCTCCAAGGCGGGTGTCAGCGCTCTGGCAATGGGCCTGGCCGGTGCCGCGCTGTGTCTGGTGTAAGTGGTGAGGAGTCGGGTTCTGGATATCTTTTGTTTGTATTTTGCTGGCTTTATAATATTCTCCCCCATGTTGAGCCGATTTTGGTTATATGGAATGTCTTTATGCATACACGCAGTCGAGGATTGTCTCGTTGTAATTGGACAGATGTGCGATGATAATAACGATTTGGGGAGGACTTAATCTTGGATGTATCTAGGAGATGCAGTGGTTGTATTTATGGGCAGATTGACTGATTACATTCTCTCGACTTGCTTTATACATCTCCACGGACTGCTGAGTGACATGCCATTACCTATTGTTGTGCAAATGGATTGTGTCGGATGGTAAGATTCTGACGGCGTGATGGAAGTGACAATGACCCAAGTGGCGTTGAGTATTGTGATACCTTGATGCACAGCGGGTCGTTGCATCAGATTGGACGTGGTGGATGTATACTTCGTTGAAGGCAGCAGATGTACCGCATGAGATGCTCTTGTGTGGAATATCTTGTGTTTCTCTAGTCTTGATATCAAGTCAGTCTGCTCGTTGTCTGGGTACACAACATGTAGTTGATTTTTCGCGCGTGTTGACCCCCACGGAACGATTAATCAATCAATCGTGCGTCAAGACAATTTTCCTCAAATGCATCTCATATATGTCCATGCCTCTGACTCGCTCTTCTTTGCGTTTCTTTCACAAAAGTCAACGCTCTGGTGGTGTGTGACGCCGAGACGGCAGTGCCTTGTTTGAGGCTCTCTGACCTCATGCATCGCACAGGCTTTTCGTCATCTCTCCCCGCCTACGGTAGTTATTTATATCCAACAACCTCACTTGGACACCTCTAAATCCACCTACCTATATTCACTCACTCACCTCGAAGTGCCATACTCTATTTTCATGCAATTCTCACTCATACACATCACATAACATAACATAGCAGTAATCTGCTACCATGTCCCGCCGTCTCCTCATAGCTCGCCCCGGGCACATCTACCTCGCCACATACTCCTCCTCCTCCGCCTCCACCATCCCCCATATCAAGATCGACCTGGACCTCCCCTTCGCCGGCAATCCCTCCTGGATCGCCATTCACCCCACAGACCGCAGCCTCCTCTACGCAGTCGACGAAAGCGGCTCATCGCTGCACCTCTTCGAACTGAATCTCAAGTCCAGCAAGCTCACGCAGATCGCCCAGCGCGACAACGCCAGCAAAGGCGTCTGCCACCTCGAGTTCAACAAGCAAGGGACCCTCCTCCTGGGGTCCGCCTACGCAGAAGGCGCCATCGACATCTGGAACACGGAAGACCCGCGCGAGCCGCAGCTCGTGATGACGCTGCCGTCGAAAGATCCCGTCGTCGACGCGGGGAGGGTTCCGCATGCGCACCAGGCCGTGGTTGATCCGACGGGGCGCTTCTTCGTGGTGAACGACCTGGGGACGGATTCCATGCTCGTGCTGGACGCGCTGAGGCCGCATGTCCCTGTCGTGCGGAGGGTGACTGTCGAGTCTGGGTCTGGGCCGAGGCACGGCGTGTTTTACCCTGGTGCTGCGGAGGGGGAGGTGGAAAAGGCGGCGACGCATTACTTTTTGCTGTGCGAGACGAGTAATCGGGTGGAAGTTTTTGAGCTCAAGTACAGGGAGGGGGATATCGAGTTTACGCCTGCGGGGAGCTATTCTACGTTTGTTATGAGTGATGGGGATGGAGAGGAGGGAGTGCCGAAGAGGGGGGCTTTTGCGGCGGCGGGGGAGATTGTGTTGTCGAAGGATAGCAGGCATCTTTACACGTCGAATCGGCTGACGACGGATCCGACGGAGACGATTGCCCATTTCCGGATCATTACGGCTGATGAAGATGATGGTGATGGCGACAAGGAAGGGGGAGGACTGAAGCTGGAGCTGGTGGGGGAGACGTCGACGAGGGGGAAGCACCCGCGCATGTTCAGCCTGAGCAGGGACGGGAGCGAGCTGTTTGTGGGCAACCAGGAGGGCGAGTGGGCGTTGGTGGTGTTGCGGCGGAGGGAGGAGGACGGGACGTTGGAGGAGGAACCTGTGGCGGGCATCTTGATGGAGGATCTTGTTGCCAAGGGGAGTGATGAGAAGGGGCCCATGTTTGTGCTGGAGGTGGAGTGAGGGTACATGGAGTTGAAGGGAGCTGTATGCGGAAGTAATGCGAGTTTTTATATCGGCATTGGGTCAAGAAGAGAGTGAGGTGAGGTGAATGAAAGTGAATTGATATGTTCTTCATGAGGTATCCTCGTCTATAGATGAACCGCAACATGTTTTATATAGCACCAACAACACCCGAGTCTCCAATTATTACATCCAACCAAGCCAAACAGGTATCTTTTCCAACTAAACCTGAAATTTGTCCGCTCAAATCATCAAGTAACCCATCGCCGCAAACACCACACTCAAAGCAAAGCCACGCACGCCCTTCCGTCCAGCGCCACTCGTGCCACTGCTCTGCGAAGCCGCAGCCCCCGTCGTCGTCGCAGCGCTGCTCTGCGCACCACCACTACTACTACTCCTCGTCGCCGCCGCCGCCGCCGGGGTTGTCGTCGCAGCACCCTTGGAAGGCACTGCCGTTGGCGTTCCGGCTGCTGACGTCGGAGACGGGATGTTGACTGTTGTCGCTGGCGATGAGGAGGCGGGCGTGCTGGCTGCAGGGGGGGAGACGGGAGACTTGGAAGTCGGCTTGGAGATGGCCTTTTGCGTGGTGGGCGAGGGAGATGGGGATGGTGATGAGGGTGCTTTGCTGGAGTCGTTGTCGCATGTGCCGACGAGGTTGGATAGGGACGAGGTGGATGTGATGGACTTGATGCTTGTGCCGCAGTTGACGTAGGGGGCGAGGTGGACTATGTTGCTGGTGAGGTCGAAGACGGCTATGCCTCAAGTCAGTCAAACACTCGTACGCATACACACACACACACACACACACACATTCATGTAAAGAGAGAGTAAGAAGGGGGGGTTCAAGGAAAAGACAAGGAGAAAAGGCAACTCACCATACGCAGACCTCAAAAAGGTATCCCCCAGCAGCGCAAACTCCGTGCTCCCCATCATCCCCAGGTAACAGTGCGGTGGCAGCGACGACACCTGCCGGATCATCTCCGCGTACGGCACCCTGATGGTGACGCCGTCAAACGCGAAATCAATGGTGCCGTCCTGGCCCGCGAGCGCGCAGTCGACGACGAAGAAGCCGTTGTCGTCGGTCTGCGTCGAGCCCAGCGCGGACGCAATCTGGCGCACCAGCGCCGGCGGCAGGAGGGTCAGCGTGGAGCCGCTGTCGAGGAAGACGGTCATGCTGGTCTGCGGGAACGCAGTGGGCTTGGCGTCGGTGCTGCTGCTGCTGCTTGATGATGATGAGGATGGCGGCGTGAGGGAGATGGAGTCCATCTTGACCCAGTACCGGGCCACGCCGTCGGGGGAGTCGTCCGCGGGGACGATGGGCAGGTGGGCCAGCTCGCCGCGGAACTTGGAGGTGTCGACGCCGCCGAAGATGAGGACGCCTTCCTCCTCGGCCTTGCTGCCGAGCGCGAGGCTGAAGGCCTTGGTGTTGGTGATGCCCTGCGCGGCGAGCTCGTCCACGAAGTTGGGGTAGTCGGTGTTGAAGCCGTTGCCGGCGCCGAGGCCGAGGATGCCCGAGAACTCGTCGACGGAGGTGTCCGCGACGCCGAACTGGACGGCCCTCATGGACTCGGCGGGGCCGGCGTTGGGCAGGGCGATGCTGTCGCGCACGTAGGTGACGTCGGCGCTGCCGATGCCGTAGCGCAGGCGGGCCGACTGGGAGGTCACGTCTGCGGTGGAGGAGGAGGACGGGTCGTAGAAGCCGATGGCGCGGCAGAAGCGCTGGTCTGCGGACTGGACATTTGAGCAGTTTGGGTTTACCCAGAGTTCGAAGGAGCCGGTGTCGATTTGGGCGTAGACTGTTTGGGGGGGTGTTCCGATGTTGACTTGATTTACACGGTGAGTAAAAGGGGGGGGTACTGGATGTGAGGATTCAGGGGGGAGGGGACGTACGCTGAGCGTAGTAGGAGACGTCGGAGCGGTTCTCGACTTGGATCTCGATGGCTCTGCTGGACAGTTTGGGGCGCCGGGCGTGGATGATGGGCAGCGTGTAGGTTCCTGAGGGGATGTCGTCGGCGGGGAGCTTGCGCTTTTCCTTGAGAAAGGGGAGGTCGTGCTCGCCGAGAGGGATCGGCAGCGTCATTCCGCCGGCGGCGCCCTCGTCGTCTTCCAGAATGGCGCGCTTGTTGGGGTACGGGTACGGCAGGATGTGGAACGGCTTGTCTTCTTCCTCCTCCGGCTCGACATCTCGTTTGCTGGGGTAGGGGTACGGCAGGATGTGGAATGGTTTGTCCTCCTGCTGCTGCTGCTCGGGGGCACTGCGTTGCGAAAGGTCGGCGGCGGCGGCGGCGGCGGCGGCTTCTTGGTTTGGTGAGGGCGAGCCCGGGATGACGGGGAGGGTGATTCTGTGGCCGAGGTCTTCCGGTTCAAAGGCGTGCTTTGGGCGGGCTTGGGCGAGCAGGGCGAGGGAGAGGACGAGGAAGGATGAGATGGCCATGATGCGTCTTCTATATGTATATGTGCGTATAGGTCTTATATCATCAGGGTTGGGATTAGAGAGCGATAATGAAGAACACAAAGAACTGAAGCCAAAATAACAAGCAGCCGTCGAGGCTGGTTCGCGGGTTCAAAGACGAAAGGAAATGAGAAGCCAGTTCTCGGATTAAACGATACACAAAAGAATGACTGAAGTGAAGCTTCGCGACAGTAGAGAAGGAAAAGAGAAAAAGAGAAAAAAAAGAAGAGAAAGGAAACAAAAAATGAAGTCAAATCATCGGGTGGGTATTGAAGAGAAGAAACAGGACTGGAAAGCCAAGCATTGATTGAATCTAAAGTGATGACGAGGACCCTGGGGGTTTCACAGAACGCAGACCGGGGTGCGTAGGTTATTCTTGGCGATGAGCTCCATTGATTAATGTTTAGTGTCGGCGACGATGGGCGGCTCAGCGGTTACCGTTTTACAACCAGGATCCAGGAGATTCGGGATCTGAAGGACATGGGGGTTGCCGGGTGGTGGTTGTGGACCAGTGAGAACAGTTGGCGGCTGCGTGCGAAAGGATTTGATACTTGAAGTCTGATGCCGAGCATGCGGCCAAGGAAAAAGGCTTGTTCGCTGTTGATTATTTTAGTGAAGCTAGAGACGGAACGGTTTGTTTCCTTGAGAAGCGAGGATGCGGTGGTTTGAAGTCGGGCAGGGAGGGCGGATGGTGAAACGCCAGCCGTCGAGGGTTTTTGGGTTCCGATGGGGGGGCTCAAACACGGAGAGCTGGTTGTGAAGAGGAGCTGGCGCGTGGCTGGTTTAGTTGAGCTAAGTTGTTGAAGAGAGATAAGAGGTCTTTTTAGGAGACACAACAGGGACCGAGATTCATAGTCTAAGTGAAGTTGTCTCCTTGAGATGGAGTTGTCGTTGTGTTCTTTGGGGTTGTTCAGGTTGATGAATGTCAACAAAGCTTCAATGCCTCGCTTGGGCTCTTGGCTTACACCGGCTCAGCTGAAGCGTGGAGAAACGGCCCCTGGTTGGGTCCAGACTCCAGACCAGGTTCCGCTCACCTGGGAATTAGAGCCAAGTCCTGCCAAGCGTGCCTTGACACGCGTGCATCTCATGGATACTGTCCATCTGTTTGCGGGTGCTTGAGAGGAGGATTCAGTTTCAATAAAATCAATTTGAAGAAGTAGATCATAGCTTATCTGCCAACTGTCGGGGATTTCGGGCGTCGTTACACTCGAGGTCCTGCCATATGCTACATGTAGGCGTCTCCCAGTAGGGCGCTTACACGCTTGTGCAGCGTGTGCTAAAAGAGATCGTGGGCATGTAAGAGACCATCTTGCTCGTCTTATGCTATTCTACGGAGTACCCAGGCACCCAGCGAGGATCTAGGCATCGTGTCCGATGATTTCGTTTCACAGTCTGGACTTCATGATAAAATGGTAATTAAAGAAGGCAACGCCCAGCCCCAGCAAACGAATATAGACACAGCGTATTCCGTGAACCAGCATGCAGTGCCACATGCAAATCCCGCCGACACCGACCCCGAAGAGGCGAGAACCCGATGACATTCCAATCAAGTACAAAGATGGGTGGTGTTCTTCTTCTTCTTCCGTCCCCCTGCTGGAAATTTGTCGAATCAGCAGCGGCGCACTTGACGCCTGTTCGATGCGTTGTCCTGCGTCTGTAGAGCGGCCTTCCCCGCAGTGTCGTGGCCAGCGAGAATAGAGCGAGGATAGCTCACTTGGGATGTTTAATTACTTGACTTTCCGCATTGGGGGCCGTGGTGCTTGTCTTATCTTTTGGACCCTGCTTCTATGCATGCTTGTAAACTCGTAGTCTTCTCTTGATTTGGGGGGAGAGTGCTGGCATGGCACCATGCAAGGCAATGCGTTGGCCATGTGAAGTGTCGATGCCTCGTCGCTGGAGAGGCTTCATCTACCCTTGACTTGACACACTCGTCTTATTCATCACCTCGAATCGCTCAATAACTCATGCTGCAATCCATTATTCCTGGGTCGGTCCTATGTGGACCAACTGGCAATTCCCTCACGATAGCGGAATCGCCCATCGCCAATCACGCATACACACAAATCTCCTCTCCTGTTCCCTGCATACTGCATCGTCTCCCCATGGAATTACCACATCGCTCTATCCCATCCCATGCCCTCGCCCCTATCAGACTCCCAAGAACAGACTGATTGGCTCTCCCCTTTACCCATGAGAAAATGTCTCTGCCTATGGGGAATACCACGCATGGGGATCCCCGCCGAAGTGCATGCATGCACTTACATGCCATACGCGCTCTTCGTGTCCTCCCACTCGCTCGGGTTGTCTGGCCCGCAGGAACAAACGACGAAAAGAGGTGCATGTGCATGCGTCTTTGCGCGATTGACCGAGTTTGTCGGCGGTGCATGGACTGTGTTACCCTGGCCCATTGGGTGGCTTTCCTGTTGCTGTGAAGGGAGAGGAGAAGGGGGTTTCGGATGGACTATATAATGCATGATGCAGCACCAGATATGCAATGCCTGTGTCCTGTGCTATCCATACTCCTCACAAATTTACCAAGGAATTATTGATAAAGACGTTGCTTGGCCAGAACACAGCTCGCATGTATATCCCCATACATCCAGCTCAACCTGAGGCGCTTCGGCGCCATGTGCCAACTCCAGCCGGATACATGCAGACTTATACGAACCGCAACCAGGGAGACACATCCATCATCTCGGCCATACTCCAATCCACAGCTTCCCTCGCCCAACGACGCAATTCATTGATACATCGGCGCTCGGGCTCGGCCGCACACACAAACCTCATCATCGGCCTCGTCGTGGGCTTCGCCCTCGCGGCATTCATCATTGGCGTCTGCGTCTTTCTCTGCTGCTACGGAGACTCGATCCGCTTCTCGAAGAGGAAGCATGGGCATAGGCGGCGGTCAACGAGCAGTAAGGGGTCGAGACACTCCAAGGCGCGGGAGGCGGAACATACCGAGGGGGCGGCAGAGGGGGCATGACAGCTGATGATGTTGTGGCGTTGTGATATCTTTCCCTTTTCTTTCAGCGTGGGGATTGCAATTTGCATATAATATGCTTTCTCTTTCTTTTCGTCTCCATTCTTCATGTGTCTATGATTTATGAGCGCACTGGGAGGATACCGTCTGGTTCGATATACGGCGCATGCGCACACTCCCGATGGATAACAAGGGCGGCTCGGACAGAATGCTATCGTTTTACTTGCTACATGTTTCTGTTTTTTCGAATCACAGCAAACCCTCATGTTATTCCATACCTCCCTTGTACCGGCCCCTCAAGCAACAGCCTCCCCCATATTCGTCTTACCCATCCATACCAACACCCCCTTAATAAATGACTACCCGCTTCTGACGACGGTGACAACGACGGTGGCGATGGTGATGGTGATGCCGTTTCTTACCCCTCTCTCGTGACTCATCCTCACGACGGGCTGTGCCCTGTTCTTGTGCGTTTGCGTTCCTCTGTGCGGCATCGTTCGGCAGCGGAACGTCCAGACCGTTCAGGATGGCCTCCAGGTCTGCTTGGGTGATGTCTGGGAGCCCGGGCGACGGAGGCCTGAAGAGCCTCTCAATCTCAGCAAGAGGGTCTTGGGGGATGATGAGATGGTTGGTGCGGTTGAAGCGGTGATGACGATGATGATGGTGCCGATGTTGGTGATGATGGTGATGGTCTGGATGACGATGACGGTGAGAGTTGTTTTGCACGGTTCGACCATTGTTGGGGTCAGGGCAGTCCAAGATGTGATCACCCTCATGGTGGTGATCATGGAAATGGTCTCCATGGAAATGCTTATCATCATGCTGATGGTGATGAAGCGACAGGGGCACTGCCGGCAAGGGACATTCCTGCTGGCCCTGCGCAGCACCGCCCTGTCTCTGCGCCGCCTGTTGCACCTCTGGCGCGGCCGCCGCTCTGTCTCCATTGCCGGCCGCGTTTTGACCAGCAGCTTGGTCACGCTGGTTGTCGCGGCGGTGGCGCGCCTCGCGACGATGGTTTCGGGGCTCTTGCTGGCGCCAGCACCAGAAGTAGACGAGGACGGCGACGACGAGGGCGACGAGGATGAGGCCGACGGCGAGGCCGGTGGCTGCGGGGGAGGATATCTCGCCGTCGTGAGGGGCGCGGGAGTGAAATACATGAGGGGGTTGGTGATGGTTGTGGAGGCAGGGCATGTTGAAGATGGGGAACATCATGGTAGGGCTTTGAAGGAGTGTGATGACCCAAGTGTAGTTGGGGTGATGGGCTCGTCTGCTCGTCTGCTCGTCTGATGACACTACAGCATGTCTACGGATATCTTCATTACGGCGCACGCTGGCTTGTCTTTTATAAGGCACATTACGAAAGTTTGCTATCAGAAAGGGAAGCCATGATCTTGCTCCAAGGCATCAATCTGTTGAGTCTTCCCATCCGAGTTTGACATGAACGAGCGGCTGTCCTCACCGTATTTTCAGCTCGAAACAGTTTGCTCTCGCGATTACCAGTGAAAGCAGCCTGCGAACAAAATCGGTTGGGCGACGATGGTCATATTTCGGCAGTTGAAGTGATGGGAGAGCCGACAAACAGCCTCGGGGGAGGAAAAAGGTTTGCTATAACATGGCGAGGCAGGGTGACGGTGGCTTGCTGTCGAGCTCTTGTGAGATGGCAAATTCCTCGTTTTCTCTCCTGTCGGAGTGATGGAAGAAAACGTGTTCTATCGGGAGAGACAGCACGGGTTTGGGGTTGGCCAGGTGCTGCGGTGATGAGGTGTGAGTGAGAGCAACACAAAGGGCATGTCTCTGTGGATGTTGCCTGGTGATGCGGTGAGAGTGAGAGGTAGAGAGAGAGAGTGTGTGTGTGGCAGAGGCGGGAGAGAGTGAATGCTTCTAGAAGGACGGGATTGATGTCAGAGTTCGCTGTTTGGCATGTGTTTTGTCAGATTTTGGCACGCTCTTGTGCCTGGTGAGAGTGTCGGATTGGGTTTAAGGTTGGACAGCTACGACACAAGCTTTGCGGGTACGATATGCTCGTGTGTCGTGCCGCCCGCCACAGCCAACAAGGGGTCAGACGCCAAACAAATAGAGTCCGGCTTTAGTCAAGGACCCTTTTGCCGTGATCCGACAGAGTCAAGAATGGGAGGGGGGTTTGAATCGTCATGAACTGGAATTACATCATCAGCGGCATCACATAATACATGTAGTTTGCAGCATCATCAGGGTTCTCACGACTACATACAACTACTATCTCGGACATCATATGCAGAGTCAGTCCCAGGCGGACAATCTATCAGCCGATGACGCACCTTGGAGAATTCAAGAGGCAACTCTGTCCGTCCCGCAGTTCGACCGGAAGTACCTCGCTGTAACCGTGTCCTCTGCGTGGGGTAAACGAGTGGCTCGAGACGGAGGCGGAAAGGGGTTGAGGGGCGCAGATGGAGGCAGAATGAGGCGCATCTTTGGGGTCGAGCCGTACCCGGTACGTGCGGGGTACATGGCGATAGGGTGGAGAGCGGACAAACTCGAGACTGGGAACTGAGATTCACGAAGGTTCTAGACAAGATACACGTACGAGGATCTGAACTTGCAGCAACTTGATCCGTTTGCGCCATCCAAGCCATCTCTTGTTGCTCCGAAGCAGGTCCCCTGTTCCATCTATCTAGTATTAGGTGCCTAGATAATCCTACCTTGGTATCTCGATACAACAGCAGGTGGGCAAAAGTACGTAATTTGTGCCCCTCATCACCTACATCTGCGTGCGCCTAGAATTGCCTCTTTGGGCCGCGGGGCAAAAGCGGCATGTTGTGGCATCACGACTGAATTCGAGCATCAATTGTGTCGTGATGATACTCGTAATGGCGACAATGTTCAAGGTATCAGGAGAGAAACAGTACAAGAGAAGAAGTGAAGTATGGATACATGCTCTAAACACCGTCTGTCTACAACAACAATCGTCATCATCCATCCAGATGGCAACACCCCTTCATCAACTCTCCCCCACCACGAGTCAGTCCGTCGACGCCCGGATTTATAATGGAGATCTGGACAAAAAAAAAATAAGGGTGTCGAAAAAGGACGCGGCTGCAAGCCTCGAGGCCAACGGGCCCTCCCCAATGATGCGTAAACGCCGACATTCCCCACCGAAGGCCATGGACGGGGGGGAACGATATGATCCAAGCTCCCCCGGTTAGCAGCCCGTAGTTCTGGGTCCGTTCGTCATGAGGCGTGTGTGTGCTCGATAGAACGTGCGTAACATAAATAATGGCGGCCCTGCGTCACTTTGCCCGGTCGTCTCTGCTCTCCATCTCTCCTCGCTGTTCTCGAATATCGCACTCGATTCGCTCAGCTCAACAACACTCGATTCCCAACTACTACAACTACTCTCCCCGATTCTTCAGCATCACCGCCGCAAACATGTCTTCCGGAAAGACCGTCACCCTCAACACGGGCTACAAGATCCCCCAGCTCGGCTACGGCACCTGGCAGGCCGCCCCCGGCGAGGTTGGCGCCGGCGTCTTCGAGGCCCTCAAGGTCGGCTACCGCCACCTCGACCTGGCCAAGGTCTACGGCAACCAGAAGGAGGTCGGCGAGGGCATCAAGAAGGCCCTTGCTGAGGTCCCCGGCCTGAAGCGCGAGGACATCTTCATCACCTCCAAGCTGTGGAACAACGCCCACAGGCCCGAGGACGTCGAGCCCGCTCTTGACGACACCCTGGCCGAGCTTGGCCTCGACTACCTTGACGTGCGTATACACCCCAATTGAAGAAAAGAAGAAGTAATACAAAGGACGAGACTCGGCTGACGCTTTTCCTTAGCTCTACCTCATTCACTGGCCCGTCGCCTTTGCTCCCGGCGCCGACCTCTTCCCCAAGAGCGAGGATGGCTCCGAGGTGGTGCTCAACAACGATGTGTCCATTGTCCAGACCTGGAAGGCCTTGACCGAGCTGCCCAAGTCCAAGGTCCGCTCCGTCGGCGTCTCCAACTTTACCATTGAGCACGTACGTCTTTCTTGTGGATTCCCCGGTGACATAACAGCAACAGAAGACTAACACACGCAACAGCTCGAGGCCGTCATCGAGGCCACCGGCGTCGTCCCCGCCGTCAACCAGATCGAGCGCCACCCCCGCCTCCCCGACCAGCCCCTGATCGACTACTGCGCCAAGAAGGGCATCGTCATCACCGCCTACTCCGCCTTTGGCAACAACACAAAGGGCCTGCCCCTGCTCGTCAGCACCGACGAGGTCAAGGCCGTCGCCGACAATCTGTCCAAGAAGCAGGGCAAGACCGTCACCCCCGCCCAGGTCATCCTCGCCTGGTCCCAGCTCGGCGGCCACACCGTCATTCCCAAGTCCGTCACCAAGGCGCGCATTGCGGAGAATTTCCAGGAGGTGGAGCTGGACGACGAGGCTATTGCTGCGCTGAACAAGCTGGGCGAGAAGCCTTACCGGTTCAACGTTCCTATCAACTGTAAGTGCCCTTTTTCTTCCCCTTTGGGAAATAAGGAAAGATGAGAGAAGACGAAGCTGACTGTCTGGATAGATAAGCCTAAGTGGAACATTAACCTGTTCAACACTGAGGATGAAAAGGCCGCCGCCAACACTGTCGTCCTCAAGCTGTAAATTTGGTTTTGAAAAGCATGTACGAATACCCACGAGCGTAAAATGATTGAGAGGGCTTGGTATAGAAGGGAGCAAGGATAGGCGAAGGAGAAAAGTTACATCATTTACTCCGTAGTTAAAATAATAGAACTTGCACCAATTCCAATTGTTTGCTCGATCCCGTGCAAAATAACTGTCAGGAGTTTAGAAATGACCTCGAAGGAAGAATCCTATTGCATCGAACCTTGCCTTCATTCTCATTTCCTAGCTCCGGAGCGAATGCAAATTTGTCAAAAGATAAGCCTGAGTAGACTCCTAGGTTTGAACCTCTTTGTTTTCAATAACATTTGAACACCTAGACAAAAAGTAAAGGGCGACCAAAAAGCAAAAAGCACGCGGCTGCAAGCCTCGGCAAAAAGAGAGCTTCCACCTGAGTAACTAGAGATAGACCAGAGATTAATACAGCTTTTATTACTGCACACCTTCTTACTGGCCAGTGACTAGCAGTGCCTCTGCCTCTTGTCTCCTACACTCTTCATGTAGGTTCCGTACGTAGTCTAGAAATTATGACGCCTGGAATTACAAGTGATGGGACTTGCAAAATCTCAACAAGATAAGAGTGGAATATCTGGGGGTATCAAGTTGAAAGTGGTCAACCTTATCGCTAAAGGTGACTATATATGTACAGAGCAGGCAAACCTATCCTGGCGGGGGACCGGAAAATCCGATGATGACGACCATGCCACCCACAACGATGAAGAGACCAAGAGGAAGTATGGCGACGCCATCGCCCTCGTCCCAATATGGTCGATAGGTAGCCGGTAACCACAAGATGTTGCTCCCATTCCAAGTGATCCAATCTTCATCCAAACTTAAACCGTAGCCTTCGAACCGAATGTCTTCGTCAGATATGGTTTGATAAGAGTCCTGTGTCTCGCAGCCAGTCTGCAGGCCGTTCAAGTCGATATAACCGCGCCACGTTGTGATATATGATTCTCTGGCTCCAAAGAGCTGGTCGAAGCATCGTCCAACGAAAGTCAGTCTGATCATCTTCTGCCCCTCGTTATGTACCCAGATCTCGCCGCTGATCCCGTCGACTTGTATATACCCAACAAGTACGCGACTAGCATCGTTAGACACGGCTACTGAATGATGACCAATTTTTACACCCTCGTGCCCCTTGGCGTGCTTGATTTGATTCCCGGTGATGGCATCCCAGACGCCAAAGCTCCTCCCACCTCTAGTCAGAACGCCGAGATACTGCGCATTGTTGGAAAATGCCATTGCCATAACATTTTCGTATGGCAAGGTAAAACGCACAGTTTCCTGGCCTGTGGACATATCCCATATCGCGACGTGTCCACTCGGGATCGCTTTAGCAAAGAGTCTGCCACCAAAAGAAAAGTCCGCGCCGAGGCAGAACCGAGACATGCCGCCGCCCCAAGGTACCGTGAAATCTGTTGCTTTTGTCCCCAATTCAATGTCCCATGCAGTGACACTAACTTCTTCATGGGTGTATATGAACTTGGAATCTGGTGAAAAAGCCACAGAGTTTGGCCTAAAATTCCTTTCCAGTTCTGTTTCAAACTTCGCTAGCTCGCTGCCTGCGGTTGTATCCCAGACTTTGACGATAACATTTTCTGCCCCGGTAGCCACGAGCTTATAGTCATTGTTGATTGCCATCGCGTTAAGCACAGCATATTGCGTGGCAATCTCTGGGACGGGCTCTGGTTTTACAGATGCGGTCATATCCCACACTCGAATGCTTCCGTGATGTGAGGATACCAGGATCTTGCAGTCCAGTGACCAGCAGAGATGGTACGTAGACTCGCCCTTGAGATCCAAATGCGTTAGAAGGGTACCGGCCGTAACATCCCAAACCCAGATGTAATTCACAGCCCCTCCAGCTAGCAATTTGGAGTCAGTTGAGAACTCGAGTGAGGATATTTCTGCCTCCAAATCACGTTCTATTGGAGAAATGGTCCTGACTTCAAGCTTCTTCTCTAGGTTCCAGATTTTGATGTTGTGCGTTTCATCGTATGATGGGTAAGCCATGAGTATGGAGTCACTCGAAAAACAGATTGCTTCTTGGTCTGTTCTGTCGATGACCGTGTTTTTGGCGTGTTCTTTCACATCCCAAATTGTAACCTCCTTGTAGCCGAATGCCAAAAATCTGCCATCATTCGACCACTTGACCCTTTTTCGACTCTCATGACTATACTTGTAATAATCATGCACAAGATACAGCTCTTCTCCTGTATCCATGTCTTGTATCTGAATTGCACTGTCAAAGCCACGAGAGGCTATAAACTTGCCATCGTTGGAGATTGACGGCCAGGCACCTGGGGACCATGTGTGATGACGGGCAATGTCTGAATCCACATCCCAAGAAACAACACGGCCTTCATAAGCTGTCGTGACTCGCTTGGAATCGCTGGAGAATATAATTGAGCTGATATTCCCCACACGCCCGAGTACACGGATTTGCTTCCCGGAATTAACATCCCAGAGTGTAATTGTTGTCCGGCCATTCCACTCTGAACCAGTCACCAGCATGTTTTTGTCCGGTGAGAGTGCAAGGAAAAAGGCCCGAATCTCTTCGATTGTTTGTAGGCAAGAGCTCCAATGGCTCTCGATAAATTGATTCACTTCAATCCATGATAATAACTCTTCTTCGAAAAGACTCCTCACAATACTGAGTTTGGGAGTAAACAAGATTGCCGATAGGTATATTTGAAGCGGAGCATCGTTTATGATCCACGAGTTGTGTTGAAAGAATCGACGTATGTCGTGAACTAGGCGCAAAAGTTCGCTGTCGGGATAATGTTGCTATCGACTCTGGTTGGCACGGCTAAATTGTTCGCTCTTTGGGAATATCGAACTCACCTTGACTAGGTCTTCAAAATGAATAACATCAGAAACGCCCTCTGATGTATTTTGCATCAAGCTTATGACTTCCAGCCAGTGAAGAATGTGCTTTTTCAAGAACTTCAACACTTTGCCATCGTTCAGATCGAAGCTGACCATTGAGACACAGAGGTGGCGAAGCCAGTAAGAGCAAGGATAGCGCAGAGACACCAAAGGGTCGGGTTTTGGTGTACTGATGTCCTCAAGAAGGATAGCAGGATTGTGCAGCTTGTAGATATCTCGACATAACATTTTGCCCATAGTCTCCACTGAATGCATCGCAATTCCATAGTGAACTCCTTCAGTGCCGTTTGCGAAAAGGGACGACTGAGCCCGGCTGTTGGTCGTAAGATATTCCTTAGATGATTGATGTATGAAGTAGACGGTCTCGTCCTTGACCGTGAGAAAAGAGCCACAGGTCTCTATGAGAATCCGCAGTTCCGATGGGTCTGTGAGTTCGTCTGTGAAGCCTGCTAGTGTGGCCAGCTCTTGAAGACGAAGAGGCTGATATGCCACCACACAGATACCGAGAACAGCTCGGCATAACTTGGACTCCTCTATGCTATCTAGGTCCTCGATTTGCTGGAGCATTCTATCATAGAGCGCAGTGAGATCCTTTGGTAATCCATTCAGTCGGTCCATCAGAGCGGATAGTCCGCCGTAAGAGATCCTCATACGTTGTAATTGTTGGAAAACGATGGCCACCCAGAGAAACGTCCCGTTGGCCTTTTCTCGTATCACGTTGCAGGCCTCATCTCTCAATTGCTTGTTTTTCGTGAAGAGCTTTATCTTGGAGGCTTTCTCAGAGATGTAAGCATCCACTGCAGCTGCAACAACGGTGGCATTCAGCTCAAGACTGAGAATTACACCCTCAGCGTCGGGGATGTCCCCAAGGTTCGCTTGAATTTCGGGTCCATTTCGACTGGATAATATCCATTTGACTTTTTGGAACGGCAGGGCTTCTCGAATCAGCTCCAGGAACTCAGGCATACCAGTGGTGCACTCGTCGAGGCCGTCAATGATCACATATGTCGTTGTCAACCTTTCATCATGCAAGATGCTGCGGAAAATGCTTGTCAGGCTGTACCAGGCGTTCGGCCCTTCGAATAAATCCTTGCCGATGGGGTCGTATTTTTCCCGAACATGAGAAATGAGAGATGGCTGCTGGTCGGCAAGCAACCAAATCAGGCCGCGTAAAACGGCCAAGTGATTGTTAATGGTCGGCATGGTCGCTTGACAAAAAAAGTAAGATATGGCATCGCCTGACTGAGCAACAAGATGTGTGATCTCGTCTACGAGGCCACAGAGAAGCATTGTCTTTCCCTTGCCTGGGTCGCCCTTTACCCAGAGGAGCCGCTTACCCTCGTCGTGGAGCCAAGTTTTGAAGTCCGGATGATTGAGAATCCAGCGCCATGAGTCTTGCACTAGGCCTCCCTTGGTTGTTTCGATTCTGCTCTTGTCCATTCGCGGATCTGTAATGTAGAGATCTCTCAAACACTTCTTGTCCTCGTCAGACTTTCGGTAAGCCTGCTCATCCTTCGCATGGACGACTAGCTGCTTTACGTCTTGTCCGAGATCGGCGCTTTGAAAGGTATGGAGCTGCTCGTTGAAGAAGGCTTCGGCGTCTTGAATCTCCTTGAAATTCCCCTTCCAGTCGTCGAGTTTAATGAGGTCGCCAAGAAAGGCCAGTCCTCGATGGCGATAGTACGAGCATATGCTCTTGATTTCAAACGAAAGCAGCTTCTTGTACAAATCGATGAGCTTTGTGCGCAGTTCCCGTTGGATCCCGGCGGTGATACCGTCTTGATTGCCGAAGAGAAGCGTAGCCAGTTCGCAGTACCAATTCATCTGCTCCACCACATGTTTGACTCCCGTGCAGTTGGCCTTCGTCTCGGATATAGGATTCGTCAAAAGCTTCAAGAAACGTGTGTCAGTTAATGTTGTATGAACGCAAATGTTGCGGTCTTACCTCGAGTGAAAGGGAAACGGCGGCCCATGGAAGCGCGGCCTGTGGCACACCTTTAACCACGTTGGTGACGATATCTTTCGAGGCATTGATTATGGGCAGGACGTCGTCCATGCGGGACTTCGCCTTTGACTCTCGTGAAATCTTGTCCAGGCCATTCCTAACCAGCTTCTGCATTTGGCTTCTTCTGTTCTCTTTGTCGTGTTGGTCGATGCGGTTTCCCCCAGCTACCTCTATAGCCTTAGTCGTGGTGTCATTTTGGCTGAGGAGCTGGGTCGTCAAGATCCTCTCGTATGCTTGTAGCAGTGCAGGTTCCTCCACTTTCAGCTCGTCATATGCGTTGTCCCAGATTTCGTCTGATGGTGATGGCGCTGGTTTCCCCTCTTCGTCATCTTCTTCAGGCTCAGGCGCCAGCTCTATGCCAGTCTCCAGAGCTGGAGGATCTTGAATGCTCGACCCTTGTTCAGGCGCCGGTCCGTTGATTGTCAAGATGGGGAGCGAGTGAAGACTTTGATGATCTTCCGCTGTAGCAAGAGGAGCATTCTGGGAGATAGCTGACGTAGCACTTGGAGCAGATGTGCTGGATTGAACGTTCGGAAGGCTTTGCGAAGAGTCGTCTCTCGCTGAGGGGCTGCGGGACCTGCTGCGATAGGGCTTGAGCTTCTCCTTGAATTTTGTAGTAAGACGCTGGAAATTCATTTTGAGAGATGTTTGATTCAATTGGAGTCAAATTGTACGTTTCAAGATGGGGATTGATACAGTGGTGTAAGAATAAATGTGATTCTCGCCACATGCTGATGCTGCCAGATGGACGGTTGGGCATCAGCGGGGTTGAGGCAGCTGAATCTCTTCACCGACCAGTAATATTGCGAAAGCATATTGACAAGGCTGTCCAGGTTGGATGCCTCAGCCTTTGTGTTACAGTGCAGCCCATGTGCGGCTGCTATTGGTTGTCTGCTAATCCAGCCAATAGTCGAGAACGAAGCGTATACGAATGAAAACAGTTGAGATTTGAATGGTATTGCTTCGGAAGAGATGCCTTCCCAAGGAGGAATGTATTCCATGGAGCTTGTGGATCTTGAATGGCACATTCGGAATACTTGAAGCTCTCGTAGAGTCATGCGAGCCTCGCTGAAATGCTCTGGTGCCCTCATCGAATACCCCAACACCAATGCGTGAAGCCCTACGCGTGATGGCCGATCATGATTTCTGTTCTGAGGACTGTTAGCCTGGAAGCAATCAACAGTACATATATTCTCCAGGTCCTTTACCTGGTCTCTCCACGCTGCAGCCCTCGAGAAAGGTGTGCAGGACTCTCCTCGTGTCATACGATCTGTACGTAGTCGAATACTCATTACTACACAGCTATACACCCGGTGAACCGCCCCCAAGCCATTCAATAAACAACACTTATCAGCTACACAGACATCATATACATCAAGTCGATAGTTATATCCAACCCAAATGAAAAGCACTACCTCGCACACATAATGTGGAGGTCCTCATGCTTCTTCCTTCGTCAATCTGCATCAATATGTCGCCGGAGATTATAGGCGAGAGCTTGATCCTGTGAGCCAACGACAAAGCAGTTCTATCTGCTTTAGCTCAAGTCAATAGATATTGCCGGCTGCTGTCTCCTTCCTCTCAGTTTATCGACGTCTGCTTCCACTTCGGAAAGAGTTACATAGAGCTTCTGGAACGACTCGCAGCTAAATGAGAGGACTAGGATGTCTCTACCTGCAACTTCACAAGCCCTTTATTTAAGATTATACAGACTTTTGGGAGCATTCATCCAGGGCTTCGTCAGAGCCCTGGAGCTATTCCTATACTCCGAGGCCTAGCCTTTCTACCACCCTGTGGTATAAACCCAACGGTCTCTACCAAAGGTGAAATACCTATCATAGCGAGTATAGTCACCACATTCTTGAGACTGTTGTGAGAACAAGTCCTAATTCCGAGATTGCCTTGTATGATGATGTTTATGTCTCGATGGCTACGCCTTCAGAGCGATTTCACGTCGACCCCTGTGACATCTCAAGCTTTGCGGAGCCTATGTCAAATCACTGCCTCAGACACATCACAAGCAGCCACTATCCCTTGATATCAGCCTTTATAGGGAACTAACACACGCTGAATGGACCAGTGATCGATCGTTGTCCATGGCGAGCCTGCTGCAACGTTGCTGCAGCATATTAATTACCCTGACAGTCCAAAACTTTGAGCAGACCGTGAGATGTTCGAGATGGAACATACTGAGTGACTTTTCATATTCAAGAAGCCCCTTCTTCCTGAAAGAACTCATAATTGCCTTGCCGGACTGGGCGAATAATTGAGTCGACTCGGTGGAGGAGAAAAGGGGACAAGAATATCAGATAAACATATATCACCGAGAGCCCATAATAGCGCGACGAGCAAACTTGCTATAATGAACTGCTCGCTACTATTATACAGGCAGCCACAGTGACATATCTTTTCCAGCTTGATCACTCGAACGAAAAATACGTGTTGGTGTAGGTATTATACGATGCCTTCATCTAATGGGTCATCAACTCGGTCTGACCGGAACCGGGGCCGGTATTAGTCATCCATTCTACAACATCAAACGCCTGCGACTGCGGCTTATTGAATCCAATACATTTCAAGAACCGTTGCACTTATTCACGTTTATGCCATCCCAACTCGCAGACCGCAATATCACATAGACTCACTGTCGTCTCTAGCTTCTAATCCGCCGGTGTGCACATTTACCGCCATTCCACAGAGCTGGAAAATGCGCACAACCCTCCGAAGGTCCTGTAACGCGTGCGCAAAGGCAAAGCTCGGCTGCGATCTCCGAATCCCCCAGTGCTCCCGGTGTCTCAAGCGAAACTCCAGCTGCATCTACGCGAACAAGCCTTTGAACTCGCCCCTGGAATCAGTCTCTTCGTCTGCGGAGGCGTCAGGCCACAGCTCTCCAGCCGCTAGCAACGGCGGCGAGCTGTTTTCTCTGCTGCCCCAGGATGGAGAACCGGCAACTCGATATTCGGAAAACCCGGCTTGGATACGAAACCCGGCAACTGCCTCCTTTGATCCTTTCGACTCATATCCGCCGACGAGACTTCCTAGGCTGCATGTCCAGCGGTTGATACACCGGTGTAAATCTTCTTCTTCCCTGAGCTGAGCAAAAGGGTATGTCCGGCTGACCAGCGAAATTTCTCAGTTCTGTCCAGCATTGCCTTCCAGTACTACCCACTGGATCTGAATATGGCCTCAAATCCATTCATTGTGTCCTGGTGGCCACTCGCACTGGCGGATCAAGCACTGTTTCATGTGTCACTACAGACTGCGTCTCTATATGAGGAGCTACAAGCGCAAAAGGGGTTTCCAATATCAGATCTCCTCATGGTGGACTCGATTGCTCTGGTGAGACGAAGAATCGAGGATCCATCGTTGGCCTTTCGGGACGAGACTATGGACTCTGTCGTGACCTTGGCTGCCATTGAGGTGATTTTGCCCTTCTTTCAGTACAACGAGCTCGATTTGCTGACACGGCGTTTGAACAGCATGGAAAAGGGAATATTGAAGCCAGCAAGATGCATATTGAGGGTGTCAAGAGATTGGTGAGCATCAGGGGCGGAATCGACGAGCTGAAGCGACGGAGCCCGCTCACAGCGAGAATGGTCTCATGGTAAGTGCTTCACGTGTGAGATGAGAATGACTGCTGATAAGAGACTGATTTTAGGGTATCGATGCTTGTCATGGAATCCCCCCAGTTCCCAACCAAGGATGATGCGGGCGATGGAGACGGAATCAGCGCAATACCGCAGTGGCAGCTTGCCTCGGCAGATGCAGAGGGCCAGCATGAAACCTTGGACACGTCTTTGGACACCTTGAAAATTACACCACCCATGATCAACATCTTGTCTCGACTGAGAAGAATACTCCACCTTACATGGCACTCGAGCCTCGACAACACGCAGTTGCACGACCTCACCTGTTTCGTTGTGCACAGACTGCTGCTGCTGCCTCCATTGACGGATACAAATGCAGATGCAGACACGAACCCAGTGCAATTGGCGGCTTCTGAGTGTCTTCGATACGCGATTGCACTGTACATGCTCATCATACATGGCACGACATATTATTCCCACGCCGGCTTGGCGAACGCCATCCTCCGCCAGCTCAGGTACCATCTCGTGGTCTTACAAGCGGCAGCGGTAGCATCGACAACCGATTATATCCACGGCCCACTGGATATCTGGGTTATCTCCGTGGGCATGGTGGCCACCGCTAGCAATGGTTTGGAAAGAGACCACGAGTGGTTCATGGATCAAGCGTGTGCTTCTGCAGCAGCTCTCGGGTTGAGCAAATGGGACGACGTCGTCTCGCATCTGCAGGTCATCCTCTGGGCCAGGATGCCGCAGGAAGAGCTTTTCCGCCAGGAATGGGAGCGAGCATTTGTCAAGATGAGTGTGACATGAGGGACGGCTATCCATACAAGGGGACTCTATCGGAATCCCATCACGACAGGGGGGGAAACAGAATCGCCGGGTTTATCATGCGGAAAAAAAGAAACCATGAAATGTCTGACCCCACAAGCCACGATCCATGAGCTCGGAGTCTAGAACTATTTAGGCTTAGACTCCGAATGTTTAAATCACGGCGGCAGGTCCGGGATCACTTGGGCCTCTTTCGGCCTTCTTCTGGCACCATACAAGCACGAGCGTCTGTGTCTGTCTCTCGGGGTTTAGTACATAATTGGCTGCTGAGCAACTCCCTGTATGAGCAAACACACCACTTCGAGATGTCGAAAGGCTGCGATGAATACGAGTACGAAGAGCCTCACCGGCCGGTTCGCGGATACGCAGCCTGCCGTCTCTCCATCTTCTCTCGGATCCTCGTTCACCACATCTGACCACTTTTCCCATGGCCTGAGACAGATCGCCATTGGCCGAGTCAAACAACTCCGTTCCCAGCATAATTACGTGAAGGGTGAAGATGTCTGCCACTAGTTACACACTTAAAGTCGTCTCTTGCCCGTGGGTTTGTCCTGTTCTGCTGTCCAGATGTCTTGTGTCATTCTTTAGCAGGACACGCTGTGGGTGATAAGCTCCAATAAAACACCATGGCCACCATCATCGAAGGCAGCATGCCCCTCTCGGTTGAGAGCTCGACCAATGCCACTCAGCACCGCGCCTCAGGCTTGGTAGAGAGCCTTTGGTCAAGCTATTCAGCGACGTCTAACTGGCAGCTTGCCATCACAGCCTTGCTTGTTCTGGTTGCCTATGACCAGTGTAAGTTGCTCTTACCATACTACACACAACTCTTCTCCTACGTATTGCACGGATCGCTGATGCGAGAACAGACTTATACATCTCACGCAAGGGATCGATTGCCGGGCCCAAGTTCAAAATCCCCCTTATTGGACCGTTCCTGCAAGCCATCTACCCCAAGTTCGACGCATATCTCGCCCAGTGGGCCAGTGGCCCCCTCAGCTGCGTGTCTGTATTCCACAAGTAAGTGTTCTGCGGGCATCATTACATTCAGCCCATGTAGTGCGTTGCTAAGGCCTCGATAGATTCGTCGTCCTGGCATCAGACCGCGACCTGGCACACAAAGTCTTCAAGTCCCCAACCTTCGTCAGACCATGCCTCGTCCCGATGGCAATCAACATCATGCGTCCCACGGCATGGGTCTTCCTCAACGGCAAAGCGCACGCCGAGTTCCGCAGAGGCCTGACCGGGCTGTTTACGAACAAGGCCCTGAGCACCTATCTGCCCGTCCAGGAAAAGGTCTATGCGGACTACTTCAACAGATTCATCGAGCACAGCAAGTCTCACGGGGGAAAGCCAACAAAGTTCATGGGTTGGTTCAGGGAGATCAACTGCGCGCTGTCCTGCCGCACCTTCTTTGGCGATTACATCTCCCAGGAGGCCGTCAAGCGGATCGCGGACGACTTCTATCTCATCACCGACGCGCTCGAGCTCGTCAACATCCCGCTGTCCATCCACATCCCCTTCACCAAGTGCTGGCGGGGCAAGCGCACGGCGGATGCCGTCCTGGCGGAGTTTACAAAGTGTGCTGCCGCATGCAAGCTGAACATGGCCTCTGGCGCTCAGCCGACCTGCATCGTCGACCAGTGGGTGCAGCACATGTTCGAGTCGAAAAGGTATAACGAGGCCGTTGCCGCGGGCGTCGAGGGCCTCGAGAAGCCGACGAACCTCATCCGGGAGTTTTCGGATGAGGAGATTGCCCAGACGCTCTTCACCTTCCTCTTCGCCTCGCAGGACGCTTCCAGCAGTGCCACGACATGGCTCTTCCAGATCTTGGCTCAGAGGCCGGACGTTTTGGATCGCCTCCGGGCAGAGAACCTGGCTGCCCGAGGCGGCGACAAGAACCGCCCCTTTGAGCTCGAAATGCTCGAGTCGCTCACCTACACCAACGCCGTGGTGAAGGAGCTCCTCCGCTACCGCCCGCCCGTCATCTTCGTGCCCTACCTCGCCCTGAAGCCCTTCCCCGTGACGCCGGACTACACCGTGCCCAAGAACGCCATGATCATCCCCTCGTGCTATCCCGCCCTGCACGACCCGGCAGTGTACCCGAACCCGGACGTGTTCGACCCGGAGCGCTGGATCACGGGCGACGCCGAGTCCAAGACGAAGAACTGGCTGGTCTTTGGGGCCGGCGCGCACGACTGCCTCGCGCGGCGGTATGTGCCGCTGACGATGGCGGCCATGATTGGCAAGGCGTCGCTGGAGCTCGACTGGGTGCATCATGCGACGGAGCGGTCGGAGGAGATTCGGGTTTTTGCTACGTTGTTTCCCATGGTATGTCTTTCTTCTGTGTCTTCATCTGATTGACTATGAGAGGTGTGAGCGATCTAACGGTTACCTAGGATGAATGCCCTCTTGTCTTTACGAAACGCGAATAGACGTATGATCAAAGGCTACTATACTATTAATAATGACTTTCTAGACTTGGCTCGAAGTGTCCCGGTCACTGGGACGCTTTATTACCGACACTGAGAGATACAAATCACCTCTACCTTACACAATGATGTTGGTGGCACGAATGTCTTCTGGGGATACCAGGACTATGGAGGAAGAAGTGATGCCATAGAATTTGATGTATGCTCAATATTCCTGTAGAGTAGATTAACTGCTGGCAAAAAGCCAGTCAATTACCATATGATAAACTTTGCGTCGCCGTTTCGACGTAGAACCACCGTGGTTATATTAACAAGTCTGCGACTTAAGGTACATGTATTCTATTGTACAAGCAGTGATAGCCGCAACAGGTCAAGGATGGTAAGTTTGATCTATGCTGATCGCATTCATTTCTATAGAAAATGCTCCCTTATAATATGAGTCCTTATGGAGCGTTTATCCAGAGAGCCTTTCACCATCAGAAGAGATAACTGCTTGGGGAGAAAAGTTCAAGTAGAGTTTGCTGTTCAAAGATCACCGGGCCGGTCTATACCCCTCCCTCCGGATCTGCCATAGTGACGCCGGCTCAACAACCTGGCAGGGCAGCTCCAGCCGGTGTACTGCATCTCCATGAGAAGAAATATCTCTATAGATACGCTGCTGCCTGATGTGAAGCTCAGGGAAAGGCAGCCTTGCGGCAGCGAGTTCCCATTCCTTGATCACAAGAGGATCCTCAGTCAAGGACAGGCGCCAAGTTGCGCGCCAAGTGATGGACACTCCGTCCCTGTCAGCACGGTATATAAACGCACAAGCATGCCCCCTTGCGCCATTCCAGAGCACAAACGTGTGCAACTCGGGCATCTTCTGCGCGAGGATCCCGGCTTCGCGTAGCAGGGCGTAGATGTGCTGCCGCAGGGTCTCGTCCTGTCTCAGGAGATCCGATGTGAGTGCCAGGGACTGCATATGAGGCCAGTTCCATGACGGCCGACATTGTCTAAGGAACTCTTCGGCGTTGACCGTGAAGGAAATGGAAAGGTGTTGCAAGTCGCGGCTTCGAAATGCAAATCTCGCGCTGAGCCGCAGGTCTTCGGGGTACGGGCTGGACCAGGACCCATGGGACGATCGCCTTGGGAAGCGATTGTAGAAACCATAAGAATCCTCGAATACCGTCAACCTTTTCAGAGTGCCAGGGAGAGCAGTTCTGACTAGGAGAGCAAGTTCTGGCTCTCAGCATTAGCAATAAAGGATCTGCATGTTTTTCGAACATGGTGAGAGGTCTCATCTCGTACCTTGCTCACGCATTTGCTTCTCCGAGGGCATTGATGCCGCCCACGGCTCGTAGACCATGTGCTCAAGGCGGACGAGTGAGTCGAGCAGCTGTCTCACTCCCGATGAAAAGACGTAACGCCGGAGCTGTCGACGCATTAGGAAGCAGGTGACTGCTTGGACTCGGGGCAGCGGTTCTTGGAACCACAGAAAGATGGGCTGGAAGAGCTTCATGATGGCAGGCCTTGGAGGGCCTGCAACCTGTCGACCGTGCAGCCAGCCATGTGTCAAATCATGGCACCGAGCTTCGGCCCTCCACGAATCCAGTGGTACGTTGCTGTCCTCGCCTTCCTCGACATCATCGGTGGACAAGTATATGTTTTTGAACCAGTGTTCGCGGTCGCTGGGGGAGTACACGTTGAGCTCCAGCGCCAGGTCGCCCGCTGGCTCCCAAGCACTGAGGATGGCAAAGAGCTTCCACACTCCATCGCTGACGACGGTGATCGTGTTATCCTATATAGCAAGCCGTCTCCCGCAATCGGGACACGAGTACCGTGGTAGTTTGATGTCGAGGCAGATGTGGCGAATGATGCGTCTCCTCTGCGGCGAAGCGACGCGGTCAAAGTCGTCGAGACAGGACACGCGCAGCTTCAGCTTCTGAAAGTTGGCGTGTTCAAGGACGCCCTGCCATTCAGTGCACACGGACGCGAGAGCAGCCCAGCCTGGGTGTTTCTGCCGTGCGATTGTCTGGAGGATGATTGTTCGAATCTCGGCGGGGAGAGATGCCCATTTGAATCCTTCTGGCCTCGCCGGGCTAGGATTCACCATTCCGCGGCGTTTGGGTAGAAGTAAAGATGCGACAGTTAGCTGTGTATAGATGCTGCAGTCGAAGAGAATGATGCCTAATGGAAGAGTGTCAATCTTGTCTGCGGATCGAATACATTATCAAGGTCTTGTGATATAGTCTGGCACACTTGACTCGTACCTTCCACCTCACCCCATTCCGCAGTCTCTTACATGGTACATCATTCACACTTGATCTGTTGAGAGTTTGGTGGCGGAGTGACTTTGGTTGCCAGAGAGCTTACATGTATCTTTTTGAGTCTTGAAGTTGGCGATTAACTCTGATGGCTTCTGCTGTTTCAACCACTCGACTCTTTCAGGGTTCAGTATAGTCATTCATTTACGGGTATATTACTGGTATGAAATCTTCATTGAACGTGACATATACCAACAGCATAACAACTAGCTCTCCGTCGCCGCCCTCTGTCTATACTCCTCTGCCAGACGATCCAGAACCTCGACAGCCTCCCGCTCCCTCCCCAGCGGCACAAACAAATGGTCGTGATAGAACCCGCTGACCGGATTCACGCCCATTGCAACCTCTGCCAGCCTCGTCGCTATCACGGCCATGAAGCCCACGGCCTCGAGGCTCGACGTCACGTTGAGCGTCAGCATCTTGCAGGGGAAGAAGTAGTCGATGCCGTGCGCCGTCGCGTAATCCCTGGTGACGATGACGGTAATTCCCTCCTCTTCTTTGAACAGGAGCTGTGTGTCTTGTAGGGGTGGGAGGCGTGATGTGTCGGTAAGAGTTGCGAAAACGAAGATGGGCTCATGCAGGGTGGTGGTGAGCGTGGCGAGGAGCTTGGCCAGGGACTTTTCGCCGGGATCGCTGGCAAGGGCGGACATGGTGATGGATATGATGTTGATTGAGCTATCGGTGATATCGTGATGCTGCCGTGTCGATCTTATTGGCACCAGATGTACTCCGAGTAGCTGGTTTGATGCTTGTGAAGCCATTCGTCTTTATACAAAGTGTTTCCTGGTGAGAAGTAAGCGCCGGTCTTTCGCAGGGCGCGCCCGGCGTACACACAAGGTAGTCTACAGCCACATTCGGCTAGAGGACGGACCAAAATATACATCGCATTCTTGAGGGATTCTGTAAGAGCACCAGCCTCGGGGAACAGTACTAGAATAGAGACATATATTCAATATAATCCATCAAGCGGTTGCTCAATCTTAGTGTCAAATGAGAATTGTTAAGTCACCTCCGAATAATGTTGCACATACACATATGCTGTCTCCTCTCCCTTCCCCACTACGTAATATCAGAGTCGCCTAAAGATTCGAGTTATCCGCACTTTTAAACACACCGTGCCGCCCAGCACCTGCGCTGAACTGGGCTGCTCCCTTGATGCTCTCCGTGGTGATGACCTGAGCCCCGTTGGCGAACTCGTTCCTCAGAGCATCCTCAAAAGACGTCGCGTTGTAGGCCGAGTAGTAGCAGTTGGACCGGTCCACGTTCATGCACGCCTGGGGGAATCCCAGCAGCTGCCGCGCGATCTTGGTCGCCTCCTCCAGAGCCTGGCCCTTGGGCACGACGCGGTTGGCCAGGCCCATCTGGAGGGCCTCCTGTGCGCCGACCGGCCGTCCGGTAAGGATCAGGTCCAGGGCCCGGCCGAGCCCGACAATGGCCGGCAGCCGGACGGTGCCGCCGTCGATGAGCGGCACGCCGAAGCGCCGGCAGAAGACGCCCAAGACGGCGTCCTCCTCAACGACGCGCATGTCGCCCAGCAGCGCCAGCTCCATGCCGCCCGCCACGGCATAGCCCGCCACGGCGCAGATGACGGGCTTCTTGACCTGCAGCCGCGAGGGCCCGATGGGGCCGATCTGGCGGCCGCCGGTCACGGCGTGCGAGCCGTCGACGATCGGGCCCTTGTACGCGTCGTCGCCGGGGCCGTCCCACTTGGCCACCTCGTGTAAGTCGAAGCCCGCGCAGAACGAGCCGTGGGCGCCGTGGAAGACGCACACCTTTTGGCTGGCGTCGTCCTCAAACGCGAGGAAGGCCTCGTGCAGCTTACGCGCCGTAGGACCGTCGACAGCGTTCCGGCGGTGGTGCCTGTTGATGGCGATGGTGGTGATGCCGTCGGCAGTCTTGGAGACTTGCACCGATGAGGCGTCGGCTTCGGCGGATGTCATTGTGAAGGGGCTTGGGGGTCTGTATTTGAGCCTTTTGAGCCTCCCTGAAAGAGAACTGCTCTACATCCGATGAACGTATTTATAAAGCAATAATTTCCTCCGGTCATCCGAACAAAAGGCGCAGATTACATCTCCATCTATGAGGAGTTCGGAGTCGGTGTGGAGAAAGACGGCCGAGGGGGGGATAGAAGCCACCCGTGAAAAGCCGGCGGTTTGCTGACACCTGCCACAGCCTCGGGCGAAGAATAGCGGGAGGCCTTTGGTTGCTTGAGTAGGAACAGAGAGGAAACAAGAAGACAGAGAAACTTAAGAAGGACAAGCTCAGAGAAGAGCTGGCAAGGCCATTTCACCTGATGAGCCGCACTTACTGATGGGGTGGTCGTAATATGGAGGGGGGGCGGAAGAGCTCACACGTACGAGACTTGCTCATGAACTCATATAATAAAAATAAGCCACAAGTCAATTACATACATGCATTCAAATACTATCCAGTGGTAGTCGCTTAACATTTCTACTTAGGACGCATACAATATCAGCAGTGTTCAGGCGCTGTGGTTGGTCTCTTGAGCCTCAAATCGATTGAGGTTGCTGCCTTAGCCTATCAACAATCATTTCACGAATACAAGAAATGCTACTGCAGGGAGGACACCAATCGCATTGCTTGTAGAAATCAGTCTACCCCGCGAATTGTAATGCCTGCATGAGGCTCACGTCAAGGCAGATTCGGTTGGCAATTGGGCTCGGTGCAGCAACCCAACTGTCTTGACTTCTGCCATCTCTCATCTTGTTGTATTGAGCTCAATGTACTGCAAGTCGCCATGCCTGGAACATCTCATAATTTGTTTCATCGTCTGCATGGGAGATTGAGATCAAGATCAAGGGGAGACCGTGGCAATGCCTCCAGGGTCTCCATGCCGACGCCGACCATCCAGAGCGGAGACGCGATCCAAACTCGAGCAGACGTATTTCTTGCTCCTCCTGAACCTGCCGATGAACTTCTCTCGGAAGCTCTGGTTGAAGCCTCTGTTCGAACCACTGAAGCTGCCGTTGACACTCTTGCAATCGTGCCTCGGGCCGATCAAAGACTTTCTCACGTTGAAGAGTCGACTCGGGAGCCTCATCCTTCGAATGTGGTGCGTCTCTGGGATGAGGCTTATGACGCCGTCCAGAAAGATGATGCAAAGCTCGTCGAGGGATATGAGAAAATTCTTTCCCATTATCTGAATGGCCAGGGTTCCATCGCCAACTCAGATACACCACCGACGAATACCATCGCTTCTGATAATCGCCATACAAGGCGTGAGCAGATGGATGAGTTTATTCGTATTGGCCTCAGCAGAACGAGACGAGAGGCCAAGTCAAGACCAGACGGCCTCGGAGCGACTATGGAAATCGTGCACTCTTTGAAGGAAATGGTCAATACCGCGATAGCCGCCCTTCCACAAGTTTCTCTTGCCTGGTCCGGCGTGTGGGTTACTCTAGGAGTAAGTGGACATCGTGTAGCCGAGGGTATTCAGTGTACTGACCACGTATGTTTATCTGTGAAGATGTTTGAGAATGCAATCAATGAGGCCGCTTCGAAGCGCGACGGAATCGAATACATAGTTACCCGCATTAGGTGGTACGGCAACCTCTCCGAAGTGCTTCTTGAAGGAAGTGATCTAGATGGCGCCGCCCTATCCGAAATGAAGAGCGAGCTTGAGACCCGACTTGTCGAGCTTTACAAAGCACTACTTGTTTACCAGATGAAGAGTGTCTGCTCATATTACCGAAACCGCTCCCACAATTTCCTGCGGGACCTGGCGAAGCTCGATAATTGGGCAGTTAGCATTCAAGATATTCAGAAGGCTGAAGACAGCTTGCGCCGCGATATCGGGGGATTTGGTAACCAACAAGTTCGGTCACGACTGGAAAATATTGCGGGCCACATCAAAAGTCAGGAGTTAGAGATCAAAGGCATAGCGAAAACTCTGGAGGAGCAGCTTCGCAGAGAAACAGCCGCCGAAGATCAAGAGTGCCTGAGGGCTCTGTGGCCGCATGACCCCTATGTTGAAAAGAGACGGATCGAGGATACAAAGGGAGGCCTCTTGCAGGACTCTTTCAGCTGGATACTCGAAAACGAAGACTTTCAGAGGTGGTTCCAGGATCCAGGACGCCCATTGCTGTGGATCAGAGGTGATCCAGGCAAGGGAAAAACGATGCTCTTGTGCGGCATTGTCGACAGCCTCCAGAAGCTGGCGCCATCCAGTCTCGTCTCTTTTTTCTTCTGTCAGGCGACGGACCAGCGAATCAACAACTCGGCTGCAATTCTGAGAGGTCTGATATTCCTCCTCGTCGACCAACAACGCCATCTCTTGAAGCATGTGCGGGACCGCTATGTCCACCAAGGGACATCTCTGTTTGAACCACCAAGCGCGTGGTATGCCTTATCCGACATCCTCCAGTCTCTTCTGGCTGAGTTGGATGCCAGTAAACAACCCACTTGTCTTTTGGTTGACGCACTCGACGAGTGTGTTAGCGAGGATGTACCTCAACTTCTCGACTTCATTGTGAAGATGTCTAGGGAAACGCCGTACGTCAAATGGGTTGTCTCGAGTCGCAATTGGCAACATATTATCGGCAAAATGGAGAGACTTGGACCAGAAGCCCAACTCAGTCTGGAGCTGAACGCGGAATCAGTGGCCTCGGCTGTTCAGGTATACATCCGTCAGAAGGTTCTAGAATTAAGCGAAGACAAGAAATATAAAGAAGACAGAGAGAAGGAGATCCGAGACTACCTCTCAGCCAATGCTGATGGCACCTTTCTCTGGGTAGCATTGGTTTGCCAGAACCTTCAGAGTGTCCCATCATGGAAGGCTCTGGAGACGCTGGCAGCTGCTCCCCCTGGACTAGAGCCTTTCTATGAAAAGATGTTCCAGGGCATCAGTAGCTCCGACGGAGCCGAGATCTGTGAGCGCATTCTTACTGTTGCCACAGTCGCCCGCCGACCACTCACGCTGCCTGAACTCATTGCGCTCGCAGCAACACCAGGAGAACCAGACGAGAAAACTCAAGCTGTTCGTGACCTCATAGGGCAATGTGGTTCACTCCTTACCATTCGGGATAAAGTTGTCTATTTCGTTCATCAGTCAGCGAAAGACTTCTTATTCGAGATGATCACGAAGCAACAGTTCTCCCTTGGGATGAGCAAGGCCAAAGGTTACATGGTGACAAGGTCCATAGAGCTCATGTCCCAGGTCCTCAAGCGCAATATTTATCAGCTGAGTGAGCTGGGAATCCGTAATGATGGGTTCCAAGCCCATGATCCGATCCAAGACCCTGATCCTATCCAAGCCCCTAATCCGATCCAAGCCCCTGATCCGGACCCGCTAGCCCCCATCGGATATTCTTGCGTCTTTTGGCTTGACCATCTCGCGGATCTGGATAACAGCGAAGACAACGAGATGGCGACCGATGATGCCCAAGACACGCTTGTCTCTGCACTTGTCTCTCAAATCAAGACGTTTATTGGTACCAAGTATCTTTACTGGTTGGAGGCCCTTAGTCTTTTGAAAAAGATGCCAGAAGGCATCATCGCGATGAGAAAGTTGCGGAAATTCTTCGTCAGTTTTACCAAACTCTCGACTTGTCCCTGTATACAGCACCCATGATCCCTGAGAATGCAATGCTAACGTTCGGAGACTCTTTAGGGGAATCGGATGGGACAAGACTCAGATAACTTGATTCAAGATGCCTATCGATTTATCCTGGCAGCCAAACAAACGATCGAAGAATTCCCGCTTCAAGTTCATCCATCGGCCCTCATGATTTGTCCAGGCGGCAGCAAGATTAGGAAGCTCGCTTTGGAAGAAAGACCCCAGTTATTCGTGATGAAACATGGCGTACGAACGTCCTGGGACTCATGCCTGCAAACATTGAATATGCATTGGAATGCCACATGTGTAGCCTTATCTCCAGACGGCAATCTCGTGGCGTCGAAATTTGAATTCGGCATAAGTGTCTGGGATATGGCCACCGGGACCTTGCTGAAATTTTTTCAGAGGCCTTTGGGGGGGGCCAACCACGTAATGTTCTCCCCGAATAGCCAGCAAGTGGCCGCAGTTGCAGATGACAAAGCTATTGTCATTTGGGATATTGGATCCGGCGAGGCAAAAATGAAATTGGAAAGCGATGGGGGCTGGCCCTACAATCCATGCTTCTCGCCGGATGGAAGTCGCCTCGCGGCCAAATGTGGTACCTACATCCTGATCTGGGATCCGAATTCCGGCGAACGAATTCACAAGTTGAACGACAATCAGTCTGTCGGCGCATTATCGTTCTCACCAGATGGCAAGCGACTGATCTCATGCTCTCACGAGGGGGCTATAACGGTCTGGGATGCGGGTGGGAAATGCATGAGCACTCGGACAGAATCCTGGCCTAAAGCTTACGGCTATCCGTGCATCGCACCCGACATCTCTCGTGTAGCATTCCGTTACACAGCTGAGAGCATTGGTATTTTCGACATAGCCTCCAGTCGATGTACCAGAGCCAAGAACCTTGGTATGATTGCGGCTGGCCCAGAATTCTTCCCAAATGGTCGGCAGCTGGCCGTGGCCCTTTGGAGCAGTGAGATTAAAATCTGGGACATCGATGGAGACACTCCCGTGAGGACATTGAGAGGCCATTATGAGCAAATAATGTCAATTGCGATTTCGCGCGATGGCAGTCGCTTGGTATCATCGTCAAGGGCCTATTCTATGAAGATATGGGATGTAAGCCCGGAGGTAGATGATTCATGGCTAAGGACGCCTTACCGTAAGCCAGAAATTATTGCCTTATCACCAGACGATGTGACTTTGGCATTAAGCTACCGAGATGGAAGTGGAATCATCGACATTTGGGATACAGCCAAAGGCGAGCAGGTGCAGACATTCACTGGCCACACGTATGAAGTCCGCCACATGTCGTTCTCACCAGATGGGCGACTCCTGGCGTCTGCATCACCACCTCATCACGTCAGAATCTGGGATATGGCTACAGATACTTGCGTGTACATACTGAATGGCCGTTCCCGCGAGGTCTGTTTGGTAAAGTTCTCACCTGACTCTTGCAAATTGGCGTCAGTGTCGACATATGACGGTACAATTACAATCTGGGACCTTGCTGCAGGGTCATGCGTTGTGTTAGAATGCGAGTCTCGATGCCGCATGCCCGTTGACTTCAATAAGGATGGAACAGTCCTTGCCTCGGGCGGAGGTCACAATGGAATCAGAATATGGGATGGCGTCACAGGCCGGTGCATGCACACCTTGATTTATTCTCCAGCAGGGCCTACTATATGCGTGGCTTTCTCTCTAAATGGTGCGGCATTAGCATCAGGAACATCTATGGACGTCAGAATCTGGAAGCAAACTGATGGACAGTTTGCTTGTGTACAGATGCTGGAATTAGATTTCCTCCTCTTCTCGCTAGCCTTTTCTCCAGATGGCAGGCAAATCATCTGTGGTTCGACAGACTACGATAGAACAGAAGTATGGAACTTTGATGCTTCGTCGAGCTCGGCAACCTTTTGCCTGACGCTCCCGTGCGATTCGAGTTCATACATCTCATCGACGTTCGGGGAGAGCGAAACGCGAGGTACCTCAGATCATTGTTTGTACGGCTTGAATGAGACGGGCCGTGAGATTATTCGAAACGGCGTGATGATTCTTTGGCTGCCTGACACCAATCGCCTGCTACTCAATAATATCCTAGGCAAGACACACAAGCCCTGGTTTTTGGTACGTGGCAGCACAGTCGTAATTCAGGACCGCATGTGTGGATGCATGATTCTTTCGTTTACATAACTACCGCATCTCTATGGGATGAAGCAAAATGTGGAAGCTGCAGCACAATCTAAGACACAGGGGTGGTTATGCCTTGGGAGAAAGCTTGTGGTACCCAATCCAAAATGATGTAGCTGGAGGAGCGTGACTACATGTGAAGGTATTTGTAATGGTACTATGATGTGAACAAAAGACCAGAGAAGCTGGAAGGAGCATGAAGCCCATGTACGCCTGTAGTGTCGAACGGCACTATTTCAGGTTATATTCCTTAACGTCTTCCACTTCGTCGCCCATCATAGTTGGCCTATACAAGTAAACTATGACGGAGCCTGTATTTGGTCTGCATCTATTTGTTCAGCATTGCTTCACCCTCACTATAGACTAAGATTGGGGTCAATCCTCCATATATAGCAGTTATTCTCCACGATCCCTCCTTGCTTCCCGTTGACGCCAGCGCAGTTACAGCTGTCCGCGGGCACAGACAGATACTTCTCACACAAGGTCATGTCAAAGTTGGGGTTGTCTCGCCCCTGGAGGTCTCTCCGACTCAGCGCGCTGATGATGTCGAAGCTGCACCGCGGCTTGATCTGGAGCGATATCGTAATGTCGACCGTGCCCAGGCCTCCGTTGTACGGGAACGGAAAGTCCTTGGACGCAAAGTAGCCGGGACCCAGGATGTCGTTGGAGATGTCGCCGCAGAAGCTCTTGGCCGCGTTCTGCATCCGCACGTCCTCGGTCGTCTCGCCGCTGTTGTAGCACTTGACGGAGTTGGTCCGCGGGTCGCCTTGGACGTACTGCGACGGCGCCGGGCGGGTGGGTGATGCTTTGGAGCTGGTCGTAGTCTTTGAGCTGGTCGTGGCAGGGCATCTCGTCTTCGCGTCCCAGATATTCTCAACGTCATCGCCGTCGCCGCCGGGAGAGCTGAAATTGCCAAAGAACCATGGCTGAGTGACGCAGTTTGGGTCCTCGAAGCTGAGAAAGGAGCATTCCAGCCCCAGCGGACCTTCAGGAAAGCCGAAGATAGGCTCGATGCCCCGTTTGGGCCAGCTCCCGGAGGGCGGCGCAGGGGCATCGGGACCGATGGACTTGGGAGGCTTGGGGAAAGGCCCTGTAGCGGACGTCGTGGTCTGTTTCCCGTCGATGCCGCCGTTGTAGACAACAGCAGGCCAGAACGGTGTCGTTGCTGGGACGGGCCACAGAGTTTCTGCAGCCCGTTTGTTCTTGGCGGCGGCGTCCTGGGTCAACGTTGCCACCTCAAACACCCACTCCGTAATGGTCAGCGGTGGCTGCGTGATTGTGCTCGTCCAAGTTCCCTGGCTGACGGTGATGAGAGGGTAATCAACGGTGCTTGTTGCGCCGGTCCACGGCGGTATCTTGACATTGCAAGGGGGAGAGCAGGTGAACTGAGGCTGATCCATCTCCCAGATCTCGGGGTCGATCCAGATGTACTCTTCGAAGTCAGTAGTACCGTTGCTCCCTACATCGAGAAGGCTGATCTGAGACCAGTCAGGGTGGACATCGACGTTGAGGTTGTCCGCAGCCGCGATGCCTTTGCCGTCCATAACAGCCATGTACTTGGAGCCAATTGTCACGAGATTCGTAATGCGAATGTTGGCGAAGTTGTCTTTGAGAAGCATGATGGCTTTCTGACACTGCTGCGTATCGATGCAGCTTTGGGAATAGGTCGAGAACCACTATGACCATGTTAGTTCGGCCACTGCATCCCGGTGGAAGTCCAACTTACCGAGTAAATGCCTGCAGCCGCAATGAATATGTTCTTGGAGCCTGTGATAATGGTAGACCAGGATTCGTCACAGCCGCTGAAGTCGTCTCCTGCAGCACACGTATAATCGGGATCCCCGGGGAATTTACCAACAACGTCGGCAAACGGAGCTGGCGGCGGGGGCGTTGGCTGGTAGTAGGGCGATTCAGTCTGCAGCATGCCGGCATATATGTTTGATGCCGAGTGGAAGTTGTACTGATAAAAGACAGAGTGCTCCGAGGCAGTGCCGTAAAGCCTACAGTTCAATCACATCATTAGTCTTGTCTTTGCACAGGCTGTGAGAAGAAGCTCACCAGGTAGGATTCGTGCTCTCGATCAAGAAGCCACGAGCAATGTAGATGGAGGTTTGGACCATCGTATTATTTGCATCATTCAGATCAGGGTCGCTGAGAGATGTCAGTCACTATTGTCCACATACTATTCCACATATTCCATGTCAAACTTACTCAATCATATGGTCAGCTCCCCAGAGCCACATGTTCTCAAAGTAGCCCGACGCAGACTTCGTCAGGTGCATCATCAGACTGGCAGCAGAACATCCCGGGTCGATGCCACTCGTGGCGGGAGGACACTCAGCAGGCGTCAACTCCGTTCCTGTGGCACCTCCCACCCGTGCGTGGCAATCCCAGAGCCCGGCGGAGCCTTGAGACTCAGCCTGGAGATTCCATTCGACAAGAATGACACCGGCCGTCGGGCCACGGGTCGTGAATAAAAGATCTTGCATTTCTACATTGCCAATCTCCCCGTCTGTTCCTACTTGGATCAAGACTTTGGGATTGCTGTAGCACACAGATAGTTAGATAATGATGGAGAGAGAAATTGAAACTAAAAGAGATGGGTTTCGCTGGATAACTCATTGGAAGTTGATTCAGTGAAACGATTACATCGCACGTACCTTGCATCCGAGAAATACGAGCCCGCCGCAGCCAGTTGCGACCAAGTCTCTCCCACAATCTTGGCACCCGAAGGAACGGTAATTGTCGAGGTGAGGATATACGTTCCGGCGTCAACAAAAAGAATCTTGCCCAAGCTGGCATACAGGGCGGCCTGGAAAGCTGCCGTGTCGTCAGTGGAACCGTCGCCTGCACAGCCGAGGTCCTTGGTATGCAGAAACGACGAAACAGCCTGGTCTTCGTACTGAGGCCTTGCGCGCTCAAAGTAGTTGCCTTCACTATCCAAGAGAGTTGAATGCCTGCGGTACTCTCCAATCTTGCCACCGTTGGAAAAGGAGCGAGCAGTCGACGCGCCTTCGTAGACCGGTCCGACCACCCACTGGTCTATAAGGCCCGACGAAGCCAGGAGGGTTGCGCCGGAGGTATCGGCGACGGCCACGCCAACTCCTGAGAGGGCCACGTTCTCGAGAGACACTCCCGTGCTGCCGCTTCCAGGAGTCGACTTGATGGGGTTGACAACGATTGCTTTGCTGACGCTTGAGAAGGACGAGTCCAAGATGGAGACGGAACCAACTGCGAGAAGGAGGACGGTCAGTATTGTATCCAAACACCACCAGACAGGAAATAGGAGACAATCTTAGAAAGGGAGCTCATAGATCACTCACTATTCCCAACGCCACCATCACCAACAAGCTGAAACCCAGTGCCCACGCCTTTCATCGTAATAGACTTCCAGACCCAGCCCCAGTCCCAAATGACCTGGACGCCAATATCGCAGCCATTAAAGGTGAGGCGCTGCGCCGTGAACTGCTGACTGCCGCCCTTGAGGCCGATGCCGCCGCCGGTGAACGTGATGTCGGAGATGCCTCCGCCACTGCCATTCTCGGCGAACATGCCAATCTGCTCCGTGCCAGCCTCAGCGATCAGCTCGACGTTTTGGGTGCTCGTGGCTTGAGCGACCTGATAGTGGATGCATGTGATGGTGGCTCCGGCGGTGACTTGTCGAACGTCTACGATGATGTTTCGGATCTGACGGTAGAAGTTGGCAGTGTTGACATAGTATCTAGAGAATGGAGAGTCAGCTTCTGCAAAGTCCAGAAGATTTATGATTCACGTACTCAGGGTCTCCGCCGTCAATTCCAGTGCCTCCTGTACCGGTATACTCATCCGTGGACAGTACACCCAGACCAACAAAGCTTGGAGCAGCTACGAGAGTCGGTCGGTTGTTGGCATCACCAATGACCTGCGTGCCAAAGGGCATGGCGATGGTAGAGGATACCAGGTACGTTCCTGGTGGGAAGTACACGATGGCGTTCTTGGTGGTTGACCCGTTGCAACCCTTGCCACATCGTGTGCTGTTCGTCCCCATCGCCTTGTTGATGGCCTTTGTATCGTCCGTGACACCATCCCCCACCGCTCCATAGTCGAGCACATTTCTGAAGATGACCTGTAAGTCTAGTTATTAGCTGATGAATAACGTCGACGAGTCTCTAGGCAAGGATACTTACATAGTCTGGGTCGTCTCCCCAAGGCACTGTGCCTTTACGGGCAATACTGTCGTAAATACATGGTTAGCGAACCAATCTCTGATGAAATGGATACATATGCTTTTCTTGAACAGACACTTACTCTTGCATCCAAAACGTTCCCGAGCCGGCTGCAGCAGCGCGCCTCGTGACATTCCGTGACTTGGTCTTCATCTCTGCTTCGGCCACCAGGGCCGCCGCCGCGGCAATTTCCTCGGTAATGACCAGAAGCGGCGGGACATCCTTGTTGATAGATTTGATGCTGCTGTCGCCCGGAGCCGTGCCTCCAGCAATCTTCGTTCCGGGCCTCAAGGTGTACTTGTTGCGGAGCGGGCTCGCCACGCGCGCCTTATTGAGCTTCTGCGACTCGTTAAAGGCCTTGGCCACGATGCTGCGGGCAGACTTCAGCTCTGCCGCCGTGGCTCTCTTGATCAGCGGCGTGACTCGGTGGGATGGGATTCTCTGGGGCACGGGCTTCAGGTTGGCTGGTAGGCTCCTGGGAAGCGTCGCGTTGATACGCGATCTTGCCGCCGCCTCTTGCTGTTCCATCATGTCCTCCGCATCCCACTTGTATGGTCGATCCATGCCGGGAAGGCCGGGGATCTCAAGCAGGGGCATCGATCGACCCCCCAGATCTGGCTTGCTGATCTAGGCATGGGTAGAATTCACGGTCAGTGACGCACTCTTACTTCCGAAGCAGTCTAGGAAAATCCAGGTTCCCCGTGGGAACAAGAAAGGAACAGACAGGCAAGCCTGCAACTGCTCCCCTTCCAAGTCTTCCTCGAGGAATAGTAGAAGACCGCTTGGAAAAGACAAAGCTTCGACTTACAGTCAAGTTCTCGTGCACCCAAGTTTCGTAGCCCAAACCCGCCTTTACGCGGGCCTTGAGCTCTTCCACCGTCAGGCCTGGACCAGTCATGGTAGAATTCACGCGAATCTGGCGCTTTTCTTGGGTCGTGTACCGGTCGGCCACCAACTGGTCCGCATTGCCAATGTCCTCCATGACATATACACGGGCAGCGATGCCGTCCGGGCCATCATTATCGGCACGGAACCTGAAGAGGATGATCGACCTGGTCGGACTATAGCTAGCATCGTTCTGGGCTGCCGCTTGGAGCTCTAAGCGCAGCACGCCGTGAGAGAGCCCCTGCCCTGTCCCACTCATACTGGTCAGCGAGGAGACCTCTTTCTTTTTCTTCTACAACATTCGTTTTGGTTTAACTTACAATTCTGTTCCGCCTTGACAACAGGCTCGTTGAAGTTTGAGCAGGCGAGTGCGGCACACCGCGTGTTGGAAGGGGAACCTGCACCGTAGCCGTTACCGCCTTCAACCCTGATCACTGCATCAGCACCAACATTCGAGAAGTTCTTTCTTGCTTTTCATCTTCCTTGTTCAGCCATGTAAGGATTAGGCTAAAGCTGAGATTCAGGTCACTCCACTCAGGGTGCAAGAAGACATACCAGGTGGCTGGCGGAAATTCATCGCACGTGTACCGGATATTGGAGTATCTAACAACCTGGTTATTGACACGCAGGTTCTGTAGGTTATTGACAGTTGTCCCCGGCTCGAGTGCAGTCGTGAACCACTCGCCATCATGTCGCATGGGATTCCTCTGGCTCCCGTCCGCTTCTGGACAGGGGTGGCTGGTTTTCCAGCTATCCGGACAAGATGCAGACCGACGGTTCTCTTGATGAGACTTTGGTTGGCCTGTGCCAGCCTCGCCCGTGTCTAGATCATAGCCATATACATCGTTGGAGAGGCCGCTCTGGGGGTGCAGAGCCCGCCCCCGTGCGGACCCGCTGAAGATCTCGGCATTCTTGCAGATTTCTCTCATGTAGTAGCAGTTGTACACCAGGTAGACGGTGTAAGGCTCGATGTTGATAACGCGCCATGGCGCGATCTGTGGAAGAGACGTGCTTGAATCGTGTAAGTCAGCAAATACCGTTCACAGTATGGACCCGTTTCTCGTTGTGTATGAGGACATCTTACTACAGGTAGTTGCCAGGATTGGTAGTATCAGGCATATAGTCCTGCAAGTATTGAGCCTCTGTGACTTGAGGCAAGAAAAAACAAAACGGCGCCAGAAGCGCAACAAGCTGTAGGGCTACCATCCCGCCGACTTGGCGAGGCCAACAACAAGAGACAGAGAGAAAGCCGGTAAGGGATCAAAGCTTCTCGCACGCTCAATGTGGTTTGAAGTCATTGTGTCTAAGTGATGGTATATACCTGAATCATCCAGTATCTTGAGTAACTGCATATCGTGAAAGGAACGACTCTATCCGCGTAGAACCCATGCCCCGCCTAGTCAGGGGTAAGACGGCGACTAATGCAGGCAGAGTCCCTAACTGGCAATGCTGCGCCGCCGCGATGGAAGGGAGCTAGATGGAAGGATGCGTCTTCTCTCCACTTTCTGATCCTTCGATACCATATGCGGGGAATCATGCTGCCAATCAGTTATCATTCTCGCGAGGTGCCGAGAGATCTCGGGGGCCTCGGGGCGTCCCTGGCGCCTCGGTAAAGCACATGCAGTCTGCTAGATTGCTTTGGCACACCCAATATTCAATGTAAGCCCTACTCAGAGAGATCCTTCGTCCACTTACAAGATGCTACCCAAGGTAGTATCAGAAAGATGGGATTCTGCAGCTGATCAGAGGATAAATGAAAACGCCTGATCCCTTCGAATCTCACGATATCTCGACCCAGCCTATTACTCTGCCCCTGCCTCTACAGTATACTTCCCGTGTCTCGTTACAGATAATGCCCCGCGAGTCTACTTGAAGGATGCCGCCCCCAATACTACCACTCCAGTAAGTACAGCATTGTGCTCTGTGTAGACTGAAGTCTCCAATGAAGCATGTTCTGATCGAAAGCTGCCAATAGAAATGTAGGGACCGACCACCCGATCACATGCAGCCTCCCATCTGTACCTCCACTTTGCAGCTGAGAGCATGAACCACGCTGGGTCGACGATGCGAAGCCTGTGCTATACACACACAAGCCGGCTGATATCACGGATAACTCGGCCATGCTATCTATACACTGCCAAGACCATCGACTGAGATAATTTACTATTGAGGAACTTTTGGCTTTTGACTCTCCGTTAAGGGCCGAAGGCGGGAGGATCGTGAGAGTTTAGACTCTGTCTCGACCAAACAGAACTATTGCTCCTACCAGGCATCAACTCATCAAGCGCCAATAGGAGACAAGAGTCTTTCCTCCAACTTGCCCTTGCAGTTTAGCCATTGACACAACCAAGTTTACAGGTCAAGAAGCCCCTTGTGACCTTATCTAGAGGAAGATGAGCTACCTCTCTAACTTGATCTGCTCATGGTCCGCCGTTCGAAGATTAACTAGATGGACACGCTTCTCTATTGATGGTTCTTGATATCTCTGCTTCCGACACCAGGAGTGTCTTTCGAGCCACAAGTCTTCCATCGTCGTCGTCCATTCCTAGGACGTGATTCCTTGGGTCCCTCGCCTGAAGCTGTTGTCACCGACGTCAATCGCTCCATCACAGCCATGAAGTCCCATCAGAGAACATTTCGGTCGAGGCACCTTGTCTCATGGGCCATTGCCTTCTGGCTGACAGCTACTGTTCACGCCTCAGACCAATGTGCGCCCTCCATATGGCAGCCGGGACAATTCGAAGATCGGTTGTTCGTAGCTGCCACCGCTCCTCCTCCCACTTCTTCGTTCTCGTCCGGCGCAAGTACAGGCGTCTCCAGCTCTGTGGGCATCACGTCTTCCCCCGTGCCGGTGGTGATAAGTCCTGTTGTTTCCGGTGGGAACGTCACTACGGGCACGGTGAACTGCCGGTATGCGGGCAACACGGAAGGCATGGATATTAACTATTATACCTGCACCGCATTGGCAGTCCAGTACGGGATCAGCGTCGACACTTTCTTCATGTTGAATCCCGATGTAAATCCCGACTGTTCTAATATCAAAGCTGACACGGATTATTGTGTATCTGGCTGTAAGTCATAACCTCGAAACTTTACCCCTTGGGCGACTGAGACTCTGAGACTTTGCAAACTAACTTGTTCACTCGGATTTGATAGTCATTGAGCCGGCAAGAGCTACAGACGGACTCTGCGGTCCTCAGAATAGCAACGCGACTTGTCTTGGAACTGAATTCCAGTGCTGCAACTCAAAGACTTGGAAATGCGGCAACTCTACGTGAGTCCCCCAGGCGAATATAGGCCACTCTCCTCGTCTTGATAACGACCTGAGTCCATACTAACAACGAGTTTCCCAACGCCAGAGAGGACTGTGCAGACGGAACTTGTTACGAAGGCGCATGCGCAGGGGACTCCATCTTTACCACCACCGGCGAGTGCGGCCAACAGCACGGCTACAAGCAGTGCGCCGGAGTCTGGGGCGACTGCTGCAACGCGGACGGGAAGTGCGGCACCGGCGAGGACTTTTGCGGATACGGCGTTTGCCAGCTTGGGAACTGCACGGTTCCGAGCCAGCCTCCGGGCCCGCCTTCGTGGTTGAACGGCAACACGACGGACGGCACCTGCGGCGGAACAAACCGCTACACCTGCAGTGTGGTTTACGGGAACTGCTGCAACAAGGATGGCATATGCGGCTCATTGGTTTCAGATTGTGGGGATGGGTGGTGAGTTCTGAGCCCTTTTTGCCCCGTTTTGAGTCACGAACTTGCCTCTCCTTCGCATCATCATGCCACTGTTATGGCAGAAGAAGTCTTGTTAACGTTATCATACAGCCAACCGGAGTTTGGAAATTGTACTACTCCGAACACGGGCTCTTCATCCTCGAGCTCTTCATCCAAGGCCTCCTCCGCGTCCACCAAAGTGACAACGAGTAGCCACTCGACTACGGTCAGCTCGAAATCCTCAACTCCCTCATCCAAACCAGCAAGTACCAGTGCAACTACCACCACATCGGCAAAGCCCCCCAGCACCTCCATCCCCGGCGAAGCTGCTTTACCTTCGTGCGGCCAGCTTTGCTTCAACAACATGCTCGCTCAGTACTCTGCTCTCGGATGCAACGCACTGGACGCCTACTGCCTGTGCAATAACGTCGACTTTAGCAACGGCCTCCGCGACTGTTCAAACGGCGCCTGTGGAACAGCTGTTGCCAGCACCGTCATTGCCTTTGGGAGTTCATACTGCTCAACAGCATTTGCTACCCACACACCCACGACCACTGGCGTCGGCGCCCTACCCTCCTGTGGCCAGACCTGCTTCAATAACATGCTGGCACAGTACTCACAGCTGGGATGCCCCAGTCCTCAGGATTCCTACTGCCTATGCAACAACGTCGACTTCAGCAACGGCCTTCGTGATTGTTCAAACGGTGCCTGTGGAACTGCCGTTGCCAGCACTGTCATTGCCTTTGGAAGTGCATACTGCTCTACCGCATCAGCGACTCACACAGCCGCCCCTACCGGCATTGGCTCCCTGCCCGCCTGTGGTCAGACGTGCTTCAACAACATGCTGGCTCAGTACTCGCAGCTTGGTTGTTCGAGCCCCGACCCGCGTTGCCTTTGCGAGAATGTCAACTTTGGGTACGGGCTGAGGGACTGCTCGAACGGAGCATGTGGCACGGCTGTTGCTTCGACGGTGATTGCGTACGGAAGCTCGTATTGTGCGTCTGCGACGGCTTCTCCTTGAAAGTTCATATTTAGGTGGCGAGAGACAGTGTTTTTTGATAGTAGAATATCTATAGTGATTTACTCTTGTCTTGATAAATACATGTATATGCATGGCGAAAGGGTTTGAGACGTCCAACGTGATGGTATTTGCAAAGTCTACCTCCGTACCCTGATACCCTTCATAACTCTTATGGAGAGCCAAGTAGCACCATTTTTTCAGCCTCCATATTACATATCAGATGAGGAATTCGTGTCCAGTCTGGTCGAGCGCCAGACTAGATGTCAAGACGGACCGTAAATTCATCATTGGGGGGCCGTCCTCGCGCCTATTCTCTGCAAGAATCTGGACGTTGCAGCGTCCCTCACGGGGCGTGGCGGGCGATGCATCTCAACCCAAAACTCCTTCGTCATGATCTCGTGTTGCGGCGCAGTGATGTTGCTAACCATCCATTCCATGTTGCCAACATAAGGCTGGGGACGTGCAACAGCCTTTGCTCGTATGATATCCCCACGTAAGCTCATGAGCCATGCATGTACGGCTTAAACTGATAGTCAGAAAAAGGCTCTTCAAAGGTCCGAGGGGAGAGACATTCAAAGTCTTATGGGACAAAGACTTACCACTGACATAGTCACGTACAGTGACAAAGTCGTTGCCTGCAGAAGGTGTAACCTTGATCTTCAATCCTCTCTTCCTGAGCGGTCGATCGTCTCCGCAGCATCGTACAAGAAACTCAGTATCCGAGTCCGCCTCCCAATTGCCATCCTCGTTGGGCTCATCTGCGTATGGCCGGTCTTCATCGCTGAGATCCCCATAGGTGACATACTCGGCGTTGTACTCTGGTGCAGTATGTTCCCTATGCCATGCCAGCCAATCGGACTCCCACTGGTCAAGGTCGCGCACTGAAGCCTCAACAGAAGAGACCTTTGGGTCGGTCACAGGCAGCGATGCGATCTCATGCCAGGTGCCACTGCCGCTGCCGCTGGTGTCTGGTCTGAAGAAGGGGTCAAGCTCGTCCACGCTGCGAACAGTCCTCATGACGGATATCGCCGTAGGGAAGACGCCTTCTAGAGGCCAATAGAGACGCTTGGCGGCGGGAGAGAAGAGGACACGCTCCTGGTTGCTCCGAAGCTCCTCAAATGAGGGGTATAAGGGCTCATCCGGTTGGCTCGACTGCGCAGCTGCCATGATTATATGATGAACCTTGTACGGTGGCTTTCTTCACTGGAGACTCTGATCATTCAGTTGTGCTTTGTGGGGGGGGGACTGAAGAACCGCAGATTTAAGGACCAATATGGAGGACATATGTGCTATAAGTAGAACGACAGCTTGTTAATATCGAGCGCTGTAGGTAATGAAGATCCGCGATAGAGAGATATTTCGCATTGAACAATAAAGGCTGAAGTAGAACACAGCTGACGTACTAACACAGCGCAAGTTGGTGAAAGGATCGGAATGCTTGTAACTCGGACCAATTGCCTCTTATAGACAGCAACTACAGTAGTTAACCTCTTTGTATTTGCGCCTTTCTGCAATCTCCGGGATGATGGGATGCCAGCTTTTGGACGTGCTGGACTAACCTATCAGCGGCTCTGCCTGAACACAAAACAGATATTCGTACTCCACGCCGACGGACGCCGGCCCATTGACGGGCCATGCGGGCCTCGGATCGATTCGCCAGTCCCACCAGTACCGATGCCGAGCCGCTCTGCGGAGATCAAGACGATTGCCTAATTGGGACGAGCTGAGGACAGGGATGCCCGGTGTGAATCCCGTCCAAGGGTGCCTTATGGCTGCGCCTGACCTGCTGCATCCTTACAGAAGGACCATTATACGAATGCCATCCGTAGAACGTACTCATTGAGATTCAATACAAGGCGGTCTGTAGAACATTTTGGTGAGATTCAATACACGATTGGCCAGCTTCGTCTATGGTCTAGACTGCACAGCACATGAAGAGAGTATTAGCTGCCTTCTGCTTGACTTATGCTCACATTCGTAGTCACTCGACTTGCAATCATCGTGAAAAAGTTTGCTATTATTCCAGACTATCGTTCAAAGCAAAACGCTGGTATATACTCCAATATGAAATTCAACGCTTGGGGCAAGAAAAGAGAGGCGATCCTGCAGCCGAGCTCACCATGTCCGTTCTCCGAGCGTTCAGTCCTGTATCTCTTCAGCATCATCTGAAAAGGTCCCGACTCGTTCTTGATCAGTATCAGCATCGGACCCATCAACACCAGGCTCACCAGCCCCAGAGCCCGTCAAGATCAAACGCATCACCATCGGACTGGCCAGGAAGGCGTTGCCCAAACTGAGGAAGAGGCACCGTTTCTTTTGGTGAACTGGGATTTTGATTCGGCCATATCGCATATGTAGTGAACTCAAAATCTGGGCTTGGAGAATCCACAATCAGGGGGCAATCATGCCCGAATCGAATTCCAGCAAGTTTCATCTTCACGGTCAGATCTGTCAAATCCCGCTCCCTGAAAAATACATTGTGGTCCAACTCGGGGCAGAGCATCCTGTTCTCCATGCATATTTGCGCCAGGCGCGGGAACTGGCTTCTCGACTTCAATAACGTCCGTAGATTCTCTACAGTGCCTGGCGGTGCGACTATGATACGAAATCTACGTATCGTCTCGGGCAGCATCTGTGCGAAGACGTATGCGTGGTAATAGAAGTCGTCCTTTGCTGGAAAGACAAAACAGCTCCCGTCCAGTTCAAGGTCTTCAAGTCTCGAGAAGGCTTTCAGGGATCGGATTTGATCGCCCTCCATGCACAGCGGGCCGGCGTAGAATGCAGCAGGGTTATCCCTGTTTCTCCACGCAAGGTCGAGTGACAGAGCGCGGAGTGTGCCTGCGTGCGGCTCCAGAATCCGAATCATCTCTGCGGGCGTCACAGACGGTCTGCGCTCAAAGCTATACATCGATTGCCTGTGCTGGAATAGCTCCAATGGTCCACAGCTGTGAACTACCGTCTCCAATTGGTTCTTTGTCAGGCTACCGAGCCTCAGAGTGAGCCGCGTCACGCTGGCGAGAGACAGACGGCCACTCGGCTGAGTCCACGGATGATGCAGGGGGGGACTCGGCTCAAGCCAAAGATGGCGCAGGCAGGGAGCAAGTGCAAGAAGTGTTGCGTAATGCTCAATCGGGAGGCCTGTAACATAACAATGTTTTATAAGGAGCCTCTCCAATCTCGGGAACGATATCCGTTTGGGACCTTGAGCAGCCAGTTGGTCGAGTACAGTGGGGATGTTCGCCATCGGCTCAATGAATCGATCCGTAAAGATCTGCATACTTCTCACGTTGGGAGTGTGGCCGATGATGAGGTGTATCAGTGTCTCGTAGGGATTATGACTTGACCAATCTCCGAGATGAACGCCGAGCCTGGCTGCCGCTTCGGAATATATATCCAGGTGCTCGATGACTTTAATCTCAGTAGAGGGAAAATTGAAGCCCAGTTGCTGCACAAATTCGCCAAGTTCGGGACGTCGACAGAGGCTGGAGAGAAATCGCATGGTTACCAGGATTGACGGGGTGGCAAGGAAGCGAGAATAAAGTAGGGGCGTCGCGGCTTGATTGACATGTTTGCATGTTCGTGAAAATAAGGACAGTTGTTTTAGACCGTGGTTTTCGTCGTAGCCAGGTCGGTAAAGAATGAGCTCCCGGCATATGACCCTGATGATCTCCGGAGGAAGCGAGAGTAGTCCGGTTGGTGACGCCATGAGGCCGCCTGCAGGACGAAGAGCACGGGTAGATAAAGCAAAGTGTAAATAATGAGGCGCTGTAAAGGGAGATCAAGAGATGAAAACGAATGGTCTGCGGCAATAAAGATAAAACGACCGTCATGGCAGCATATTACTGAGATTGGTCGTATAGATAGCGCTTCTGGATGTGATCCAAGTATGACTGTAGGTGAAGAGATGAAGAAGTTCTATGAGCCCATAAGTACTACCTAGGAAATCGTGCAAATATGCTGCTGGCAACGGATTCGTGTATAACAATAGAAGAGTCAGGGGCAACCAAAACCCCATGTCCGATCATCTTTGCCTGCTGTGTTATTCGCACCTGCATCAATTTGAGGTCTCAAAATGATGGCCACCATTCCAATTACACTCACGAGGTGGTTACCATGGTAATTGGGTAAAACCATGGACTTTATATCGGTGTTACGGACATCTATCTTTGCATATAGTTCGTACTGTTCCTGCCGCATCGCAAACATCCCCATATTGTTTCAAGAGCTGCACATCATCTCCCCGAGAAAAGTCGCGCAAAGCTCATAGAACAGATGGAAGAATGACTACATTCTGGCACTATCTGATCTGAATACAACCCATATGTCCAGAAATGGATCATTTGTTCCATTGTCTCCATTTGCAGTTTTGTCTGATTCCAATATCTCAAGCTGTCGCGTAAATGTCCTTGTGGGCAGCTTTAATCATGTCTGCTCCCTTTTCAGCCACCATGTACACCGAATTCTGGATACGGCAGTCTGGAATCACCGGTATGACAGAGGCGTCAATGACACGGAGATTCTTAACCCCATGAACTTTGAGCGAAGGATCAACGACCCCCTGATCGATACTCTTGCTCAGCCGCGCAGTTCCAGTCGGATGGAAGGCGGTTTGACAGCGATCCAAGACGGCGCGCTTCATCTCCTCCTCTGAGTCCAGAGGCATCAACCACGGCGATTCAGCCACAAAGACGTCCTTGAAGCCCTCACCCTTGGTCAGCACATCATAACTAAACCGAATCCCCTCTCTCATCGCGATAATGTCCAGATCATTGGCGAAGAAGTTGAGGTTGATGTCGGGTTGCTCAAGCGCGTCCGCGCTCCTCAGCGTCACCTCACCGGGATCCGAAATCGGACGGACCAAGTCCACCACAACGGTGGTGTGGTCTCCCTCCGGCGGGAACGGGAAATGCCACTGGAACGCGCTGCCCCAGAGACACACAAAATCGAGCTCAAAGTGCGGCTGGCCCTCCGGCGAGAAGGGGTCAACTCCCCCGTTGGCCTCCTTGGCCTTGCGATACGTCTCATCCTTCTGCAGATACTCATCGATTCGAGGGAACGCCACCATTTCCAGGAATCCGGACCCCATAGGGCCCGAACGGTCCTTTTTATACTGGGCGTGCATCTTCTCACTTTCAGCGTTCTTGCGAAGGATAGCTGTATCCATGCCGTAACCGTCCTTGACGCGCACCACAAACGGCACGCCTGGATGGTCGATGAGATTCTGACCGACGTGGCGCGAATCAACAATCACATCAATGTTGAATTTTGCAAGCTCGCGTTCAGGACCAATGCCACTGAGCATCAAGAGCTTGGGGCTCTCAAAGACGCCCTCGGAAAGGATAACCTCGCGGTCAGCAAAGACATTGATGTCCTTGTGATCGGGCGTCATGACTCGCACACCACGGCAAGTTCGATCAGCATAGTTGATGAGCAGCTTTTTGGCATGCGTTCCGGCCAAAACTGTGATGTTAGGCTTGTCCTTCAAGAAGAGCCAGCTCCCAGACCGCACCCCCTTGTAGATCGAATCGACACAGTGACAAAGGCCGTTCATCTCGCCATCGTATACGTTTTCCGTAATTGGCTGTCCGTGAGAAACCCAAGCTTTCTGAATGTTATCGCGGAAATGATCCATCTCGTCAATAAGCTCAGCATGAGAGATGGGGATGGGCCCTCCTCCACCAATCTTCTTGAGCTCCGGGAGGTACAGCTTCGGATCATCGTGATACGTGGCGCTCTTGCGCAAGTAATGAACAAGATGATCCCAGCTCCATTCTTTGCCGCCAAATTCGGCCCACCGATCAAATGTCCCCTTGCAGCCGGGAACCCAAGTGAAGTAGTTTAACGACGAGCTTCCACCTAGGGCCTTGCCTCGCGTATTGGGCTTTTCGATGCGCTCGTAATCATCACGCTTCACCAGGGTACTCTTGTAAGACCAGTCGTGAACGCTGTTTCGCAGGTTCATGGCATTAGAGGGCGTGGTGATCTCGGGACAGTCTTCCGGATTGCCAACACCGGCTTCAATGACCAAGATGCGGGCCTTGGGGTTTTCGGCCAGACGACCGGCGACGCAGTTACCGGCAGTTCCACCGCCGACAACGACGAAGTCGAAGTGATCTCCGTCTTTCACTGCCATGTTGGTGGTTCGTTTGGGCACAGTGTTGTGAGGGACTGCCATGGAGACGGATGAAGTCGATGCTATAAGTCAAATGTGTAAGACATTGAGAACCTTGGGATCCAGCTCTTGATCATGTGTGCCCAACACCCCTATCTTATACCTCTTTCCTCCAAGGAGTCACGTCACCATTGTTAAATCCCGTCGGTATGGCTTCATCTGGGTGGAGGCAATCTGTTCGGAACCCCGGATTCTTCAACGCCAATGGCAATCTGTATGTCACACATCAGCTTCCCTACGATCTGGACTGTGACACATTCAGACATCTCGTAACTGCGCTCGACCCCGCTCGCAAGAGGGGTAAAGATGCCTCGTTTCATATATCGTCTTACACGACGTCAAGATCTCCCCAGTGGAATTTAGGTTTCTCTTGGAAAGATGATCCGATCAGTTTGCCGGAGGCTATGAATATGATCACAGATCAGAGCTTTTGAGGCGTGCCGGTATGCCGATAGTTCATGTTGCGTCTTAGTTCTTCGATAAGCTAGCAGTCAAGCGAATGAAGAGCTGTCTTCATTACTCCATAAGAAAGTCCTGAGTTCGGGCGAGTCGCTGAAATTCCATTGGACATCTCCATGAGAGCACTCAGCAGTCCATACTATTGGATGTTGATTTGACTCTCTTCCTATATGACAGTTAGAGTGGCGTGTAAACATGGCCCAGCTGAACACTAATAGTCCAAAACCTTTCCGTAACCCAATAGCTTCTCTCCATACTACGGCCCGGCTCACGCTGACCTGCTCGATTGATAGCTCAGTTCAGCAATATTTCAACAAAACCGGCTTATTTTCATCCAAGACCGCCACGTTACAACCGTCGATATAGTACAGCTTCGAATAAGCAGCTCGCTGGCACATTCCTCCTTCGGTAACGTTCGAAGCAGCCACAAAGTCATTTCTCAATTGACCAATGGCTGGATCTCATTTACGCCCAGCTACAACGACTCGGAGCTCAAGGTCAAGCTTTAATAAAAATATGCGAAGAGCTTTATATGTTCGGTAGACGAGGCCTCAGCCGTTGGCAAAGCTTGAAGCCATCGACATTCGAATGTGGAGATGTGTGAAACGTGAAGCTTTTCAGCTGTTCAGGGTCCTTACTACTATTCCGATAGAGGTATCAAGCTTGGCAACTTTTGCGATAGCTCAGATCTACCTACCTTGACGTATGTCTCATCACGCAGCACCTTTGTAGGACGTTGGTATGGAATGACCTGTCACAACGGCTCATCAGCCGAATAACCGGACTCATCTGTATGAGATGCAAGGTTTCGGCTTCATCGGCTCCCGTTTGCCAAGCCTGGGGAAGCGAAGTGGGATGGCTGATCTAGCTGATGTGGTGGCATGAGGGTGATCTGAATGATATGTCCCAATTACATTCAAGCTGACGATCTCAGAGATGCCCAGCTTCTTCATGCATCCATGAGTTGCCCGGCTAACATCACCATTGAGGAACCTTGGTTTGATCTCTCAAGTAGATCGGCTAGCCATATACTTGATATCCCAGCTATTATAGCTGAAAACATGAAATCTGTATACCGATCTCGTAAATTTCTCAAGCTCATCCCTACGGATCCAAGTCTGTGGCCACCGGCAGCACGGCCCAGCATCTCAAAGCCATCTGGCCCCCTCACAATCTGATTTACAGCCAGAAAATAGTAAAGACGAACCTCGTCTAGGTTCTGGAAGAGATGCCAGTGGTAGTACATTGTATCGGCATGTCAAGTCTCCACCACAAGGCCCGAATTGTGTCCGAGCAACATCAACGGCCGGACACAACCCATGTCTCTTATATAAAAGGACCCCTTCACTCATCGCTTGCGCGCATGAGAGTCTGATTGCAACATATAATGCAATTCTGTCATTTCTGAGAACTGTCTCGGCGGGCCATCGACTGGAATTACCAGAGTTTATGCTGGAATTAGCTCTGTGATATTTTGGATACAAACCGCCAACCCCATAACATGGTATTGAACCCAAACAAAAGGGATCTCAATATCTCGCAAATGAAGTTCGCTGCCCATCAATTCCAACCCATCTGGAGTGATAGGGGCATATCCTCAAGCATCTTCATCAATGGTCTCCTGTCTTCAATAGAACCCCATAGCTCATCTCTTCTCAGGCACAAACTCAATAACAACCTTCCCCCTCCTATTCCGTATGGAAGCATACTTGTGTGCCTGAACCACCTTCTCCAGAGGAAACACCTCGACTGCAATGGGCTGAATCGTTCCCTCATCAACCAACCGCGCCACCCTCTGCAGCGTCTCAGCCTTCGGCGTGACAACAAAGAAGAGCCACTTCACATTCGGAAAATCATCCAGCTCTTCCGGCCTGCCCTTTCCATATTCCCACGCCGCCGGTGGTTGCCCAACCGTAATGATGTGCCCATTGCTCTTCACCGTCTTCCACGTCTTCTCCAAGACAGGATTCCCAACAGTGTCAATAACGACATCAACATCGCTAATAGTATCCTCCCACTGCGGCGTGTTATAGTCCACGACCCGACTCGCTCCCAGAGCCCTAAGAAACTCATGATGCTGCGAGCTCGCAAGAGCGACAACTTCAGCGCCAGCCAGCCGAGCTACCATCTGCACAACAACAACGCCCACCGCCCCCGACGCCCCCGTAACAAGCACCCTCCACCCGCTCTGCACCCGGGCGCGCTCAAAAACAGCCTCCCAAGCAGTCAACAGCGGGATCGGCAGCGCAGAAGCCTGCGCGTGGCTCAAGCTCTGCGGCTTCCGCGCCACCTCTGCGCTCCCCACGATTGCATACTCCGCCTGGCCCAAGCCCCTCCAGCCGTGAATCATGGAGAAGACCTCGTCTCCGATCTTGAGGTCTCCCTTGTACTCCGGGCCTAGAGCAGCAACTTCGCCAGAAATGTCGTGTCCCGGGATGCGGATTGGATGTTCCCATAGTTCCCACCAGGTGATCTCGTCGCCCGTCAATCCCGCGGCGTGGACTTTGATGAGGATCTCGCCATTTTTGGGCGATGGTTTGGGGACGGCGGGGTTGAGTGTGACTTCGGGGTTGGCCTTGGTGCCGAGGACCTCGACGGCCTTCATCATGATGGGCTTAAGCGAGTGATGAATAGTATGAATCTTGATGCGGGTATGGAATGGACAGAAAGTTGGAAATATATACCCTCTTGTGACTATAAGTTGTCGAAGCAGCTGACTGCTGATTTCGTCATCTCGGGTGATGGTGGAGTCCCCGACCCGGATCGGGTCTCCCGGAGCGGCCGTCTCTCGATTGGGCAACTTTTCGGGTCGGGCGGCGGGACTCGGATCGCGAATCTAAGCCCATTCCACAACATCCCCAGATGAAATACGAATCATATATCATTCTTCTCCGGAGTGTATGTCTTCAAGTTCTTACAATTGTTTCATTGACACGAGCATTTCCGAGAACCATAGATGGGTCCCGCGCCGCTGTATGCTGGATACGACACTGAGCCACAAACCGCTTGCGATTTCGGCTTCATCTATCTGGGATCGCAAGGCCAACTCATCGGATAAACAATAAGAGAGTCTGAGTGCTTGCTGAAAGTTGTCAGTATACTTGTTCAAGAGAGGCTACCACCCAACTTTCCCAGAGGATGACCCTGCTCAATACGAGTCTGCTCAGTTACACCGCGACTCTGCCCTGCCTTGTCACACCCTTCCAGGCAACCAGAAAATATCCGTTCTGAGTCAAACCCAGAGACAAGCCCAAATCTCCAATGCCACCTCCCCAAACTCATCTATGTTCAGAACAGGCCCCGAGCCAAGACACCGTATCCCCCCTCATATCACGACAAGCCAGCGCCCATGATGGCTTACATACCGCTCAACCACCCCTGTCCAGCAGGGAAGCGATTCCTTCCAATCCCACCCCAGCTCCCCATGGATTCCCCTTCGCCACTCCGCAGTTCATCAGCTTCTCACCTCACACCCAATGAACCTCCATCCCATCGCAAGGCAAGACACTGTCTTGCATGAGAACAGCGCGCCGCTCTGCAAACCCGCATACCTAACCTGAATATTCTCCGAACCCGAACCACCAAGCCACCATCACGACGAGCCACTTCCTTCTCCCCCCCCCCCCCCTACCTCCAACTCATCTCATTCACAGAACTCATCAATCCCCAGCACGACAACAACACAATGGCAGAAGCCGTAGGCATTGCCCTCAGCGTCCTCCCCATCGTCATCTGGGCCCTGGAAAAGTACTCGGAGCCCCTCGACGCCTACAGCGACTACCACAACGCCATCGGCACGCTGCAGGCCAACCTGCAGATCCAGCGGATGCACCTCGAGGCCACCTTCCAGAGCATCGGCCTGCGCCACCCGACGCCGCGCGAGCTGGCCGAGTGCCTCCGCCAGCGGTTCCCGCTCCACCATCGCGAGATCGCCTTCATCGTGCGCCAGATGGACGAGATGATGCTGGGGATGATGGAGGGCCTGCAGGTGGACATGAGCCGGAAAGTGAGATTTCCTTTATAACTGTTTCTCTCTCATCCTTTACATAGAAGGCCCTTTCTACCATGGGTCATGACATTCGTCCTCATCATCGTCATCGTCATCACCACCAAGCATGAGCATGGCATACATGTACTCACATCCCAAACCAGCCCCTCTGGACGACTCACGAATCCCCCGAAAGAATCTCCTGGGAATGGCGCCGCGTCAAACGCAGCTTCCGCACCAAAAAGTGCGACAAGATGATCCGCGACCTGCGCAGCTGGAACGACGACCTGCGGCACCTCGTCCAAAGCGCATCAGCAGCAGAAACGCTTCCCACAGACGAAAAGAGCTACGCCATCCAGAGAGTGAGGAGGCTCTACAACAGGGGCAACTGCGAGTCCGTGCGAACGACTCTCCGGTCTTTGCATCGCGCGCTGCAGGCGGTGTTGTTGATGGGCGATGGTCATGGTGGTGGTGGCGGAGGAGAGTGTCATCAGGTTTGTATCGAGCTGAATAGTCTTCATGCGGGAGGGTTTCCTCTTTTGACTTTTCGAGTTGGGGTCTTGCATGAGTCGCCGGATGGGAGGGATAGCGCTGCTTGGAAGTTATTCTATGCTGCGGGTGAGGCAGCTCAACAACAGAACCCGGCATTGGACTCACAGCCATATTCGTTCTCATCAAGGCCTTCAACGCTTCGATCAAGACGGTCATCTTATTCTCAAAGCCTACGCGGGATGGCACACAGCATATGGAGCAAATCGCGGGACTCATTCAAACAGCTTCCCACTCCAAGAGGTATGTCACCACCCTACTCCAGGAACAAGCTCATTCATGAAAGAACAACCATCTAAATCCCCTTCAAAGCGAGCGTAGAAGACACATCAATCACATCAACCCCTTCAATCCCCCCAAAGCCCATCATCCCCAGCCCTCCCCCCATCACCAACCTCTACAACGCACTCCTCTCCCCCTCCCACACAAAAGAAGTCTTCGGCTCCCTCAGAGACCCAACCCCCGCCTCCCCCCACGAAGGCATCTTCTCCCTCAGCCACCTATCCCGAAACCACGACATCATCATACGAGAAATCTCGCTCGAGAAAATCATCGCCACAGAGTCCCAGCGCGTAGCACCCGCCGTCCAGCCCCTCTCCGCCAAACGCCGATACGGCATCGCCGCCTCCTTAGCCTGGGCAGTGCTCTACCTCGCGGACAGCCCCTGGCTACCACAAGGCCTGGACAGACACAAAGTCAAGCTCTTCCTCCAAAGGAAACAAGCCAACGGCTTCATCAGCCTCTCCGAAAAAGCCTACCTCGCATCTCCCCTCTCCAAACCAAAGACAACAACACAATTGCCCTCCCCGGCATCATCATCCACTTCCCTCCGCCAAACAACAAGCCCCAAAAGCCTCATCTTCGACCTCGGCATCCTCCTCATCGAACTCGCCGTCAACCAGTCCTTCAGCAAAGAGTCGCTCTCCGCCATCCTCCAGCACGACTACCGTCCTCTGAAGAACTATCTGGACCGCGTGGAGCAAGAGGCGGGTATTTACTACTTTAACGCCGCGCAGCGGTGTGTGTACGGCGTCTTCCTTGCGGATCAGGGACAGATGGATTTTGATCTGGACAAGTTCCAGCATGAGTTTTACAGCACCGTCGTTGCGCCTCTGCAGGCGACGTATGAGGGTCGGTAGCTGGATGAAGCGGTTAGAAAGACGATTCATGATATATACACATGGGCTCATCGAATCTACAAACAGACCTGCTCAAGAATTTCTTGCGAAAAGCTCGTTGCTCAATGACTGGTACGGGGCTACGTCAAGTCACTTTTTCGCTCTCAGAGACAGCGATGGACAGGGGTAGAGCAAAGACGTTAACGAATCCTATCACATTAATGAGAGTCAATGAATGCATGAGAGGGCCAATGGACCCAATGGGAGGACCGAAACACATAATCACTTATCTACGCACAGCAAACATAGTAAACATGCACAGAAAATATGCCGTAGAGACGAGGGCCAAACCCCCCATGATAGCAAGCAGCCCTCTCACCACTATTGATTCATGAAAAACGTCCAAACACCACTACAAAGTCGTAATACAGCACACATCAATCTCAAATCAGCTCATCCGCTCTTTCAATAGAAATATTTATAGATCTAGCAACGCCACGCCCCCTCTCTCCATCATCCCATAAGGTACTCTACAAAGACAGACGTGCCGATAACCACACATTTCTTCTTCAAAACTCCCTTCGCTTGACCCTTGTCCTGCTTTGCCTTGCTTTCGTTCGGTTTAATAGTATGTATATGTATAACAAGAAGAAGAAGAAGAAACAAAACCCCCCGAATCCTCGCTGGTGCTCCTCCCTCTTATATCCTAGGTGCAGTGGCAAAAGCATCGTCTGAACAATAAAGAAAGGACAAGACGAGGACCAGTAAACTGAATAACCATTGCCTACCGCCGCTCCCCGATCTCTCCTAAAACCACATAGACACCATCATCGTCTTTCCTCGCATTTATATATAAGACATCGTAGCCGCATCTAAACACCGCTGTGCTTGTCGGTATTTCCATGGTGTGTATTAAGTTCGTGCACTTCATTAATGGCCGGTCCCAGTAAGCGGAAGAGAACCAGACCGTCTTTACTCAAATTTTCCAAAAGAAGAACAAGAGGAAGAAAAGGACCTTCAAGCTCCCTTTCTTCGATTAGGGCGAGGCCCAGCCACCGGCGACATCGACCCACTCGGCCAGACAGGAGCCGTCCTTGCCCTCGACATCGACAATATCCGTGTCACAACGGCAGCGGCATCCAACGCCGTTCTCCTTGGGCTCGTCCCAGCTTTCCCAGTACTCGTCCTCCTCGATTCTTTTCTTCTCGTCCAGGGTGGTGGTCTCGAGGAAAGGGGGCCGGGGAAGCTGTCGCGCAGGGGCATTGGCAGGGCAGTGCTGGATCGTCGTGTGTCGGTATCCAAAGTCTCGGAAGTAGTGTATATCCCGAGGAGCCAGAAGAGCACCAGCAGCCAGAGAGTGGATGGGAGCATCACCCCACTAATCATCAGGTTAGTATAACTTGTCATCCTGCAAGGCTTGGGCTCGAGATGGTGGCAACTTACTCGTTCCATCCAGAAGCCGCCACTTCGGTCCATCATCTCAAAGAAGTCGTTGTACTCCTTGCTGCGGAACCAGCTGAGCTTGGCAATCTCGAAGTTGGACCAGAAGTGACACATGTTGTACTTCTCTCCCTCCATTGCCTCGGGATCGATGGGCGGCAGACTGCTGGGTTTTCCCTGGAGGATCTCTTCGGGCAGCGGCGGGTTGGGGTCATCGCGCTGCTCCTTGGGAGGGTCCTGAGGCTCCACGAACATTTCCCACAGGCCCTGTGACGTCAAGTTGTTCATTCGCTTATACGCCGAGGCATAGCGGAAGATGTTGGGGACGGTCTCGCGAAGCTCCTTGACAGCAATCGTGAAGCCGTAGGTCTTGTTGTTCTCGATCATCTTGAGGAATGGGTCGCTGGGATGCTGGTCAGTCATACGGCCTTTGGATACAAGACCCGATGGGGAACGTACTATGTAATGTCGCAAAAGTAGGTGATTTCAGGCTCGACGCGCCAGTACCACTCGTACTTGAGCAGAAGAGGGTGGTTGTAGAAGAATCTGGGTTCGCAAAGTCAGCAACGAAGTCATATAAAACGCCGTCGTAGCATCGTTGATAAAGAAACTTACCCAGAGTAGAAGCGACACATGAAGTGGTAGCTCTCCATGCCACCGTACATGACGGCGGCATCGCCCTGCTTGGCAATGCCCTCCTTTGCGACCTTTTCATCGATCCAGTCGGGAAAGCCCCAAGTGCCAGGCTCGACCTTGCCAAACTCGACGGACGCCGAGGTATAGTTTCGCACAGTCTCCTTGAAGTTATCGTCGAACTCGGCGTCGTTGAGAAAGACGTAAGGGTAGTGATACCATCGGTTGAAGTGGCGCTCGACAGACTTGATGGACTGAATCACGCCATCAATCTCCTTGTTGCGGGCCAAGACGACAAAGGCGGCGTTCGCTCGCGGCGTCGAGGTGTCGGGCTCAAGACAGCCCGTGACAAAGACCTTGTCGTGCTTTTCGCTGATTTTCCTACATACGCATGCAGAGTCAGCAGCCTGCAGTTTACAAACAAAGACGGGGGCGCATGGACCTACCGAATGGACGGCGGCGACCCAGCGGGCATCAATATCCTGCCGGGAGAGCTGGGATGCCTAACAAACAGCACCAGGATGAGCACCACCACCAGGACCGGGAAGACGAGGACGACGCCCAGCGGGATGGACACGGCCGAGTTGCCGCGTAGACGCAGCGGCCTTTGGAAGAAGGCCAGGCTGGACGCCAGGCCGTTCTTCCTAGAGCGCTTCTCGTCCGCCGTCGGAAGCTCTGATGACCGCCTACCCGCTCTTGATCGCCGGAAGATGTCCATGGCGAACTAGCAACCCAAGCCTGCCTATGCGGCAGGAACAGCAACAGCAGACCAAGAAGAGAGACGCAGGAATCGACGTTGTGTATCGGTTCGGCCAGAGGGGGAGGATGGTGACGAATGCCCGTATCGAACGAGGTGGTGGGGGGCTGTGGCAGATTTGAGGCCAGATCAGTGAAAGTCGAGACTCGTAATCAGGGGTGCAGGTTTGGTTGATTTTATTTTTTGGCGTTTGGAGGGGGGGGAATCGTATCAGGTTATCGACAAGCCCTGCAGCAGTTTGGTGCCAATCATATACAACGCGAGTCGAGTCCGTACAATCCGGCTCAGTAAGAGTCTCTGATGGATTGATTGAATCTGTCGAGCCGCAAAAGAGATAAGGATCGTGATGGCAGAGAGCCAGAACGCGCTTCTCCTTGGAAATTGGATGCGCCTCTCGCGGGGCACCGGCCAGAATCGGACTCGGAGTTGACGCCAATCTCAGCTCCGCGCGACCAACGATATAAAGGAAAGAAAAGACGCCCCTGGTAGACGATTTCGCCGTCAACGCCAGTCAATGCCTGGGAAAGGGAATGTTCAGTCAAATGAACCTTTTCCTCTCTTTATCTTCCTTTCGAAAGGAGAGGGAGGGAGATAATGGTCGAGGCCACCCTCCAGACCGCTCGCCGCTGATTGGGGAATCTCAATCCTTCTGCTTCGACTAGTCTTAGCGCGGCCCGGCAGAATCGAACCTTTGGGGCAAGAAGGACAAGATTCGACAGCGAGCACAGGTCAACCGCCGCCGCCGCTGTTGGTCAGGTACCTCATCTGCCGGCCAATGCCCCGCCGGTGTGCACGTACAGGCATATCAAGACCTGGAGCCAGCGACTTCGGTGGCAGTCCGGTGGCGCTTGTGGCCAATCAGCGACGCCCTGAATCGTGAATTTTCCGAGCCACAACAAGGGGCAACAACGCCACACGGGAAAAAGGGTCCAGCGGAGGGGAACATGTTTTTTCCCTTATTTTTCACCCAATTGCCCTTCAACCTCACCAATGAATCTATCGACTAGACTACTATCACGTTCATTAGCTTCAACTGGCAAAAAGCAATGATCTCGCCCGGGCTCGAACCGGGGACCTTTTCGGTGGTGTCAACAGATGTTGTTAACGAAATGTCATGACCAACTAGACCACGAAACCATCTTAATCGCTGATTGGCTGCTCGTCGTCCTTCACAAAGAGCTCTATCAAGCCGGACATCCAACGACCATCAACCCCAATTATACCTTCTAGGCAAATCCAAAGCGACAACTTCACCTTACAATTCTCATACCTTCAGAAGACAAAAAACATCACCATGTCCCAGAAAATCAACGCCAAAAACCTCTCCTACAACTCCTCTCTCCCCCCTTTCCTCGCCGCCCTCCGCGCCCAGGCCTCCGGCGCAACAGGCCCCGACCCCATCCTCTCCGCCCAGCGCCGCGGCGGCAAGAAGCGCTCCAGCAGCGAAGAGGCCGAGGACGCGCCCCTGGTCGTGGACGAGCACGGGAACGCGCTCGAGGACCTCAAAGTCAATAAGGACGGCACCGTGGAAGAATCAGCAGCAGCAGCAAATGCAGAGGATGCTGAGGAGGCCGCCACCAAAGACGGGGCGGAAAAGAGCGAGGCAGAGCCGGCGAGAGCTTCGATGATAGGAGGGCGGAAGCGCAAAGTTGGCAAGGTGGTTGGCGAGGAGGCGCAAGATGACGGTTCCGAGACTGCGCCTGCAGGAAAGAAGAATGAGACGGCAAAGAAAAACGCTGATGATGCCGAGCAAGCGACCAACCGCAAGCCTAAGAAAAAGACAAAGAAAATCAAGCTCAGCTTCGACGAGGACGAAGGTTGAGCTGGGGAGGTCTCAAGCGACGCGAAACAACAGCCATGCGCAGAGACCATCAGCTGACCAAGATGCGGCAGCTCACGCTGAGAATGAGTCTCTGCGTTTGCCACTGCAGCTTCACATGAGTTCTCCATTACGTCTGTCGGCAATTACAGCTCGACACCTGGAAGTTGGGGATTGGAAACTGCCGGTGTAATTACCACAGTGAAGCAGATCCACTGACGAAGTCGTCTCAAAGAAGCTTCCCAATGATGCCCGGGACATGCAACGAGCATTGGGAATGTCAGATGCTTAGTCCCAGCATCCGGCATCATCATTAGATTAATCAAAAGATACCCGCCCCCAGTCTGTCAATGCTTGTGATTCACACTGCGACAAAGTCATGAGTATCTACAAAATACACAGCCGCGTCCCGTCTGCCCTCCGGGCATGGACATCTCGCTCCACCCAAACTCTTATGCCTTGATAATACATCGTCTTTGTACACCATCCCTCCCTGCCAACCAATTTTCGCATCCTCCGCCATCCATCAGCTGTGCATTTATCGGTAGCGGTACTCGGGCTTGACGAAATCGGCGAAGGTCTTGGGCTCGGCGATCTCCTGGTGGGCGTGGTGGTGGTGGTGGTCGTCCTCGGGACCGACGTAGTCCATCTTGTAGACGCTGCCGCACTCGGGGCATCGCTCGATAGGGCGCTCCTTGGAAAGCTACATGTTGCACATTCCCCCTCGTCAGCACTTTGTGAATGGGACGACAGTTTCCCTTTACTCAGGTCCCAGCACTTACGCCGAGCCAGATGACGCCGTGGGAGTCGGCGGGCGAACCGGTGCAGCCGGCAAGCTGCTCCTCGCCGGCGGAGCGCACCAGGATGGGGTTCTCCAAGGTTCCCTTGCGGCTGGCGTCGAGGGGGCGCATGTCGAAGACGTCGACGCCCTCCATCTTTCCGAGGATCTCGAGGCGCTCGAGACCGGTGGCCTGCTCGAGGTCGGTGGGGACGGTGCCGGGCTGGGCGCCGGGGCCGAAGAGGTCGTCCTCGGACTTGATCTCTGTGGTGGGGGGACGGAAGCTTCGCATCAGCGATGTTCATTGCGAAGGTTGTAGTGTATGTCGTGAGGGATGGACGAGATAGCTATAGCTACCTAGCCGAGGTAGTGATGCAATGCGTGCGGATATACAAACAAGCCGGGATCAACATACCAGACAGAGTCTTGTAGGGGCCAATCTTCTTCTCGGCGGTGCCAGCAAGAGCAGCAGCCTGCTGGTTGGGGTTGGAAGGGCCAGCGGAACCTATATCACAGCCCCATAACGTCAGCCACAGCTCCAAGCGTCCCTCCCAAAGTCGCATCTTCCATCCATCCCGCATCATCCAATCTTTCCAAGCTCGACAAACAGAGGAGGGGGCGGCTGCCACGGGGGAAAGTTCATACGGCGAGCAACAGAGGTGGCGAAGCCGCGGGCAATGGCCGGAGCGGCAGCGGCGCGGCGGGCCGCAGCGATGGCAGAGCGTTGCAGGAACATGGTCGTTCGTCGTCGGGGCAGGCGATGAAGGAGGAAGGTTTGGTGATGGGGTTCGGTTTTCTGGCTTCGAGGGATTTGCGGATGGTCTGATTTGAGATGCCATTTTCGGGGGCGGTGCCCCGCTTTCGGGCGGGAATTGGCCAATGGCGGGGTGCAAATTGAAAGCACGTGACTCAGCTGCTGTGTGTGAGCTGATGATTTTGTGATTACCTCATGAGAGCTGTAGCTGTAGCTGATGAGTATGACGAGAGATGGGAATAGCTCAAGCAGCTGCTGGTTTTCACAAGACAATCTTATATGGCATGCAGATGGTATCAGCAGTTGAATACGTAGGTCGTCCAACTGCTGCTTGAGCTTTGTCCAACATAGCCAACATCACCTACCATCCTATCATAAACCAGCTCAGCCACTTCACAGATATCAACAGCTTCCATATTCAAGATTGGTAAGTAAGTGGGAAAGCATCTTGGATGTGCAAAGCTGGTCCTACAAATATGATACATTGGAACAATGCAGCTACAGAAAAAGCAGTTGTAGCTGTACCCGAATGAATGTCAAAATCAGCCCCTTCGCTCTTCAACGGCATATATCCCCCCAACCCTCACTGTGCACCTCAACCACCTGCACGTATAAGGCCAACGACCGAGTCCGATGGCACAAAGGAAAGGAAAAAAAGAAGAAGAAAGACTCGACTCGTGTCCATGATAGAACACCAAGCCGAATACACAAAAAGAATAAAAGGCTGGTTTCGTCGTCAAAGTTCCGACGATAGGCGGATGGACAGCCTCGAGCAAGAGCCGTCTCCAACCAGAAAGACTCGACTTGCGTGCATGGGTAAACATCAAGCCGAAGTCGTACCTAAACAAGGGCTCTGTTCTTTCGTTCAAATCCCAGGCATAAAAGGCGTAGACAGCCCCAAACGAAAGCCGTGCCCAATGCCAAATACTCCTCAATGACGGAAATCTCCAATAGGTATCGATAAACTCCGTCGCTCCACGCCTGCAAATGTCGAGCTCTAACTCGCATCGGGGCGTTCCTGGATGCTCTGCCGTGCCTCAGCCTCTTGTCGCCTCTGCGCCTCACGCCGCTGCTGCTGTTGGGCTCGAAAAGCATTCACTCCAGCATATATAGGGGTCGAGGAAGCGGCAGCAACACGCGTACGACCACGAGCTCCGAGACGGCGTTCGATCCGTCTGGCCAGGGGGACAGGGCTCTCCGAGCGGTCGTCGACGACATCTTCCTCCGTAAGTCTTGATTTCTGCGGCGACAAAGTGAATGGCACGACCCTCTCCTCTGTAAGCCAATGCTTCCGCTGCCTTCCCTTGGGACCATAATTTCCCAGCTGGTTCCTCTGCGCAGCTGACATCAGGACCGCCTGTCTCATGACGGTATCCTGATATACTTTGCTGTGAATGTCCACAGAATCGTCGCAGAGCTTGTACACAATCGTTCGAATCGCATGCTTTGCGTTATCTACCGGATTGAGCATGAAGCTCGCGGCCTTTTTGAGGATCCGCCACCGGATGAAGTCGAACGGATCCATCGCAAGCGCTCCCGTTCGGTGCAGATGCTTTAGATCAGAGATCTTGCAGGCCAGGCGATACATCGCCTCCTTTTGGCACAAGCCGCCAGGAGGCAGGTAGTCTTTTCCAAGAAGCTGGTTGGGATGATACCTGCTCTGCTCCCCAAAGACCTCCCTGATCTTCTTGAACTTGCTCGAGTTGTCCCGGTATCTCTTCAGCGCCAACTGCAGCGATTTGTTGCTAGGGTTCAGCTGGCTACGGTAGGCAGCCTCTCTCTTCTTTTCAGACTCTGGCTCCTGAAGCTCCAGGAATTCCACAAGCGAGTCCCACGAGGGGTTCTAGTACTCTGAGGACTCGCTTATGCGTTCGACTGGGGTGCCGCGAAGCAACAGAGGCTCGAGGAAGGTGCTTCCATCGGTTGATATCTTGTACACGCTCTCGAAGGGAGCCTTGAGCAGTGCTCTGAGCGTGGCTGCATCTTTCGGAGTACCGATGGTAGGCGGGGCGGTGTCGATCTCATAAAGAGGGCCCATGACGGGCGACTTGGCTTGAGATGAAGATGTGATGGATGTGTAACTGATAACTGCATGCATGTACATGGTTAACTGGCGCATCGATCTATGGAGGCGGTCGTCATGAACTCACTGCTTCACCGTAGAGAATTGTGTAAGCACGTGTGTAAACGAACTGTCTCGAATGATGTCGATACGATAAGCTGCCAGTAGTTGGATGATACTGGTCCGTATGCGTTACTGCTTGAAGAGCGAAGGGATGCAAGGCGGTTGCGTTGAAATATGTCAGCCGAGGTGATGTACAGTGGAAAGGAGGAGGAGAAGAGATCAAAACAAGAGACGCGTTTTTATAGAAGCTTTGCAGGCGCGCATTCACGTGTTCCATCGTCTCGTGTGTTTCGTTGACGTGCTGGCAGCTGGCAGCTCGGGCACCTGGCAACGGCGCATAGCAACCGACCTGAGCGAGCCTAGGCACAGAGCTGAGATAGCAGAGAGAGCAGTGATGGATGATACATCAACGACTGGGCTATAATACGGCGCAAATATGTGTATCTATTCTATCTGTTGATCCTCATCAAATCGTCTTGCTCCATCAGCCCTCCATGTCCCATGTCCTATGCCTTCATCTCCCGACTTTGCCTGGCGCCGCAATCTCCAGCTCACCATGTCCCTATGGAAACACGCGAATATGATCTTCCAGCCTCACAGCTTTTCTTCCGTCGTCTTCGACTTCTTCGTGGACGGGACAGCAACGCCATCTTGGTATCCGCTCGCCACATGCTTACCCTCAGGGCTCCATATCCTGCTCTCCATCATCCCCCTGCCGGCATTCACTCGCGGCCAGCAAACCTCCTGAATCCACCACCCATCCCCCTTCATGACCGCTTCGTCAGCGTTGACGTGCACGTAAAAGGAATATGACAAGCTCGCCGCAGACCCGAGGTTGAAGCCCCAGCCGAGGGAGTTGGTCAGCATAATCAGCCCGTTGCGATCCGCCTCATAGGCGTGTGCCACAATGTGTGCATTGGCATCGTCCTCGGGAATAGGCTTGTGCGCTCGATATAGAATCAGCTCGCGCCTTTCCGGAACTGCTCTACCCTCATTGTAAGCCCTCATGTCAACTTTGTACATGTCCAGCATCGGAAACCCTCCATGGCCAGCGTTGGGAAACAGCGTCGTGACAGCTTCAATGTCCAGCTGCGGGCTGGCATCCCACTCGTCTGGCGCTCGCTGTGAAAGGATGTCGGCGTAGCGTTCTTGAGCTGATCCTTCCATCTGGTGATCTGCCGGCGATGGTGCGGGACGCTTGAACGTCGTGAGACAGGCGAAGCAGACGTTGCCCAGCGGCCGATCAGCATCCGACTCTGGAAAGGGGCCAGCAGGGACGCTCGATGATACTGTGGGCTGCCGTGCCTGAACTAGCTTGGTGGCAAATGAACGACTTGAGTGGACGTTTGTGACTTGATAGATGAATGGGCGATCAATCGCGCCTGGTTTGGTGAAGACGCCTTGTATGGACTGAGTGAACCAACCATCAGTTCAATTCATGGTTGCCACAAGCAGTTACTGCAGACTCACATGAATGCCGAGTTTACCGTTTCCATTGCTCCCGGTCTCTTCTTCATCCTCCTCCACTGCTCTCGCCGCCGCCAAAGGGGCCTGGGCATAGACGTGGCCTCCGAAAGCTCCAGGAGGGAAGTCGAGGATGTTGCCTTTTCCGGACAGCTTGTCGCTCGCCCATTTGATCGGGAGCTCGCCTCCTGGTCTCCATGCTGGCGTACGGCTCATGTACCTCTTGACGCCATCTTGGGAGGCGTTGTGCTGGTCGGGGAGCCGCGATAGCTTCAGAGCCTCATAGAGGTCATTGCGCCGGAATTCGGTGCGTGCGTCTATGCTATTGGCGGCCGCCATGTTCGCCCTTCACGCGACGCGCTTGCGTAATCGCTTGTGCTAAAGCCTCGGCGTTTGTCCCGTTTTCCCCACGATTTCATTCAACTAATCGGAAGTATCGAGTAAAGATGATCATGTTGTGTGTAACAACAGGGAGACGTTGACTTGATATCAAACAGATGTATGAGTGAGTGGGCGATGGACCTCGGCTCCGGACGCCGCTACTAAGCTGCACCCCGGCTAAAAAGGGAGCGCATCCAATGACACCCGTGTCTCTCATGCTGCGGGTACTGACTCTCATTGGAATTTTTCTTTTTGGTCTGGTTGGCTTGGTGGGAAAGCAGTCTGATCATCAGTTCAATTCGAACCTGATATATCGCGTCTCTCGTTGCCATCAGACGCAACTTGTGACACTTTCACCGCCTGCAGCTGAGAGAGCCTCTGAAGTATACGCAAGCTTGCAGCCTTCAACGGTGAAACAGCGACTCGCCTACGGAATTTTCATCGAAGTCATGGGGCACAGAATTAGAGGACTGATTTACCACGAGAAGCACTTACACTATCGATCCCTTGGTTACACAGTAGTATAAAGCCATCAACTGCTCCGTCGTCCTGCTAAACTCTCACTCCGGAAGCGGCGTCATTCTCCTCAGCCACTCCCGGGCCTATAACCTATAAGCCGAGTGGCAGCACTGGAGCTTCGGGTTCACGAGTTCCAGTCTACAACAGCAGCAAAACGTGAGTCGAGCGGTCATCTTGTTAATACTTTGTACGCGCACACGCCTACTTTTCACCTCATCAGCCTGCTGAGTGCTTGGAGTTGGGTTACATAACATATCGATGGTTGCACATGCAAACGATAACCGATGACCATCCTATGCTTCGCATTTCAAGGCATCATGAAGCATTCATTGATTATTGCAACAGAACTCATGCGAAGCCTTCACATCTTTTCATTACTTGCTAGATATCCTCTTCAATTGACATACGTTTTCTTATCTCTGTCAATAATATGCATCTCCTCAAAGACGGTCAAGTGCAGTCCCTGCAGCACCTCAAGCGCAGCTTACCCTGTGATGTCATTGGCGCTTTACAAGATTCACCGGCCAACATGATGCAGCAAAACAAAACAATGACACCACCCAATTGTCGTCATCAAGCCATCACCCAAAAATCCCCCCTCCACGAAAAATAAAAGAAAAAATAACGTCTGCAGGGTTATGCTTGGAAATTGGAGATTTGGAGAAGCAAAAGAAAAAAAAAAGCCATATCGATTTCCCAGTGACACCTTTCTGGACACTCCTGCCGTGTTTCAGCTCCAACGTCAAGCAAGCGTCATTGATTTGCATCATCTCACATACCTCAGCTCTCCCCATCTACCAACTTACCTTCCTTATCTTTATCTTGCCTTACCTTATATCAACATACCGCCTCACATCGACTTCATACTCATCAAGGAACTTCAACAATTCACACGAAACAGCAAATCATCACGAGATCAGTCAAAGCAACGCAATCGGCCTACAGTCTCAGCTCGCCACCATGTTTTCCTGGCTGGCTCTCAGTCACGACTCCGGCCGTCGCCGCCACGATGAGGAGCACCAGCCTCTCCTCCCGCAGTACAACGAGCCCACGGAGCGCCAAACCCGCCTCCATGAGAAGCTTCACACCTACCAGATGCTGCGCGCCCTCTCCAACGGCTACATGCCCTCCAATGAACAGACCATCACGCATCTCCGCACGCTGCTCTCGGCAGATGTTCTCAACCCGCAGGCGCCTGGCCTGAGTCCCTCTGGCAGAGCCCTGGTCCGGACCACGTGCATGTGGATTAGCGAGCTCATCGACCTGCTCCAGGCCAAGAACTCCAATGATCAGATCCAGGACTTCCTGTGGTACCTGTCCAAGGCACGTCTGCGAGTGGACGCCGCCGACATCTCGGCCAGAGCCAGCAGCAACAAGATGAAGGCAGACGTCATGGCCGCCGTCGCCAGCATCAAGACGGTGGGGTCGCTGCTTCTTACAAACTCCGATTTCCGCATCTTCCTTACAGATTTATCGACCGTCTCCCGTGAAGTCTTTCGTGATACGGCATTCACGCTGAGTGATGTGGCCCAAGAGACAGCCAAAAGGGTTGAGCCGCCCAAGGAGAAGCAGCAGGCTCTCAAGCACGCCAACGGAGATGCCCAGCCTGCCCCTTCGACCGAAGAGCTGCAAGACGAGGTCACCCAGGTGGCCGAAGTTGTCGCGGACGGTGCCACCGATGTCCTCGAGGCCGCCGTCAACAGCGCGCGAGACCACATCCAGGGTGACGAGCAGGAGGCCCTGACCTATCGCCTCAAGCAGGCCGTGCTCAAGCTCCGTAAACGACCAAACTACTCGGACTCTGTGTCCACCTTGTCTCTCCTGCTGAGGCGCTATCTCAAAGTCTACTCTCAGGCTGTCGCTCGTACGGCCGAGGTTGTGGAGGATGACATCGACATCAACCCGGAAGCCGACGAAGCCCTCAAGAACTTTTGGCAGCTCGTCACGTCGTTTGGCGATAAGGAAGCCTGGGAACAAGTGGAAAAGTCGTTCCACGAAGTAGTGGAGGCCGGCCAGTCAGATCCCGCATTTGAAGACCTCGTGAACCATGTGTCCAAGCTGGTGCAGGATATTCTCATGGATCCCGACTTCTTCAACAACGCGGAGAAGCGATTCAATGAGATCCGCGGCAAGTCGAAAGAGCTCGCAAGTGAGACTTCCATTCGAGAGAAGCTCGATGAGTTACTGGGCAGTCTGAGCGCGGCCCTGCGCTCCGTGAGCCAGGATACTGAAGTCAACCAACTCATCGCTAGTTCAACACGTATTGCACACCTGATATCGCCCAAGAATCAGTACGTCAACAAAGAGATGATGTCGGATCTCGTCAACGTGTTTGTCCCCATGATTATCCAGGGCATCCAGTATCTGCCGATTCCGCGGCTTGAAGTCTCGACCCCTGATGTCGATTTGCTTCTTGAGAATCTGATCCTGCAGCCCGGTCGAACGGTCAACCACACCTCGTTCCTTCCATACAGACTCCAGGTCTCGACTCGGAACGACATTGACATTCGTAAAGCCCGCTTCCAAGTCTTGTCGACCGTCACCTCGCTGGCTACGATCAAAATCTCGGGGCTGTCTATCGCGGCGGAAGATGTGGGATACTGGATGCACCTGCACTCCGGCATCTTTAGGTTCATGGACGAGGGCCTGGCCAGCATCCACCTGGATGAGCGCGGCATTGACCTGATCCTGGACATTGAGATTGGTCGCGATCGACTCGAAAAGATTGTGACCCTCCGCAAGGCAAGCGTCCGCATCCACCACCTCAACTACACCCTCCGCCAGTCCAAGTTTTCCTTCTTTGCCTGGCTGTTCAAGCCCTTGATCCGGCCCATCGTCAAGAGGGCGCTGGAGAAGAGCATCGCCTCGTCCATTGAAGACGCACTTCACACCCTCAACCGCGAGCTGCTCTTTGCTCGCGAGAGGCTGCGGGCAACGCGCATCGCCAGCCCCGAAGACCTCTGGACCTTCATCAAGGCCGTTGCCGCCCGGCTGGTGCCTCGGCCAGACCCAGAGATCGCAGCCAGGATTGGCGTGCGGCCGGAGATCTTCCGCGACCGCTATGCTCCGGGAAGCTTAGTCCAGCTGTGGGAGCGGGAGGCTCAAGACGCCAGCCAGAAAATCTACGAGTACGAGCGAGGCGGATGGCGCAATGACATCTTCGGTGTGCGGACGCGCCCAGCTTAGCCAGGTCCAGAACGAGGCCGGTCAGCCGGAGAGGGGTGAAGCTGCTCCCGCCCGGCCTTCTGACTCGTCATATTGGCTCGCGGTGTACAACATGAGAAGGGCTGTGTGTCGATTGGACTTGGACGGAGTAGGCATTCCGAGCTGTTACGTGCGGCGCGAATATTGGCCGCCGGCTTGAATCGGGAGAGCGAATGGGAGCAATGGCGCTGCCACCCAGACACGGCCGGATATGGCGGGAGCCCTGTGTTGGGGCCTGTCGATTCTTTGGTTTGCTTCTTCTTTTTGCGATTGCGTCGCTGATCAATCGTGGCCTCAGCGCCCAAGCTTGGTTCTGGTTTCCTGATTCAGGCAGCGACCCCAGCTGTCAGGCTGTACGGCATGTTGAAATTTGGGGCAAGATGATGGTCTTTTGCATTTGGCAGCGCTTTGCTTCGGATCTAGGGCAGACGAGGTTAATGCAGCACTGAGCTGGCGGAAAGTGGTTTCAGGTAACACAGCAGCAAAGTGGCTGGAAACACTCATTGGCCGAGCTGCTGTTGCGTCGATTCGATACATGGGAAATCATTAGTATGAATGAACGGCCGAGATGCGCAGATCATGAGTGTGCCTGCGGGTGCAAGTATGTCGTAGCACCTGGTGCTGTTCCTCGTCTCGTTCCCGTGACACGAAGATCAAATGCCAGCTTTTGGTTCGTGGGTATTTACTCGGGGGTGGTTTACAAGAGAGAAGCAAAATCAGACGAGCAGGATTTTAGGAGTTGGAGAAGGTTGGGGGGGCCAGCAGAGGCAATGGGCAGCCCAAGAGGACAGCAACATGAGCCGCTTGACGATGCCGACATACATATGTGCATGTATGTACGTGTATGCAGAAGCAGTCGATTATGGAAGTCAGGCCATCAGAGCGGACGAAGCCCGATTCGACCGCTAGGAAAGGAAGAAAGGAAGGGCGATGGTGACTTGTTCTTCCTGCACTCAGCTGGAGTGGCTTTGAGTGGATGGCAAAGGAATGCGAGGTGGTGTGGCATTGGTGAGGAGAGACTAGCCAGGGTCTGGGGCTTTTCCGGGGGTGGATCTTGGGGGATCCTGATCCCAACGTGACCTGTTAGTAGTATGGGGATTTGGCGACATGTTTGTTTGGTTTGGACGCCTGTTGACCTGATTTGCTGCATGCCTGATGGATGGTTGAGTGAGTGAGTGAGTGAGTGTTGAGAGCGAGTCTACTGTAGGTGGCAGATGCATGGCTTACTCTTGCAGCAAATCGCAGCTGAAAGATGAAACCGGGGTTCTTATTCTGTATGTAAGGGTATGGACGCTGTCATGCAGCTCGACTAAACAAGCAAAGAGGCGAAATCCGGTCTGCTCTGCGTGATGGCATTTGCATGACTGCATGCTTGAATTTAATATATTCTCGAGCTTCTAATTGTCCGTTCGTATGGAGTCGTGCGTTGTAGGATGGCGGAAGGGCAGCGATCCGATTTGATCGGCTAAGCTTTATGACGGGTCGATTTAGGATCCCTATTCTTACCTTGTTTAATATCTTGTTTTCTTTTAGGTGTTGATGGCTGAGGATGTGGACTGAGCGTGCTTTATAATGTCTCCGTCTGGAGTTATGGAGTAGTTGGTGATGCTATTCATTGCACTTGTAAGACTATAATGTACCTGAATAATATTGTCAAGGAGAAATGTAGTGCAAAGAGCTCGTAAAGAGAACCCTTGCCACATGACAAGGCGTCAATATTCTCTCCAATGGTCCCATCTCAGCTGGTCCATCGCCGGCACATGGACCAGGGTCGGTCATATTTCGTCCGCTCCCCGAGCCCAGCCTCGCCGCAAAAGAATCTGTAACACGAATTGCCCCGTCCAATTGCTTTTCTCGCTCTCTTTCTTTTCTCATTCCAACCTGTCTTTTCTTTCCTCACGCCCGTGGATTCTCTTGTAGGGTGTGCTGATTGCATTCGTTCATAGGTAGCTTGTAAGAAGTGAGAACATCGAGAACCGCTTCTTCATCCAAGCAAACATACAAGTACTCCGCATATTACTCAATGTGCAATGAGTCCCTTCATGCAGCTCGGTATTCAAATATCCACCGAACGAATGAAGACGAATGCTCAAGCTGCACACGGAATCCGAACCCCTGCTCTCTCACTCCCTCCCTACCGCAAGGCAAAGAAAAGGCAAACTTGGCCCGTTTTTCTGCTGCAAAAGGGTCAGGTTGTATTAGGTAGGGCGGGCGCCTAACATGATGTTTCCCGTCCTGCAGCGGCCTGAACCTGGGCCTTGCCTTGCCTTGCCTTGCCGGCTCTTTTTATCCTACCTACCTTACCTGGGTATGCACATACAGCCCTGAGTGCTACGGTGACACCAAAGAAACAATGTGGTGTAAGTGTTTTCCGAAGCAAAGCATCATACTCGTACGTCATGTGAAAACAAGACACAGCGAAAATATATATCTGGGAACTTGAACTTGTGCCTCGTAAGCTGCTGCCGTCTCGCATGTTAATCCATTCAGCAACACGGATCATCCGCCCTCCTTTCTCTCTTTTTATTACTACCCTGCAGATCCATGGCCCCCTGCAAGAAACAAGAAAAAAATAGGGAAAAAAGATTAAACCTGGCAAGGAAAAAAGGAACAAAGGGCCGTGCTTCCCCGGACCGTGGCGCGGGCCAGAAGAGGAAATCCGGCTGCTGGTGGATGCCACACACACACACACCACCTCCTTTGCTTGATGCGTTGGTCAGTCAGGCCAGCCGTCAGCTCCCCCAATCCCGTACCACCTCTGCTGGGGACTATGATGGGGAAGTTGAACCCCGTCATGCGTTTGTGTCCATGTACTTTGTAGACCTATATAGTACCACTACTACGTATACCGAAACCCGCATCTTCGGGACCGTTGGATTGGATGCTCGGGGACTTGATTGACTTTTCGGCTGGGCTGGTAATAAAGCCTGATGTGTGTCCCAAATCCGGGGTCGACGAGAAGAGTACAACTACTGTAGAGGATGAGGGACAAGCAGGGGGGGGAGTGTATAGACGGGCACTCCCTTGTTGAGCTGGCCGTGGCGTGTGCAGATGGAACAAATCGACGAACCAAGCAAACTTGGATCAATTTCCTTTTTGTTTGTCTGGTCTGGCAATCGTTCAGAAATAGAAGACAAGACAAGAGACTAAAGATCATGCAACCACCTACTTACTCGTATTAGTTCGTTTTGAGGCTTCGGTCGGCCCCGTCTGTCAAAGTCCCCCAACGCACGCCGGCTCCCCGCTTTATGTACGTCTGTATGAAATGGGATGCGGCGCCTTTTGCCGTCTGTATGAAATGGGATGCGGCGCCTTTTGCCGTCTGTAACCTCGAGCCTTCTTTTTACTACTACTACCTTGGCCTTGCCTTTGACTTGCACAACCCTCGTCCCATACCAGCACCACCATCATCACCGACAGGAAACAACAGACACACTCTACATTACTACTACAGGCCACAGAGTCCTGTACCGTATCGCCGCCACTGCCACTGCTCCATAAGGCAATATAAGTGACAGCAGGGCAAAAACAGGACCGGGGTTCAAACAAAAAGAGGGCCACTCTCAACCTTCATGCCCCCCCTTGACCGTGGCCTTCACCTTGACCTTTACAACCTCAGCAGACACTCACCGGTGAAAGCCGGGGCCCCAATAACAACAACAGCAGCAGCAGCAGCAGCAGCAGCAGTAGCTCCTCTCATATCGCAAACCAATTCTACATCCATTATCCCCGGAGAGAGAAAGCAATGCAAATCTCACTCGAGCCGGTCCAAACGCTCAGATGTCATGATCCCCTCGTCGTCGAAGCCGGCCCCATTGGGGTCGGCCTGCACTCTCTTGGCGCAACAAGACCACGTCTCAGCATGGCCAAGGCGGCGCTGTCTAGACGCAAGAGCTCAGACTTCCTCCTCGAGGCGCCTCATCGGCACCGTCTCAAGAGCACCACACGCAAACCCCCTCCTACTACTGTCCTCTCATCATCATCATCACCAACCCTCAAAGAACGCCCCAGGCCGGACGAGCTCGTGCGGTTCGCCATCGTAGACCGCAGCAAGCTCGCCGCCTTTGAATTCTCCCTCGACACCGCCGCCCAACGGGGGTCCCGTCGCGGCGTCAAGCGCTGCCGCCTCGGCTCCGACGTCGAGGGCCCCAACACGGCCTCCGTCGGCCGCAAGAAGCGCCGCCTGCGGAGCCGCCTCATCACCAGCCGCCTGTCCCAGCCCTTCTCCCAGCCCGCGACGCACATCCTCAACCGCGAGGGCCGGCAGGTCGGCGACAGGCGCTTCGTCAAGATGGCCGTCATGCTCGACTCCAGCCGGCGGGCCGCGTATCTGCGGGCCACGGCGTACCTGCGGTACTCCATCATGAACCGCATGCGCAAGCGGATGGGCCTCCAGCGGTATTATTGCCAGGCCTCCTCGGCAAAAGAGGGCCACGACGTGGACGGCAGCGGCAACACGGTGCAGCAGGGCATCGACACCTTCACTAGGGCGCCATGGCAGCAGTCTCAGTCTCAACAAGCCGTGAAAACGGCCCCCGAGGCGAGATTCAGCTTTCCCGAGGCGCGCAAAGGCGCAGCAGCAGCACCGCCAGCGCCTCAAGAACCCGTCCAGTCTGTCGAGACACTGGCCAAAGCACCGGCATGCCGCTTATCAAAACCCATAGCTCTGCCGCTGCCCTCGGCGGACGCCGATGCCACGAATGATCGCACCTCGGCCCGCATCGACTCGACCACGTCGCCGGAGCCGAGGCCGCCGCTCGCGTGGATGTACGACGACTGCGAGGAGGACAGCTTCGCCTTTCTCCATGCAGACGAGGAGCACCTGGATGACGACGACGACGACGACAGCGGTGACGTGTACTGCAATTTCGATGCCATTTTTGCGGCAAAGGCCACCTCGCCGGATCCGCAGACGCCCGCAGAGGAGCACACGTATGAAGAGTACATGGACGAGCTGGACGGCATTTCTTGGAGGATTGGGTGATTAACTTTTCCCTTTTCTTCCTCTTCTTTTTCTTTTTCTTTTTCTTCAGTTTCTTATTCACTTGGGAAGACGGCTGGCATCAACAATTCATCGGACGCCCGGAAATCACTTGTAAGGGCTTCTAAATTACTGTATATTTATCTTGCATGGCTGGCGCACAAGCAAAAACCTTGGGCTGTATGGGCTTTGGAGGGAAAGGGCAGGAGGGCGTTCTTTTGCTGGGTGAAAAAATGGCAGGGCTATGGGCGATGGCTGGCGGAGGACCGTATTCCTCTATGAATATTTCCCCCCCGAAATTGTTTGCGTAAAGCTAAAAGGAGGTTTTGTTTTCATCATATCAAATCTCCACCGAAAATGCATGTGCACGAAGCGACAATCGTCAGAGTCAGTTGCCGTTGGACGGCTTGCGGGTATACGTGTCTTCGGGGAGCTTCGACGCCCGGTCTTTGGCAATGTCGCACATGGCCTGATGTCCGCATGAGTTAGCTCCACCATATCGAGAACAGCGAAAAACAATCAGCCCGGTAGTATCATACCTGTACTGCGGCAATGACCTCTCTGGAAAAGTCACTTCGCTCGATCCGCGCCCTCATGTCCTCCATGATCTCGGGTCGCCCTCTGCCATTGACGTAGACGACGTATCTGAGCCCCGGGAACGCCGCCTCATACTCCCTGTTGAGCGCGGCCAGCTCCTCCGCCTCTTCGTCCCCCTGGAAGTTGGCCTGCTCGGCAAGGGACCGCGCCGACTTGACGTTCTTCTCGCCCAGGCGCGGGTGGGAGCCCAGGACGGACAGCAGCACGGGGTTCGGCTCCGTCTCGGCAGACTTGGCGGCGAGCGAGAGCAGCTTGATCTGGCAGGCGTCGATCAGGTCGGGGTAGGATCTGTAGACGGCCGTGCGGATCACCGGCAGGAGGGTTGCGTGGATGGCGGGACTGGGCTCGAACAGCAGGTCGAGCACCTCGGTCTGGGCTAGATCCGTATACGAGTGAAGCGCGGCAATGGGAGGGAGACGCTCCAAAGGCATGATGCAATGCGTGTGTGCGTGCGTGTGCCTCAAACAAGAAATGGATCGGGCTTGTCGTTGCTTGGTTGGCTATAAGACAGAGATCGAGATGCGAGGAGCAGCAGCGTGTGCGTGTGCGTTGTGCTGCAGATGGTTGGTTGGATAGACGGATGGCTGGCTGGATAGATGAATCAACCGCGTCGTATGTATGTACTGTGGAAGCAATGCTGAAAAAAAAACGATTGCGGGCAGAAGCCAGGCTAAACAGTCTTTATACACGACAGGCCCCTAATAAATCCAGTGCAAACAAGAGAAGAATGGAAACAACCCGCGAACGGCCTTTAGAAAAGGGAACAGACTGAAAAGAATGGCTGGCTCGAGTAGGACGAGCTTCATCCCCTTAACTTAAGTTGCACTCCCCGCAATTCCAGCACTTGTGCTGGAGCTGCTGCTTATCGCGCACCGCCTTATCAGCTCGTGACGTGCCGGGGTGCGGGCGTTGGTCTGTGCGCTGGAGCGGAAAATCTCGAGCGGGATCAAATGCTGGTCGCGCCAACGGGCTTGAGAGAGCTGCAGCCTCGTTTCGCGAGTCCGAACTGCTTGAACTTGTCACCATAATTACAGCCATTGGTAGCGCAGCGGAGATCCAAACCAGTCGCCATGCTTTGCGGAAGTAAGTGATACCCCGATGTCTACTTGGATGATGGAAATCCGACTTCTTTCCCCTGTTGTCAACCTTGTGCTAACTCAGACTCCAGTCTCCGGAGAAGCTCCCCAAGAGCCTGTCGCGTCCAAGAAGACGGGTAAGTCGACGAGACGGCATACGCAAACGGCAGAGCAGATTTGGCTGACCCGGTGGCATACAGGCATCGTCTACGAGAAGCGACTGATAGAACAGTACATCAATGAGCACGGCACAGAACCCAACGGCGAAGCCCTCACCGTCGATGACTTGCTGCCCATCAACACTTCTCGCATCCCTCGCCCTCGCCCCCCTACCCTGACGTCGATCCCCGCGCTGCTCGCCACGTTCCAGAACGAGTGGGATAACCTTGCACTGGAAACATACAACCTGAGGGAGCAGCTGGCCCGGACAAGGGAGGAGCTTGCGACGGCGCTGTACCAGCACGATGCCGCCGTTCGCGTCATTGCGCGACTGACCAAGGAGAGGGACGAGGCGAGAGACTCGCTGAGCAAGATTACCGTAACAGACGGGGCTACCAACGGCGATGGTATGGTGGTGGATAGCGTTGAGACGCTGCCGGAGGATCTGGCGGCGCAAGTGGACTCAGTCCATCAGAGGTCAGCACTCTACTGCATGTTCTGGGGGGATCGGCACATGCTGACCTGCTCTGTAGCTTATCAAAGGGGCGCAAGAAGCGCTCTGTGCCTGAAGGCTGGGTATCCAGCGACCAGGTGTCATCATTCGAGACGACGACGACAAACGCCCTGCCCGTTTCACGGGCCACCGCTCTCGATGTGGAGGGTAGCTATGCGGTAGCGGGAGGATTGAACGGGGACGCAGCCATCTACTCCGTCGAGGCCGACAACGTGGAGAGAACGATTGCGGTTGGCGAGCCCGTGACGGATACGCTCTGGGCTGGCTCCAAGGTCTTCTTCGCCACCAGCCAAGGAAACGTCAAGGTCTACGAGGCCGGCAACGAGGTTGGCACACTATCCGAGCACGCCGGACCTGCCAGCGGCTTGAGCCTACATCCCTCTGGAGATCTGCTCGCCTCTGTGGGCACCGACAAGAGCATTGTGTTTTACCACCTGGAGACGATGAAGCGAGTCAGCCGGGCTTATGCCGATGCTTGTAAGTGGGATCCTTTTCTCGTGGCTGTCTGCTGAGACGTTGACTGACACCACTCCACAGCTCTGACAACATGCGCTTTCCACCCCGACGGACACCTGTTTGCCGCAGGCACAGTCACCGGCGACATCAAGCTGTACATGACCAAGAACCTCGAGCAGGCCGTCGTGTTCAAGCTGGGCGCCTTCGTTCAGGCCCTGGTCTTTTCCGAAAACGGCTTCATGCTGGCGGCCACGGCCAAGGGACAGACGAGCGTGACCATCTTCGATCTCCGGAAAGAGGGCGACGCCGCCGTGTCCAAGGTGCTGGAAACCGGAGGGTCGGTGCAGTCGCTGGCCTGGGACTACACCGGTCAGTTCCTGGCAACGGGAGGCGCCACGGGCATCACGGTGCAGCAGTACACCAAGTCGAGCAAGAAGTGGAGCGAGCCTCTGCGCAATTCCGTCGCAGCAGTCGCGGTTCGATGGGGCGAGTCGGGGCAGAAGCTGGTTTCTCTCAACGGGGAGGGCGTGGTGACTGTGCTGGGCGTCAAGGAGTGAGAGGCAATGATTTGATGTGCGGGTGCAAGCCTTCTTTCTGGGAATTCTTTGGTCTTAATGCTATATCTGTGCCGGACGGGCTGGGTCACTGTTTGTTATACGAGGGGTTTAGATTGCGTCACAATGGCTGTATATCGAGGAAAAGGTCTCTCTGGACTCCTGACAGGGGCAACATGATTTCAGACAAAAGGCATACAAGTTTGTCTCTGTTGATTTCTCACAAAATCGACCGATGTGAAGCATCCCGTTGTCAATCAGGAATAAACCGTCTTTGTGGAACATTTCATGGCTGTCTGCGTAAGGGGGCAAATGGGTGACCATAAGCCTTGCCCGTTTTATACGCAAAATGCCGGGTAGGGCAGACTGAACCAGTTGGAGGGAATCTACGGGTATCATTCTTGGGCCGAGACACGACAATAAGAGATGAGAGACGAAGAACAATTTCACCATGGAAAAGAAAGACACGGGTCATGATATCGTATTGGAACTGTCCAGTTTGGCCAATATCACTGCAAAGCCACATCACTGTTTGGCAGTTCACTGTCACGGCTCTAGTGGCGCTGATTGTTGAGGTGCCCTTAACTTCAGGGCTTTCTAATCTCCGTCAATTGCCATGGTTCATACTTTTTTTTTTCCACTTCCGCCACCCTTTGTCAGCTGCCGAAAGCGATTCGAATCATGCATGACACTATGACCACAAGATGCGAGCCGAAAAGCTGGTGTGATCTTCGCACGGTAATACCGAAGACGAACAAAGTGCCGGTTTCTCTTCTTTTCCTCTTTTTGGGCCTTGATGTATGTTCTTTTTTGTCGACATACAATCAGGCTGATTCCCTGGTTTGGTACATACACTCTGCCACGTGTGGACGAAGCGAAGCAGCCCCAAACCAAGCAGCAGCCACCAGACCTTATTCATCCGCACTCTAATCTGTTGAGATAATCGCCTCTCTCACGCTAGACGAACTCCAAACGAACTTCGACTCAGCACCACCTGAAGCCGAGCACAAAACCAACGAACGAAACGACACACTCGAATCAGCACTCCCCTGTCCAGCTGACCAGCACTGAATCCTTCCTTTAACCCTCCACCTGTTGGCCGCGCGAGCGACCGGCTTCCCCAGCTGCAGCGCCGGCCGAACCCCGTCCCAAGGCAGCCTCATCGCTACATCGAAAGCCTCCATTTCGGCTGCCCTTTCGAAGCCCACGCCACCCTTACGCAGCGACGCAACGGTGAATTGCCCTCCGCACACGCACGCAAGCGGGCCTCGAAACACCATTTCGCATCCTTGGCGATCTCGCGAGACCGGAGAATCCTCGATCCACCACTTCTCTGCTTCTCTCCGCCGCCTCTCTCTCTCTCTCTCGCCTCCCTCTCGACTCGACTCTCGATTTTTTGCTTCACAACAGCAGCAGCTGGGAAGACACCGCACCGCAATGTCGCGATCCGGGGACGAAGGGCTGGAGCTGTCCAGCGACGACGACCTGATCGAGGTCCAGTTCGACGTCAGCCAAGCCTCAGCGCCCAGCAGCCGCGGCCACAGCATTTTCGAAAACCTCCTGCACCCCCAAGGCGTCCCATCACGAGGGCGGCCGGCCGCAGACTCGACCATGGCGGGCTCGGTCAGCCTGCGGCCGACTGCCAGCCACTCGCGAAGGCCGCAGCCCGCCCAATCGTCGACAGCCTCGCAGCCTCGCGGGCGCCACTCGCACCCCCAATCACAGCAGGCCTCGATGCTCCGCGCCTGGGCCGGGGCCTCGGCCTCGTCATCAGAGAGCCGCCCGCCGGCCACGACCTACATCGACCTGACGGACGAGCCAGACTCGCCCGTGGAGCGGCGGAGGACGCAGGCGTCGGACCCCCAGGCAATGCTGCAGCAGGTGCCCAATAACATTGCCGGGCGCCACCCGCGGAGGACGAATTCACAGCGCATCTCGCCGCCGCAGCTCGCCAGGAGCGACAGCACCCTCGTCGGCGGGCCCTCCAGCTACATCGACCTGACGGTGGACGAGGACGAGCAGCAGCAGCAGCAGCAGCGCTCCGGCAGAGAGCACTGGCGCACGCGCGCTGCCCACCAGCACCCCCACCACCACCATCACAACACCAGGCACGGTGACGACCGCCTTGTCGCGCTGAGGCTCATGAGCGGCAGCCACCAGGAGCAGCTCGAGTCCGGCATCCGCGTCCTTGGTAGAACCTTGGCCGACTTTTTGAACGGCAGCCTCGGCGCCACCCTCTCGCAGAGCAGGTTTCCGGCAGAACCAGAGTCAAGGCCGAAGCCCCCGATGGAACCGATACCGTCCGCGACGGCAGGATTCACCCGCGACACCCGGGCAGACGGCGGGCAGAGCGAGGAGCTGGTCACGATATGTCCCGCCTGCAACGAGGAGCTTGCCTACGATCCTACCGAGTCATCAACGCCGTCAAAGAAGAGGAAAAGGGCTGTAGGAGAGCACCATTTCTGGGCGCTCAAGTCGTGCGGTCACGTAAGTGTTTTGTGTCGTTCACTTTTCTTTCTACTGTCTAACTGAGACGGATCAGGTCTACTGTGCCGAGTGCTTCGAAAACAGAAAGCCGACCAAAAATGCGCCCGAGGGGGTCGGCTTCCGATATCCACCCGGGAAGAGCAATGCGACGCCCAACGATATACTATGTGCCGTGGACGGGTGCGGAACAAAGGTGGCTTCGAAGACGGAATGGGTTGGCATCTTCCTTTAGAAGCGTGGCGTCGAGGAACATGTTTTGGCATGTTTGGTCTTGTTGAATGCCATCTCTGAGCAGAGTATGGGAGTGGTTCCAGGTCGAAGTCGCTTATGAAAGAAGCGATTGGGGGACGGGAAATATCAGCGCGATGGAACGAGGAGCATATGCCGACTGTGCTCTTTTGCTGCCTTTATTCAGCACAGGCGGGCGAGGATTGGCGTTTAGAACGAATTTGGTCTGATTGAGCCGGATACAACGGTCAGGCGAACAAGGGTCAAACTCATGACATTTGTTTTTTCCTTTTTGCATTCAAGGCGTTAGGGTGGCCCTTTTTGGTTTGTCTTATCTTCTCCTTTAAGGTGAAATATATCTGGTAGAGCTGGAACGGAAGAGGGCACTTTCAGGACAGCGAGGGGCCATGGAACACGGAAAGGATACCTGATCAAGGGAAACGGAAATGGTAAAGGCAAAGAGAGCAATAAACAGAGACTCTTTTGGTGTATGTATGTGTAGCTTGTTGTTGTATAGACGGGTTTCTCATCTGTTGGCTGCATTTGTTGACTCTGCCTCTCATTCTGGGGCTGAATGGGTTTGTTTTGATGTAAATGGTGAAGGATACCCCTTGGCTATTCTACTTACCTAAGGTATATACTGGTAATGTAATGTACGAAGTGAAACATTGCGGACTTGACACGTGAAGGAAAGAAAAAAAATGAAGCTGTATATATCCTCCAAGTCACGTTTTGCACCTCTTTTCTATACATGGGCATCACGCAATGGGGTTCTCGAAACAACCTACCCACAGGTAGGTAGTACAAAACAAGAACGATATTATATCAGGCATAGTTCCATAAGCAATCCTGGGTGCAAGGCTGCGGCTAGCCGGGGGTAGTCAATGCGTGTTCGTGCCTGGATAGTAATGGTAACGGGAGCGGGAAGCTAATGCAGCTTGTGCATTGTGAAGGATTGAGAGGGAAGTTGAGATGGGAATGACCTTGGGAGGGGTGGCTTACTGGTGCAGACCTGGTTTGTGAATTATATAGATCCGTAAGGTAGGCGACGGCTTTGGCTTGACGGGGGGTTGGCTTAGAGTATTTACTGAGTTGTTGATTAAAGTGAGGAAGCATTCGATTCACCTGTCATCGCTAGCAGTACAGTACAGTAGGTAAGCCGAGTAAAAAGAATACATTCAACTTGATGCTACGCTCAATTTCTAGATGAACAAAAGCAATAGTCGCCACGCAATGCAAAACCAGCCAGTATGCCTCCAGAAAACGTTCCTTTTCGCCGAAATAAATCAGTCCGGTCCGCCGTCTTGTCCGCCGTCTAATCCAAAGGGGTATATCGTCTCTCGTGACCATCTCTGCGGCCGTATATCGTCCTGTGTGTATTAGGTATGTACATCATAGGGAAAGCTCCGTCGCCAGCTCGTCCATCCAGCTCCCGCCGAATTCCGACTCCTGAGAAGCCATCAGGTCCTTAAACTCATCGACTTCAGGAGCGGCCTTGTTCTCTTTATTGGACGTCTTGATAGGCATATCGTGGTCTTTCGGAAAAGAGGGTATGTTTTGTGCCTTTGGAGGTAGAGGTGTGTTCGCGTGCGTAGGTCGGGAGGGCTGCTGCCGAGACACTGCGCCTTGATATGGTGCTCTATTCTTCACCTCAGCTGCAGGAGGCAATTTGCCAGGCAAAGCCGCGTTTGCGCGGCTCTCAGCAAGGGGCCTCCTCTGCGTAACCACCCTGCTGGCTGCACGGTTCGCATTCGGTATGAACGCTTTGCCTGTCGGAAACTGTGGCGACGTTGCAGCAACTGGCCTCCCTTGTCGAGGGATTTGCGGTTGTTCATACACCCTAGCCTTTGTAGACTCAGCCGTTGTGATTGGCCTACTTTCCGCTTGACTTTCCGCTTGTCTCTCTTCAGCGCGACGCTCGGCTGCTCTCCTCTTGGCTTCTTCGAATGCAAGGGCTTCCAACTCTGCAGTCCGCCGTCTCTCCTCCTCCTCCCGCTCTGCCGTTCGTCGACTATGTAGCAAGGCGACAGCTATTCTTTCGTTCGTCCCTGAAGCGGTAAAGAACGGCTTCGGAGTTCCGGGAGATGAAGACGCTGCGTCTAGGGGTAGAGGCGAGTTCTTCTTTACTATAGGACTTGCGGCTTGGGGTGCAGGCATGGAGCCCGATGTCGTGTGTTGAGAGATGAATGTAGTCTCCTCCCCCTCCAGTTCGGCTGCCTGCTGCGATGATGTGGGGAAGAAGTCGTCCATGTTATAGAGGATCTGCTGTGTACTGAGAGGAGGTGCCTGTGGTTTCATCGCGACAGGTGAGGCTTGGGAGCGTGGGCGCTGCGGAGCTGCCGGTAGTGGTGGTGGTGGCATGAGAGACGCCTGATGCTTCGTAGGGCTTGGTTCTTCAAGGCCAGCGGCCAGCCCGAGATCCGTTTCGTAGCTTGATTTTGTGGGAACATAGTTCTGTGGTTTGGGGGGCAAAGGCTTCTCCATTGCTTCTTTTGGTAGCTGCTGTTGGGGGGTCAGGACAACGTCTAGAGCCAGCATCTCCAGCTCTAGATCATCCTCATCATCGGATATCAAGTCAAAGTCTGGAAGAGCCATTGCTTCAGGGTTCTTGATTGAATTGGGAGGATCTGGTTGCCGTGCTGTGGTCTCATCAAGCACGCTTTCTCCCTCGCTCGGCGTGGCATCTGGCCCTATAGGGGGAGGATCCTCTTGGTCTTTGACCTTGCCCTTTGCAACCACTGCGTTAAATGATAGTTTGGAAATTTCATCGTCCGACATTACCTCAAATCCTTCCAGAAAGTCTTCTTCGGCGACGGGCTCATTGTGTGGTACAGTGTCAAGCTCAGTGAGAGGCTCTTCAGGCGCAGCGGGAGTCTCCGATTCTCCTCGCTCAGGCACAGTCCCCGCTTCATCTTGCTCAGGCTCCTCAATAATTCCCTTGAGTTCATGCTTCGTTTCGCAGAATCGCTTCGGGCTGGGAAGATCGTCCTCCTCCTCAGACTCCTCCACTGTCGGCAAGACTGGCGCTGCTGAAGTGTCTCGCCCCTGGCAATCTCTCTTGCTCCCCGATCCGTTCCCTCTCACAAACCGCGCAATGGTATCTTGACTGGGCCGGACGTTGACCAGGGGCAGGCCCTTCTTCTTCTTCTCCTCTCGCTCCGCCTGCTCCTTTGCCCGTTTCTTCTCCCTCAGCGCCTTTGCCTTGCTCGCGGCCTTTTCCTTCTCGAGCTCCTTTCGTATGCGCTCCTGCTCGGCCCTCTCCTGTCTCCGGAGCTCTGCCTTGGACACGCGCGGGACACGGTTGGCTTCGCGGTAGGCCTTGCGGACTTGCTTGGATGTCATAGGGCGATTGTCGACGGGGGTTCGCTCGGCCGGCCCCGGAGCCGGCACCACGGTAAAGGTTCTCTGGACGCGCATCCTGGCAACTGCGGTGGGTTCAATGAGTGGACGAGCATTGCATGTTTGGTAGTGACGATAGTCTTCTTTGTTGTTTTTTGTTTTGCTTTGTTGTTGTCGCGGGGTAAGATTGAGGGAGAAACAGTGGCAGAGCGGGCGTGACGCCTGTTGACGCGAGACCGGTACGCTGTCACGTGATGGCAATACGAACGATGCCTGGACCTCATCTTTCTCCTTCAAATGCTGCAAGTGATGCATAGGTAGGTAGTAGATTCTTCTAATCTCTAAACTACTATTCCGGTCCCTTTCCTCTGCTAGCATCTGGATGCTTGCATGCTGAGCCACAGGAATTGCAACGGGCTACGTAGCTCGTCCTGCAATATGCAGGTTCAGATGGGCATTAGCCGCCGGCAATTCAACTTGAGGCAACTGGACATGTAAAATCCGCTCCTCATGTTGTGAGATAGGACTGAAGATGGCGTCACAATACTTGCGAAATCCTGGATCATTCAGAGAACTCACAATTGGGGCGCTGAATGCACCATCAGCCACGAAGACGGCCTCCGATACCATTGACAATCTTGCAGCAATATCAATGTAGTATCCCGAAGCCCAAGCCGACCCCAACAGGCACAGCCCACCCTGCATAGCCTGGTTGCCTCGCGAGGCTTGCATGCATATTAATAGACGAGCCACTGATAGCTCCCACGACATTTTGGGCGCTACGTCATCTGCAAAGAGTGGTGAAAAAGAGGCCAAAGTAGCCAGTGGAAGATGGTATATCATACCTTTGTCTGTATATATGAGAATTGGAAGCCTCTGAAGTACAGTCTCCTCTAGTCCTCTCTACTGCAAATTCAGCCACTGCAGTCGTTTCTAATTCTTCGTTTGCATGTCTTCCCTTTGAACCTACCATAACTCGCGAGACTTCTACGGGCAATCATCATGGGCGATGCTGTGGATACTTCGCTCTCTGGGGACTTGCCTGGGGAATCCCCATTGTCCCTCGTAGTGAGAAGGGGGGATACAGAACGTGTGAAGCTGTTGCTTCAAGAATCTGATGCCGACCTCAATGCAGTCGACACTTGCGGGAACACTCCGCTTACTTACGCTGTGCAGCATGACTGTCTTGACATAGTCGAGATGATGCTGCAAGATAAGAACAAAATCAACCCCGACAACTACAAACATGCATTCTTTGCAGCGGCTGGGCATTATTCCGCCGACGGCCGCGTCGTGGAGTTACTTCTTACGACGTTTGATATCGACGTAAACACAACCGACGCGAACGGTTCCACGGCACTACATCTGGCCGCGAGCGAAAGCAACTATGACATTGTCGACCTTCTGCTCGAGACAGATGGGATTGACATCAACAAAAAAGACAAATCTGACATGACGGCGCTCGGCAGGGCTCTAGTAACGAGAAAAGAGAGTGTACTGAATCTGCTGCTCCCCAGGAAAGATCTTGCATGGGATGCAAAGCTCGAGAACGACATACTAGAGGCCGCACGCAAAGAAGACCCTTACCGCTTGGACATTCTATTGATCCAAGCGTGTGCTTCAGTCAAGAACACTTTGAGCCCTTTATCATGGTCCGCATTGCGTGGACAAGTTGAGGTGTTGCAGCTCCTGTTATTGAGGGGTGGCGTCAATGTAAATGCAAAAGATGACTGTGGTCGAACGCCGCTCATATGGGCTGCTCAATGTGGACGGGTTGATGCAGTGGAAATGTTACTGAACCACGGTGCCGATGCAAACATGGGGGATCGATACTCTCAGACGCCGCTTTGGTGGGCGACAATGGCCAACGAGGAGGAAGTTGTGAAGAGGTTGATACCCATCGACAATAGCACGCTACACCTGCTGGTTAAAGAAGGTAAACTCGACGGAGTCAAGCTCATGTTGCGATGTGGAATGAAACTCGATCAGAGGAACCGACACGGTCAAACTGCCCTACATCTGGCTGCGGAAAACGGGCGTTTAGAGATTGCGAAAGCTCTCATGTCCGGGGGAGCAGATATTAACTCCGAGGATTATTCGGGTATGACGCCGCTTCGAACTGCCCTGAAAAAGGGACAACTCGACCTCGTGCGAGAATTGCTCAAACGAAGAGCAAATACAACGGGGATAATGTCTAAAGAGTGGTGCTGTGCATCTGGCGGATGGAATGGCGGGGACGTGGCTCTCTTGTCCGAAGCATTCGACGGAGACCTGCGCCTTGATTTCCCAGAAGAAGTTCACAATGTCTGGGGGCTGTATGACAAATATCCTCGAAGACGGAGCTTTCTGTTGTAAGTTGTGCCCCTTTCCCTCAGTGAACTCATTTTTGGGAGGAACTCTAATGAGACAACCCTTCTTAGCCTTTTGACCGACGAAACTGATAGCTCAGTCTGGTCGAGAGTGCCATTCAAAATACCAAAGAATGAAAAGTTGACAGCAGGCAGCTTGGAAATAGCTGTCTCCCGCGGGGGCCTGAGCACAACTCATTCTATTGCCTTATGGCTCCCTCTTGACCAGTTTTCATCTGACAGCCTTTCGCAAACTTCTGGTGGCAAGGTGAGTAGAGTAATGTGGGTATTGTCCATTGGCAGACCTTCAACAGTGTACCTGAGTACATTACCGTATGGCTGCATTCCAGATAATCTCGTTGATTTCTTCCATCAATTCCTGACACACGCCAACACACAATGGTCAGAATTGTGTAGCAAGGCTGGGGAGTGGTTGTCTCGGAGGGTAAGGTGTACTCCTGCTATATCACTCAAGGGCTCGATACAGCCGGAGCAATTACTGACAATCTTTGCACAGCGCGAGGGCCAACTGATGTCCCAAGGGAAAGACCCCCAGACGATGGATGACCTCGCAAAGGATGCGCGGAAATTGGCCGACCTTCGCCGTAGTCTGGCAAGTCAGATCTCAGAGGCCAGGATGTTTATGAATAAACCTTCCATAAGACGCGAGCCATATGAAAGTCGAAAAAAGCTGCTCAAGTACTTAGAGGAAGAGTTTGAACCTGGCGTCACGAAGAGGTTGGACGAGCTGGATCAGATAGCCAGAGATCTCCTTCAGATTGTAAGTCAAGGGTATATGCCTCTACCAGAAGGTGTATGCTTATCAAGTACAGGAATTTGCGTGGAGTTCGGTCCAAGAGGCAAGAGTTGCGACGAAGCTGGGACAGAATGTCATGCTGCTCACATACGTCAGCATTTTCTATCTGCCGTTGGGGTTCTGCGCTGTGAGTTATATGACCCGGGTTCTCGGAGTGACTCCCTGGCCTGACAATGCACCACCTAGGCACTGTGGGCGATCCCAAACATAACGGATTTCAGCACGAGATTACCCTTTGCTGTCACGGCATTTTGTGTCTCCTTGCTGACTCTGCTTGTCACATTCAATATGGAGACGATTGCCTCTACAATACAGAAGGGGTATCTGTATTGCAAAAGTATCACATCGAGAGATCTACTCACGATGATTTCAAAGACGAAAGAAGAGAAGAAGGCGGAAGATTCCGAGGGATCTACTCAAGCTTCCGAGGAATCTAGCCAGGCAGATCTTGAGAGATCTACTCGAGGTCCGAGAGGTCTACTTAAGAAGATCCTGCAGATGAAAGAAAAGAAGAAGACAGAAGATCCCAACCATCCATGAGGTTTTATTCATATAGACCTTTGTTATAGATCGCCGTCCTTAATGCTATAATGCAAGAGGGGTATCGACACTATAGGAATGTCGCTCCGGCATTGATGAACATTCAGCGCAAGAAGACAGAGGATAACTAGAGCAAGGCCAGCTAGTGATCTTCATCTTAATCTTCATCTTCAGTAGGTAAAGGTTAAAACCGAGCCATTGATGCAGATATAGGTGGTGGCACGGGCATTTCGACTAGGTATGAGGTGTAGTTGTTGTAATGAGAATTTGTATGTACGAGTATGCACGATGTGTGAAGTTCCAAGTAACTCAATCCATCGTCAACGGGGTGGGACTTATACATACTATACGAAAAAACTACAATATCTAAGGCGCACTGAACCCCAGTCTCTAGGTAAATAGTCAAGAAACAGGGCGAGGTCAAAACGTGAACTACATGTATATTCACTTTTCACTTGAACCCAGCCTCGACTCTGCACCGTCCTCTTTCCCTTTCTTTCTCTTTGCTCTTCTCTGAGTCTATAAGTATAGGCCCCGCCTGTGTGCATTAGCTGCTATTCAGCTGCTGTCCTCTTATCAAGTTGCGAGCGTCCATCCTCGCTATTCGTGCCCGCTTCACTGACGCACCCCCTTCCGGGTTTATCTTTTTGTTCTTTTCTCCGTTGCCCCCACATGCCCTTGGAACATGGGTATCTAGACAACAGAGCCGCATGGACTTGTTGTCTTCTGGACATGGCGTAGTTTAAGTAGTAATCCTTGATGGGCTTTGGATAGATCTATTAGATACTCTAGGCTTACATAGTATTTATATTATCATATTACTACTCTGAATTTACCTCCTGCTTTGACTCATCTGTTAATACAATAGAAGGCGGATGCATGTCGTTAGATTTAAAGATGACTTCTTAACCAGGGTACCTTAGTGGGCCGCATGTAGTAAGAGGTAGATCAGTTAGCTTCCTTTACAAGAGCCGGAAATGCTAGTATCCTCTTATTAATTGACAGCAGAATTATGGGAAAACAATTGGTTGCTACGTACCTAAGATATGTATTGGAAAGCTCACATTTGGCCCCCCTCGAAGTTGAGGTCAATAGAATATAGTTCGTTTCGCTGACATGAGACGCTCAACTCACTAAGTACTGGTACATCTTTATAGGATGTTATCGTTGGTCTACTCTCCAAAGGATCTATCACTGGTTGACCCCATGGGTTCGGTGTGCTTCAGCAGCGCTAATTCGTCAGTTCGTAGATATCTGTCGCGCGCTTCCACATGCAACCACACAGCAGCCCCCAAAACATGCGACAGTTGTCCATGGATGATTGGCTTGCAGAGACGACAGAATCAACCCGGCCGCAGGGCAGTCAGTATCCAACTTACCCCACCATCATCTCCCACTCATGGACTCCTCCAGCTGCCATGTTCATCTCTGACTCCATCTTCTTTCGATCCCCATCGGCAACAATCATAGACACATCACAGTTTTCCCACGCCAAACTACCTGCCAACATCGAACATGAGCACTATCCCTCTCATCTCTCAACTTAAGTCTGCATGGCAGTTCGTCACTGGCGATGCCGAAGGAGCAAAGGAGACCTGGCATCAGTTTACGGATGCCTGGACGCAGCACCCAGTCAAAACCATTGCTAACATGGCCGATAGCATTCCACTAGTTGGTCACATCAAAGGTATTTACTCACCGTCCCTGCGTTGTTCGTTTGCTCATCTCTCAATCACATAGGTCTTGTTCACCTCGTGAGAGGGGAGAAGGACGAATTCTGGCAAGCTGAAGAACAGGCCACACGCACGCTGGTCGTGATGGGCGCAGGGGCGCTTACTGTCTCAACCGGGGGTGCTGCTGCTCCCATTATGGCAGGGGTAGTTGCAGGGCTGGCTTATGACGGTGTGATAACGGGTATGTGTAATCCACCGGATTCTGATGATAGATGGAGCAAGACCTAATGCTTACCTTTCATGGAATAGAGGACTTGAATCTGCCCGTCACGGCCGCTTCCAGCCGCAAGGCTATATAGCGACCGGAGGGGAGGTTGTCAGTGGCGACTGGCGAGGGGGTATTTTCGATACCGTTGCTCTTGGCGTTGGAGATGGCTGGGTTGGGTCAGAGGGGGGATCAGGACGAACAACCAAGGTAAGGCTTTCTCTCCACCGCGTGGTTTGGGCTGCCATACTTACGCTTTTGTTTTACCAGGTGTACCGCGTCGAAGGCGAGAGCTACTATGTCGGATCTGGCAACAGCGTCATTTTGGATTCCAATCGTCGTCTCTTCCCTGATGTGAACGGCGTCATCGCGGATCCTCATAAGCTTCCAACCGTCAAATACTATCCGAGAGGAAATGCAGGTGACGGGAAAGCGGTCGTACTCGGCCTCGGTAAGGACCGCCCCAGCGGCAACATGCTCTTCTTGAACTTCGGCGAGCGGGCCCGCGCCGATGCCTTCTATGCTCAGCGACTCTTACAGTACCATGAAGCCGTCAAGAAGATGGGAACGCAGGAGCTCCCACACAAGCATAGCATGAAGGTCAAATCCTTCAGAATAATGACTCGCGCGGCCAAGGATCTCCAGCGCCGTGCCATCACAGAGCCCGAGAAGGCGTTGGGCTTCAAACCGTACGATGGTGTCCTCCAGGTTGATATCACCAAGGCTCGTGGCCAGTACGGATGTGAGCGTCGCATCTATTCTCCCCTCCTTCGGAAGGCCATCCAAGGAAGCTATGAGGAGTTCACTCCTTGGATTGACCGTCTCCCTCCCCGTCTGCTTCGGCTTATCGTCGACCATCAAGTAGCATACGGATGTGTTCGCGTCGTCTTTGTTGCTCTCCCGGGCAGTGCACTGCCCGCACTCCTCGACTTCTTTCTTGAATCCGACATCGCCAATCGTCTTGCATCCGGTTCCAACAACCAGTCTGCAAACTTGACCCGCATGCCTCTTCCTCTTTCCCAGTTCAAACAGACAGCTATCGAACGTGTTCAAATTCGCGACGTCCCAGTTGTTGGGCTTCGCCAGGCTAGAGAGGCCAAGTGTGGTCGGCGGCTGCGAACAGACACAGATCACGGCCGTCACTTTGAATATCTCGCAGAGTTCCCTGACGGGTCGGCTCACTGGTACCCGTCGGTGTTGGTCGCAAAGGATCTCACGGAGGAATTCGAGGATCTGTCCATGGCTCATGCTTCAGAGGTGGCCGAGATTATCGAGTCCAAGGGTACTGAATTGACTGTTCGTCGACGAAACAACACCGTGGATCACGTCCACCAGAACCAGGTCTTCTGGGCAGAAGATCTCGCAGAGGAGTATCTGCCTTTGCACGACGAGGAGATTGATTGTCTGGTCAAGCATGGCCATGACGACGAGCATTTGGATGTTTGCGTTCCTGCTACTCTGGAATTTCGCTCTGACTGGGCAAGGATCGAAACCACGACGGTAGGAACGACGTTCCGTAGAGACGACGCCTTCGACGCGAAAGTGTATGAGAACGTGACTTTTACCAATACTTCCATCATGTGGGGGAGAAAACACGGTGAATGGTTTCAGAAACGCACTATTCCGTAAGTACAAGCCTCAACTTTTGCTATAGGATCTTCCTGAGCCTCTGATACATTGAATATTTAGCTTTGTGATTGTCAACCATGGCGCCTTCATCGACATCAGAGTAAGCCACGGACGCGATGGCGATAGACTGGAAGATATGGCTGGCTCGGCAAGCGCTGCTTATGCAGGGGTAAGACGGTCCCCTCCCTCCAGGTAGTGTAAACAACTGGAAACTAACGTTCAATTCTGGTCAAGGAAACGTACAAAGGGTCAAGGGACGTCGGAACTGCTTTCTTTAAGACACCGCTTTTCAAGATGACTGCGTACGTGCATCGGATCTAGATAACTTGGAGGTACCAGTTTGCTCACTGTCGTTTTGAACAGCAATTCATACGCGATACATCTGACCATCCACCAGCCATCGTGGCAAGCGTTCGTCCCGATCGAAAAGGCCGTCTGGTCAGGGGCCGGGTCTGCTACCAATGATGGATGGATTTCTACTGACACCTCTGACCACACACTCACTATGGACAGTAGTGGGAGGTCAGGCGCGCTGCTTCTACAGTCGTCTCAGGGCGAGCGTGTCTTCATGGTAGTAGGCGTGCACAATTATGTCCGCTGGTGTGATATCGTGACGAGCATCTCACCTGCAGACACGGCAGGCCAGATTCTCGCGATGTATTACGGCGCTGGGGAGAAGGAATATATGAGATGGAAGACTTTGTCGGAGCATAGCGTGCGCAGTGCGGCAGGGACCAGTTTCAGAGTCTGGTTTGAGGTTGGGGAGGGCCATCGCCTCACAGCCAAGTTCTCTATCAGCTGAAGCGACTGCATGTTCAAGATGCCTCGACTCATGTAGCAATGGGTAAGTTAAAGGCGCCCATGCCTATAGCATATCTAGGTAGGATGATCATAGAGCTTGGCCGTGAGATGGAAATCGGTCACATGGGCTATTCCAATCAATAACAGTTATCAGCACGAGATTACCCTTTATTCTTACAGCATTTTGTGTCTGTTTGATACCTAACCCTGCTGGTCACGTTCAATATGGAGACAGTTGCAGCTTCCTTGCGGCTTCATTACAGAATGGATTTCAAATAGTCAAAACATCAGGCCGGGCGATCCATTTGGGATGATTTCAAGAGCTTGTTAACAAATTTTAAGAGATCCTCGTAAGAACCCGGGAGATGAACTCACGGCTCCGAGAGATCTATTTGGAAAGGTTTTGCAGACGAAAGAGAAGAGGAATATGGAAGACCCCAGTCATTCATGACAATTTATTCACATGGACTTGATACGTCCTCGATGCTACAATTACCTGTCCAAAGGCTCAACAGTAGGATCCCAAGCACAAGGACTATACTCGCTCGTCGTCAACTCTTTCACCTCCTCCTCCGTCAACTCAAAATCAAACAAGTCCGCATTCTCCTTAATCCGACTCGGCGTAACGCTCTTCACCAACGGAACAAGCCCCTTCTGCAAACTCCACCGCAGCAGCACCTGCGCCTCCGTCTTGCCGTACTTCTTCGCCACAGCGCCAACCTTGGGGTCCCCAAAGCGCTCGCCGCGGACAATCGGGCAGTACGCCTGGACGGCGACGTTGCGCGCGCGGCACCACTGCACAATGTCGTCGCGCGGCAGCCAGGGGTGAATCTCCCACTGGCCGACGGACAGCACGCCGCCCTTGCCGGGCTCGCCGCCGCGCTCGGCCTCGAGCTCCTTGATGTAGGCCTCGAGCTCGTCGAGGTGGTGCACGCCGTAGTTGGAGACGCCGATGGAGCGGACCTTGCCGGCCTCGACGGACTCGACCAGGGCCTTCCACGCGCCCTTGCGGTTCTCGACGCCGCCGTAGGGCGAGTGGATCAGCACCAGGTCGAGGTACTCGAGCTGCGTCTCCTGGAGGGCGATGTCGACGAGGTCGAGGGTGTTTTGGTACCCGAGGGGCTTCTCGCGGACGGGGACCTTGGTGGTGAAGAAGACTTCGCTGCGGGGGATGCCGGCGGCGGAGATTCCGGCGGCGGAGGGGCCTTGGTTGCGGTATGCCGAGGCGGAGTCGATCTGGTGAGGAATGTGAGTATGTGTATCTCATATGAGAATGAATATGGGTTGTGCGTACGTGTCTGTAGCCGATTTTCAGGGCCTCTTTGCAGACGTCGGTAGCCACAGATGCAGATCTGTCAAGGGATCATGGTCAATTGATTTGTCGTTTGTGATGAGTGCCCTATTAATGGGTGGTGACATACGTTTGGTAGACCTAATAAGCACCAGTAAGCACCATGTCGGCAAGGCTAAATGAAGACGGAAGCCATCGTGAGGGAAATGCTCACTCCAAAGCCCAGCAGGGGCATATGATAGCCCGAATTAAGCTTAATCGTCGACTGCAGCGTGAGTTTCTGCGCCATTTTTGCTAATGATTTATGAGCCCTTTACTCGGCAACCAGATCAAGATATTCTAACGGAAATGAAGTGAAGAAGGGAAAAGAACGAGACACAGAAGAGTCGAATGAAACACCACGGATGAATTGTTGCAGTCTTTATATGAATGATGTCAACCGCGCCATTGAGGGGTCAAACCGCTGCCATGAGGGGCAATTTTGGTTGCTAGCATGGGAGCTGAACAGGGGATGATGCATGCATTCAAACGTCCAGTCCCACAAACCCGCACAGTACCCGGAGTTATGGATGTCATCTTGGGGGGTTTTGCTGCCGATGAGGCCATGGAGTCGGTGGCCGTTTAACGCCGAGGGACATCAATGGATGGAATGGACGGCCAGAGTTGCCGGCTGGTCAGGCTAATACTGGTCATTATGACTTGCTTGATAATAACCTTGCAGGAGATACGAAGGGCAACGGCGATAGCCTCCCCATACAAAGGTCACCCCGCTTGAATACAGCTCCATATCTTAGGAATCACGTAAACTCGCATTCGCTTTCATTTTGGTATCCAGTCCGTCTATTCTAAATCACGTCATTCAACATGTCTACCTGGTCCTCCTCGTCCCGTCTGGGCGGTGGCTGCTCCGCCGCTTCCTCCTCTTCATCGTCGTCCAGGTCGTGCATGGGATAGTTCAAAATCGCCGCAATGTCCCCCAGCATCTTGAGCCGCTGCCCGCTCTCGTGGTCGCTGCTCAATATCCGCGCATCGCCACCATCCCTTATGACCTTGTCCACCAGCGCAACGTACTTTTTCCGTGTCGCGAGATCCTCGCTTCGGAATAGAGAGTTGTTGATCAGTAGCACCCCGGATCCGGGCCCGACTGCGCCGTCGGCAACCGCCTTCTCCACGGCCTTGGTGCCGTACCATGCCCGTCCGTCGTCGAGCTTGAGCAGCTCAAAGAAGCTGTCAATGTACTGCGCCTCCTTGGCGTACTTCATATTCCTCATCTTGGCCAGCACCTCAGGGCTCTTGAGCACCTCGTTTAAGCTGTGAACGTGTCCCGAATTGGCGTGCACTACCGTTGCCTGCTTGGCGACGGCCGTCAGCACCTTGTCCGACTTGTCGCGGCCCTGCTTTGCAATGTAGTCCTTAAAGTCCTGCGCTACGAATCCGGGGCTCGCCAGTAGCAGCGGCCGTGACTCGGAAAAGTCGGCCGCTCTGAGTAATGACGACAGCGTCTTTTCGAAGAAGCGCCGCATGCCGGCGTCCTGGTCCGCCGCCGTATCGCGCTTCTTGGGCACCACGCTCTCGACGCGCGTCTTGACCACGGTGCGGAACTGCGTGATGAGGCAGATGTTGGCGAGGCCCTCCTGCATCACCACCGCGGCCATGGCGCCGTTCTTGTCGTCCGACAGGGCCTCCGCCAGCGCGCTCTTTGCGACGCTGTCCCAGCCGTCGGGCTTGATGATGGTGAATGACCTGTTGACCTCGATGTCGAGCGTGTGGTGGGCGCCCATGGCGACGTGCTCGTTCTCGGCGGCGACGACGCCCGAGATGCGCAGGGAGGCGACGGCGGGATCGAAGAAGGTGGACTTGACGCGGATGACGAGGTTGGTGTGGACTCGCTCGGCGGACGGGACGCCGGTGCCCGGGTTGATGTTGACGACTTTGCGGACGGCGTGCGCGTGGACGAGGTCGCCGGGGACTATCAGGTTGTAGGCATGCCACTGGGAACAAGGTGCGCAGTTAGCTGCCGTTTGCTTGTGAAATGTGGCCGGGTTATGTGGTGACGCATCATGGACTGACCATGTCCTCTGGGTCCTCCGGCAGCAGCGAGACTTGCTCGTCCTCGAGCTCTTTCGGTATGTGTCGCGACACGAGCTTCATTGTGAATGTGATGGCGACAGTCAGTGAGAAGAGACTATAAGATGTGTCGTAGGTGAGGCGATTCGAGGAGGAGAGATGCGATGCGATTGATGACCTATATAGCGGTTCTGAGTGGTTGTTGTTTGGGTGAGGTCGAGAGGCTTATCGCCCTGAACTTAAACTGATAAGCTTTGGTGCTGCCTGTCTCACTAACACTAACGCGTCGCAAGGCACCGGCTCCATAATGACGTTGTTCACTTGACCTGCTCCGGCACCTCGTGGACATACCCAAGGTAGTAAAGACATGGGATACATCAAGAGGTGGACAATGAATGTTTATAGAGAAAAAGATGGCACATTCGATTTTTCAAGTTCATTTTATATGCCATTCTTATCTGCAAAAGCTTTGGCGTCACGCATGCAGCATCTGTAGACATCATTACAGATTGCCGCCACAGAGACGATGCATCATCACCTCGCCTCGCCCTGCATACACGTAAAGTCTCTAACACAAACTCGAGAGAGAGCGCTAAAAATATTAAAGAGGTAGAAGTATTTTACATAGCAACTCAAAGCCGAGAGAATTATCTTCTCGGAGGTTCGAGAGAAAGACGACGAAGTGACTACTGGAAGGCATCCACGTTACCCAGTCCTCATGACAACCGATGTCTGCTACATGTGCCTCTCAATATGTGTGCCTACCATGCCCAACTGTAAGTGCTATAATGATTTCTTATCAGTAATGAGCTTGACAGTAGATAGTGATGTATGGCCCATATCCTCCAGAAAATCCTTGATGCGTAGCCCCTTGGATTTGGCACTTGCCTTCAGGCCCATCTGATCCAGTAACCCTATCACCGCGGTATAGTATTCCGGGTCCTTTGAAGAGACTCTTCTTATCGCGTCCTTGAGGCTACAAGTTCCGCTCCCTAGGAGCACCCTGGACTGGTAAACCCCCTGTTCTAGCAAATATCTGACCGTGGCTAACCGTCGTTCGCAGGGTATCGGCAAGCAAAGGTCGTTGTCATGTAAATGATATAGAGAGAAGTACGAGGAGCCAAAAATCGCTAGCTCAAGAGGACCCGGGGCATCACCGTGAGGGGCAAAGCTTCTTCGGCATTTGGGCAACGCAGCCTTAACGTATGGCAGCACGGCAAACTGCGCAGCCAAGCCGATCAGATTATTGTCGCCGCTCCGCAGTTGAAAGCTTCCTAAATCATACCAGCCAAGTCCTCCAGATTCAACGAGCTCGGTCAGTCCTGGTATCTTCAGGGTCCGGTATAATCTTTCGAGATGAGCATCGAGTAAGTTAAGGGAGTGTACAAGCAGTTCTCTATTCGTTGGTGTGTCTTTCACCTCGCCGGCATGCAAGAGGGTTCTCGTTACTAAATCCCACACGTTTGTCGTAGAAGTCCGGTTTCGATCTCCGTAATTGCCGTCAGAGATCATGAGCGTACGGGCTTGTAGGATGGACAAGTGCGGGTCGAAATCTTCAGCCGCAAGAGCGCAGATGAGCTCCCATTTATCCGGCTGCACTGCCCAATCCCGAGCAGTGCGGTGAATGAAGTCGACGTAGCCGCCGTCCGAGTCCCCACAGACTTCCAGGATGCACTTGGTCCGAGCTGCGAGCTTCCTCTTCAGCGACTTCATGGCGACGCGTTTCCACGTCAAGGTCGTGGGCAGGGCGTTGATGTCCACAGGGGCAAACCTCGACTCTTCAATCAGCCACATTATGAACCATGCCAACGGGCCGTCGGCAGCTCGCAGGACTTGCATCATGTACGACGCGTCGGCGAGGTGCTGTGGGCGGATACCGGCCCATATGACATCGTACAGCGACGAGAGGTCTGTGGGGAGGTGTCCGAGAGTGTCTTGGGCTTGGGATATCGATTGTCCTTCGGAGAAATCGTTCAGGAGATACTTCGTGACAATTGACACCCACAGAAAGACTCCGTTTGCCCGTTGTAATATGTCGGCGAGTAGCTGCGAAGTGGCTTCGGGACGCAACTGCTGCTGCTCGAGGAAACCCCTGTTACCCGCAAAGCTTTTAGTGATGAAGTCCCTCATGTCCTCCTGCGTCTGTAGATGCATCTGAAGCATTGGGCCGTCGTTGAACTCATCCTGAAACTCTGTCCAGGGTCGACTAGCGGCGCACACCTTGATTCCACTGTGGCACCGTGCTTTGATATGCCGAATGCAGTTGACAACTTCAATCGGAGGGGTGTCGAACTCGTCAAGCCCGTCAACAAAGAGGGTGAGCTTGATCGTCTTCCCACACAGTGACAGCAATGCTTCAAACGACTCTTCAATCTCCCACGAGTCCCACGCGGGAAGGCCTGAAGTGCTTCGTAGCACCTGGCAGAAGGCCCAGCGGCGTGGTGTCAATGATGGAGCGAGTTCGGGGCGTTGCTTCAGAGCCTGGTGTATGGCGGTTCTTTTGAGGCCCTCGAGGGACTTTTGCAGCGTGCTTCCTGGATGCCATGCGTAGTACTTGACGAGGAGAGGGCGCAGTGATCCAAGAGACTGAGATAGCGCGTCTCGTAAGGACTCATGTTGTAGAATGAGCTTCATTATAGTTGATTTGCCGGAACCTGGTTTCCCAGTGATCCAGTAGACCTCATGACTGTCGTCCTGGAGCCATTTGGGGAAGCTGTGCCACCTGGGAATGTCCTGGTCTACCGGGGGCTCATCCTGGAATATCCACGAGTATGTCGTCTCGAAGCTCTTCGGAATCGCATTCTCCCTCAGCTGAATAGTGTCAAACTCAACACCCGCAGCGATGGCACTCGAAACCATTCTGCTGTCGATATTGGCTGAGGTATAGTCAGCCATGGATATATCCAACTTCCAGTCCAGCTTCCAAAGGATATTGACGAGTTCATCTTGAATGGAGGCCCTTGCCCCGGATTCCGATCCAAGAGACCTGACTATGTCTTCCGCCAGCTGCTTCAGCCAAATTGGCCCATTCCCAGGCTGGATTAGAGGCTCGATGGCTTTTCTCAGCGTGATGACTTCCTCGTCTATCTGCGGGGAATATTGTCGGCGCAAACCATCTCCTAAAGCTTGCCCTTTGGTTGATGTCTGGGTGTTTGTTGGTGACCCCTGCGCCTTCTCCAGCAGCTCGATCGCCTTGTTGAGTTTCTCATTGAAATGCACCTCCCAATGCTGCGAGCGCTTCGAGTCATCCCTAAGACATTTTCTTTAATTAGTTCTTGTGCTGAGAGTTTCCAGGGCGTAGATCTCCACTTTCCAAAATCAATTCAAGATAAAGCAACGTACCACAGAGAGAGAATCACAGCCTCTATAACGCTGGGCCTGAGAGCCTCAAGCTGCCCCGTAATCCGATTAATCTCTTGCGTGTTTTCTTCAAACTCTGCTTTCTCTTCCTTTCGTCTCTTCTGGCACTGCTTACAATCGTCCTCCAGAACGTCTCGACGTGGCTTTCGGCTTGGGACGCTGGGCACATGGCTCTTTAGATGAATCTCCGTGTTGACTGTACGACTGTTTGGGGGCTTGATATGACTCTTGACCCTCTCCAGCTCCTTGGACAGGCTGTTGCATCTCGACAATAGTTGTAGCAAATGTGCGTGGGCTGGTGTCGTGGGCTGAGAAGCCATCATATTCGTGGAAACTTGCTGAATCCCAGAGATTTGAAGCGACAAGTCGTCAAACGCCTCGTCTAGTTCTTTCCTCTGCCTCTCAAGTTCCCCATCATTTGGTGTTCCCTGTTGCATCTGCTTATATCTTGCCCATCCTTTGAGGAGCAGCTTTCCGCCAATGTCAAGAAACTGGACCACTGCGGCTGCGATTGCGAGTGCGCTGAGGGGATCCATGCCGACGGATTGGGGTAATGTTCTCGGTCTATGTTTTGAAGTCGACGCTTTGCAGATGCATAGAGTGCAATTGCTTCAGGGCGGAGTAATCAAACGAGAAGATCAGTTGCATACCTGAAAAACTTAGGCAGCCATGTTGGGCATACATATATGTAGACATTCGGATAGTACGACCCTGCAGACCATCAGCCAATGACGCGTGCTTTCTCTACACCATCGAGTGTCACAGCCACTGGTATCTGCTACCGTTATTCAGCTTAGAAGAAGTATTTGACAACTTTCCGCTACCATTGTTCCATTCTATGAGTCTTGATACAGGCTTATACCTCTAGTATATGCTGAATAGCCACTCCCTAAGCGCAGTACATCTAAGCAAGACGGCAATGAGCCAGATACGAGGCCAGAGAAAAGATCCACACTGAGCCTCGCCAAAAACTCACATATCCCTTGGAGTCGCTTCCAACCGAAACAGAAAAGCAGCCATAATAACACCCGGCAACGCCATAATCAACGCTCCCAGACCTGTCCCCCCTTGAATGTCCCCCATGAGCGAGGCCCATAAGACGCTCGCCAGCACGCTCGCGAAGACGGTCGCCATGACAATCCAGAAGACGGCCAGGCGGTTCGGCCCCTCGACGACGTGGATGCCCCAGCCCTCGGCCGCCTCGCCGCAGTGCAGGACCTTGCCGTTGAGCCGCTGGGGCAGGCGCGGCAGCCAGGTGTGCCGGTTAGGGCTGAGGTCGTCGTCGCCGTGCTCGAGGTAGTGGATGAAGACTTCGGGAGTCATGGGCGGGGGGACGAAGTCGTAGTCAATGCTGGATTTGGGGGGCATGGACTTTGGACGGTCGGTGATGGAGATGTAGCCGTGGCGGAGGTTCCAGAGGGTGAACTGGTGGTAGCTGTTAGCTGACTAACTCCAACGCGTATAGATATCTTCCATGATATGCAGGTAGACGTGATGGTATCTGTTCTATCTTGTGATAGGGGGCTGCGGGAAACGGAAACCCTGGACTTACACGGACAAACTCGACCGTCACAGGCTTGACGAGGAAGCTCAAGCGAGAGCGCAAACCACGATGCTCGAGATACGCCTTCTTCATCTGGTGAAAAACCTCGCTGTCAGACTTGATGCGTGACGTATCAATCTCGGCCAGCTTCTTGTACATTCCCCCGGTGTTGACGCAGAGGGCGAGGTATTTCGCATGTAAGTCGACGCTGGATGCATCGGTGAAGGTGGGGGATGCTGTTCTGCCTGTGTTCCAGCTAAAGTTGCTTTGCGGTGTGCCTGTCGGTGTGTCTTCCACTCTTTCGGCGTCGGTTGAGTCGGTCGCGGGTGATGTGGTTTCCGGCGGAGACCGAAGTGATGCTTCTAGGGCGTCCAAGTCTGATGGCTCCTCCTGAGAAAAATCGCCATATAGGTCAACACCGCAATCCTAGAAATTTTCAGTTCAAATTCGGTGCTCAGATATGGAGGGTAGCAGTAGTCGACGAAGAGGATGACACTTACGCAAGTCCATTCGATCCTTCGATATCCTGGCCTAAGCCTAGGCCGACACATCTTTTTAGCCCATGAAATGAAGCCCCTGTGTGGCAGACGGCGCTGGAGTTCGCGAGTCGTCGGGAGCGGTGGTTGCATTGGTGATAGCTGTTCGTCAGTGCCAGCTGATGGCTTCATATGTGCGTTGGAAGAAGGGAACTCTGTGATCTGTGTTGCCTGTAGATCGTCATCAGAGCTTGATACATCTTTCCGAGTCATGGTCCTTCTCGTGGCGATGTTTGGATGTATGTATAGGTCTGGCTCTGTGGCTTGTGTGCTAAATGAGTTCACGTTACTCTCCAGGTCAACAGCAGTATCGTTTCCGGATATGCTCTGCGAACCGGAAGGCGATTGAGTCTCGGGAGGGCTCGGCAGAACGTTGATTGGACGTGGGACCAGTCCTCCTAGAGTCACCGTGACCGACTTCTTGTAGGCGACTTTCATGAACCGCGCCGAATACTGCGAGCCCAAGTCGGCCCACAGCTCGAGGACTAGCTGGAAGTACGTTTGGCCGCGCGGCTCTCTTCCATCTCTGGCGGTGGCCGTCTTGACTTCAAGTTGATCGAAAGTATATTCGCTGGCACGTAGCCGATGGCTGGCTGTTGTCACTCCCGTGATGCTGAATTGGTGGTTTCGGGGCCTCAGCTTTACTTTCGCCGGAGCTCTTGTACTTGGTCCATCTTCGCCACGGGCTAGATGTTGAACGATCTCGACGCAGGACTCATAAGGTTTGCAGTCACACTCGATGGCAGATATGCTCACAGCGAAACCTTTTACATCGAATGAATGCGTAGAGAACTCGGGCTTCAGCTTGATCTTGTCGCTGTCGCTGTCGGGTGAAGACAGCGAGTAGGAGCATCTACACGACAGGTAGTTGGGTTGGTAGCTTGTCCACTCGCCGTTGGCCAGGAAGAAGACGTTATCAATGATGCCGTGGAGGTCAACCTTTGTTTCGACGCGCGACGTAGCATAAAACAGGGTCCCCAGAGTCGTCACATCGAGGAATGGAAGGCTCTCTCTTATGAAGGATTGGGACGGTTCGGGGCTGTGGTAAAATGATTGCGATAATGAGTCTGGTGGCAATGAACCGCCTGGAGGCTCACAGTGGAACCGAGCAGCCTGACATGCCCGGCAAGGCCAAATGTTTGTCGTCGTGCCATCGCAGTGGATGCGTCGCATACTGCAGTTTGAACATCCCCTCGCGACTACAGGCCGGTCAGTTTCCACACGGAAATCGCAGGCTGGGCCAAAGGACAGACCAGACCTTTGTGGAGAGGGCGACTGTGATCATCTGTAAAGTCATAGGAGACGTCTGAGAATCAACGTCGGGTCAGCTCATGGCAGAGGAATAGAAGCGACTGGCATTCATACCACTTGAAGGAGACCGAGTGCCTCGTCTGGGGGTGAACCATCTGATACCAGAGCTCTGGCCACGGCTTTCGGTTGCCATGATGGTTATTGGGATGCAGTTTTCATCGATCCCCCCGGCGAACCAGGTCAGTAACCATGGCGAGATTTCAACTTCTTAACAGAGTGCGAAATGTTGTTCGCTCAGTGTCACGGTGAGGGGATGCATGAGAGAGGGGAATTGAAGAGTGCCTTGTAGCGAGCCTTGCGGGGAAATGTGCCCTGGCGATGCTGTGATTTGGACACAACAGACACTGCCTGCTGTTGCTACCCATTTCTTTGGTGTCTCGATATATGATGTATGTGCACGTATGCGTGTTCTATAGTATCTGATATCATTGATATATCTTCCAGTGTAGAGCCTTATACTTGAGAGATACTGGATGAGCGGAGATGATTATACTTGGACTGCCCTCTCAGAATACATGGTTTAGGGATACCCCGTTATCAGTTACCGGTACCGATACGATGCATTTCCAGCACGACCAACATGCATGCAGCTTTGATGCCCATGGGCTCCTGCAGAAGTGGAGGGACGGATCAGCCTGACAACACGAGATGCAGATGCAGATGCAGAACTCGCTACCCCACAGTCTCGTGCTCTCGTCGAGGTTGCTTGGCTACCTATGTAGGTACTATATTTAAATTTCTATAATATAGGTGAGGTAGGAAGCGAAAGTGACGATTATGGCTCAGTGTTTCGTTCTTGTATATCAAACAGCAAAGACAGGGGTTTGTGTGTCGTTCAAAGCTCCCACGTTTGATGCTTTCAAGGATGTTGAATCCAACGCACATCTTTAGTCCCGTTCAAAGGCTCCCGCATTTACCTCACGTCTAGCGCCGGCTGGTCGGAAGAGGCTGTCGATTCGAGGGGGGCTTTGGCGCTTGCGCAAGCATCACAGCAGCCGCGTCATTGATCGTGAGAATCCGGGAATATCTGGTGGCGGAGCCTGCAGGTAAAAGAGTATCTAAACTAAAAACGAATTGCCTCATCATCAGATACACAATGGTAGCATCGCAATTGACAGATTGAATAATGAGGCTTGAACACAGCAGGGCAGGGTCGCATCAAGCTCACGGCTGTTTCATAGCTCGTTAGAAGCCAATGCGAATGCGGCTTTTTGGCGTCGAATTGTCTGCTTGCCGAGGCGACCCATAAGGCAGAGCTAGCTGGGGAACGCGTTTCTCTCAATTCGGGCTAGTCATTCGAGCAGAAACATGGCGGATGCTGGAGTTGAGGTGAGAGGAGCCATCCCTCGGTGTCTGTGCCGTTTGTTTGTTGGTCGTGCAGGGGCCGGGAAGATGAGGTCATCGGTAGGTAGGCATCATTGTCTGAAGGACAAGGTGGCGGGATGCAAGTAATACCTCGTGTCATATCATCAGATCTCTTCTACTGAAGAGGCATGTCGTAAACTGAAGAGCTTCGTATCCGTATGGCAGCTCAGCTGTTGGATATGCATCTCGTAAAATCGCCGACTCATGCACTGGTTCTTTTTATTTCCCAAGGTGACCCTTTTCAGGGTCGGCGGGTCTTGGCGGGGGGGCAAATTGATTGACTGATCGGGCCGAGGCTCGCCGCGATGGTCCCCAAAGTGCCCCAAAGCTGGGATTTCCCTTCTTCTCCGTACACACACAACCTGCAAGCAGTGCTCCCGCATTTGATGTCATGCCCGGCGTTACGCGTATTCGTTGGATGAAATGCTCTGTCGACGATGCTGTCAAGTCCCTTGGCATGCAGAATCTGCCAGATTGTGCAGCAGAACAGATGGCTGAAGGCATCTCTGCACCTCCAATACTATCCAGACAGATATCCATGGACAGCCCCCAAGCAGCAAACGATTGACGACTTCTAGAACCCCTCACAGGGGCCGCAATTAGAGACCATCAGCCTCTCCCCACACGCAGCGGTACCTTTTACAAGCACCGAGATACACATGGACATCTTACAGGCACCAACAGGCACCATAATAAGCCGCCAAGGCAAGGCAAGACAAGGCATCCATCTGGGATCCTGGACGAGGCACAAACGCCAAACGTGCGTCATCATGCGAGGGGCATGGTCCACGAGAGCCGGTACTGGATACCTCCTGGTGGCACGCCTCGGCTGTACCATCCCATGGTCACGGCTACCTCATCTGCAAGTCACTTAGGTACCTATTCGCAGCCACTCCAGCGACCTGATCCATTTCATCGAGATTTCCGGCCATTCACAAAAGCTCGATTTCTCTCTCGTCTGCGCCAAGTGCGACCCCGTCATAGCATCCTTTTTTTCCCATCTCAGCTCGTACTCGCATCGGGGCTAGACCAGAGTCATAGAAACCGTGTGTGGCTTTTCTCTTCGTTTTCTTTTTCTTGTTTTCTTTTCGTCTCTCCTCGTCATCGCCGCCCTCATCAGCTTCCAGCTTCTCAACTCATCAACTCCAACTCCCGTCCAATCAACCGCTCTCAGTCTCATCGCCAGCAACTCATACAGCCAGTCCAGTTACCTGCATTCAGCCTCGCCAGACTCTCAGTCGGGGTCCGAATAAGCACAGCACAACTCGCGCCCCTGTCATCTTCTTTCGTCGCTCATCTGCTCCACCGCTGATTCCTTCCATCTCGAATCCTCGGCTTCCGCGCGCGCCCTGCCCTGCCACCGACTAATCCAGCATAATAGGCGCGCAAACGAGCAGTCCAGCAATCTGGCAATTAAGCTGCTCCCTCGCTCGACAGAGCCCTGACCAGGTACGCATTTCGGAACCCACGGGCGGCCACACGCCCTCTAGGGGCTTCAATGGCGATGCCAATAGCACCGCGGAGCAACTGCTAATAAGGTAGCAACAGGAAGTCCGCCGCTTATAAAGAAGCTTAGTCGGCCCACTCGGAGCCTGACGTTGTCCGAGTCCGACTGCTCTCGATCTCTCGTCTGGTCTACTCTATTCTGCTGGCCGGCACAGCTCGTGACTCGTCTTGATTTCTTCCTGCAAGGCTCCGACCAGATCCTGTCAGCCTTTCTCCAACCGCGCTCCGATTCTCCTCCCATTGTCGTATCGACCCCCCCTTTCCGGGCGCATCCGCTCTGATCCTCGCCCGAAGCTTCACCTCGGGCTGCTGCGACTCTCCGTCGGGTGGTCGCCTGTCATAGCCGTACTGGCCTCGCAGCATGGAATATGCCTCCCCCGTTAACATCGTCAGTGGACGTCGACGACAGCCAATTGGCCTCGAAAAAGGACGGTAGCACCAAGAATCCCGCCAACGGCACCTCCGGCAGCTCTGAATCCCAACCGCTGCCCGTGCCAGCACGCCGATCCACGAATCTGCTGTCGCGCGCGCCAACGCAGCAACTGCAAAATGGAAGGGACAAGGAAAAGGAACCCAAGGGCGTCATTATTAGAACCATGTCTTCAACCCCGCCGACACCTGCGGCCCTAGATCCCCTGGGCACGGTTTGTCTCCCTTCGTGTCCCCGTCTATTTATTTGCCCGTTCGAGTCACGCGCTTGCGATACTAACGAAGACACGGTTCCTAGCAAATCTTCCTCAGGACCAACAGCGGCACCATTGAAACGTCCCTCGCTCAGCGCCTGCGCAACTCGACCAAGCCCGACAGCCCCACGACGGAAAGCTTCCCCAGGAAGAGCTTCGGCATTGAGAGCACAACCCGCTTGGCGAATGGCCCGCCCGAACCCTCCAAGGACCGAAAGTATGTTTGCGCCAAAGCACCCCTCGCCGTGAACTGCCGTCGGCTCGTGCTAATGCTTTGCGCTGTAGGAAGGGAACCTCTTTCTTGAGCCGCTTTGGCATGCGGAGCGCCTTCAGGAGATACGACAACGATGCGCCCGACTCTGATTCTGAGCTGGGCGAGCAGCGCACCGAGGGGAGCCACGCTCGCGCGCCCATGTCCGTCATGAGCGAGGGCGGCGGCTACATCCCGCTTTACAAAGAGCCTCCGCGCTACATCCGCGTAAAAGCGCACAACAGCAGACGCAGGGACTTTAACCGCTTGTTCCTAGCGCAAGAACTCCTCGGGCCCAAGCCGGACAAGGACGACGACTCGTCGCAAGGCCGCGTCCCTGCCACAGCCGTGGGCACGAAGCTTCTCAAGGCTGGGGATGCCATCTGGGCGGCCGAGTTCAGCCTTGACGGTCGCTACCTTGCCGTGGCAGGCAAGGATCAAGTGGTCCGCGTTTTTGCCGTCCTCTCAACCGAAGAGGAGCGCAGGGCGCACGAGGCAGAGGAGGAGGCCGAGAGAGAGGCGCAGGGTAAGACCAAGGGAGAGCGGCTGAGCGCTCCCGTCTTTCGAAATAAGCCCATTCGCGAGTTTGAGGCGCACACCGGAGAAGTGCTGGCCCTCTGCTGGAGCAAGAATAACTTTCTGCTGTCAACGTCGATGGACAAGACGGTAAGGCTCTGGCACGTCAGCAGAGCAGAATGCCTCGCCACGTTTGTGCATCACGACCTGGTCACATCGATCGCCTTCCACCCCACCGACGACCGCTATTTCCTAGCAGGCTCCCTGGACGCGCAGCTCCGACTGTGGAACATACCAGACAGGACCGTGGCCTTTTCGGCCCCCGTCAACGAGTTCATCACGGCCGTGGCCTTTACGCCCGACGGCACCATGGCCATTTGCGGCGTCTTGAGCGGCATGTGTTCGTTCTACGAGACGGAGGGGCTCAAGGTCAAGTTTCAGATCCACGTCCGATCATCCCGGGGTAAAAACGCAAAGGGCAGCAAAATCACAGGCATCAAGACGGCCACGGCGGCCGGCACGAACGAGGTCAAGGTATTGATCACCTCCAACGACTCGCGCGTTCGCATCTACAACCTGGACTCGCGGTCCCTCGAAGTTAAGTTTAAAGGCCTGGAGAACCAGTCTAGCCAGATCCACGCGCGTTTCAGCGACGACGGCACATATGTCATCTGCGGCAGCGAAGATCGAAAAGCATACATATGGAACACGAATGCGGCAGAAGCCGACGCCAAGGACCGCCAGCCGTACGAGTCCTTTGACGCCCATCCGGAAGTCGTCACCGCGGCGCTGCTGGCGCCCACGCGCACCAGGCAGCTGCTTAGTGCCTCGGGAGATCCCATCTTTGACCTATGCAACCCGCCGCCGGTCTTGCTCCGCAGCCTTGATGAGGCCGCCCTCAGCCAGACGGAGGTTTCGGACGCGGGGACTGAAATCCACCACCCGGCGCCGTCGAGCATCAAGAAGCCGGAGGAGACCCCGGCCTACCTAGAGCGATGCAAGCATCTGGATGGCAACATTATCGTCACGACGGACAGGACCGGCACGATCAAGGTATTCCGTCAGGATTGTGCATACGCCAAGCGCCAACAGAATATGTGGGAACTGGGCTCCAGGTTCTCCAGCAAGGTGAGCGGGCTGGGACGAAGCGGGAGCATCATCACCAGGACAAGCGGCAGCGTATCGAGGCGGACCTCGCTAAACCTGACTGCGGGCCAGGCTCAGCACCCGTCTGACCGCATCATTAGCTGGCGTCAAGACGTCGACGACGAAGGGCGAGCACACCTCGGCGTGACGCCGGCAAGGAGCGAGCGGTCTGCGTCGCCAAGAAAACTTGCCAGGCCCCCGGCCAACCTTTCCACGACGACGAATCCCTCAGCGCAAGCCCGAAAGCCGGTCGCTTCAAGCGGCTCGCCGTCGCGCCCGCAGAGGAACAGCCTCGCCAGCCCCACAGGTAGTATACGGAGCCGGCCGTCGATAGGAACATTGGACGGGGTGTCGCAGCCGCCCACGCCGAGCTTCAACTTCATCCCCGTGGCAGAGTCGGACGAGAACGAAAAGGAGGGCAGCTTCTGGAACCTAAGCCGGTGGAGAGGCAGCATTTCGGGGCTAAGATATTCTGTGAGCGCAAGCTCACCCACGGAATCCACGCACGACGCCGCGGCGGCCGCTGCCGCCAGCGATGGCCAATCCCGAAAGCCCAACGAACTCCTGAAGCCACCTAGTCGGGCTGCTGCTCGGAGGAGCATTGGCGTCACGGATCTCAATAGGCCCAAGGTTGTGGAAGATCAAACCAACAGAAGGAAGTCGATGGGGCCCGCCATTCGGTCGACCAAGTCCCAGGAGGCGACGGTCTCCGGTATGGATATCATCGACGAAAGTAAGTCTGATCAGCCACTCTCCAAGAAACGGGCTGATTCTGGCCTGGGAAGGATGAGCGACGATGCAGCTGAGTGAGAAGGTGAAAAGACGAAAGTGTCTGGCTCTGTTTCATTATCATGTTTACTCTTCTCTGCGGTGGTGCCTGTGATGGGCGACCCGCGTTTGCCTTACGCGTTCAACGGCAGTTTTTCTTTTCTTTACATCATTCACTATCACGGCTGCATACGGAGCGTGGAGTTTTATCACTGTCTACATTTCTTCTATGTCGGGTGGTTTGGCAGTCATGGGAAAAGGCTGCGCATGTAGCTATTCCTCTCGGGAACACGAAAAAAGGACCTGAGCGAAGAGGCTTCTCTTTCTTTTTGTGTATTGGTAGGCGCATATCTGTAGATTTAGGGGACTCGATTATTGATATCATGGGATCTGGAATGTGAGACGGGCAACGACGGAGCGAATAGAGCGGTTTACGACGAAAAATATGCGTCTTGTAGATGTCCGGTGTGGTATATGATGTATTTGCAGACTAGCCGTGACTGATGCGCCTGTGCAGGTATATCATATCATTCTTCCCAAGTGGTATCCTCTTTTGCCTATCGCTGTATGTGTATCCTCCGCTGCAGCGACTCTTTATTTCGTCCCGTCCATTCCGCGTGTAACTTAGAGCTATATCACACACGTCAGCCAACAGAATCCCTCTCCAATTCTTTCCACACCAACTCCCAAAATCACAGGGAAGATCGAGCGCTGCTACTCACCGCCTTGGCCTTCTCGGCAACGCCCTCGGCCAGCTTCTGCAGCGCAGGCGGGTTGGCGCCGGTGAGCGAGTCGGCCTTTTCGCCGTTCTCGAAGACGTAGAAGGCGGGGATGCTGCGGATGCCGAGCTCCATGGCGAGGTCGGGCACCTCGTCGGTGTCGAAGCGGGCAAAGGCGAACTTTTCCGGGACGGCGAGGGCGTCGGCGTGCTTGTTGAAGATGGGGGAGATGGCCTTGCAGGGGCCGCACCAGGTGGCGTGGGCCTGGAGGGCGACGTAGGGGGTTGACTGGATGAGGGAGTCGAACTCGGGCTTGGTCTTGATGTCGATGACGGGCATGGTTGCGGTGTTTTTGGGGGGGTTTTGACGCGGGGAGAAGAGAGGTTGTTTGTTCTTTGCTTGGGTCTGAGGTTGAGCGGAGGTGAGGTTGTTTGTTGGTGGTGTTAGATGGAGGTTTGTGAATATGGATGCGATAGCTTTATGAGTTTTTTTTTCTGGGTGGAGTTTTGGCGAGGAGCTGTTGATGATGTAAGTGTAACTTGGTGAGCCTCGGGATGTACCGACAACTAGATGATCAGAATCGGGTATTCAGGCTGTTTGTAGATCAAAGACAGAAAAGCAGAATTCGGACTGCTGGAGGGGGTCCTTCTATATATTGTGGCTTTGGGTACTGTGATTCCATATGTAATCATTTCTCGAATCTCCCCTAGGGGTGGCTGAATTACAAATGCCATCATCGCTGTCGCGTTGACCCTTTGACGCACGCAATTACAGTACATGCAAGTATTTGGCCGTACGCTAGACCCTGGTTTTCGTTGCTGAGGTGGCGGCTGAGTACAACTAGGGTACTTTTGATGCTGGCTAGGGGATCGGATTAGCACTTGTGTTAGAGCATCGAGGGGTGGATGGCGTGCTTTGTTTGGGGAAACACAGGGAGAGAGAAAAGAGGGGATTTCAAGTTGTCTTTGCTGCTGACAAAAAAAAGAGATCGGATCCCAATCGGATGTGGGATCGGATGTCGCGACGGTTGAGGCTCGGGATGTCGCGCGAAGGGGATTCGAGGTTTCGGTATGACGTAGGATTGCATTTGTGTTTGGTCTTTCATACGCGATTCTAAATGAATGAGTTGTCTGGACTCGAGAACTGAGAGAACTGAGCATGAATCCGCTGGTTGTGATATTGAAGATGCACGAGGCGGGGATGAGGCTCCAATCTTGTTCCTTTGTACTACCTGACAGCCTTTGGCCTCCCGGTCATTCACTCGAGATGCACAAACTTCATGCTACAAGGATTGTCTTAACTCCTCTATAAAATTCATGTGATCATCATGAAGCCCGTCAGTTCAGGCATTTGGTTCTATTCAGAATACTTGATCGGTGTGCGGTTCTAAAGCGGGCAACTTATTGCGATTGCGTACCTAGATCTGGGAGGCTGCATTTGTCAGCTCTGCTTGTGTAAGATCTGCCCCTTATTTGCAGGCTTCTAATCGAGTGCTTGATACGAGATACTATTCTCATCCACCTCTGCTAGGATGTGAACCTCTTTCATCTTTTTGTACGGAGTACTTTGGCTACACTTCCCTTTCACTCTAACAGATGAAGCTAGCTGGCTGTGATTGCGTATAATCTCACTACAGTATCCCAGACATGTTAACCCCCTGATTCCTTTTGAGTCCTCCTATTTAAACCGTAGAGAATCTCTATTTAAACTGTAATGGTCTATGCACGTAAGAAAATTACTACGCTTACACCTGCATTCCCATAACCGCATACCTATTTACAGTGTAAGCTGATAGCACATCCAGTAGCCTATGCAAAAACACTATGTATAACTTCGATTTTTCGCCCTTAACACCCTAAACGTTAATCGCCATCATCTTTACCATAGATCTAAGGAGTATAACTATAGCAGCAGCAGAAGAAGAAGCTAGTAGCATCTGCAGCAGCCAGTCTATAAAGGAATAAAGCTGCTTTAATTCCCTATATTAGTTATAATGTCTTACGCCCTCTGTTATAATACTATCTTGACGGCACTCTATAATGACTGCTAGAGCTTAACACTGTATTTCGGTGTGGGTGTATGGAGAATCCTACTTAGGGCGTGGGCCTAGCTGGTGGCATAGACCACTATGATTTAAATAGAGATTCTCTACAGTTCAAATAGGAGGACTCTTCCTTTTTACTCATATTTCGGAAAATCCGAGCACAAAAGATATTGATTTCTTCATGGGACATCAAACTTGGGAGAAACTTTTACTCATGGTAGCTGCGCATTGCCAGTGTCTTCACAGACTTGTGACACCATGTCTTAATGCCGGCCGATTGGATATCCTTCAGACGTTATATCTCCATGACATCTTCCTCATGTTAAATGTATGGTAGCCATTATCATACGAAGATGAGTTTCGGGACACTACAGCTATGTGGCATATTATATAGCGCTCATCGCTGGATACCTCTGAATAACAACACATGCTCCTACACTGCTCTACGCACGGTTGTCTTGTCTCTCAAGGTTACACAGCATATGCCACCCAGGCCAGTGATGCATCCAGAAACCACGTGCATGGATGGCTGATCTCGGCTCAGATATGGAAAAAGAGTAAAGGGAAGCCGTCAGAGATTATCAGGACCCAACACCTTTATGACAACGATTTACGGGGCTGTATCTGGATTTGCCATCCGCATATGCTAGAAAAGTCCGTCATGCGTTAGCAGTAGCAAGCATTGGCTACAAAGACTCGACTCAATCCTTCTGGGGCTATCATTGTAATAAAGTACTCTGCCTCTGTAGCTCCTTTGCCTGCGATAGACCCGCAGGCGTTATATGCAATGTATCATGCTAGGGCAAGATCATACAGTGGTCTAGGACTCTACTGCTCATCTAAGCAATCGCTTAGGTAGAATCTTGACAAGCGCAGTCCCAATGTGTTTTCGGCATCTCAGAGGACGTGAGAATTTGACTCCCTGCTGAGAAGAACCAGATCCTAGGAAAGGCCCCTTCAGTCGCTGAGCTCCAGACTGAGTCTACTGATCTGTCTGCCTTCGTTGAAAGCTGTAGCGCTGACCAGAATAATTCGTAGTTTTGTATAATAGTAATAGACGAAAGAAAAAGAAAATGAATAAAAAAGAAGATGAAAAAAAAAAAAAGACAAGAAAACAAAAACAACAACACGATAGCTATGGTCCCAGCCGTGCTTGAATTCAAAGCCTTATCATAAAATATTCTTTAGTAGTATTTGCCCTAGACGAAGCAATTGACAAGCACAAGATGAGGCGAAAAGGCAGCAGCATAATCACTCTTATATTTGATATATACGAGATCGTGTCAATGGGGTCATTCAATACTGCTTATTGGGCGTATGATTCATGTCTCACCCTGTAACCTCGCAGCTGAGTGCTTTCTAAAAATGCGCATGTAGCTCCAAAATCAAAGAGATTGATGATAAATCTATCACCGCGTCACAGCATGCCTGTCAACAAGCAGCTCTTCAAGGAACGCGATCGTCGAATCACACCTGCCAAGACAAATCAGTTCAGTACGATTGCTTATTTAGAGCTACAAGGTCGTCAAAGGTTGTTTCATATGGTAAAAGGTAGATGATGGGTAGTCGGGGCTCAATGCGTCTGCGAAGGCTTTGTTTACATGCATGTTCTTACATTGTCGTTTTTATCCTTCCAAGAACCGAGAAAAAGAAGGGGGTGGATTGCCATAGTCGAGTAGATGAGGCAGCCATTTCTCTGATTCTGAGATGTTGTAAGCTCGCGTACGGGGTAGGGTGTTTGAGCAGAATCGAATGTGCAAATATTTCCCATGCTTGGAGCTCGGTGAAGAACCTGAGCATGCGTACTGCCTGATCAATATGAATTGCTTGTCAATCATCACCTGACTTGCGGCTGAATCACCCGGCCTGCATAAAAAAGCAAAGAGTTGAAGGATGAAGCAATGGAATGACATACCGAGAAGCTCATAGGTTCATAACATATCACACCCCACGTAGGATCAACGCTGTTCATGCATAGTAACTGCACCTCTTGTGCGTTCAGGCAAGTTCTTTCTTTCCACTCTATCTTTTCTCGGCCAATGGTGGCTTCTCTGGGTTTCTCGGCCTCTTGGCCGTCGGCACGTTGCAGAACCACAGCCTCAAACTGGACCATTTCGCAGCCACATCTCGATTGCTTGAGTCCTATCCGCCACAGAATAAGACCGTATTTGGTCCCCAATGGTCCAAGCCTTCAGTATTGCGATAGAGAGGTGATATTGATACTACGTACCCTGTGCATTGCCTCCTCCTCAATAACTGAAGCCGGGCACAGTCTCTATCCAATAGGCTTGAAGAGGAAAATTTATATGCAATTATCATCCGCGCCATAACCATGGCAAGTCTCGATATGATGAGGTGTGAGACTGATAAGCGAGGTCGTATTGGCTGCTACATACTCAAGTCATTTACCAAGCCAGTCTTGCTGCCACATTACTCGCATCATGGAGCCAACTCCCCCGAGTTGTCTCTTGCGTCAGAGCAAGAGACTCTACTGCTGGTAGATCCTGGCCTGGGGGTCCCATCTCGCCTACAAATGGAAAGCTATCACAGTCCAGACTTGGCAAAAGTGTGCACACATCTCTGCATCTTTGACACCCCTCAAACACGTAGAGAATACAAGCCTTCGAATGTGGTGTGCTCATTATGTTTGATTAATGATCACAAGTGCGTCTGCAAGGCCCATGGCGGCAAATGAGTAGGGTCCGTTGGTCTGCTTGAGAAGCAAACGCGTAAATGCCCTCTGAGCCAACGCAGAGTGACATGCGGAAGGAATCAGATCTCATAAGATTACCTTGGCCCCCCTTGGTCTCGGGCTGTTCCTAGATGCAATGCAGTCAGACTCTAGAATAGAGCAGCAGCGGCATCGACTTAGTCCAACAACCCGCGCTGCGACGATAGGGTTACGATGTCGAGTGAGAAAATACACGTACGCTACTAGGATGGGCTCAGCTCTCGCAATCGCCCGGTTTCCCTAATGCTACGCTGTAAGCGACGGGTCATATGTCGTATCGGACGCAACAAGGGTGCGTTGAGGAGACTGTGCAAAAGATGGGTGTTGGCACCTGGCAAAAGAGGTGCTGGTGATCTTTACGAGTAGTCGAGAAGAGGGAATCAGCCAGATATCAGATTCCAAGCTCACTGATAGTACTGCGATGTTTGAGGAGCGGTTGGTTGCTGTCATAGAGTCACGGCGACTTCAAAGGAAAAGATAAACGAACCTCTGCAAGGAACGAACTGTGTTTATACTGTATGCTGCTTCTCAAGCTTGTGTTGTATACCCCGCTCATACAGGGTTGCGACGGACTCTTGCAACCGGCCAAGATAGGTATCAGGTTAATTTGTAAATGTACAGTTCCAAGCATGGAGATGACGAGCTCGAGTGGCAATCCTCTAATCGTGGTGCGGGTTGCATCTCCCCCACGCGGCTCCGGCAACTTGTCCCGGTTCAATTCTTAGTGATGCAAGCGCTCGCCATCCCGGCTTGGCGCAGAGGCCTAGGTATTGAGTCCCATGGCTAGGAGTATCTTGTAATGATACATTAAAGTCACATCGCGAGCACCCCGGTTCCAGGGCTTGACGGATTCTACGAACTATCCGTCTACTGGAGACTTGGGCTTGAAAAATTGTGTATAAAAGGCCACGAGAACCAAAAGACGCTTTTAGTTTTGGAGACCAGAGCTTCCTATCAACTCGACAGTTTCAAGGCGAGAATCGTCTTGCTTAACATCTGTATCAACTGAGCAAGATGGCTATTCTCAGATATAACGCTGTTCACTTCGCCTCGCTGACCCCTACAGTGACCATATCGTTATTGACAGTCATATCGGTAAGGTCTTGTGGTGGCTCGATCAATGGCCTTTCTGACCGAGAAACAGGTCCTGCTCTACGTTACATACACTGTTGTTTATAACTTGTTCTTCCATCCTCTGAGGCACTTCCCCGGCCCCAAGCTATGGGCCATCCATCATGCATTCTACGTTCGCCTCGAGCTCTCTGGTGAGGGCCACAAGTTGCTGATCCCATTGCATCAAAAGTACGGCTCCGTCGTCAGAGTTGGCCCTGACCACCTGTCCTTTTGTCACCCGGACGCTATGAACGACCTCTCCGGCCATCGCAAAGCGAACCAGCCCGAAAACGGCAAAGAGAAGAACCGAGTCATACTCCTGCCCGGTTCCATTATCGGCGCCAACCGAGAAGACCACGCCCGGCTCCGGAAGAGCATGGCAAACGGGTTCTCGAACCAGGCAATGGTTGACCAGCAGCCCTTGATCATGGCCTACGTCGAGAAGCTATTTGCCATACTTGACGAGGAGTGTGCCAAGGGAGAGAAAATTGACATGGTGCAAAGGTACAATTGGACGACATTCGACATTATCGGCGACTTGGCCTTTGGCGAGCCCTTTGGGTGTCTTGAACACTCAACGTACCACCCTTGGGTAGCCATGATTTTCGATTCGGTGAAAAACGTGGCTATTGACTCCTCATTCAGGCGTATACCGCTCCTCTACAAGGTTCTCGTTATGCTTACGCCGAAGGCAATGTTGAATAAGCTCAAGGAACACAACGAGTTATCGGAGCAGAAAACCCGCAAGAGATTGGACGCGGTGACGGACCGCAAGGATTTCATGGCTGCTATGACATCCAGGACGGGGAAAGACGTAAGCAGGGAATAGAGCCTTTGGGCGCGTGAACTATCAGATAGGCAAATACTAATCCTCAAATTGCGTATAGGAGCTGACCCTTCAAGAACTCGTTGCCAACGCTGCCCTTCTTATCATAGCGGGCTCGGAAACAACAGCTGCTGCGCTGACCGCAGCCACGTACTACCTTTGTCGCAACCCCGTGCCCCTGAAGAAGCTGTGTGACGAGGTTCGGTCTTCGTTCACCTCGGAGGACGAGATTGATCTTCTGAGCGTCAGCCGCTTGAACTACATGCTTGCCATTCTGGACGAGGCATTGAGGCTTCACCCACCGGTTCCGGGCTCGATGCCGCGAACCATCAATGAGAAGGGAGATGTAATTGCTGGACACTGGGTTCCTCCGGGAGTAAGTGCCTACATAATACGACCCGATTAGCCTTACTCACACATGTGCTGATGATTATCAACAGACTAACATTGACATTTGGTACTGGACCATGTTCCACTACCCTGACTTCTGGACCCAGCCGGAGGACTTTATCCCCGAGCGCTGGCTAGGAGACCCTCGATTTGCAAACGATCAAAAGCAAATCTTTACACCTTTCTCTGTCGGTCCGAGAGTTTGCATTGGCAAGAAGTGAGTCCAGAGATCCAGCTTCATCCCATTGTTGGTTGGATCATGGCTAATGGAGTGCCGTATTTTAGTCTTGCTTATGCTGAAATGCGTCTCATCTTGGCAAAGCTCATCTGGAGATATGATATCGAGCTACTTGACGAGAGCATCGGCTGGGATGTCAAGTCCAAGGTTTATATCGGATACCAAAAGCCACCTCTCTACATCCGTCTGAAGCCTAGAGCACAGAAAGTCTAGAGCGTGAGCAACTTGGTGCATATGGTGCTTGTTCAACTGGACGGAGAGCGCTGGGATTGGATGCCTGAGAGTTGTATTTTTTGTATTCGATATATCATAGCATCGTGAACGAAACAACATTCATTGTCACTCCTGAATCCTCTGCATTTAGGTCAGCTTCAGTAGATCTCGCAACCTTTGTTACCCATCGCAGATTGGACTTCCTCCCCAACTTATGCTCTTCCCATCATCAAAAACAGCTTCAGCTCACAGCGACCCCTCAGGCCACTTGTAAGGCGGCCACGGAAAGTCAGGATCCCACTTCAACTGAAGAACCATGGTCCCCTCAGGAAACTCCTTCTTGGTCCCGTCACGGAAGGGAAACGGCCCCGAAGGATAATACGTTGTCCAGTCATTGACCACCCCGACAGCCTCTGCCACTCCATCCTTCAGCCTGGCATACGAATTCGGCGGCGCAATGTAGTCCCCAAGCTGTTCGCCGCCTTTGTTGATCTCGTATTCTCCAGGCTCGGCTCTGATCCAGACGGGCTGGCGGTACTGTTCTTTGTGCATGTCCAAGTTGTAGTCAAACACTTTGGACTGCTCAAACCCTTCTTTGACGGGGAAATCCACGCCGCAATTACCCAGGTCTTCTTGGAGAGACGTGTTGCCGATGCTGTAGTTTGCATACACCATGGCCAGCTTGTCGGCTTTGACGAGGATCTTCCAGAGAACATTCGTATTCTCAGCCTCTTTCCATTGCACACGCTCGGCGTCGGCGAAGTGAGAAATGTACCAGACGGCGTTGTTTTCAATGGCCCTTTTGTCAAGGATGAGGAATTTGCCCTTGCGGCCGGCTTCATCTTCCTTCTTGCGGATGTACTCGTGAGATTTCCCTAGATAGTCGTCCGGTGGGCGGACGATCTTGATGTGGAGGACGGGACTGAAGGCTGCGTGGTTGCCTAGTTCAAAGGCAGATTTGAAGGCTTGGAGTTCATCGCCGGAGGCTTCAGTGAGGAGATAGCATGTGAGGGTCGGGATATTGTCATGCGGGGCGAAGAAGACCATATTAGCGATGATCGACGAGGCTCAAGCTCTGAAAGACAAAAGACGAGTCTTGTGAGTTGAGTTTGAAACTGATGATGGGTACCTTCAGTGGTCGACTTGAGATTTATATCACAGGAAGGGAAAACTCGAGACATGATGAAATATCGCGTACTCGTATGCAGTCCCGAGGTTTAGGAAATGATTGGCGGGACGAGGAACAAGCTTACTGGTGGCTCTCGACAGTGGGCAAGTTGTTAGTGGCGGCTGCGCCTCGTTTTCGCAAATCCGCTTCAGAATGGGCAACGATGCGAAGTTTTCATTTTTAGAACTGCTACGGATCTTGGGTACAGCCGTAGCTTCGTGACTCTGGATGATGGAGATGTGTGCTTAATGTTCATTCGAGGCGGAATCATTCTCAAGTTGTGGCTCTTGCTACCTGCACAGGACATTCACCGGTCGTGTAAGCCGGAGGCAGTTTAGGTGGCTGACAAGTGCAATCAACTTTCAACACACTTCTTCAATATTTCATCTCGACCCATCCAAACTTTGAACGGCTTCAAATCTGTTCAAATATATGGCTCAATCACCAAATCAAACTCGCGATATGACTGTGATATAGGACTGACTCGAAAGCCGTTACACAAACGAGGGGCAACTCCGTTTAAGTGACACCAAGCAGTTTCAAGACACGAACTTGCACAACATTGCGCAAGACATATTTACCTATAATAGTCCAAGGTGTCGTAAGAAGAAACATAAGGTAGAACAAGAGGTCCTCGTCCCTGCTCAAGATGAATCAAGATTCGCCCTATAGTGGTCTAATTGAGTTGCAATCGCTATGATAACTAAGTGAAGCGTAAATGTTGATGCTCAAAATAACCGTCTGCTCCCAAGGATCAAGAATTCTCAATATCGCTCCCAACTCCTAAATTCGGATCCATCCCCCGTTCCATCAACACCCGCACGATATCCTCCCTTCCCTTGCTCGCGGCTATATGCAGACTGTTGCACCCCTCGCTGTCCACCAGAAAAGGATTGGCCCCTAGAGAAAGCAGCATGCCCACGGCTTCAAGATGGCCAGCGTCAGCAGCATAGTGGAGCGCAGTCCGCCCGCAAGTGTCTTTGGCATCTAGTCTGGCCCCTCGACTAAGTAGGAGGCCCATGATCCCCAAGTATCCGCCTCTTGCCGCCAGGTGAAGGGGGAATTGGCCACCGAGGTGACCCTCTGGCGACAGGCTGGTGTTGCTCGGTCTGCTTATGAGGCTGATGGAAGCGTCGTACGACAGGGCTGACGCTGGCGATTGAGAATCCTGAAAAGGCGGAATGTCGAGCGATGCCGTGCTTGGGATGGGGCTGTGGCTGTGGCCGTCGAGAGACTCCCCAGACGGCAGGACATTGCTGGCGTCGGCATCGAAGAGAGGAGATGCCGCTGGCCAGAAGGTTGTCCACGGGTTGGCGGACAGAGTCTGGCGGCTGTCATAGTCGGACATGGCCGAGGGCGTGAGAGGCCCGTATGATGAGGACGGGTTTGGCGATGTGATGGATATGAAGCCGCCGTGATAGTCCTCTGGTGGGGGAACCATCTCTGGTCGTCGGGTGACGCAGCAGCAACACGGTCCAGGATGCAGTGGTGAGACCCGAATCTCGGGTGACTTGGACATTGCAGAGAGTCTCTGCTCAGCTTTCCGCCGTCCTGCGATATTGCAAATGGTCATTTAATTGGCTCCCATGTCACCTGTGTTCCGTCTAGTTGAACTCACTGTGCTTGCGCTGTGCAATTCTGTTTTGCTTCCTCCGCCTCTCCTTTGCAGCGTCCTCTGCGTCGACGATGCTATCGAGTTTGATCTTCTCCTCGATTCCCTCATTGTTATGGATGGCAAGCTTGAGTTCGTGTCGAGCAGTAGGGGTGCGGTCTGGAGTATAAGACGACGTCGCCATCTTGTCTGTCTCTTCTCTTGTCTGTAGGAGGTTGCTTTCTTACGCTGTAATCGTCTAAACATTCAATTCTCGACTTATAGAGTGACTTGTCCTCCATGGAGAGACGAGGTTGAGCAAAGCCAACTCTCGTTATATAAACTCAGTCCTCAGGCACAAGAACAGGGATGTCGTCGAAGGAATCTTATCGCAGACACCCTCGGCATTGGGGGCGGGCACACAGCTTAGCACCATCTCATGCAACAGCCACTCCTCTTCACCCACTCTCTTGCCCGCGGCCGAGTGCCGGGGGATGGATGCCCTCGTTCGTTACTGGATGCAGGTTTTGTTCATGGCTCGAATCGGCGCCCATGCGACATCTATAAGCACGCGCCAGCGCCAGATGGCCGCAGCTCCAGCGGCCAGGCCCGTCCTGCTTGGCGGCCCATTTTGCCTTTTTTGCGACTCGTGGCGATCCTGCAAGGTTGCTTGCTTGCTTCATCTGGCCTAGCAAGGCTGCTGCAAGGAACCACTGACGGGACGCTGGGCGAACCTTGGCTAGGAATAGGACGTGGTTCCCATGGCGGAGCCGGTCGATCTAAGACAGAGGGATCATGAGATGGGGCCCGCGGGCTGGGGTCAATGGAAGAGGACTGAAGAGCGAGGTGCGAACAATCGACGCAAGGGGGCGCCGGTTGGAATATAGTAAGGCTGGCCAATCGGCATCACAGAAGACCAGCTGCTCAGGGGATTTGCATTTGCTTCTCCCAAGATGGGGAACTCCGGACGACGCAGGCAATGACGACTGTCCGATGGCCGAGTCTCACCGAATGCTTCGGCCATTGACTCATTGGCAGGGGGTCGGCGAACGCGGAATTCCATGTGGACGAGCTCCTGGGAAATCGGACGCTGCGGCAGTTGCTGCACGCGGCCAACAACACGCATGGGAGAGAGAACCCAGAGACCCCCAAATCCCAACTTGTGGCGAATGGGCCCAGCAATCCATGTCGCCCTGCGCGGTTGGCCCAATAAGCGCCCAGGACGAGGCGCAGAGACCCAGGAGGATCGTATGAAGGATTACCCCTGGCATCAAGGCATACTTTGGGGGTTACGATTGATCACGGGAATCGCGGCTTGGGGCGCAAAAGAAATGATGAGATGGGAAGATGAGAGGAGCAGGAAAACGTGGCGCGTGTAGATGACGCTCTTTGATCGTGTGCTTGTAGCTAAATTTGAACAGCTTCGTGGTGCTATAGTCTTCGATGCCAGGCAGATTTGAAGGCCTTCGTCCCACACGACCGGCTGCGCATCTCGAATCCTTGTCATATTAATAACAGCACACGACGACAGCGACGACGACGACGACGACGACGATGCCATCTAGCAAAGTACGCTCCCAAGCTGTGATGATGATTTCACAGCTGACGTACCAGAGCGCGGCGGATTTCCTCTTGAAGACATGTTGGATAGATCGCAGCCTCTGCAGTTGATTGAGTCAGTCTTACTTGGAGCGAACCCCCGGATATAACTGGCCAAGCGGCAATAGGGAGCTAAAATCCCATTCGAGGCCAACGGAACCAATCAGGCCCTGTCTTCCAGCATTCTGGGACATTGGAACTTGGTGGTGCCTTGGGATCGCAGAGGAGGTGTATGTAAGAGGTACGCGCATGCATACGCATCGCATGTGCTTCAGCCTCGAGATCAGATCACATTATGCAGCGGCGATGTCCGAACTCTAAAGGAGCAAAAGCCTGGAGAATGGACGGGAGGCTGAACTTGAAGACAAGTATTTGAAATCTATTCTGATTCTATAGTAGTACACTGTATTCTATCACTGGCACCCGTCTATTTGCCAGCCTGGGGTTGCCCATGTAACGTTCTAGTAGTAAAAATGCGATCCGAACAGTGAATAATACAATGGCATATCTGCTGCAGCCTGCGCAAAAGATTGTGCGATTCTATAGGTTCTAACCGCAACCATTATTTCTGCTGGGAACCGGAAGAGGAGCCAGAGTTCCCACCGGTTCCAGACGAAGACGAGCCACCGCCCGAACCGCTGGGCTGGCCAGATCCTGAGGATCCTGATTGACCGGCAGTTGTGTTGGTGCCGTTGGCATCTGAAACGATGGTTAGTTTAACGAATCGTAAAGCCAACAATTCGGTCGAAATGCCAGAGCTGTTAGTGTAAGTGTAGAGAGAGTGACTTACCGGCAACAGAGGCCATGACCACAACAAGAGGGAGTCTCATTCTGCCGATAATCTGCGAGATGACTTTTCTAGGAAGTAAAAGATAAGATGCTTTGATTTTAGCTTTTCTCGTTGTTTGTTCGCTTGCTTGTTTGCCGGATAATGTCTTGATCGATCTGATGAGCCAACATGAGTGCATCCCCAAACGCATTCTTATATATCTCCCAACACCGTCAGCGTGACGCGGCCCTGGACAAAGACGACCAAATGCCGAGTAGGCATCTCAGCTGGAAGAGAATATGGCAATGCATCTTTCCCATTCTGCACCGTTTCATCAATTCTCGGAGGATGGGGGTTGGCCGAAGGGCAGAATAGGCTGATATGCTGACAGAAAAAGCGCGGCTTCAATGTCAGCAAAGAGTCGGCATGACTGCTGACGGACAACACTTACAATGCATTCAGACAACTTGCTGTGATTTTCATATTCTATATGTTTCTATAGTCCGTTTCTCATATATGCGTGTAAAATCTTGGATAATACTTGCTCTATGGGTACGATGCATCGTCGAGGAGGGGGGGTCTGTTCGATAGACATCTAGTTGAGAAAAGATGCAACTTGCGGTATTGGGCTCGACTGAATGTTTCGTAAACACGTCTGTACACTCTTCGATCAATTTATGAGTTACCGCTCATCTGCCATTTCGTAGCTTCAGTTTGATTGTAGTATTAGATCGCCCCCCCCCCCCCCCCCCCCGGCAATAAGGTTGTGGATCAGAGACTCCTACATACGGAGCAGAGCCTGTTTGATGACTGGACCGTCAACTTCAAGACACTCTTACATGGGTTCTGCGCCGGCTTCATCATACATGCCGTCATATGCGGTTTGAAAATGGGGCTCAGTCATGTCTCCGGTTACTCACCCTGACCTTGTGGCGATCACAACAAGCAAGATCCTACAGTCGAGAAGTCTTCTAGTCTTTTTCGAGATACAGGTGCCATGCTAAACCAGTCTACAGTCCAACAGCATACGGCTCAAGAATCTCCTTATTCCTTCGATCATAAGGACCCAGTCAGAGTAGCATTTCGTCTCCACGAGTTCAAAGAATGCCTTGGCTCTGGCAGTGTTGTCATTGACTAACAACTACAGTCCCATAAACTACTTCCTTCTGGCTTCGATATTCCATGTTCCAAGTTTCATCTCGTGTCATCGACCGGGATTCCTACTACCAGTTCTACAGGCTCCGCCGTTCCAGAAAGGCCAGCACCGTGGCCCAGCAAGAAGGACAGACGTTTCCACAAATCCTACAACATCAGAAACATTTCTTACGCTCCTTGCCGTGACCCCAAGCCTGACAGATCAGGCTGCGGGTTGTGGAGCGCCACTTGTTGCACCCACTTAGCTCAGCCTTGTATGACCGCTCGGGTTTCAGCCCTATGTATACGGCAGATTGAAGGACAGCGGTTTAATGCGGGCTTTTGGGGCCTTTGCGAGCGAGGCAGATATTTCCTATCGCCGAGAAGACGTTGTTGGATTACGACGGTGAAACGTGGGAGTCAGCACAGATCAAACGTGAAGGCTCCACGTTGGATGCGGGCGAATGAGATATGTATCTTGCCCAACAGTCCGAGCCGGAGAAGATGGGACTGCTGTTGGTCACGTATATATACAACGGGAAGCCACCATAATTTGAAAAAGAAAGGTTGGCTTCGAGAGCGTGTGGCTGGAAGGCTGGGCAACCTGTAGTTTCTGAGCCGAGGGGGTTTCACAAGATGAGCAGATCTGATTTATAGTGTAAGGATGATTTTGACGAATCTGGCTATCAAAAAACCTTACGTAGAGTCTCGTCAGACGTTTCTCGTTGGTCAGTATCGGCTCGCTATAGTCAAGAATGTCAAATAACTTGCAATTAATATAGTTATTCTTGTCCATGACTTCTGGGCAAACCAGTGATGATGGTATTATTTGGACGTCCGTCTAGTAGCTCACGTTGTAATATCGAGGAATAAATTGAATTATACTCCATATTTCGCCGCTGTGGCTATGTAACGCTTTCACATACGGCATCTCAGATTGGAATTCTGATTTTAACGAGACAATCAGCATTAAGCCATCTTTCCGAGAGAATATCAAGATCAGCAGCGTTAGAGAGAGACAAATTGCACACTTTAGGATAGATAGCAGGCAGATTAAATCAATCCAACGTACATACATATCGCGAACGCCAAAAGCATCCCCGGGGTGACTCTCACGCCATGTAAAGTCCCAAATCCGTAGCTCTAACATCCTACGAACGAAAGACACTGCTTACAGTTCAATGAGTCATGAGAAGAGATTTACGAAAAAAAAAATGAAACAACACAGAAAGCTACACGTCTCCCAAGAATTGAGTTCGAGAGCAAAAAGGGATGATCTCGCCCGGGCTCGAACCGGGGACCTTTTCGGTGGTGTCAACAGATGCTGTTAACGAAATGTCATGACCAACTAGACCACGAAACCATCATGTTACCTGATTGGTTGACAGGCAGCCTCAGCTGCAAGCTACATAAACCTCGCTCAGTCGCGGCAAAGTCAACGAAGAGTCGAAAACTCACCCATACATAGGCATTAGGTAACCCAGCGGAAACAGCATCCGAGTCTCGCCTTGTTAATTCATGAGGGATTCATCTCAGATCGAACCCTAGCCTCCAAAGGCAGGTCATCATTCTCCGGAATGCGAACCCTCTAGCGTTCTGTGACAAGTCGGCCAACTGCGGCTCAGGTCAACCTTGATTTGCCGCAGCCTACAAGCCACGACCAAGGCGGCTGCTTACTGCTGCTCTCACTCTGACGCAGCAAAATACCAGAAGATAAGTGGTATCGGACCTAAAGTGCCTTTGCATTTACTCAAAAGCACGCAACAACTCAGATCAGTTGTGAAGAGAGCTGACTATGCATGGTAGGATAGCCCGAGTCAAGTCAATTTTGACATTGAAGGGGAGGGGAGACCTGCCCAGTAATACATGTGGATATTCGCGAAAGAGGCAATTGTCTGTATCCAAGTCGCTGTTTGCATTCCTACTCTGTTCACGTCCTATACCGGCAATTACCTGAAAAAGAAAATCTCCTTAAGAAAAGCAAACAAGACAGTTCAAGCATAGTCATCCGCATAGTCACCCATATTGCACCCCATGCCCAGAACCCCTGTGCTCGGATTCCACTGAAGCCACGCGAACCCGAGTATTCGGAAGTGGTGGGCTCCCGGAATAAGCAGAATTCCCGCCCAGCCGGCCAAGCCGCAGACGAACTGCCCAATACGCATCGCCGCCCACACACACACCGGACTCCGGACATCTCACATGGCATGATATAAACTCATGTGTACCGTCCCTTTATCGCCCCTCCCGGCACTCGGGCCTCTCATCATGCTGCTGTCTGAAGTGCACGAAACGGGAATATCCCTACGGAAATGATGGCTCTTTCGTTATGTGTTGGACCTTTGGTATGATGAATAAGCACTAATTGGCGGGATGAGGCTTCTGTCCCCTATCTCGTCGTGTCAACATAGTGTCAAGCCATTCTTCTGACTCGATAAACCGCCTTTTGCTATGCTTGGCCGGACCATCTGCCGACTTGCCTAATCGTGGAGAGGAGTTGATTACTGATCTTGAGCGATAGAATTTCATCTCTACCGGGGCTAAAGGGAGAGCATGGCTGCATGTAATCTTCAATCGGGCATTCGGCAGGCTCTGTATGTTATACTTCTCAATAACAGTAAGGCCGAACGGGAAACATGCCGACCTGTCACTTTGTTCTCGGATTACAATTAGCGCTCATGCAAGCGATAGCTTTATAAAGTGTGTAAGCGTTTGAACGACACGGGAGTTCCGTGCAATGCCTTTCTTGGCCCAGAGGAACACGTAAGGAAGGCATGTACTGCTCCCGAATAACATAGGACAATATATATGTCCTATGTTTTCCACGATAAGACATAATAATTTCACATTACATAGCTTGGCACCAGACTCTATGGCCTATCGCTGAGACATGAGATACGTGCCTCGCTGGAGCATTGCACCCATATACATCAGCCTCGGCACACCCCGCATTGAGCTCCCGGCAACTTTATTAATATAACTAGCTACCCATTATTATGTACGCATTGAAGAAACTCTGTCAGCAGTCAATCCAACCAAGTATACTGATACTTGGTGGCCATAAATTCACCTCAGCTCGTACGAAATACTAGATAAGGTAAGCTTCAGCACCCTTGCCGTCCAAACCGCACCCCGTAAAGGAAAAATAAGAGCTAAGTCCAGAACGATAGAGTTTAGACGGTGCTGACAGTGTAAGTGGTTGAGCAAGACACGGCCCTCAGGGGTATCGCGGGTCCTAAAGAGCACTAAATAATACCGAAAATTACTTGAGAACCGAGTGTCCATGGAGCTGAACCACGAAATCTGGAATTTTCGTTCCCTCATGGTACTATTTGCAATTCTTACTCTATGCAAGATGCTCTCAGCCTTCAGTACTGATATAAATGGCCCCGGCTATCGTTGGATTCGCCCCGGAGGAGTGGAGCCGAAAGAGCCGGTCCGTGGAGCCTAACCAAAGGAGATCCACGACACGAACCCCGATCCCATGTGCAACCCATGCTGGGACAAGCCCCGGTGTTTAGAGGTCGAACCTTGGTTGAAGTCCGCGGTCGTGTTTGCGAGGCCCTTAGCTCTGACAGCAGACAGTTAGTGTATGACAAAGGCCCTTTTAGGCGGTGCTCCGAGCTGCACCCAAGTATCCCCCACGTAAAGGATTCATGCATAGCGATAACTGACGGCGGTAAGGAAAAGAACACTCTGTATCGTTGAGCATCCCGGTAGTTCGGATTGACGAAACATGGGATGTATTCATAAACCATCCAGAAAATGTCAAGGCCAGGTCTCCGATATCTTTGCTTAAGAGGGCTCTGTTTCCCTCATTGCCAAAGGACTCGAAGTGACATCTTGGTTATAACGACAACACTAGGTAGTCCTGCCAAGACCCGGAATATTTGAGTAGTCAGGCAGTATCTGGCATCCTGTCGCCCCGCCTCAGCCCTATCGCAAAAAGAAACGAGCTGGATAGTCTGGTACCAGTAAGACCGACAACATCCTGCGGCTGCGCTAGTCACAAGCCCCTTTGCTTGTGATCCAACGTGAGACACGCTATAGTGACCTGGCATCTTGTAAGGATTCTCCACGGATGTCCAGATTCTCGGAATCAGTGGCCGAACAGCAGTCTCAATTTATTCCCGACGCCCTGGATCGCACATAATTGCACATTGTAGGCAGTTTCTGTTGGACAGTCGAAGACGAAAGGTCGACCCAGGATGTGATTGACATGACGCCAGACTACTAACATCACTGATGAGGGAATCCTGCTGCAGCTGAGCACGAACGGAGCGGAATGGTGCGACTTAGAAGAAACTGCAGCGCAAATAGCATGCGATGCGATTGCGTACAGCTAGCCAGGCACGCAAGGGCTAACAAGCACAAGCAGATTGTACGTATTGCACGAAGACGGAGCTGCTTCTCACAGCCCACCTCGAGTGGAGGCGTCGACGAAAGCCACGGAGGAGATGGCTGTGGCGTATCCGAGCCATGGTGTAAATGTATGGTGTGATGCACATCCGTAGTGCATTCGCCCTCCTCACACTGGTCGCTAGTTAGCCTATTCACTCTCCGGTGAGCTCACAAATCTATTCGCTCTCAGTTGAGTTGACAAATATGTAGTCTCTGGATGGCTAAGGGGCCTGGTGCAGGGCTTGGGTCTGTCGTGGGGCAATAGATAGACAGTATCCGTGGACAAAGTAAGCTGTGAGTACAGTGCAGGAATCCCGTGTGAGTGAACGAATATTCGGCGGCAATAAATGCACATCTTGCGGCGTGAACTATCAATCTGGTCGTCCGCTTTCCTGACAAAGTCACTGTGTTAAAAGCCATCGATCTTAATATAAGGTAAGGGGGGGTTGTTACCACACGGCGGTAGCCTATCTGAGTAAGGCAAAGTTAGCTGATCCTCTTCCAAGCTAGGTAGATAGTTATGCTTACAGGCGGTCAGCCTTGGTAAAAGTATGAAGCTCAGTAGATAGTAGTGAGGATGGATGAGAGGTGAAAGTATCGAAGCCATAAAAGGGACGACGGGCTCTCGACTGTGAAGTTGTCATTCGAGTCCCAATAGCCCTCGCATCTTCACCATCCCCAGCTCCGGAAGCTCACAACAGCAACCTGCCGAACAGCTTCAGTCGATTCAACGCGTGCACATTCTGACATAGTTCACCATGGCTTCCTCCCAAGGCATGGCCGCCTATGCTGCGCCCTCTCTTTTTCAGCCTCATCTCACCCGCCAGGCTATCAGAGATGCTCACAAGAAGAAGATTCCTCCGTTGCTGGGATACTATGGCGGTATTGGATCCACCAAGATCACGCGCTGGTTGGCACCCCTCGGCTTTGATGTCGTTTGGGTCGATTGGGAGCACAGCAGCATGAACGTGGAGACGATGACGACCATCGTTCACGAGGCCATCTTCATGAGTCAGGGAAGGACGATTCCCTTCGTCAGAGTGCCGGGGCACGACCATGCGTCGATTGGATGGGCGCTGGATGCCGGTGCCAGTATCATCGTCCCTCAAGTAGGTTGCCGCCGATGAGATTCGCCTCGCAAAGCCCATGGTTGGTATAGTATGGCTGACTTTTGAGATTATAAGGTCGAAACTGTCGAGGAAGCCAAGCACGTGGTATCAGCGGCCAAATTCGGGTCCAAGGCGAAGGGCACCCGCTCGGCACCTCCTTTCCGGCTCATGCGAGGTGTCACAGATACGACGTTCGAGCCGGGCAGGGATATTTACGAGGCAATGAACCACCAGGCCGCGATAATGATTCAGATCGAATCGAGAGCTGGTAAGTTTTCACTCCGCGAAGCTCGAGATGTGCCCGAAGCTGACCTGATTCGTCTTCCAGGAATCGACAACCTGGACGCCATCCTCACCGAAGTGCCTGACATTGATATCGTGTGGCTTGGATCACTCGACTGCCGTGTAGAGATGGGCTTGCCCAGCAACATGGGCCAGGGAGGCGACGAGCCAGAATGGCTTGCCTACAGGCAGAAGTTCTTCGACATCATAGACAAGCATGACATGCCCTATGGCGGCTTTGCTTTCTCCACTCCTCCGTTTGGCACTCCCGAGAGCTTCAAGAAGGCTACAGAGCGCATGTCATTCACCATCATGGCAGCCGACACTGTGGCGCTGGCGAGCATGGGCGAGTCGCTGAAGCACGGGCGAGAGCTTGTGGCACCGACGTCGGACAAGAAGGTCAATGGACAGGCAGTCAACGGTGAGAAGTCGTGAATCAATTGCGACCAGAAGGGAAGCTGATGAGATGGAGAAGAGACTGTTTTGGTGAGGGATAGACAGAAGTGAGGTCTCTAGAGTAGAGTAGAGGAGAGGAGAGAGGAGAGGAGAGGAGAGGAGAGGAGAGGAGAAAGGGATACATGATGGAGTAATCGGATGATGTAAGGCTTGTAGCTGCTGGAGACGGAAAAGGGCAGCTGCAGCTGTTGAGCGTGCCTACCTTACCTGGAGGCTCATAATCTATTGTTTAGTCAGCTACTACCACGACTCCCAATTCATATTGAACCTGTGAACAATCTCTAAATCATCACCACTTCGACTGAGCATCGTGTCGTTCCAGCGATCCAACAAGCATGTCATCCCGTCTGCAGCATCAACTCCGCACATTTTACATAACAGCAACCCTCTAGTGCAGCTCCAGATCTGGGGAAGGACACCGTTATCGCGCGCCATGTGGGACGTGTACGGCCTGCGAATCTGCTTCAACGGCGTTTCGGTATGCCAGCATCTGGTCTCCAATTCTCTGCTCCCCAGCTTATCTCCATGCTGCAGCACTTGCCCGCGACCTCCCCGCAGATTCACTGGTGGCGAGCGCCGAGGATTGGCTGGAATGCTGCACGGCTGGGCTGATCCCTGGTCGATTGACGGAACTTGACTCGCGCGGTCCGATTTCTGCATTCTTATCATGCCCGCTCGTGCCATCGGGCCATCGCCTGGCTTCAGCCCGTGCTGGTGACGGCGATGCTGCGAAAATGTATGACTACGTCCAAAGCAGGGACGAATCTCTCATAGGATTTCTCTCAGATCTCAAAGATGAGACACGCTACCATGTGCAGGATCTGAGACCCGACATCGCTGACGTGCTTGTGGACGCCACGGAGCAGCAGGGCATTCAAGCTTATCATCAAGCCAGCGAATGCCTGCTGCAGAATCGGCGCCGCCGTTCCTTGTTCGAGCATGAAGCCGCGACTAGGGCCCAAACTAAGCAGCTAGCCAGCACGCGACAGCGATGCAGCTGCGGAGGCCGCATGAGGCCATGAAGCAGGGAGAGCCTCGGTCATCGTCATCAGACGAACCATTAGGGCATGGGCGCAGATAGCATCCGACAACGGGTAGGGGTCTTTTATCTGCACCTTGTCCATCTCCAGCTGCTTCTCTCTTCCTTCCCAATTCTCAATTTCTTGTCTGTTTCTGTCATTTCCAGCGGCGCTCTGGTTTCCGGTCTTTCTTCATCTGTCTCTAGCTGTCGTCCGGCACGACTTCGACAAGGTATTGGCGATTAAGCATAAGCTCCCTCGCTCGACCCAGAAGCGGTTCCTCACCGACAACAACGGATTGCATCGCGAGCATCAAACTATAGACCGGCGAGAGCTTCAGACGGCCATGGATTCTCGTCATCGCCGCTCCTCCATGGGCAGCGGCGCCCAAACGGCCGACCAGGCCCTCGCCTCTCTCGGCTACAAGGCCGAGCTGCCTCGTCACCTCTCCATGATGTCTATCCTGGGTCTCTCCTTTGCCATCATGGCCGTCCCGTTCGGCCTCAGCACCACCCTATACATCACACTGACCAACGGCCAGTCCGTCACCGTTCTCTGGGGATGGGTCCTGGTCTCGCTCATCTCTGTGTGCATCGCTGCCTCACTCGCCGAAATCTGCGCCGTCTTCCCAACTGCAGGTGGTGTCTACTACTGGTCGGCCATGCTGAGCTCTCGCGAGTGGGCGCCGCTGGTCAGCTTCGTGGACGGATGGCTTACACTCGTCGGCAACTGGACGGTTACGCTGAGCATCAACTTTTCTGGCGCGCAGCTGATCCTGAGCGCCATCACTATCTTTAACGAAGACTTTGTGGCGAATACGTGGCAGACCGTCTTGTGCTTCTGGGCCGTCATGCTGGTATGCGCTCTGGTCAATGCCTTTGGCTCGCGATACTTGGACCTCATCAACAAGATCTGCATCTACTGGACTGCTGCAAGTGTCATCATCATCATGATCACTCTGCTCACAATGGCCGATCACCGACGCTCCGGCGAGTTTGTGTTTGCCCATTATGACGCCTCAGGCAGTGGATGGCCAACAGGATGGTCGTTTTTTGTTGGGCTCCTCCAAGGTACGTTCTCATTGCTGTTCGCTGCTTACTTCTGGACGGTCGATGTACTGACCGCTGGGCCTTTCGAACCCGCAGCCGCCTATACTCTCACCGGCTATGGCATGGTTGCCGCCATGTGCGAAGAAGTGCAGAACCCCGAACGCGAGGTCCCCAAGGCCATTGTCCTGTCCGTCGTTGCCGCCGGTATTACTGGCGTCATCTACCTCATCCCGCTTCTTTTCGTCCTCCCCGACGTACAGACTCTGCTCACCGTGGCAAACTCTCAGCCAATCGGCTTGCTCTTCAAGATTGTCACTGGATCCTCAGCAGGTGGTTTTGGCCTGCTGTTCCTCATCCTTGGCATTCTGATGTTTGCAGGTATCGGCGCTCTTACAGCTGCCTCGAGATGCACCTACGCCTTTGCGCGAGACGGTGCTATTCCAGGCTATAAGTTGTGGCGCAAGGTGAACAAGTCATTAGACATGCCCATCTGGGCTCTTGTCCTGTCCACGGTAGTCGACTGCATCCTCGGCTGCATTTATTTCGGCTCATCTGCCGCCTTCAACTCCTTCACTGGCGTCGCCACCATCTGTCTATCCACATCCTACGGTGTTCCCGTCCTCGTCAACCTGGTCCAGCGTCGCCGAGCTGTGGAACACTCGCCCTACCCTCTCGGCAAAGTCTTGGGCCCCATCATTAATTGCATCTGCATCGTCTGGATCGTCTTCTCTGTCGTCATTTTCTGCATGCCTGTCTCGCTGCCGGTCGATGCCACGACGATGAACTACGCCTCGGTAGTATTCGCTGGATTCGGCGCCATTGCTTTTATCTGGTACTTTGCGTATGCGCGCAAGAACTTTACTGGTCCGCCCGTTCGAAGTGCAGGGGACGATGGCATTATTCCGACGGTGGGAGTGCCCGTGGGCGATCATGAGGGGAACGGGTCAGATTCACCGCCGGTGCAGACAGAGAAGGATCTCAAATAACATCTTAGAGTAATGAGAATATGAACTGCTCTATTTCCCTCTTTCGCCTCTGTACTGCGTGAGCTCTCTTCAACCGCATAAGCATCATTCATAAGGGCCACGTAGCATGTCGTAAGTCATCCATCTATTGCACACTCCCAACTCTCTATATCAGCGAAGCATGCCCATGGTCATAACGGGTATATACAAGAATCAAGGCCCAGAAATTCTTCTTGTTACTCCCCCTTCTCCTTTTCCACACCCCCCTCCCCCTCCATTTTTGCTTAGACACTGATGGTCCTGAACACACTAAACTCCTCGCCCGTAGCAATCAAGCTGCCCGGAATCTGGGGGTGCCAGTGCACCTCCCTGACGTCCTTGAGGTAGTGCACGAACAGCAGCTGCGGCGGCACGTCCTTGACGCCGGCCGTGTCCTTGCTCTCCTCATCATCCAGCTCGACGGCCAGATCCCACAGGGTGACGGTGTTGTCACCGGCAGCCAGGGCGACGATGGAGTCATCTGTCGGATGCCACTCGATGCTGCAGATCTGCTCCTTGTGGTAGTTGAAGCTGGCGAGCGGCTGGGGCTTGTTGGCGTTGGCCTTCCACTGGCGCAGGTCCCAGACGGCCCAGGTGCCGTCGTCGGCGCCGGAGGCGAGCAGGTTGGTCTGGTGGCGGGACCAGGACATGACGTTTACGTCGTAGTCGGAGACCTGGACGGTGATGGCGGGCTTGCGGGACTTTGAGCGGACGTCCCAGATGCGGATGGTGCCGTCGCTGGAGGCGGAGGCGAAGACGGACTGCTCCGAGGGCGACCACTGGATCTCCTCGACGCTGCTGGCGTGGCCCTGGAAGGGCCGGCTGTCGGTGACCCAGCCGCCACCGTCGGTGCGCGACGTCAGGTAGATGAGGCCGTCGTTGTCGCCCGTCAGCAGCTTGCCGCCGGGGACGAGGGGCGACCAGTCGACGGCGTAGCCCTCGGCCTTGTGCGCCCGGATGGTGGAGATGGGCTTGTTCTGCTGCGCGGTGATGACGGTTCCTGGGACGTCGAAGGAGGCGAGGTGGGGGGTGACGTCGTGGATGAAGACGCTGGCCGACTCGGTCATGGTGGCCGTCAGCGTCGTCGGGGGCCGCGACGGGTCCTGGCTGGGGATCTGGTGCGAGCGGATGCGGTTCGTGCACGAGTTGAGCGGGATCGACTTGCTCTCGAGGATCGGGTCCGTGTCCTCGTCGTCGTCGTCGTCCGACTCGGAGTCGTCGCCGCCGCGGTCCATCTTGCTCAGGCCGCTGAACTTGAGCACCAGCAGCTCGTTCTCGTGCGCCTTGGCCGACTCGGCCTGCGTGCCGGTGATGGTGTACATGGTGTGCGGGTAGGCCTTGCGGTTGTCGCCGAGGGAGTCCTTGACGATGTCAAAGGACAGGCACGGCCAGGGCGTGTTGAGGCCGTGCAGCATTTCATACGTCGTCAGGTCGGGCGCCAGCGTCTGGCCGGGTTCTAGCTTGCTTCGTCCGACGATGAAGGTTCCTTGGTCGACCTCCATGGCCTCTGTTGAAGGAGTTCTCGGTCAGTCTCTCGTTGAATTGCCCTGCGAACCTGATGGACACTCACGTTCTTTCTCCTCGGCCTCTCGCTCGGCGTCTGGCCGTCCATCCACGCCAGCCTCGATGATCTCGTCTTCGCTCTCGAACTCGTCCTCGAACTCATCCTCGAACTCGCCCATGTCCTTGTCCATGTCAACGTCCATCTGCTCGGGACGCTCGCCGCCCTTGAGCGGCGCATCCTCGCGATCGTCTGCTGTGCGCTTCGCCATGGTTGGTTGTGATGTGGAATCCTTCGCTTGACCACCTATGAAATCTCTAGACACAGTCAGATGGGGGATATCATCGGCCAATGCCTGCGCGCATCCACTCACTTGCGATCAATCGTGTTGAAACTGCGAATCTTTGGCGGCAACAATTTTTCGGCCCCTCTAAGAAAAAAATCCCATTGAAGAAGTCTTATCGGGCGATAACAAGCCACATGGACCCCGCTACGTGGCTGGGATCCTGCATCTGTGGCGGTGCAGTCAACGGCACCTCCAGCCGCTTGTAAGAGAAGATCCTCCATTGTTCTGTTTCCCTCCTTTCTTTATCAGATTGCGAAGTTGGCTCAGTAGAGACGAACGTGCTCTAATGGCTGCTCACATTCTCCGGCTTGTGCTTTCCTGTGATTTTCATGCTTATTATACGAGCGGGGCTCGTGCAATGTATGATGAGTGTCAAAGCGTTTGGGTCCCAAACGCCATGTTGTTATATAGGACTGGCCCGTGAGGAAATACTACCTATGTAGATATGCTTCTTTCACGACGCTTATGAGAACACATTCTTCCAGCGTCAATTCTTGAGGGAAGTCTTTCTTTCTCTGCCTCTCACAATGGGAGCTTGCTGCGGGTATTTTGACGAGTCTCTTGATGGCCATCAATCACCGGGTAGACAGTTGCGACGATATGCCATACGCTGCCCACTCTATCTATAGATACTGGGCAATTCGTGAATGACACGTACTAAGACATCTAGTTTTCAACTGCAAGGGGAGCCTTGCCATTGATGATTAAACAATGATTTTAAACGCATTGTCTGGCTTGCTTTGACTGTTCGCTTAGGGGTAGTCTGGCGTTCCTAGATTCATCAAGGGTCAGCGCAGGCTCTTATGTGTCCGCATGCATGTTCTTTACGTATACTTTCTTACTTCACATGCTCATCGCAGGCTTGAGTACAATGTACTGGAGAGACGAAGCAACTTAAATGGAATAAATTTTGCCTTGAGTGAGACGTCCTTTATGTCGACGGTGATGAAGTACCCCCATCTAGTTGGATAGGTCCAGAAAACTATAGACTGGAAAGCGTTGTTGTTGTTGTTGTTGAAATCTGGCATTATTCTAGCTCTCCTACAAAGCAACTTACAAAAGGACACATGCAGTAGTTATCCACCATTCAAGTTTGTTTACTATTTTACACTAGAATAACACAGAGCCTCGTAGTGTATTCGGGATATCGCTTATACTTGAGTCACTACTCAGGCCTCGACTGTCGAGCTGTAATCAAACTTCTCTAGGGTGCTGAAGTAAGTGTACCGCATCTTAGGGCGCTCAGGACCGTAGTTAGGTCACCAACTATTTATCATGCTCAAGGCCTAGGACTCGTCCTATTCTACCATGTTGCTATCTAGCTATGCTCGTATTACAAAAGTACCCATCAATTACACGGTCTGACATTTATAGGGGATTATCACATGCTGCTATCGTGAAACTGCAGGAGTCTTGTCCCTTCTTTCTTGGGCTTGATAGCTCGACACCCCCTTACATAGCTCGGCACTGTCTCTGGCTAAAGAATACTAGCGGCCACTTTGAATAAGAGAATCTGCCCAAGGCGTTTTTCAGTTTCCATTCTGGCCCGATGATAAGTCCAATTACCTACCTTGTTGTTGTTGTTGTTGTTGTTGTTGTTGTTGTTGTTGTTGTTGTTGTTGTTGTTGTTGTTGTTGTTGTAAAGAGCCGAACCCCGAGAGCAACAACCGCTTACATCTCTTGGGTACTAATCTTCGAAGCTTATTGTAATCTTACCGTGAAGTAGAAGGCAGCTTATGGCTATGTGTCTTGAAGTATTACAATTCATGGAAATTTGCTCATGGGACTTCCTCAATTGCAGGCAGCCTGCCTCTGACAAGGTACCTACTTTCGTGTGACCTAGGTACGATCTATGGGAGAATGTGGCTCTCGACTCTCATGCCATCCTTGAACTCTCCGAAAGGACAACCTCAAGAACAGCAGGTTCAACACAGCCAGGTAAGGTAGTGGAGCAACATGCGACAGGAGCAGACCAGGATCGTTGGGCTTAGACCAAAACCCACCACCCTTTAAAAGAAGAGTGGCTTAGATCTCAGATTCTCTAGGAGCTTTGCCGAGAGCCGAAGCAATGATGCGTCCAGTAGCGTGCCTCGCCCTGATGAACAAGTTCGGAGAAGAAATATAAGCTGGTTTCGGATTTACTAGGCTCTGTTGTACCTGATCTGAAGGATCACGGCTGCATTATTGGTTACATGTCTCATAAGCTCAGATCCAACGCCAAGCGAATCATCCCTCAGACTACTGCCAAGCTAAAGAATGACAACACCACGCCTTTCCAATCCGCGCATCTTTGGAGTTCTAGAAGTTGTTCCCACCATGTCACTCAATCACTTCATTCCAAGCCCAAAAAGGAGGCAGTGGAAAGAGTAATTAAAGCAAAAAAGTTCGAATGGACCAAAAAAAAGAGACTGCATGCTTGTGTCTCCTCCGGGAAGGCTCGAACTTCCAACCTCCTGATTAACAGTCAGACGCGCTAGCCAATTGCGCCACAGAGGAAAGGCTGTGATGGATGCTGGAGGAAAGACAAGGCTACTATGAATCTACGGGGACGGCAGACCGGACGATTTTGATGTAAGTCTTGGGAGGTGCCGTCTTTGGAATGACGAGATTGATCGAGGACTGAGTTTGTGGCCTGACCGTGAACAAATCACCATTACTATTGTTACTACTATTACGACGACGGCGCTGGTATCCTCCTCAAATCGTTAAACCACACATATCGGCTCAGAAGCATGTACAAGTGGCGGTCCCAGGTGTACTGGCTGCCATGGCTCGCAAAGGCAGCCCGTGTCAAGGCATAGCGATGCAATGAGTTGGCCAGCAGAGCCTTTGAGGTGACTTCCGCATCCGCCTTGACGGACGGATAAAAGAGCGCGGAGACGATGCGCCAGAAGAAGGAGAGGGCCGTGTAGGGCAGGTCGAAGAGGAACGTGTACTTCCTAAAGGTGCCCGTGGTGACGAGCTTGTAGGCCGGAGGTGCGTCTTTGGTGCTCGTCACGTATTCGCTAGATGGACCGTGAGTAGTCGGTAGGAAGGAGGAGAAGGGCATTGTGTTGCATCGATGAGATGTACAGCACGACACAAGACAGTGGTGTGGCTTACCTCACGGCTGCACTGACTGCTCGGTGGTTGATATGTCCAGAAACGCCACCTTCATCGAATGTGATGATCTACTCAGTTTGTCAGATGCATCAGCTTCTATAGCAAAGGCCTAGACATCAGCCGGGAAGGGGACCTACAGCATCAACATCCCATCTCTTGACATACTCCCTCACGATGGAGTGAATCAAGGCCGTATCCCACCACACCTTGGGATTGTCCTGCAGCCTTGGATGGTTAAACGCCTCACACCTCGATGGGTTGATGCCCAGGGCCTGACACGACCCCTTGAGCTCTTGCTTGCGCGTCTCGCCTTTGCCATAGTTGTTTCCTGTAGCCGGCAAACGTCGACGGCGACACGTATGTCTCAGCACAGTATCTCACACTCGATGCGGGATGACCTCAAGCCAAGAGAACATGAACAAGGAAAAGCGAAGAGAAATGGGGGAGTCATTAAAGAAAGCAACTAACCAGTCGACATAACTAACAAACCACCATTGACAGCACGGTTCCGATCAAGAATGCCCAGGATGGTGGGCGAAAAGAACAGGCACTCATCGTCGGGATGCGCCGTCACGACAAGCAGGTTCTTTGCGCGGAGCAGCTCCGGCGGCAGAAGACGTGCATCGCTGCCGACGATGTAGGCCAGGAACCACTGCAGGAGGATCGGGAAGACGAGGACGGCGAGGGCCGCCCGGAACAAGGCGCGGCGTCGGCTGCGCGTGGCCACGGGCCAATAGCAGGCCCTGAAGGCTCTGAAATCGCGGAGCTTGCGTGCCATTTGCTAGCCCCCCTCGCTAGTAGTCCCAAGGGAACAGATAGAGACAAGAGGACAAAGTGTAGTTGAGCACGAGGGAGAGAGAGAGAGAGACACGGCAGCCTTGAACCGCGCGTTAGGGCGGGACTATCGAGAGTTGACAGACGTCAAAGCCCAGCTTTCAGGAACCACCACAAAGGCCCAGTGTTTGATCAGCGAGCAACCGCGTCAGCTTGATGAGTAACAGAAAACTGGTGCCCAAGCAGCCAAGACACACACTTACACACACAGACGCAACACCGACGTGGCATTGGAGAACCCCCGGAGACCGCAGCACAGCCTCGCTGAGGTCATTCGTTTTCTGCAACGACGCCACAAAAAGAGGGCTGGCAAACTGGGGACCTTTTGCTTGCTTGTTGGCTTGGCAAGCTGCTTTTGGCCCAATCGTGAGGCTGATGATTGGCAAACGGCAAGGGTTTGGATTTTCACCGCATGCTCATTCGACGGCTCCATCTCGGGGGGGAGCGTGCCATAAGCACATTCAGCTTTCGATTCAAGTACTTTGAGTATCTCGGGACTGCAAAGACAAACAAAAGTGACAAAGAGGAGTTTGTCCGCAGTCTGGTTATAAAAAGCAAGGCATCTCTTGAGCTACTACAACTATGCCAGTTTGCATGTGTTTGACATGCAAGACCCGCTGTGACCCCTGTCAAGCAATTAGCTGATGAGCTTACAGGTTGAGGAATAGGCACCGGGTACTTGGCCCTTTGAACTCGTACCAATAGAGTCATTCAATAAGTAATACGGGGTACGAAACTCCTGATTGAAGCATTGACAGCTGCCTTGAGATCCCTGAGACGCCACTTTCGAACTACCTTACTCGTGTCGCAGGTCGCAGGAAAATAGGCGTGTTAGATGTAACGGCACAACGCACAGCCCTCCCTTTACCCAAGACATTGGCTTTCACATGACTGAAGAGAAAAGTACCTTGGGCTTTTGATTATCAAATAGTCCATGATCTACAAATTCGTGTACGTACACTAAGCTCAAGTGACTACCTATGATGCACGAACCGTAGCAGTATGTAAGTATATGCCAGATATAACCCCAACCCAAGCCCAGCATCTCCAGGCCAAGAAAGCCACACCTTCGCCAAGCCCAACTGCCGAACCAGTACGTCTCCTTCCGGCAACGAATGGTATGAGGAAAAACATGAGAGATGATGGATATGACCCCTGTTGATACCTCATGCCATCGGTTTAAACGATTGACTGTTGGCGGCATCGCCGCACATTCGACGGACGAATACTCACGGACGAGCTCCGACGGCCGAGGCTGTGCCTTTTCTGAATACCAGGGGCCTTGGTCTGAGGCTTATTTAGCAATCCTTGTTATAAAGAGCTCGCTGTATAGTCGAGCGAGCTGCTCCGTGCCACTATGGAGAGCTCATCTGGGCAAGGGAAGCAAACAGCTGCCGATGGGACGGGTTAAGCGACGGCCTATTAGCGTGGGCTTCCATCATGTCACCCTGACGGGCCGATCCCAGGAGTGAGCGTATCGAGCACGTCCAGCGAGCGTATTGAGGATATCCTTGCCACAGGAACGCCCATGGCTTCACTTCGGACTGTCCTTATCATTGCAGGATTGTCGAGTGGGAGCTCTCGTTCGTAGCCGTGCTTGCTGTGCTCGCAAATCGATCCTCAGATTATAGATGCGGTTCTGTATGCCTACTGACGAAGAGAAGGCTTGCAAGTACATTGATCAAAATATCTCATGGACCTTAAGCACTGTTGAAGCAGCCCGTACTGAGAGACCGGCACCATGTTCCAATGTCCTAGATTCAGCCCTCTTGATCTGGACCATCACGCGACATGTCTGCACATGCAGCTAGGAGAGATGTCCGAGGAGGACACCAGCCAGGAGCAGGGAACAAGGTGCGAGTTGTCCAAGGGGGCGTTCTCTACAGCCATGGTCGTAATTCCGGGTACGGTTAGCGATCCACGCCAGCTCCTTCGAATGATCTCCCTGGGCTGTGGAGGCGAAGCTCCTTTTCTTCTACTTCTCTCTTTGTCAGTATTTTTTATTTGCAGGCGCCCATTGTGTCCAATGAGATGCTATTGAGATACCCCATGGGTGGAACATGGTGGCTATGTTGGTGTAGGCCGGAGGTACGAGATGGCCCGAGTGATGGTTCGAAAGTAAATCGAGTGATACTGTTCGTTGTGAAATAGGCTCCCCGACTAGTCGGTCTGGAGGCATCGTGAAAACAAAACACGACTCTTTCCTTGGTTATATCTATTACGCCTGTTAGACATGCCCGCAAAGCATTGTTCAACTGAGTTTAATGTGCAAATAATGCCTTTTCATTCTCATTCTTTCTTTTGATATATTGTCCTTGGACGCATTGTTGAAAATCAAACCACACCTTCACTCTCCTTTTCTGTTGTCCGCCAACCTGACACTCCATCCTCGGCCTCACCTTCAACTCCTCCGACATCCTACCTCAACGCTAGTCCTCAAGCATTGACATTATGATCAAAGCTCACGATGCAGGCTACCTCAACATACGACTCGAACGAAGAGCACGAACGTTCCTCTCGCTAGCCATCCTGAGCTTCCTCGCCGCACTCTTCTGCTTCCGCCATCTTCTCTACACCTCCTGGACGCTGGCCGCCCTCCCCGTCACCTGGGCCGCCGACCGCGAAAGCTTCATCCTCTCCCTAGAACGGGATGCCTTCGACGTCACCTTTGCCAACTACAGCATAGGCCAGCTCTCGGCCGGTGCCCCCTACGAGGATCTGGTGCCCCCCGTGCTGCACCACATCGCCCTCGGCAGACACGACGGCACGCATTGGCGGACGGAGTGGAAGGAGACGGTGCAGAGCTGCATCGACATCCATCCGGGCTGGGAGACGCACGTCTGGACAGACGAAACGGCCTCGCGGTTCGTCGAAGACAAGTTCCCCGACCTCAAGGCCATGTGGGACAGCTACGCGTATCCCGTCCAACGGATCGATGCCCTCCGCTACATGCTCCTCTACGAATACGGCGGCGTCGTGCTGGACATGGACCTCCAGTGCCGGCGCGCCCTGGGGCCCCTCCGCCGCTTCAGCTTCGTCGCCCCCGAGGCCCATCCCGCGGGCTTCTCCATCGGCTTCATGATGGCCAGCAGGCGCAACGGCTTCGTCGGCGCCCTCGTGGCCCACCTGGAGGCTTACAACAGGCGCTGGCTGGGGCTGCCGTACGCGACGGTCATGTTCAGCACGGGCTGCCACTACGCCTCGGTGGTGCACGCCGCGCAGCCGCAGCCTGGCCGGGGCGAGCTCAAGATCCTGCCGGGGCCGCTGCACAGCCTCAACGGGCGGGCGACGACGCCCATATTCGAGCACCTGGGGAGTTCGTCGTGGCACTCGTACGACGCGAGGTTCGTCGTTTCGATGGGACGGAGGTTGTACCAGATTGTCTTTTTCTGCGTGGGTGTCATGCTGGCGCTGTTTGTCAAGAGACGGTTGATGCTACGGAGGGTGTGTGGGAGCTGCATGAGAGATCGATCAGTTGTATAACAGGAGTGCATGGATCAAGCTGAGGATATCGAAAACAACAACGAATAGCATTGCACACATATCGCGATTCAGGGCCTACAAGGTCACCCGCAGACTGGATTATCACATCATGTACATGTAGTTGATTGTTTCATAGTGTTTTGTATGTTACATTAATAGAGCCTGGAAAAGTATCGGAATAGACGTGAAACTATTAGCTTCTATCATAGATCGTAGAGTGTAGATGATGTTTGCTTCCATCCTCTCCCACCCCAGACGGTATACTAACAACTCCAAGATTCCACCAGCTCCCGTCTCAGTCGTCCCGTCTCATGCATTACCGGCTCCTCGGCACCTCACAGCAATCCCACTATGTATACGAATCCAGCCTGCTTGCGCGTCTCATATGCTTGTATCGCTAATTCCGACGGAGATCGAGACACATCAACTTGGGGGGTGTGAGTGTGTGGGAGAGAGAAGATGCAAGCCAGCGAGACGTGTACCCGGTACTTTTGCGGTGAGACGCAAGGTACATGGGCAACTGGCCAAGCTTTTCGGATCTGCACTGCCAAGCTTTTTCGAATCTGGAGCTAGCAGACGAAGAGAAAAAGTCGTCCGCAAGTCGAGGGGAGGTAGAGCCTTGCGGCTGAGGACGGGGGGGAGATACGGCAGCGCTACTTTATGAGCACATTAGCGGTGGATACTGAACGCAGGAGAGGCATTCGGCTTACACGAGTCTCCAGATGTACCCGGAACCGATCTTCTCTTCTCTCAAGCTCACCTCTGTCTTCCATCTCTTCACTTCTCCTGCTTTCGTCCCACTTACACTGTCTCAATCTCCAGCTCTTCCTCTCTTTTCCCGCCTGTCACTGTCCACCACCATCATCTTTACATCTTCTCCATCTTCATCACTCCTCCAAGCCCATTTTCCGCGCCCCGTCTTCGTCCAGTTTCGGCTGCGCCACCCAGCTGGCGCCCAAGCTATTACGACGACAGCCGCAGCCGGGTCTCGAATCAAATCGAGCCCTTTTCCTCTCCGTGCAAATTACTAGTACTCCGTATATTCGTGGCAGCGAATGTACGGGACCCTGCCAGCAAATTCGGAAAAGGGCCGAGAACCGCAGCCGAAGCCCTGGCATCTCTTTACCCCCCCGGTTCTACACTTGTTATCTTCTGTTTATGCTGGTATGTATTTGTACATTGTAAGGATCTGCGGCGTGCTGCTGGGGGTTTGACCTTGTCCTTTCCGTGGAGTCTTTGTGTATCTCTGGTCTGGTTTGCCTTGGTCAAAGCACCTCGTGTCTCTTTCGTTCGTGTTAGTCCCGCCGTCAAAAAATCTGGAATCTCCATATGGCATGAGAAACAGACTATTTCACCTTGTGCAGCGTTCTTCCAGCAAGACAACCCATCCAAGCCCGTTCTCCTTGCCTCGCAACTCATGTCTTGCCCCCAAAGCGCACCCATCACAGCCGAAACCCTTTCAAGCCTCGCGTGCCATGAACCTCCAGCGGACGCCATCTTGAACTCTCATCCCATCAAAGCACCCCCCTTCTTACACCCATGTTGCTCCCGCATAGCATGTTACGCCGGCGGCTGCGGCTGATGCTCCTCGCCGGCCTGGCCTTTTCGGCAGCAATCTGGATGCTGTCCGGCCGGCGCGGGAAATCATCTCCCGGGTTTGACGCCAAACTGTTAGAAGAGCGGTATCCGCTGGTCTGGAAACACATTCATTCGTTTGACGGAGTCGGCGGAGGTAAGCTGTCTCATCTGTGTCTCTTTACAAAACCTTTTGTGTGTGTGGCGTTCGGATCTGGTGGCATTCACATCTCCGACCCACGGCGCTGGAACATCAACAAGATACATGTATCTCTCGGTGAGAAATAGAGTCGTCGCTGACAGGAACAACGTAAAATCATCCACCAAAACAGCCTGGTACATCCCCCCAAGCTGGATCCCCACCACCCAGCCTCCGCCAACAACCATCCTCGAGGCCGCCCTCCTCGCCTCCAGAGCCGCCCTGTCCACCCCCGGGCGGCAGCTCGCCCACTCCAACATCCCTCTGCTGATACACCAGACGGGAGCTTCCTCCAGGGTCGACACATGGAAGCCGGGAGTTGTCCCCTGGGTCGAGCAATGGCTCCAGTATGCCGTCTCACCTCCTAACGACAGCGTGCCCATGGCGTACTTCTTCTGGGACAATGAAGGAATAGCCATGTTCATGGATGAGTATGAGAAGGACTTCGTCATTGACTTTCGTAACGTGTTTACGCCCGTTGAGAGGGCGGACATCTTCCGTGTCCTGGCGTGTCGTTACTTGGGAGGCGTCGTACGTATTCTGCCTCCTTTGCTCAAGGAGAAACTCAAAGCCATACTGTAACTCTCCACACTCTACCAGATCATTCTCTAACGCGCCGTAGTACGCCGACATCGATACACAACCCCTCCGACCTCCGGCAACCTGGATCGGCCCGTCCGATCTCGCCCGATGGACCGATGATCTCACCGGCAAAAGCTACGGCCTTCACAACGCCACCACCACAACCACAACCACGCAACCCGTCAACCTCATCTGGGGCCTCGAGGCAGACACCGATCCGTCCGCAAACGCCTACTGGCGCATGGGCTACACGTATCCCGTCCAGCTCACCCAGTGGGCGCTGGCGTCTGTCCCCGGGCATCCCGCGCTGGGCCAGTTCATGGACAACCTGCGCGCCGAGGTGCGGCTGGAGAAGGAGGAGAAGGAGGAGAAGGCGAGCGTAGGACTTGACAGCAGCAGCAGCAGCAGCAGGGCCGATCCCCTGACGCGGACTGGTCCTGCGGCGGTCACGCTGGCGACGATGCAGTGGCTGGAGAAGGAGGTGGACTTTCGGTGGAATTCTCTTACGGGCTTGAAGGACGGGGGCAGAGCAAAGCTTGTCCAGGACATGCTCATTCTGCCCATCACAGGATTCAGGTAAGGATCATAGGATATGCATTACGCCTCCCTTATCACATGTTTCCATACAGGAAGAAAGAGCTGACAAGATTTCCTCGTGGATATTTCTAGTCCCGGCCGCGGAACGTACGGCAACATGGGCTCGAAACCAATCACGCATCCAGACGCCCGGCTCGTCCACCACGCGCTCGGATCCTGGAGGAAGTTTGACTGGCTGGTCGAGTACGGCAAGTTCTGTCGGACGGCGTTTGGGCTGTGTAGGAACTGGACGAAAGTTGTCACATGATTTGCCTATCTCCTTTTTTCCTTGTTCAGCCTTGTATTCTTTGCTTATCCATTTGTAATTTTTGCCGGCCTAGATTACCATTAGAGAGATGGAGAGAGAGAAATGTGTGTGTGTGTAAGTGTGTGTGAGAGAGAGGTGCATATTTGATGAACTTTACGCCTGCATGATATGTTGCACTCGAACGACGGATACACTGGCCGACAGTGTACTATAATCTCCATAATTCGACATATTACGGTCACGATCCTCGCATATTTACAGTCTTGAAGCTGCGTTGCCAGATATACTTTCTACTTATGATGAAATTGGGTGTTCTCAACCGACAGCAACCGACATGTACAATTCAAACCTTGGACCATGGCTCTTGAGAGGTCAAATCAATGAAGATGTTCATTTTTTCTCTCTCAGCCGTCGAAATCTGTATATAGCACCAAAACCCGATTCCATCAAATACTATCTCATACATGAATGTTATCTAATGAGCAAGACTTTTAACAATGCTGCCAGTGCTTATCATGGCAAGCCGAAGATAGAAACTGCCCTATCTACGCTCATGGTAGGCCCGCCACTTGAAGAACAGTAGGATAGAATCCTGCAGATACAAGACATCACGGAAAGAAAGATAAGGTCAAGCGCACAGCGGCGCATCATTACTAAAAACACTATCAATACTAACTTCTAATAATCGCGTGTCCGTCCATATAAACATCAAGCCGCCGTAACCCAACCCCGGGGTATGTTTGATGCATCTTTTAGATGTCTTTCATGCCGCCCCCCAAAACGCCATATCCAAGGCACAGACGGCCATTCTCCTCATGAAAGACAGCCTATATACAAAACAAATGAAAGTGAGGGAGATCTCCCAAGAACCGTCTATAACTCCATGCGTTGGCGTTGCATGCTTCGACAAAGGGAACTTGTCTGAAAGCGAAAACGAGTGAATAATGGTAAGAGATCCAAATAAATAGAAGAAAATCTGGTTAAACATTATACTTGCGCGCCCTCGCGGGAGTAAGCAGAGCGCTGAAGGAGAGAAGTCATGTTGAGATCGATGGGCGGTCGGGAAATTTCCATGCTTCGGCTGGGCATCCTCCTGCCGCCAGGAGTTCGTGGGTGTGCCACGTTCACGCGGCCGCTCCGGTCCAGAATGCGCGCGGGCGACTCGTCGCCGTCCGATCCAGACCCTTCATGGTCGTCGCCAAGGCCATATTCGGCCAACCGGGTAAAGTAGTCGGCGAGACCATCGACGCTGGGCGTGCCCACAACGGCGTCGTATTGCGGAGGCGGTGTCATGATCGGAGGGATATCGGCAGGAGTTCCGTCGACGATAATGGTGCTTGCTGGAGGGGGTGCAGTATCGTCGTCAAAGGCGGGAGGGTTGAAGCTGGGTGCTCGGAGCAGATGGATAGGCCGGCCGGACCGTTCGGGCCACCATGTTGTTGGGCTTTGTCGACCTGCCGCTGCCGAGCTTCCAGACGGCGCTCCAGAATGCAGATGGGCGGCTTGAGGCGGTGCGGGCATGCCGTCGACCACGGCTTCGGGATCTGGCAGAGTGCCCGTCGAGGAACTCGGGGAAGTCTCCATGGCAATCGTTGCTGAATCGGGGCAGCCGCAAGCTGCTTGATAGGGAGAAGGCCGGTTGATCTCGCCGGAATAAGCGGGCAGAGACGTGTTTGCCCTGGTAGCTCGGCAATTGAGAATGGTGAGAGGAGAGTCGATGCTAATCTCGAAATGGCGGCGCTTGGTGCCTGAAGGATCATCGGTGTCGAGACGGCTGATGCGCATAACCACCTGAGGGGAAGAATTAGCATTTCATAAGAAAGAACATCGTGAAGTGGAGAGTCTACCTTGATCCAGTGGAAGACATTGACATTCTTCCAGCTACAGTCGGGGTGGAGTCTGAGAGACTTGTTCTTGGCCATCATCTCGCATGTCGGAATCTGCACACTGGCCTCGATCTCGGTGGACCCCCACATGTTCTCAAGGCCCAGATCCAGGTCGCCGAGGAGATTATCCACGGGCGCCGGCAGTGGTTCTGGGGCCTGCTTCCGCCGTGCGGCTTCGTGGGCTCGCCTCCTCGCGGCAGTCTCTCGAGCGGCGCGACGCTGCTCTTCCGTGAGCTCACCGCCGCGGAGAGTGACCACCTCGGACGCGGCCCATGCAGGGTCGAGCTCCTTCCCGGCCGTCTTTTCAAGGAGTAGAATCTTTCGCCCGGGGTCTTTTCTCGTCACTCGCTTGTCGCTGGTCCAGTACTCGACGGATTCGGTGATGTAGACCTTGAGCTTGTGAACTTGAACCTTGGCCAGTGGAGTGAGCTTGAATGCAATCGGGATCTTCGACCCGATAGGAAAGCTCTTGCCGGAGACCATGATGTCGTAGTGCAGCTGGTCTTCCCACTGGCGGCTGATGGAAATGGGCTCAGACATCTCCAGCGACATTTGGTCCGGCAGTCGGATGATGGGGACTTCCTTGACGCCATGGAGGTTGGGCTTGAAGGCGCCGGCGCGGTCGACGGTGGCGTGAAGCTCCCACTTGACGGAAGCATACTGCAGCTTGGTGGTCTCGAGCTGGTGGTGATCGATGGGAAGTTCAAAGGAGTAATCGTAGACGCCGGGGTAAAACACCTTGAAGCCCTTAGCTTGAGTGGGTGTCACAACTCCGCTCTCGCCCTTGCCGAAGCTGCGAGACTGGACATTTTGCAGAGAAAGCTTCTTCAGTTCCTTGGCCGTCAGGTTATTTCGCATCGATGGAGCCGGTGAAACGCCGGGGGAGGTGGTGAGAATGGTGCTGCTCGAGTTTGCGGAGCCGCCCTTGAGTTTGTATGTGCACTGGTTACCATACTCTGTCTCCCATCCTTCATTGAGCGCGTTGAAGAATGTGAGAACCTGGGTTCTTAGGGTTTCCTCCTCGAACAATTCTTGCTTGAGCGGCGGGATGCCCTCAGGCCACTCTGTCCGCGCGCGGCCAACCAGCTTGAGCTGGACAGCCTTGATCTTGACATTTTTGCTGATGGTGAGTTGCAGCTTGCCTCTGAGCAGGGCGGTGCCTGCGCGTGATTCCCGGTGCTCATGGCCGTTGTGGTCAAAGCCCGACAGGAAGACGTTGGGCTCAGCGAGGAGGATGGAGCAGGCAACTCCGCTACCTGTGGCGACGGGCTTGGTGACTTCGGTCACGACGGCATTTACGCTGGATTTTGAACTTCGGATAGATGTGAAGCTGTTGTGGTGGCCGAGATGATAGGTGCTCATGGGCACCGCGCCTCTGGCGGTGGCCATACTGTTGGGAGGGTAGCGGCGATGTTGAGAAGATCGACGGCTGCGATTAGACTGCTGGCCGGAGTGGCGGCTGGCGTGGCGGCTGCGACTGTGGCTGCTGGCACGATGCCTAGGCCTCGATCTGGAGGACCTTGAAGAAGCCCTGTGACGTGGTCGTTCGCGCGGCTGCTCGCGGTTGTCTCGGCGGTCACGATGTTCGCGCTTGTGGGCGGCGTCACGGTCTCTGGTGGACGAGCCCTGCTGCTTTGGCTCACGATTCCTGCGAGACGACGAAGTGGTCTCGTGGGAGTGATGCGACTGGTGGCTACGAGGTCGATGAGCGGCGCGACTGCTGCTATTGCGAGACGTCGACTCGGAACGGTATTCGGTGGCCGGGATGGCCTGTATACCAACGGGGAACGCGTTGTGCTGTGGGACGTCGACCGAGGACACAGAGTCGCTCGCTAATGATTGGAAAAATCGAGTCAGAGCCAAGCGAACTGGCAATTCAGACGTCCTTCCGTATTGGTGGGATGAAGCAGAAGGCCTCGACGATCTCGGGTTGCTGGGAGCGGGACTGCCGCCAGATTCGAGACGGGCTCTGGATGAGTGAGGGGAGGTTCCGGTCCGGAGCTCACGAGGCACGTATCCCGAGGGATAGCTGACGACGTGGATGGAGTGCGGCCGCGTCCTTCGAGGCCCAATGGGGGGCGTTGGAGGGCGGGAGACGGGGTCGACCGAATCGTCTGCGGCAGCGACGGGAACGGCAGCTGCGGAAGCGTCGGCGACAGGGGCGTCCGGGCGGTACAGGATGTTATCGTTACTCGTACGGACCCAATCGTCTCTTCGGCGACGTCTGCGATGGCGGGAGTCAGACTCGCGGGATGCTGGCATGTTGTCATCAGTTTGATGGCTCTCGGCGGCAAGGAGGTGATTGCTGCGGCTTGGCTCCCGTCGACGGGTCCGCGAGAAGGACGGCGGCTGCACTGCAGCTCCAGCGGGCATGTTTGCTCCTCGAGGGGAACGACAATCTGGGGGAGTGAGGGGGGCGGATGTGGGGAGGGGCGTCTCAAGGATTGGGAAGGGCGGCAATATCTCGACTGCTAGCTGGACAACGGCACGGCATCAAGGGCAGCCAAACAGCCACTCAGACCGCCATTATCAACTGCCGAAGCAGCGCCGGTGGAGGCCAGACTGGGCGAGAGCACAATCTGATCCTATGCAGCGGTGAATGGGGTAGAGGAAAGAGGGAAAGAGGGCACAACTCGAGCCTATGCAGTGCTGACACAAAAAAAGAGGAGAGAGAGGGGGGATGTGTATGAAGCTTAATGCAGCGGGGTCTGATGAAAGTAGGGGAAGGGCAGGCAGGACAAAGCAGTGTGCTGTAGCTGTGATGAGCTGACAGCAAGACAAAGAGGGCAGAAGGTGTCGATCTCGAGGCCGGCAGGACTAGAGTGCTTTTTTGTGTCCAGATCCAGAGCAGCTCGAGGACGGCCAGGCGAATGGGAATTGGACCGTTGGCAGGACCGAGAGAAAGAGGGGCGTCGACACGGCAGTGGGAATCGAGAGGCAAAACGAGCGGAAGAGTGAGAGGACAGGAAAATTTTGACTGAATTGTGTTATAATTGGGCAGCGAGGCGAGATTTTTCTCCTCCCCATCGCCTCCTCCCCCCCCTCGTGATTATGTGAGGCGACACAGCGGCGATAAGATAGTAAGATGTCGACCCAAGACACCTTGGCTGGGAGAGCAGATGGAGCACGGCGGCAGGGCGTGAGTGGCCTCGGTCGAGCAGAGCAGCGAGGCATGAAGCATGAAGCCTGCACGGGCATCCACAAATGCAGGCTGGACACGTCGATGGGTGGTGACGTTGACGGTTGGGCAGCCCGCATCCACTCGCGCCCACTGCAGCTCACGCAGAGCCCACTCGAGTCCCGGGAGCTCCCAATGGCGTCTCGCCCAACGGCTCAGAGTCGCATTCAGGCACTCGCCTCAGAAAGGATTGTCGGGCCAAGCGAGTGGCAGAATGATAGGTGACTGATGCCGGAAGCCGGTGGAGGAGCTGCACAGCGCTTGCAGTAGCAGAGCCCGCTGTGGCTTGCAGTGAAGAAAAAGAAGACGAAAAAGGACGGCTGCGAAGAAGGAAGAAGCAAGGAAACTGCAGCGCCAGCGCAGCAGCATGGCCAATCGCCGGGGAGCCAATGGAAAGCAGAATCGCAAGCAGAGGCGGACTCACCTGCGGATTGTTTGTTGGGGGCCTGGCCCGGCGGGAAGCCAGAGGAAGGATCGGGAGAGGATGCAGGGAAAAGGCGAAAAACCTGCTGATGGCTGTCGACTCGTCTGTCGGTCGCACCTGGGACGGGGAAGGCTGCTATGCTAGTAGTAGGCGAGACGCAGCTCGAGGTGCATGTGCTGTAGCTGTAGATGTGCCGGAGAGGTTGCTGCTAGGCGAACGAAGCGACGGGGTGGACCGATGGCGGATCGCGGTAACGTCATGTATCGGCCGAGCAATTGAGTCGAGAAACGCGCAGAAGGGCGAAGTCGAGGTTGTCCAGGAGAAGGAACGGAGAGAGAGGGAAAAGACGTCGGCGATGGGGAGGAAGAAGAAGAGAGAAGAGACAAGAAACGAAGAGTCGCGGTGGTGAGAGGTGGGAGGAGCAGGAGGAAGAGGAAGACGCCGTGCTGCCAAAAATAAGTATGAGCCGGAGAACCCCAGAAAAATGTCCCGAGTCGTGGAGCGGGTTAGTCACCTTGTCGCAGCCGGGCAAAACGCCTCAAAAGTCGAGCTGTGGCAGAGGGAATAAACGATCCCAGGCGGCACATCCGGTGGCAGCGGCAAGGCGAGACAGGAAAAAGAAGCCGGGCGCGTGTCTTTACATGTAATCAAACGGGCAGCGGGCTACGTAATGCGTCACTCACGCATTTTCCCTCTGGTCGACTCCTCTGGCCAGGCCTTGATTTTCCTCGGCTTCTGTGTACTTCTGCCCCTTGCCCCGGTTGGGCCTAGCCCTGTGATCGAGGCCCCTCGTCCGTTGCCTGTTTGGGCTCGCTCGGCAGTCATTTCCGGGGCTGATGCGAGCGGGCGGATTAGGCTCGGGTTGTGAGGGGGGCTGTTGACAATGGGTTGACAGTGGATGACAGTGGGCGGTACTAGGTAGTGGGCGGTAGTGGGAGCTGGTGGGCGATGGCAGCGGGTTGTAGCACGCTGTGGCGCTGAAGGCTGGGTGAGGTTATAGCGGCTGAGCGAGTGTGCGCCGATGGCGAGCGTAGTACCGTTTGGGCAGTAATCGGCAAGGAGCAGCATAGGGCTGGTGATGTCACGGAGGCCGGGGTCGGTGGCAGATGGATTTGCATAGATATCTGGAAGAGCAGCGAGATAGATGGCATTATGCGCAGAATGGCTTGACTATCATTCTGGAAGAATCAGTCTTCGGACGCAGCGGTGCTTTGGTGTTTGCAATTCTGGATGCACCGGAAATAGCGTGGGCGACATGCATTGCTGCAACGTGATGCGAAGCAACAACAAAGAAGGTAGTAGTATTGAAAGTAGTACTACTGCGACTGAGCTCACATTTGATCACATCTGCACCATCTCAGACACTCGGACACGTACAATCAGAGACACGCGAGAGAACAACAGGCACAGGACGGCACCTGTCTCACGCTCACATGGAGGTAGTAGATCGAAGACAGCGAACACTATCTAGCGCCCTCACGCCTCTCCCTTGAAACACAACGACAAAGAAAAGCTTGGCCTTGAAAAATCTACAGCAAAGCATCACGATCGACGTCACCGGTCCCGGCACCCCGGTCGAAGCTTGGGCCAGAAGCGCAGGGATGTGCCACGGGTCGCACAGAGCCGGCGTCCAACCCGTGCGCGACATTGGCCGCGACGCATCGACAAGACGGTTGTGTATCAGGTCCTGTCTTACATAAGGCGACAATCACTCAAATCACTTGGGTCAATCATCGGAGCATCCTCCGGTGGTTGTGTCCCGAGGTCCAACCTGGTGATGCTTGTCTGACGCCCGTATCGCCTCCTTTCGTCGATGACAGAGCAAAGCAGAGCCCAGGAACGGCAACTACCGTACGGTCAACTGTCTGTATCAGAGCCAGGAATCACGGAGAAACGAAGTCAACAGACGGCTCAAACCCCTGCTGGCGAAAATCGAACGCGTGGCTGGCTCCGGGCGCATCTCCGTCGGCAACTCCAAGGGCTTCCCATCACCAACAGGGCGCTGGACTAATGCGACTTCCTCATCCCTCTTCGATCCTGGGAGGTTTTCCAAATCCCGAATATCGGCCCTCGCGCAGTGTCAGGCCCCCTGCAGTTCTAGACGCTCCAGGCAATTGCATTTACAGACCACTACTAGCATTCCTCCAGGGACTCAGCTTGCTTCAGCTCAGACACCAGCTGCCCATTGTCTCTCCGTGAAAAGCCTCAGCTCTCATTCCAGCCAGATGTCTCACAGCCCATTGCCATGCCCTCTCCCTTTGTCAGCCCTCATCTCCTCTCTGTCTTCCGGAGCTTTCTTAATTTGGACCTATTAGAGATTTAAACGCAATAAATCAGCAATTGAAACCCCCAGTCCCAGATTGGCGGGCTCGGCTCTCGGTAAGCTTCCCGCAACCCCTCCGAGCCCCATATTGCCGAACCACATTGCTCTCCGTCCAAATCCCGAGACGGTTCATGAACCCTCAGCTCTATTCTCCTTTTGCTTTCCTTCTTTCAGCTCGCTTCTTTTTTTGTTTTGGCAATTCCAATTGATGATTTAATCAGTTTTATTTTTTATTCATTTTTCCCTAATCTCCATCTTTATCTGTAATCTTCAGTCGATTCCAACTCCTGCGCCTACCAAGCCCCGTCCCTAATTCTCACTCCCGGGCCCTTGGCTGCAACTAACCCTTGACGCCGGCACTCTCGGGTCCTCTCAACCCTCCGGATCTGCCGGATAGCCGCTCCTCTTCCTCGTCTCTCTTCGGCAATAAAAGCACAAAATAGAAGGGAACAAGACAAAAATCACGCCGCTCCATCCTTCCGTTCTAGAACGGATACTAGACCCCGAGTTCCTTATTAGCCAGATGAGATCTCACCATGTGACCCTTTTGCCTACATGGACTCCACTAGTTCGTTTTCTTGGTGATGCTCAGCCACCCGGGGGACGCGAAGACAGCTGCTGAGCACTATTTCGCTGCTGAACATATACTGGAATGTCCTTACTTGACCTCGGTTATAGCCTCCTTGGGAAATCACAAGTAGCCATGCCTTCTTGAAGATTGCAAATACGCAGCGCATGCAATGGCTGTTTACTGCCTCCACACATTGAAAGAATCTCAGCTGCATGTAGCTGGATAGACTCATACAGCCTCCAAAAGTTGACGCAGCTCACATTGCCACCCATGGCTACCCAATCAACTCACCCTCCGCCAACATACAGCCCGAGATCCCGTCCCATCAGCTCACGCGCCCCCAGAAACGGATAGATCAAGCCTCCGTGGCCAACGGAACAGAAGCTGCACATAGACTTTTCCCTTCCTGCTACTAAGCCATCGAATTTCATGTCATCTTACGCGTCCCCCCTAATACGCCCTCTGAACCATATTCTCTTGTGTGTGTTAGTTATCATCTTGAGTCCCCCAACTCACTACTAAATAAACCTGTAAACTCCATGGAATAACTTCTTACATGTGGACCGCACAGCTTGCGTCATCACTAAACTTCCGCAGCGAACATCCGCACCCACCGGTTCCAGTGCCCACGCAACGTCTGCTCCAGTCCCATGCAGTAGCAACGCCTCCCGTTCCCCGCCCTCTTAGTAACTCATCGACATCCCTATGCTCTGAGTCAAGTAGTGATATACAGTATATACAATACTTTCATCTTTGAAACTTGATTGCTCCTACTGTCAACTCGTCATGTCATGCAAGACAATGATTCAAATGCCTGGTCCTACCGGCCGTACAGTACAAGTCGCCCTGCCAGCAATCCAACCTCCGACTGCCGGCCTCTCCAGCCGAGTCCGGTCCGGCCTCTTGCCTTCTCACTTCCAATCCGGTAAGTCTTCGTCCCAAGGGTCTTTCAGGGTCTTTACATGGGACGACAGTGGCATGATGCGGGACTGCGGTTGAGGGGGATCCACTTGTCTGTCTGGGTGCCGTGGTGCGGGACGAGGAAGCTTCAAGATGACGATATCGATCAACGGTAGCGATGACTATCTTATGTCTAGTTATTTCTGTATATACTGTATGCTCTTGTCAATCTTTTTTCCAGTTGTTTTGTATGAAGGACGTCATGCCGCTCTTAGGTTTGCGTTGTGTATCTGGTTTCTGGTTCTGTGACCCTATCACCACGAGGTTCCTGGACAAGTAATGATGGGTGGGCACCAGGAACATGGGGTCCCGAAACAGGCTGCCAGGACGAAACAAGAGCTGCCCAGTTTTGAGTTATGTTTCAAGGTTCTAGCCACTGATGTCGTCTCACCTGCTGATGTATGTAGTTTATTCACCACAATGTTGTCTCGTGAAGCTCGTCCGCTATGCGCTCAGTGGCGGCATCAACACATTCTATATATTACCTTGACCTAGCTCATTGTCACCATCCTCAAAATAACACTTTCGCACGTCATTTTAAGCTCCTCGAATTGAAATGAGTTCTGGTGACTTGTCATAATGTTGCGTTCTTGGTTGTCTTAAGAGTCGCTTTCACCATGTCTCTTGGCCTACCCTATTAACAGCCCTTTGCTTGGCATACTATCACATAGTCCTGAACAAAGGTGATGAAAAAAAAAAAAAAAAAGAGCATTGAAAACTTTTAGTAGGCTCATGAAGATGTGATGGATGCCGATTCTCGCCAAGGTTTTTGGATCAAGCGTAGCTGTTGAGTTGAGATCATTGGTGAACATCCCTGCTCCTTCGCTGCCGTGCACCGACCTCCGAGGATAAATTTACAACGCACCAAACTCTCGTTCAATGCCCTTAAGTTCGCAACTGCGTTATCGTTGAGTATCCATTGATTTTCTGATTGATCAGCTATTAATGATGGAGAAGCTCAATACAGAAGCTGCCATTGTGGCTTCGCATCACTGAGTCTCAATGCTTCCCTTGATACGCTTGCATTCCTTCCACGTTGTCTCAAAGTCTAGATATATGTTCATCCAATCTATCCCATAATCATCGTACGCATCATGAAAGTCTGCAGGAGAAATAAAAAACCCCGCAATGCCTTTCGTCCTCATCACGACCACAGCCCTCCCATCCCCAAATTTCACTTCTCCTCCCTCCTCAACCGAAACGCCTCCAACAACTTATTCCTCATCATCGCCCCCGTCAGCGGAATCTTCCTCCCCTCAACCTCCCCCCTCCGTACATCCTCCTCCCCCGCCCAAACAAACGCCTGATGCTCCCTCTCATCAAGCACGACCTCCCTCCCCGGTTCAACCTCAACCTCAAACCCAAACCCGCAAATCACCTTCGTCCCATCCCTATTCGTAAACACAGACCACCCCTCTGTCCTCCCCGGCAAGCCCTCCGTCACCAGCCTCACCATCCGCCGCGCAACAAGCCCAGCCTCCTCCCGGACCTCCCGCGCGCAGCCCGCCAGGATCGACGCGTCCCCCGCGTCCACCGCCCCGCCGGGCGCCTCCCACAGGTTCGGCATGCTGTCCGTCGCCGCCCGCTGCACGAGCAGCACGCGCCCTTGGCCGTCGAAGATGAAGGCCGACGTGAGGATGCCGTCAAAGGCCTTGTTGTTGATCCGCAGCCAGTCGGCTTTCGGGACGGAAAACTCGACGAGGGATTCGTCAAAGGCGAAGTCGGCGACGGGGCTGCCTTTGGAGGAGTCTGTGTCTATGGCCGTGTTGGGGATGGCCATGCTGGAACGCTTGTTGTTTCTGCTGTTTCTTCCTTTTCTTGTGGTTTCTTTCGCCAGTTTTGTGAGTTGAGCAGGTTAGCCTCTCTATGCTGACACCAATCCAGGTCACAATTTGTTGAGGTTGTTTCGGTACGTTTGTTCGCGTCTTATGGAATCAAGAGCAAAGAGGAAACGAGCGCAGAATTGGTGTTGCAGTCCATCTGGTCCACCCACTTATTACGTTGCAGACGAAGCACCCGACCTTAGCGGCTTGAGCCTCTTCCTGCATTATTAGTTCGCTGAAATCAGGCAGCACAATCTGTCCACCACTGACATTCTTTCTTTCGTTCTTCCCTTTCCTTTTCCAGGCTTGCATGTTTCACATGTGTCGCCGAGTGACTCATAGATGAGAGAAGATAGGGCAAATCACTTTATGTGACACATAGGTAGTGTGCGCTCCTCCTGTAGAGGGCCATGCATGTATGTAACCTACCTAACCTATAGCACCTCAGGTAGCAGCGCAATGAAGAATTGATATCCAGGGAATTCGGGAAGTAAGCCCAATGGCAAGAAGATGATAGAATATGAGAATATATAAGAGTATTAGGTACAAAAGATCCATCCGACGCCTATAAACACCCTCCATTAAACCATATGGACAAGGTAGAAACCACTTACATGCCGCGCTCCGGCTAGATCTTGACGCGGAGACAGAAATATGCAAATCTTGTCTAGGTAACATGAGATGAATCGCTTTGCCACAACCCGATTCCATCAAAGTATCCCTCATTTTGACGCTGCAAGCTTGCACAAGAGCCTGCCAGCGAGTTTTGACCATTGCCCTTCACTCATACCCCAGATTATACCCGTCCTGAATCCTCCCCTCAATGCCTGACATGCTCGCCTGGCATCCTGTGTGTGTTTGATGGATGGCAAATTTTCCCACCAATTGACTTTGTAACAGACATCGAGAGTCGTGTCCAGGTATCTTCAATCATCATCATCATCGTATCATCATGAGACCCAACATTAGACCCTCCCTTAGAATTCCGACTGCATTAGTGAGGGCGTGGCAGTGACAGACTTTTCCGCCCTCGTCCGCATATGACCAGCATGAACGGCGAGGCAGCGGGCCATGAGATGTGTGACTTGCCAGACGGCTGCCTTGTCCAGCATCCGAGACGTTACACGAAGAATCTTAGTCGCCAAGCCGTTGAACCCATCCTCCGGGCTCCCAGTCTCAGGGGGCGTCATGCTCGCCGTGAGGTCCATGCCAATCTTCATCTCTGCCGATGATAGGACGTTTTGTATCCTCTCGAGCAATTTGACGTCGTCTTCCTCCAGCAGCATAATGGCGGGCATTGCCGTGACATTGATGTGGTCTTGGCCGAGAATGCCCAGATACCGACCGACCCGGTCCTGCAGAGTGGCAACCCACTCGGCCAGAACCTGTGCGCAGTCGAGAGTGCACATGGCCGACTGCAGGGGCAGCTCGCGGCTGGTAAAGTCAGCAAAGGTCACACCGAGCTTGTCCGACATGGACAGAGAGTCGGCGGCGTAAAAGGCTGCCTTCCGAAGGTGGCGTTCTCGCCGCGAGATGGAGCGAGTGGGAAGCCCGGAACCGTTGGAGAGCTTGCGCGAACGGTTCGAGGCCGACGCTGAGCTCGTTGGCGAGCCGGTGAAGAGGGAACTATCAAAGGTGTCGCTGCCGTCCGGTTCCGCGTTGGACGCCGGGGAGTGCTCGGCGTCTTGAACGATTTCCGTGCCACGGGCCAATTCCTCGGCCACGCCGTCCCAGTCTTGTTGCCAGAACTTCTCCTTGGACCTGGCAAGGTTGACGAAGAGACGGACGTAGGCCAGGTCGAGCAAAGGAATTGCATCGGCGGAGAGTGGCCCCGCGCCGTAGGGGTTGGGGCGTTCCACGGCGTGCTTCGGATTGCTGTTCCAGGCCGCCTCCCATGCCTTGAGAGCGGGCTCGATGTGGCGGTGCATCTTTTCCGTCTCCTCGTTGGTCCAGACCTTGTTGTGATGCCGCTGTCGTGTCTCCCATATGTAGTTGTGCAGGGCGTTGATCAGCACCAAGCAGCCAAATGTGCTGGGCCTCAGGTTCGATCGCGCCATGTCGCCCGAAGCATGCGGGCCGCCATTCATTGCCGCCATGTGCTTCTGCTGTCGCTCGTTTGTGCGCAGAAGCTCCCCGAGGGCGTCGTAGAACTTGAGCCTGTTGTGATTGGCGCCCTCGACACCGCCCATGGCGAAGAACTGGGCGCTCGACCCAGCAGCAAAGAATTCCTCGTCGCAGGGCAGATCCAGCAGGATTTCCGAGTTGGTCAATGCCGGGGTGTGGTTGTAGGCGGCGACCAAGAGGCTGGACATGATGAAGATGGCGTACAGCGTGCGCTTGCGTTCCTCTTTTCGCTTCCACCGCAGCCACTCCTGTTGCTTCTCGTGTTCGCTTTTCCTATGCCACACTGAGTCATCAACCATGCGCGTATCCTCCCCATCAGCCGAGTCCTCCTGCTCCGGGCGCAGCAGGTCGGCTGCCTGAGCCAAGCTGACGAGCGCTACGCAGTGCGTCGAGGCGATGTCGCAGACGATCTTTTCGCCGCAGTTGTGGCCGTAGACGACGTTGAGCAGCATGGCCTGGACGAGCCAGACGGGCGTATGTGTCGAGCTATCCCTTTCCTTATCCCTACCTTTCGCCGACTGCTGCTGCTGCTGTTGCTGCTGCTGCTGATCTTGATGTTGATGGTCCTGCTCTTGTTGTTGTTGTTGCTGCTGATCAGATTCGGCGTGCTTGCTGCGTCGCATGTCCGCTCGGCGAACGTCTGCCTTGCGCCGCTCCTCGAGGTAGTAAAAGACCATCTTTTTGGACATGGCGAACAGCTCCTTGGATTGGGTAAGCTCAGATTCATAAAGGGCGCCGACGGCAGCCATGGCCAGCACCAGACACCCGCTACCACCTACACCGGGCTGGCGACCGCTCGGGGGCTTGGACATATCAAAGGACAGCGTGGGCAGATGCAGGAAGGGGAGATGGGGATGGAAGTAGGCGATGTAGGCCGAGACATAGCGTCGGAGGTTCTGGGTACTGGGCACGTCGGCGGGCTGAGGCGAGGAGGACGACTGCGCCTCCGGAGACTGCGCCGGGGCATGAGAGGTAAAGGAGTATTTACGGCCCCCAAAGGGCGGGCACTTGGAGAGAAAGGTCACAATGGTACTCCTGGTGGCATCTGTGATTGTGGTTACGGGCGAAGCGAGATGGTTAACACCGTTGAGGGACGATTGGGGATCCGGCCCGGCGTGGAAGCCAAGGTTGTGGTTCATGCTCTGCGGGTTCAGTCCAGATACGACGGAAGGGCTCAACGAGCTCAGCGACAGGGGGGGCGTGGAGAAGTATGGGTCATTGATCTTTTGAGTAGCTGGCTGAGGTGATAAAGGAGCTCCAGTAAGGAGATCAGGAAAGACCGAACCATTCAGATCCATCGCAAACGGGTTCGGCATCTGCGGAGGGCCCATGACCGAGGGTTGCCACATGGTACTTGTGCCAGCCGGCGCAGGGTGGTTTGATCCATCCAACATGACATCGCTGATGCCGCTCTGGCTCGTCGTGCTGAGAGCCGACGGACTCGACTCGTCCACCACGTTTTCGTTTGTCTGGAACGACATCTGGTGCTCGAACCCGCTGAGCCAGTCGAACGAGTCGTCAAACCCCGGGTTGGCCGGGACGTCGTTGAGCGCAGATGCGAACGGGGAGGCCTGCTCCATGACCATGGACGGCGGGGAATCGTTGTAGTGGAGGGCATTGGGGTTGATGGTTGTGCCCGGGCCGAAGAAGAAGGAGTCGAAGTCAAAGTCGGGGTTGAGGGCAGACAGCGGCGGCGCGGTGTGAAGGCCGGTGTCGAAGTCGGGGGCGCCCATCTGGCCCGTCTCCAGCTTGGGAAGGGCGTGCGCGATGCCGCTCCTGTGGGCCATGGGCAACATGCCGCCGAAGAGCTGGTCGTAATTGTGCAGCGGCAGGCCGGCGAGACTAGGGTGGCGGCTGTGCCCGGCATGCATACTCCTAGCGACTGAGGCATTGGCCGAGGCGATCATCTGCATGGCCGCTCCGTCAACGTGGCTGATGGTGTTTGCCCGCGGCCGCATGGTGTTGGCGGCCGGGTTCGGGGCCGTTGCCGCATGGCTGGGGCCCGCGACACTATTCTTGCGAGCCCGGCTCTGGCCTGGCGGGACGCCGCTGGTCGACTCTCGGCGGTTCCGCGGGCGGGCAGAGGGCGTCGACGTCTGGTGCAGCTTCTGCTGGTGGCGGAGCAGCAGGTCGCGGCGGGCGAAGCACCGCGAGCACTCGGGGCATTCGAACGGCTTCTCCTTTGTGTGGGAGCGCTCATGCCGCTTCAGATGCTCCAGGCGGGCAAACGACCGCTGGCAAGTTGCGCAGACGTGCGGCCGAGGCTTGTCGGTCTTGGGAGGAGGGAAGTTTGGAGGGGCTTTGGGCGTGGTATTCACCGTGATCGTCGAGGCTGAGTTGGAAAACAAGGATGTCAGCTATCAGGCGAGAAAACTTGACCGTATGGTACGATTTCTGCATCTATATATTCTGCTGCTCTGCCGGTGCGGGCTGGGAAAGTCTTTGGAAGGGGAATCCGAGGGGCATCGTGGGCGACGAGGGATATGCTCTCACCAGAATCGTCTGCGGTGGCAGGATTGCCGCCTGTACTCGCAGAGGCCGCGTTGGACATGGTGGAGGCGCGCGACACCCGGTGGCCAGAGTCATTCATCACCATGGCAGTCCAAAGCGTGTGAATGCCTTTGTCCGCTCGAGGGAACAAGGCAGCGTTCAGCGTGAGTCGAGGGGCGCAGCGTGGGCTGAGGCGTTCGGCGTCGGTGGGCGGTTCGCGGGGCGTTGAGCCGAGCTACAGGCGCACGATAAGGTAGCTGTGGTTTGGCGGGGAGGCTCGCTGAGCTCAGTCCGAAGGCAAGATGCGATAAGATGACACGAAAGAGATAGAGGAAGAAGTAGAAATGCAACACTAGGCGCGGTGCTGTCTGGCGAGTAACGGAAGCATCCCCAGCGCTGGCTTGCTCGGGGCAGTCTCTCAGATCAGCACTGAAGCCATCAACAGGACCAAGGCGAAGCAGAGACAGACGTCGGTTGCTGCTTGGAGTGAATCGTGCAAGAGAGAGGATTGGTGAGTCGACCGGGCGGCGAGAACCTAAGGTACTGCTCACCATCTGGTGCTAGCCCGGCAGGCGGCGGCACAGTGCGTCGACGGTGCGGTCCAGCAAGTGCCTCTGCGCCCGCTAGCACAGGCCGGGGCTTGACAGTGGCTGGCGGGCCTCGCACACGGCGGCAAAGACGCTGGCGAACGGAACCTGGATGGGTGCTGGCACAGTGCCGCGTGCGCGTCTAGGCACAGAGTGCCTGTACTTGTGAGCTACTCGTCAGTACGAGTCGGATTCTGAAAGCGCCGTGCATGCTGCGGAATGCAGTTCGTGCTGTAAAGTAGCCGCACCGTACTCGCATGTACCGTGTACTCTGGATGAAGCGTTGGTCCACAGCGGCGGGCCCCAGCAGGTTTATTGCAGCGGCGCGTCCAATCGGCAGGGGCCAGGGCAAAGCTGCTGCAGGCAGAGGCCGCAGATGGCATGCAAAGAGGGTACCTGTGATGTACCCGATGTCCAGCTCTTGACACGACGTGGTAGCGGCCGTGTATCGAGTACGGCTGCCTCACGTCCCGACGTACGTGAGCACCCTGCGATCATGTACGCAGCATGTACGAGGCATGTCGCACGCATCAGCTGCTCATCCTGCCCGGGGCCCGAGCTGGCGCTGGCGGATGATGGCGGCCAAGTGCGCGCCGAAGTACCTGCGCACTGATCGGGGCCGGGCGAGGTACGACTGGGCCGAGACGTGGAACTGCTGTGCTTGGGTGCGACGCTGCATGTACGGCGGCGGTACGGCCAGATGCGCACTGTGCTGCACTGTAACCTGCGGCAGGGTGTGGCCGCCTGCCTTTTCCTCGAACGACGGGAGCGGCTGGACCTGCGAGCGTGAGCGTCAGAGGTGCGAGGCTTGCAAGGCACGGCGCATAATACATGAGGCCATCGGGTCTGGATCAAGGCAGGGCGACGCCGAATAATGCCTCTATCTGAGCCTTCCGTTGCTGCGACGGGCGATGTGGAAAGCCACGGATACCTGCGGATGGCGCGGAAGGCTGTGTCTCATCAGCCTCTGGCCAGATGATTGGGCACGTATTGCAGCTTCAACGGCTTACTGCCTTACGAGTTACTGACCAACTGGCCTCGTACCTTACCGTCCCTCCAGAGGTTCTTAATCGTACTTGCTGCGTCCTTTGGCCGTTATCACAACCCATCGTTCTCGTCAGGCTGCGCCAGTCTGTCCCATGTCCTGTTCTCGCGCACTCACACCCTCAATTGCCCTGCATCATGCGTGTAGCAGCAGCATGCGTCGGATGCCGTGGTGGTTGATTTGGGCTGTTATCGTTGGTTGCTTCAAAGTGCCCGTGGTTGGGCACTGCACTGTACCAAGCACCAAGTACCTTGCAGGTACCTGCCCTGACGCACCCAGTTCTGCTCTGCATGTCGGCGCAGGGCTTAATGCGCCTTGTCCACACAAAGTACCGCTGCGCCGCGCACATGTGAGCAGATACCAGGGCTCGACCTGCGTCACTAACCTTATCCGATTCCGGGCCCTGGCCTCGCGGAAAAGCTGAGTCGCCGTTCTTCCTCTTGTCTCTTGTCTCTCTCGTGCCATTACGAGTGCTACTTATCAGGTCTGTCTGGCATCATCGCCAGAGTTCAGCCATCTCCACCCTGCATGAATGCTCTGCCTGTCTTGTCTGACGCTTGCTGCATGCTGAGCTGCTAGCCAGCACGATACTAGCCGGCCATGTGCGTTGGAATGGCACAGGCATGAGCACGAGGCTAAGCATGGCGCCGATTCCATGTCTCGAAGCCACCGACTCCATCAGATTGGAGGCTCAACAACTGGACCGAATTCCCAAGATCCGTCTCCGTCTCCGGCCAGCGGCCTCGGCTCCCGTTGTGGCCCTCGCCTCGCCTCGACTCGACTCCAGCAATTTGTCCGTCACCGTGGCTGTTGCTGCCGTCGCTGGCTGCTGAGCATGAGCACGCGGCTTGCAAACATGGAAGATCCTGGCCCAGCCACTGCAAGCTCGAGATGCCGGGATCTCTCCGACGAGGCAATTATCCCGTTTGGCGTGCCATCCTGCTCTCTGGTCTCCGTTCTCTCGCAACGCCCACCCTCCCGTACGCGAACCGCTGGCGGCACTGTACGAGATACACCAGCGCCAGGGGCTGCTCTGTGCTCTGGGCGCGGCCAATGGCTGCCCGGCCACAAGTCGCATCTACAGTGGCAGGACCTGCACAGCATGCTGCCGTGCCCGCCAAGCACCAGCTTTCCTTGAAACCCTGGCCGTGCCCTCTGCCATATCCAGCCCAGAGCGTCGCAGCCAATGCCTTGGCCGCTGCAGTGCACGCATCAGAGGGCGGAGCTATCCGTGGATCTCTTGTTGGGCGAGGTCCCACACGCGACGAGTTGCCGTCTCCTGCTCAGCACGCTGGAACCGAAGCAAGCCTATCCGCGGTCCCTGGCCCAAGGACAGCGGCGAAACTCCCAGCTTCGCGGTGGCGTGGAGACCGCTGGCTGCTGATGGCAAAGTTGGTCTCGAAACCCTTTTGCTCGTCTGTGCCCAAAAGCTGACTAGCCGCAGGCCTAACCACTTAGCAGCCGCTGAGGACTGGACAGAAGTTCTGACGACTGACGATGCCGCCCTCTGATTGCATGCTCGCATCACACGCTTGGCCCCTTGAAGCATTAGGGCATCTGCAGCGACGCACGGTGCGAGCGCCTGCTTGCCGATACAGGTAGCCATCGATCCTGACGCCAGGAACCAGGCCGCTAGCCAGGCTGGACTCCAAGAGGCTGATGAGAATGGATCCGATATTCGTCCGCTGCGGCTACCTGGCCGTACAGTACAGTGGTGTACCTGCTCGTATTGTGCCACAGTGGCTCAACGTTAACCACTTTTGTAAGCATGTGTTATGAGCCGCTTGTATCAAAAGCTCTGTGTATGTTCTCATCGGAGGCTTGTGCCACGAGCCTTTGTTTAACACGACCATGGACTACGAGGATGAGATACGATAGGATCTTGACTAAGGCTCTCAGTCACACTCCTGGCTCCATCAAGCTCAACTGATGAGGCAAGTCTAGCAATCTGGCCTCCCATTGTTATCGGCGACTCTCAGCTCAGACGAGCGCTTCCATTAGTGCTTTGTTAGTGCTCTTGATAGCCCGGGCAAATTGCTGACCTTGATGATAGTCAAAAGGGATGGAGCACGGAATGGCATGGGGATTAAAGCTGTGCATGCTGCTATCTCCATTCAGCTCTCGTCTCAGATCACCTACACGGCCACGCCTCCAACTCGCTTCCTTGGTCGAATGATGATGTCCCGTTTCAAACCGTTCATACATACCTAATATGTATGTAAACTGGCCCTCAGTGGCACTCGAGGCAGTCTGCAATTGCTTGCTATGTGCTAGCAGACTCCATCCTTGATGTAATATTTCCATCCTTTGAGCTTTCGAAAACAAGGCAAAGGCAACCTGGAGGCAAATGGCGTGTCAATGTACGAGTACAAAAGCTGTACTGCTGCAGTACTTGCACACACATGCAGTACTTCACAAGCACACCAGCAGCTGTCCAGACTCGCTTAACCCGCGCATCCGAATGATCTTCACAGCGTTCCCCACCACAGGCCGGCAGCTCTCTCGTTTCGGATGCTTCTCTTTCTAGCCTGTTGTGTGGCTGTATGTATGTACTCATTTCCGGGTTTGGTGGTCTTTGGGATTCGTCCTTGATCTCCTGATTGATGTGCCGCCGCTGAACCTGAAGCTTTTGACCTTACAGAGGGGAGATGAGAGAAACGAGGTCTCGGTAGGCCAAAAAGATATGTCGTCCATTGTTATAGGCATTATGCGTCATTTCGACAAATGGATGATCGCATACATCGGCGCTACCTTCGTATGATGATGGCCTGTTGCTGCAACGGACGAAGAAGAATCCACTACTAATTGCCTGATCATTGAACAGACGAATTGTTTTCATACTTTGCTGACAGTGCCGCTTCTTCTTCGTCTGATAACGGGAGCGTTGCTGATACGATGACAATACAGGGCCCAGGCTGTTTCTGATCGCATGTATTGCAACCTCAGTTCAGATCCTGCCCGTGCCTTACCTGCTCTTGATGGCAGCCATTCTGTCTTTCCAGACACATCTACATACACAATTGCCCCTCTTCGACTCCAAATACTGGTCATGTTCAGCATACACTCATATCCAATTCGCAGTTTCGATCCGTGTTTAGAGCTCAGTAGCTCCCGACACCAGATCGGCCAGGGCTGAAACCTGTCCCTGAAGATTGTTGTGTCCAGCTTGAATCTATTATTAACGCAGTGTTGATCGCCAACAGCTTAGCTGCGAAGAAGTCTGTTGGCCGGTCATGCAAACAGCTTCATGTCCGAAGAGTCTCTTTGTGAAAACTTTGTTTCATATATCACGGCAAGATGGCTCCCGTATGGAGCACTCGTTCGTAGATTGCTGATTCAATGACAGGTCTCATGAAACAATGCCGTCCCGTGCCTGGGAACAAGCTCCCGCAGTCTCTGTCTGGGCCCTGGACAGCTCGTTCATCAGTGGGTCGCCACGATGTGATCACCTACAGTGCCGTTAACACCGTCACACACACCCAACGGCTATGCAAGCGCCCAAAGAACCCATCACCCCATCAGACCCTTTCCGACCGTTCTGGTCCAATTCCTGCATACTATGCCAAATGGACGGCATCAACAAGGCCTTTTCATTCCATTGCTGGAACAGATAGATAGATCTAGGAACCTCAAACCCGTCGAGCAACCATGGCGCCCTTTGTTCGTGTAAGTCTCAAGCCGCTGAACGCTAACAGCTCCCGGCAAGAACGCCAGCCGCCGGATGCATGCGACAAAAGTGCTTGAGATACACCGCCGGGCAGAAGCTTGCGAGGCGAACTCTGAACGGAGTGCGATGAGGTCACCGAGGCGAAGACGAGACAGACACGAGAACTATTATTGACCCATGGCAACTCCAAACGCACCATCACGTCACCCTGCTGGCAACAGAAGCAATAGCTCCCTGCCCAAGCCCCAGCCAAGCTTCTCTTCCGTATCTGATCGGCCGTCCGGGGGTCCGTCCTCCTTCGCTTGAGAACCAGAAAACCATACCAAGCCTTGCAAGCTCTAGGCTCTCTCTCTCTCTCTCTCTTCCAGACCCTCCTCGATGAAGCAGGTTGTTCCTGGACCCATATCAAAACGAGGTCAGGTGCACAACAGGCGTCCAGGGCCCACAGCTTCCCTTGTCCGGGGCTAGGACTTTGCAAGTGTGCGTGGGCGAGCGAACAGAAGAGGCGTCACCAAAAAGTTGATGCATCAATTGTTCGGAATGCGACTTCGGCAGAGCGGCTGGTTTCCATTCGCTGATTCGCCCTCTGTGTGTGGTGGACACCCCATGCACGTTGACTTGACCGACATGCTGCTAACGGGCCTAGAAGATGCAAGTTGTTGAGGTTTGAGTCACATCCAGTGGTGATGGATGGAGGATTTCCCATCTCCCGTCTTGACTGGAGTACGGAGTACGTAGTAACGGATGTTCTCGTCTGTTTCTGGAGCTGTCTCGAGTGGCCCGTACTGTATGTGTCAGTGGAAAGTAGGATGTAATATGTTACAGACTGCTGCTGCTGGTATGATTCCTTTTGGACGATTTACCGTCGCAATATCTAAAAAAAAACAACTCGTAGTGCTCTGCATGCATACTACAGTACTAGTCCTGTGCGTGGGAGGCCGCCCATGTGATTGAATCCATCAGAGAGAGCCTTCTCTCTTTTCCAATTCTGCAGATGCTGGGCTTCCTGTTCCCAGCAATCCCTGCTGGTCTCTGTCACTTGGCGAGTCAATGCTCATGTACGAAGGAGACGATAATCTCTCATCACGGCTAGCCAACAACCGCCCAACCTCCGAGATCGTTGCCCTTTTCTATCGAAGCTGGTGCGAAGCAAAAACAGGCTTTGGCAACCAACCAATCTATACATCCAGCGGACTGACATTCAAGCTACAGCCATCTATCTCTCTCTCTTCCTGAGAACCTCGATGACCCCAAAAAATATGTAATCGCATACCCCAAATCTACCAGACCCTCGGCTTACCCCAAATCGCCCTCCATGGCGGGGTGCCCCGGCCATTTACCCTTTGCGACTCCCTTCACCCCGGATTTTGAAGCTCAATCGGCATCGCCCTGCTGACCAGGAACACCCACCCTCCCTTGGCTGCCTTGGGGGGAAAGCGAGGAAGGGGGGCCGGGAGCGGTCTGTGGTAGTAGCGCGCTTCTTTCTTAACACCCATCGTGATGGAACCCCTGCTTTTTCCCCAGATTCTCTTCGACTACGTACTGTTGTAGTTGTACTAGCTCTCGGGCTCCACGGCCCATGCAAAGGGCTAGGGAGATAGGAACCGAGGGCGACCAGCCGTCGTGTGCTAGGATTTTGCTTGGTCCGTCATCACGGGCTTGGGGGAGATGAGCGGCTGCTGTCTGTGCGTTGCTATGGAACTACGCACCAAGCGATTCAAGTGACGTGGGTATTTGATGCCGTCTCTGGTCATGAAGCCGGGGCTATCTATACCTCTAGGCACTCTGCGAAGCGATA